CATAAGTGGATATATCCATTATCCAGTGTATCTGATCTGAGCTCCTGCATGGAGTATGTATGATCTGGTTGGTGATGGAATGTCTTGTATTTCTCCGGGGTACAGGGTTTAGTTAGAGGCCAGTCTCTGGTCTCTCAGTTTCCTGGAGGTATACTCCGTACAGTACATATATATTTACAGCGTATTCTAGAGATACAACTTTCCTATATACACCCTCTATATACTAATAATATTATCCTCCCTTCCTATATTCCCATCCTGCTATAGGTCCACACCCCTCCTGCAGGGTTCCTTGACTTGCATACCAGACATCTCACCTCTTCCCCGTTCCAACCTTAGCCTTAGTCCAGACAAGCCAGACCACCCAACCCTCCCCAAGTTCCAACCCGAAGTCAAAGTCAAAAAAAGCCATGGCCCCCTCCAGCCTCCAGCCGCTAGTGCAATTCGCCCCTTCCGTCATGACCTTCCACTCGTTCCCGCTCCCAGTCACTTACCACAACCGGTTTAGCGTTGCAATCTTGAGTCTTCGCTTCCTCCACATTTGAACTTGGCATTTTCTAGGGATTTTTTTTTCTTTCCTTTTTAATTTTTTTAATTTTTATTTGGGCTCATGGGATTCATATTTCTCGGGTTTCTGGTCGCTCGTTGGTTGGATTTTATCCTTCTAACTTGCCTATTTTCCCTTCGTATTCTAATAATGCTTGGGGTTATTTTTAAAATTCCCGGTCGTACTGTAGCCTCAGGACACTATCACTATACAGATGTATGATCCTCTATTCGTACTTTCTTATTCTTTTTTTCACTTGGTGTTTTCTATGTATGTACTCTTGTTTCCCTCGATGATCATCATTCTCCTTCCACACTGCTCTCCTCAACAGCCACGTCAGCCACACCCCCTTTGCCGTCATGCCAGTGCATGCCAGTAGATGACGATCTTGATTATATTTCTTCCCATCCGTGCTCTGGCCTCCCGTGGAGCCCATTGACACCATTGTCAATGCACTGCTCTCCGGATCCGAACATACAAAGTACTTCGTACTCTAAGCATTTGGCCTTGACCTTTGTAGCTCACCCTGGAACCTGTCATTCGGTACTTATTCTTCATGACTGATTCAAGACCCGGGGGTTATGCACTCCTCTTCCTTGACCGTTGGCCCTGCCGACCCGAACAACCTTCCCATAATCCACCCCATCCACACCGACTCTATCTGCCTTGATTATCTGCCCCGTTCTCCCCTCGAACCCAAATTTGTGCCTTGTCTATTGATGAACTAGCTACACCGTAAATACCACAAGCCTCTCTCTCATTAGATATATTTCTACTATAATATGGAGAAGAAATAAAATATCCCTACCAGATCCTCACCTCTCACTCTATATATATACTGAACACTCCTTCTACTGTACCTTCTACCTTCTACTCTATCTATCTAGGTCGCATCTACCCATCCCTGCTGCAGCCTCGATCGGCCCCCAATATGTCGTCAGCCCGGAGGAATCCCCAGTGGATGGCTCCACTCGGGGCGTGGGTACGCAAGCCCCTCTCTCCATTCTGGTGATTATTTTTGTTCTTATTATTTTTTTTTTTTCCTTTCCCTTTCCTTTTCTATCGCGCGCGCAGGGGTTTGACTAGCCGAGCCGCCACTGCCGTTGCGTCGCAGTACAGTAGTCCATTGTGTGAAACGCCATCCGGAGTCTTGGAAGAGGACTGAGCTTCTATTATTCTATTAGGTTTCGATATAGAGTAGGATTATGGAATATATATTCAATGCTACATGAGCCAATGGCTATCACCCCATACCTACTTTGATACTGGGAACTATCATTGCCTAAGTACTTCGTACTTACTACTCCGAAGCTAACGTGTTCCTCCTCAGCCAAGAAAATCAGCTATTCCTCGTCACCTGATTTGACAGCTTCTCACTCCCGCCCCGAAACCCTCTTTCACTAGTTCTTCCGGAACACATTCCTTGGCTTGAGTATCTCACACACTCCCACAACCGCCATCCCAACCCGATCACCGCTACCACACTGGGTTACACAACCCCCCTAGGACAAAAAACCCCCATTCAACTTGCCGTGCACAACCATCGACAAGCTCGAGTCTCTTACGGCCCGTTATTTGCAAGACATGACACAATCTCAGCATTCACAACAGGGGACGGGATGGAGGGGATCTGGTGTTCCTCGTACGGTCTGTACCCCCTTCTCCTCTGGCGGATCCCTGCAGGCGCCCACAACCTCCCCCGGGCCCCCCAGCTCCGCTTCGGAGAGAACCTGGATGGACCGAACTCAACTGAAACACCTATGGTCGCGAGAATTTTGACCGAGGGGGTTGTAGAAAGTAGTAGTAGTACAAAGCCTTATATAGTCAGTAGTACTTAGTACTTCACACAGGACATTCTCTAGATAACTGTATATACACTCTTCCAGACATTGATAACGTCAGCTACTGACTTCCCTTGGCACTTTCATCTCGACGCGCCCGCCTCGGTCGGAGCATGGGCCCTGAGCAGCTCCACGGAAGTCCACGCAGCCGCGCGCATAGAGACACACGAGAGTCGAGACACCTGGGAGGAGGTCCACTTGTGGATCCTAACTCGGGTCCGGTGCGGCCTTGAGGACTAATCAGGGGGGGGAGCACGCACTCTTGTGGAAAAGAGGGGGTTTGGTAATTGTCTGTACATCGTTGATGAACAAAAAGTATACAGTATACTGCTCTGTTGTCTCTGTTAAGCAGGCTGGTATTCCGGATTGTTGGGCGCCTTGACTTGATGTACTGACTCCCGAAATGGAGGGGGCCATATTGATGCGACCGGTGGGAACGGGGCTAGCAGAGAAGCGGAGACAGTCTGCGAAGACTTGCTTGGCCCTCAACGCCTGGCCTGGGCAGTCGGTAGCCTAGCTTAGTAAAGCTTGGCCAAGGAAGATATACTGTAACGTGGATCGAATAATCATATGAAGATGGCAAGAAAAAGAATCAAATTAGCAATTAGCATCGGCCTACTACGAAGCTCTATACAAACATGCAGATGCCAAGGTTGAAAGAGTCATTTATCAAAGTGAATGGACCTCAATCCTTAGGGGCCACCAACATCCATTCTCCAGTCCAAAGTATTGTATACCAAAGACCGGACTAATCCCTCCTTCACTTTGTATACCCCAGTCCTTATTTTCCGCATACAAACCAGTTGAGATATAGCAACACTTGACCATGACCACGACCACGTAGGTATGTATATCTACCCCGTGCACGAGCGCGGTCCATCCACAACGGGGACCACAAACAAGCCAGGGCTGCCAGCGTGCCAGGCCGCTTTCCAATAGAGTGTGGCACGCCAGCTGCAGCCACAAACGGAGTCCTTCCACTCTGCTGGGAGGCTTGAATGGTCCATTCAGACGGATCTATCTAAGCAATGGGGGTCACGTACTCTGATATAGCGGAGGCTGGAAACCCTCTTCACAGAGTCAATTAGGGAGTTGGAGGTCTTGTAGATTCGGGTTAGTAGTGTTTAGCATGGTCCCTGCTAAGAAAATCTTGAATGCAGAAGCGAGTCATGGATCAGCCACAACAAGTATTCAAAGCATTGAGTCTGTGACACTTGACCCTCGCACGGTGTCAAGTAGGAAAAGCAATATATAATGGAAGGTGGGGCGTTCTCGGGTTAGCTGCTCTGCTTTTTTGGCTCAAGTGATAAGCAGTGGTCTCTGGCTGGGATGAAGAACATCACGGTACGGATGTACAGATCTACGAGAGGATCTGTAAGCTCTCTGCACTTTTAGCTTAAAAATTGGTCCCCGTGCGGCTGAGATCGAGTATCGACGATCGACTTTGGAAGCGTGAGTTTAGATCGGATGGCGTTTTCCAAACTACTGAGCCGATAGCTCAATCAGAATCGTGATGATCCCTCTGATCAGGACTATTGAATCTGAAGCTGATCAAATTCGCACTAAAGACAGCGGAGGGCTAGTGTGGAAAAGACTCCTTTCCCTGTCCCTTCCCAAGTCCTGGACCTATATAAGAAGATCAGCCAAGTTCGTAAAACGCAAGAATATTCCATCATCGCATTGCACCCCTTCCCTTCCAAACAAGTCTCAAACAAATCTCCCAAGTCATGCGCCTATCCGGCTGGCAGCTAACATTGCTTTTTTCCCTGGGTAGCCAGGCACCCTGCATGGGCGCATCCACCCTGAGATCAAGTCAGCCCTGTCCTGCCTAAGAGGAGGAATGTACGAAGTACAAGTAAATCAGTGCAGTAGATGTACTGTGCACTGCACAATCATACTATATGTACCACCAACGATACAAATAGAAGTAGGGTCGCATCCACCACCCTGCACAGTACAGTACACCCGCTACTGCTTATCCTGCGCCAGGAGTAATCAAACACCACCCTGTCCTGTACTTATGCATCCCTTTTCGGTAGGTAGGGTTGAACTTAATGGACTCGGCATGTCTGACAGAAAGCAGGGGGTGTGTAAGTTACTGTAGACGGGCGATCTTTCGTTCGGGCTGAACCTTGTCTGTGGTGCGTGCTCGGGAATGATGCCGGCGATCGGATCGACCCCTTGCGGCATGCAGTAGGCTTGATCTGTCACGACTTGTGCTTTTCTGGATCATATTTTGGGGAATGAGATTTGGGTTGTGGGATTTTTGGAGGACTCGCTAGGGTGATTTGATTGTATTGGTTGGGGAGGAGATAATTTGAGAGTTGGAGAAGGTACTAACTACACGTGAGCTTCTCTTTTGTCTTCAGACAGGGTATGATGATTTAAATAACCAAGGCCAAGGATGGAGCCTGAGTTGGCTCTTCTTCCAGTTTGACGATCTGCCGACAATCCTCTTTCTTTCACAAGAACATTTTCAAGTCTCTCTTGGAACACAGGATCTTGGAGAGTTTCATAAAAGTCAAAGAAAATTTACTAATCAAGCTATCTAACACACTATATCTCCGGACAGGCTACACACAGAATTATGTCACCTCAAAAGTCTCCTTTGCTCAATCCCGATATGGCGACGCTGATTCCCCTCCTTGTGCCGTCGCAGTATCTTCATCACCCAACTCTGATTCGTGCATGGTAAACTTCAAATCAGAGATCAAAATCGAGATCATGCCAACAACCGCACAGATGCAGGAAAAGACAAGAGCCACAATACCGCGTGTGGTAAAACCTTCAGGAATAAAGCCCGGGGTTTATTCTGTCCCTTCAGATCCAAGTAATCCTCAGTGTTCCCGGCGGCATTACCTTCCCAGCTCATCCCAGCAGCCTCGCAGACATCAATCTGGTTCTGAGAGATGCTGAAATGATCCTGGATTGTGAGAGAATCTTCCACAAACGTCATCGCAAGACCTTGCATCGTATGCCAGTCAATGTGACAGTGGAAGAGCCAGACTCTCGGGTTGCTGGCAACGAAGCGGATGACATAGTATCCGCCGGGGGGAAGGACGAATGTATCTCGTCGGGCAGGATATGTGGGGAATGCGGTATGGTTTGAAGAATCAAAGGTTGCAAACTCTGTCTCGGCATCGTAGTCGTAAAAGTTGGTGCCATAGGGTGGGTATCGATCCAGCAATTGGAAATTATGCCCGTGCAAGTGGAATGGATGGGTACCGGTGTCTTGATTGCTGAGAACCACCTCGACTACCTCATCTTTCTCCAGCACGATAGAGTGAGTGTAGTCACCGTAGATGGTAGAATCAGTGGCCAGATCACCGGCGTACTTGACGGTGTATAATGTCGGAACCTTGGCTGCTGTATAAGTGATGTTGTTCAAAAGGGCGTATCCTCGCCCTTGTCGAGGTTCTCCATGATAACGGTGACCTCTACCGTCTTCGTCGGGTTCTTGTCAGCTTCACCCTATCATGCGGCACGAGGTTGATGTCGTCAAAGGGATAGATTTTCGAAGAGTCGGACACGTTCAATGTCGCATTATTTTGTGCCGCACTCGAGTCATATTCGAGCCAGTTGGTTTGGTTCAGCGATAGATCGGACGGAATCGTATCAAGAAGCGACAAATCGGCGACCATGACCATCCTATAATTCTTCTCAGTGGAGTTCTTCATGGTCACCAGAACGGCGTACCGTTGCGCGGCAGACAGGTACAACTTGTCGGCTTCCGCTTCGTCGGCATAGACACCGTCAATTTCGACGATACGCATGGTATGGTCCTCAATCCAGAAGTATTGACCGACAAAGGCAGAGATACTGATGAGACGAATGAGATACGTCTTACCCGCCTGGACAGAATAACTCTGACTGATCGAATTATTGAACAAGAAAGAATCAGGGATTGGCTCCGCTCCAGTAGGATTATACAAGAACATGAACTCGGGTTTGATATCCTCTGCCAAGGTATGATACCAATCACTCATTGTGAGAGTCATCTCCTCATAGTCCTCGTAAAAGTACGAAGAGTTATCATGAACGATAAAGGGAGCTCGGTTACCATCAGGATAGAAGTAGTCCGTGTGGCAGTGATACCAGTAGGTACCATTTTGATTGACGGTGAAATTGTAAAGGTAGCTTGATCCCGGAGCCACTGGGCGTTGCGTGACCATCGAAGGACCATCCATGTCATTCGTGCCTTCTTGATACATGCCGTGCCAGTGGATGGAGGTTTTCTTGTCCCCGAGGCCATTGGTCATGTTGACCACCACACGGTCTCCCTTGTTCACTTCTAGAACCGACAAAGGCCATTGATTATCGATACCAATCACTGTGCCATCAGCAAGACCGTCGGGGTTTGCTGTTACCCAAGTGACATTCCAGTCGAATATGTGTGTCACTGCCTGACAGCCCAGAAGGAGCTGGAAAAAGACAAATGTTCGATGAAGTCTTCACAGATGAGATTGCAGCAATCTTGCAACACAAGGACATTACGACCTCAGTCTACTGCACCAAGCTCGACGTGACTCCACAAGAGTCTGAATCGGATGATTGCGCGCTTTCCAAGAAATCTGTCCCGGGAGTTACGAGTACGGGAGTCAGCTCGCCCGCTTCGAATGGGGGTCTGCGATTCATGGCTGGCCGCCCCAACATCCATGAACTGGTCATGAATGAGGTACACGAAGCTCGGACTAGTTCGTCGAGCATTGGTGTCTTGACTTGTGGACCATCTCAGATGGCGGATCAGTGCCGAGGAGCACTGTATGAGGCCATGAAGAAGGGTTTCCATGAGATTGATTATTTTGAGGAGGCGTTTGGGTGGTGATCCTGCCAGAAAAGGAGGGAAGAGGCGACGGCTGTGAAATGGAGATGACGAATTCAGTAATATTAAGAGTTTGGCAATCAGGTGGGATCAAGAGAATTCTTCAGTCTGGTAGATGGGCTATTGAACCTCCCAGAAGATAGAATTGCTAGCTTCAACTTAGCGAGAAAACGAATCTCATTTTCGCCTACAAGTCTGCTAGAATATGGTGCTATATCGACAATAGCGTACCAATTAATCAGGGCTTCAATAGCCGAGCTAACCAATACGAGCTTCGATAGTGATTGCCAACTAACTTAGATATGGCGATCAGCCGATTGGCAGGCTTCTTAGCCCACTATGGACTCCATGGTCGGCACTTGTCAACACCACCGAGAAATACCAGCCGTGCGCGCAAGCCCCCCGTATACGAGCAAGACATAGCTCACAACTCGGGTTGATGCATACCATAGCCATACAATGCGGGCACAAAGAGATGTGACAGATCCCCCCACTTGTACTCACACCACTTCATCAAGGATATGCGGGCGGCCGATGATCGACGGATGTAGACCCATACCATACACACCACCGAGGTCGGGCACATGAAAAAAATGGTGATGACATTGACAAGAAAGACTGCACACGTCAACCTACCTACCCTGGTCAACCTCTCGCAAGGCAGGAACAGTCGGGTAGACGATCAGTCCGCATCTCCGACGTTTCAGAGGCCAAGCGGCGCGGCACTCGGAGGACCTGGACAAGAGCCCAGGCTAGGCCACGCAAGCCGCGGATCTGACCGTTCCAGCCAAGCGCTCTGTACGAGAATGATAGCTGCAGTGTGTCCTGGGAGGTGCCGAGAGATTCTCTTCTTTGGATGAGTAGAAGGGCGACCAAAAGGTAAACTCTTGGAGGAAGAGTAGGTAGTAGTAGCCAAGGCTGAGCGTGGCCAAGGTCACTCACAAGAGTCGGTCAGATGCTACGGATGGACTTGCAACTATTGACTCACCGGGTCTGGGCAGCTGGGCGGAATGAGAAACGGGAGGGGAGGTGGACAGCCAAGACTAGGCACCCTGAATAATAGAGGTTGCCGGGGATAAAGTGGAAGGGGACTGGGGTTGACGGAAGAGGCAAAATTGGATCTAATGATAGACAATCCCGGAATAGCCTGAATAGCCCGAGTTTAAAGAATATAGTTGTCTGTGAGTATGGTATGATTGTTAGACAGACGCTATTCAGTAATGATATGCAAGGTCAACAGTTAGTACTGAACACTGCTTGTCCCCTCGGAGATGGTTTCTAGATCAAGTTACATATGCGCCCAGACATTCCCGATGCAATATAGAGGTATTTTACCTAAGAAATATTGGAAAAAAGCATACAAATACCCTTTTCTCCGAGTCGGAGTCTTTCACTCTCATTTCTTTTTTTGCCCACCCACTGTTCAACGGATGCCAATCTCTCGGCGTCTGGGCAGGGCTCGGCAACACGGCATAGGATGTATCAGAGGCGATGTACTCCGTACCGGTAGATAACCAAGACGTTGGATTAAATATAGGCATAAGGATTTAAAATTATGCTGACATGTAAGCCCTAGTCTGTAAGTGTACTCAGCATGGAATATTATACTCTCTATGATGGTCATACATCTGACACTTCATTGGAACACCGTTCGATCACGTGTGTTACATTGATACGGTCAAATACCACCACCGAACGCCAAGGCGCCTTTGAGTGCGGATCAAGGAGCATTTCAGCCAATCAGAGCCACGGCTGACGACTGACCAGCCGAAAGTTGGCTTGGCAGCTTGGCATTTGGTAAATTACCATCGTAGGACAGACTCGTTACCACTGTTCTTCTCCCTAAATCAAAACATCGATACATCGATGCATTGCCCCCCCAGTCCATAAGCCCTGGTCGATCTGCAACTACAACTACAAACGACCAAGAAACATGATGACGATCCCCAGTCGATTCACAAATCGAATATTCGGAGAGACCCGTGATCGTCCCTAATAGACCGAATAGCTCTGTATATCCCATCCACTCCACAAGTCAGTCTACAGTACTCCTAATAAATTACCTTCCAGTACCACCGCCGCCAGCCTCGACCCTCAAAATGCCAAGGGCTCGGCACCTGGGCGCCTTGGCGCAGACTTCCTGCAAACAGCAGGAAATGCTCCTCCGCTGCCATGGCAGTTTTCCTGTATCTTCCGCTGTGCGGTCCTCCGTCTTATAAGTCTCTCTTTCCGCCCTGATCTCCTTTCCTCCCCCTCCTGGTGGCCTTCCTGAATCTGCTGTCTCTCCTCTCCTCTCCGCTCCCTGAAAGACGGGGACTATCGCCTACTCTGCCCCTCGCCCGTACCCCCTGATGAGAAGAGTCGACTATGCTCTAAGCCGGGGAGACCATGGACTGAGCCCTACAAAGCCCTAGTCGCCTTCCGTGCGCCTTGTACGACCATCCGGTACCAATCTCCGATTCCCGTCCTGTTCAGTCTCTCCTCTCCTCTGAGCTCTCGCCATGCGGCCTCCGGAGATGTCATATAGTCCTGCCTACCACCAAGGCCAGGACCCCCTCGGCGCGGCAGCTCGCAATTCGATCATCGCCCCGCTGCCAGATCGATCTTTGGGACCCCCCGACTCCAGTTATCCAGCTGCTTGGCGGCCCTCTGTCGACGGCACGCCCTACGAGGGGAGTCCTCGATCCTCTGGTCCGCGGAGATCCCTCGCCCAATCGCCTGAAGCTTCACGGCGCTCGTCCCGGGTCGACAACGAGTCTCCCGTGACTCGCGTGGTGGTGTCGGGTGGCGTGATACACAAAGAAGAGCACTCCCGTGGTAGCTGGGCCGACCAGCCCTCGTTGATGTCGGCCGATCACTCGGGCACACCTCGCACGCAAAAGCGAGGCGGTCCCGTGGATATACCTGCGGTGGATAGTCAAGATGCACTACTTATGATCGTAAGTGAAACTCCCGCAGGGTATAACTTCCTTCCCCAAGGTCCTCAGCCCTAACACAGAGCTTGATATAGTTCCGACTCTCCGTCCCCGTCCCAATGTACTCATTCGGCGCCTGCCTGTACACATTCTTCGCCCTGATCTTCGCCCTCCTCATCTCTCCTCTTCGCCTCTGCCCTCCTACACCATACCTCCGCAATACCTCCTTCAAGTCGCAGCTATGCGACCTCCTCTCTCCAGCCCTCCATATCCACGAGCGCCTCGTGCGCATGCGCCCACCATCATCACACCGTTCCTCCTCCACACAATGGATCCACTCCGAGATCGACTCCGACCACCCCTCAGCGCTGGCCGAGACAAATCGATACTACACCATTGGCATGTCCATCCTGGTGCTCACACTGTCGCCCTTTTTCAGCATCGCCATATTGCTATTCGCATGGACAGCCGCATTCTTCTGGGTCTTCACCATGGTCATGGGCAATCCAGACGGGACAGAGCGCAAAGACGACGGCCGCGCCGCTGTTCTCGGCGTCTGCAAATGGTGGCAGACATGGCTGGGTAAGGCGCGGAAGTTGTCATAACAAAAGTCCCTAGCCCCACACGGGCCCGCCATGTCTTTCACCCTACTCTGACTATGGGGAAGACAACCCTCCCGTCCAACACGAGACCATCAAATCTCAAATATAAAGTCTTCTGCTGCATGATCTAATCTATCATGTATAACAAAAATGGAGACTCACGCGAAACGACCCCCTCATTACATACCTTCATCTGCCAATATTACCCTCCTCCCCTCCATCATTGTGGGAGGGGCTAGTGATTATACAACCTTTGCATCTTTATACCGACCCGGATGCACGGAGTCCTGGATAAAGCTTTGACCCGATCTTGATCTCTTTCATCCTCTGTTTCATTCTTATCTCATTACGTCGATGGCGTCGGAAGCGGGCGTATATATCCTCTTGCTTTCTTGTTCCTTCTCTTCTCTCCCCTTGAACTCGCAATCTGTGTTTTTACCATGGGAGGGAGGCCTTCTTTCTTTCCTGCAGATTATTGAGGGAGGCGAGCTATCTATCTGTTTCTGACTTGATGATTCTTGTCGAGATGATTGCTTGCTTGCACTTACTATGTACTTGTATGTATTTACTTATCTGCGAGAAGGGGGGAGGTTGTATGTATGTGTTCCTCTTGCGTTTGCTCTTGCTCTTTGGTTGAGCCAATTGATACCCGGGGTTTCTTGCCTTTATGATCATTGTCCTTGTATTTTTTGTAGGTTCTTGTTTATTGTAGAATAGTATCTTCCTAGCGATGCTTTAAACATGGATTATGGATTACAGAACCATGGGACCTAATCCCGAGGCAAGTATGTACTTATGTTCTTTTCTATGTAGCTAGCATTGTCGTAATAGGGAGGAAGACGAGAGTGTACAAGCGTGGTGCTGCTTAATTTTCTCTCAAGCACCGAAGAATAGAGGATACCACAGCGATCTAGATTCTTCTCACCGAAGTGGTTTCTCCTTCATCTTTCAGGACACCATCTGCTATAACCTAGTCTTAACCAAAGAACAATTCTCATCCATACCTAGACAGTACACAAGATAGATTTAAAATTTATAATGTGAATCACAAATTGACTATCATTTTATTGCAAGTATCTCACATAGCCAACTCCAACCCAAACACAAAGAATAGGTACGAACAAAAACAACAGTAGTCAAACCAAAGAAGAAAATAAACATAAAAGAGAACATAAACATTTCTATGTGCAGTTGCCCTAACAAACTTTTTGCTCGTAATCGAATCATGACAAGAAAACAGGCTCCAATCCAATCGTCTAGAGTGGAAACCTGAATGTAAAATCCGAGTCAAACCCCCGAAACGGAATCGGAATCGCCAACGAGGGGGTATTATGAGGAATATCGTCAACAACTAAACATGAATGCGAGGTGAGGTGTCCAGAGACGGACTAATTCCAATGAAGAAGATAGGTAATTCTGAAGACAACACCGATATTGGATTCTTCTTTTCTGGAAAGTAGAAGCGGAATGACTTTTTACCATCGGCCACCTCCACCACGGACACCTCCCCCTCCACCGCGGCCACGGCCAAAACCACGGCTAGGACCACGGCCAGGACCACGGGGTGCACCGCCGCGGCTAGAGAAACCACCACGACCGGGACCACCGCCACGACCAGGACGAGGGCCACCGCGGCCAGTCTTACCACCGCGGGTGTTGCGCTTGTCGATACGACCAGCACCGGAAGCACCGGGGGTCTTGGGGGCACCGAGACCGCGACGACCCTGGGCTTGGGCCTTGGAGCGGAGATCTTGGCCGATAGCAGCGACATCTTCCTCATCGTCAATGTCCATATCATCGCCGCCGCGCTTCTTAGCCTGTCCCATCTTGACCTTGCCCTTCTGGCCTCGGCGGACGGCATCGGGGCCGCTGACAGCAGCGAGATAGGCGTTGATGCCGCTACCACCCTGGGCAGTGCCGCTCATTTCGGCGTCTGCGGCCTGGTCATCGCCAAGGAGGAGACGGCCATCGGCGTCGAACTTGGCGGCGTGCTTCTTCTTGGAGCCAGGGCCGGTGTTCAGGAAGCGCAGGCTGGGCTTGGTGGTGGAGATGTTGGCCAGGGCGTCCGGAGCGAGCAGATCCAGCGGGTTATCTTCGGGAGACATCTCGCGGATGTATTGGTTACCCTGAGCAGACTTCTTCTTGCCCTTGATGCGAGCCTGTCCTTCGGTGTCAACGTCAATAACGCTGGCGTCATCGTCGTCGTCGTCGTCAGAATCGGAGAAGTCAGAGCCGTACACAGCCTTGTCAAAGGCGTTGCTAGACTGCTGTTGACCCTGGGCCTTGTCTTCTTCCTCCTCTTCATCGTCATCGGCAGCACCCTCCTTCTTCTTGCGCTTGTTACGCTCACGCTGCTTACGAATGTTCACAACAAGCTTGCGGTCCTCCTCGCCAACAAGGTTCTCCATAAGAGGAGCACCGAAGCGGCGGACCAGACGGTCGATGATACCCTTGACCTTACTGCGCAGACGACCCTTGTGCTCCTTGTTCCAAGCCATCAGGTTGGGGACAAGAGCAGACAAGCGCGGACGCAGAGCGTCATCGGGGAGAATGACAACGGCGACCTTGACGAAGCCAAGGACGGAGCGGACAATCTCGCGGTTGTTGCTGGTGAGGAAGAGCTCGACAGTCTGAACAAGATCCGAGAGGATCTCAGAACGCAGGTCCTTGTAGAACTCAAAGAAGAGACGGGACAGAGCAGTGACGGACGCAGCTACCATGTGAGGCGATGAGCCAGCCAGACCAGCAGAAACCATGGTGAAGAACTCTTCAATAGTGGCTGGCGCATCGGGCGAGTCATCGGGCATGTGAGGCACCAAGGAGTTGCGAATCACAGTGCCAGGAGGGTTGCGCTCAGAATCAATGGTGCGGCGAGCAAGGTGAATCAGCAGGTCGAAGGCAGCGGTACGAGCCTTCTCGTTGCTTTCCTTGCAACCGAGGACAACCTCTGACAGAATCGAGGGAATGAAGTGCAGATCGGACGTGGGCAGATTCGTGACCAGCTCGTCGATAGCAAGCATGCGGTCTCGGCGACCAGAAGCAGGGGTCTTGTCCGAAGTAGCCAGCATGAGAGCTTGTAGCTCACCGCTGCGTTCCTCCAAAGCGGCGCGGCCGGTCTCGGTGGAGGCAAGGCGGGGGATCAGCTTGTAAGCCTTCTTAATGAGCTGCTGGTCAGGGTTGGGTGAGGAGCCATTGAGAACAGCTGCAGCCATGCCGAACAAACCGCTGAAGCTGGAGCGAGGCAGGTAGATAGACATGGCGATAACCAGATCAATCAGGGTGTGAGAAGTCGGCGGCATCTTGTCAGATGAGGCTTGCTTAGCGGCGGGGTTTTGCTCCTCAACAAGGGATGATTCAAGCATCGTAGTAACACGAGTGAAAGTCTCATTGAGTTCCTGTAGTTTAAAAATATCAGTAGAAGTCGTCAATGGACGTTATGTCCTCTAGGTGCAAATTTGACTGACCGTTTCGGGAGTGATGCTCAAATAGGCATTGATGCACTGCAGAATGTAGCCACGGTGGTGAGGAAGAGTCTGACTGTAAACGTTGAACAGCACTGCCAGCAAGTTGCTGGCAAACCCAGCCAGATGAGCAATGTTCTTCGTGGCAGCCACCTTGGTGATACGGCGCTGCAAGATCAAGTCGTCCTCATCCTTCTCCACGGTCAGAATCGCCTGGTTTGACTCGACGAGGTTCTGGAGGGCCCGGCAAATCTCAACGCGCAGCTCGGTCTGCTTGTAAAGAACATTGGACAGCAGCTCTGCAAAGGTCTGATCGAAAGCCTCTGTGAGATCAAGTGGCAGCTCACAGTAGCCGGGAAGAACACCCCAGGTTTGCTGAACCAGAGTCTCGAAGATCTTCGTCTCCACAGGCTTCTCGGAAGACTTGTAATCCATCATCTTCTGGTAAAGGGCCTCACTCAAAGGTACCATCTCCGAGCGGAAGTGGGCCAGGTTGGTGTTTGTAACGTGATCACGGAGGATAGGCAGCATCCAGACACGACCGGGTTGGCCGTTCTTTTGTTGCATGATGTTCAGCGGCAGGAGCTCGAGAACAGCCTCCGGACCCATGGCCTCAATGGCACTGCCGAGAACACTATCGGCCTCCTTTTTACCGTGGAAGGCCTCGTTGCTACGCAGCTCACCAATAGTCGTGACAATATCAACGAGGAAGGGGCTGGAGCGCCACTTGAAGCAGTCAAACATGGCGGAGCAAACGTTGAACACCTCCTGCCAAGCAGCCTGGTACTTGACAGAGAGCAGGTCAGCAGCAGACCGGGCAAGCTTCTCCAGAGTCTTCTCATCGTAGACGGAAGCGTCCACAATGACGCTGTCGGGGAGGCAGTTGTGCAAGAAAGAGATCAAACACTCGGAAGCCGAGACGCGAATGTTGTGGGAAGGAGAGGCCAAGAATCCGGAAATAAGCTGGAAAAGTTCGGGCAGCTTCGTAAATGTGTCCTCGGGGTTGATCTGAGCAGAGACGTCGTATCCGCGAGACAGCACCGCGATCCAGGGAGGGAGAAGCTGCGAGTCATTCTGTGCGGGCTTGAGCTCGGAGATGGCGTCCAACAGACGGGGAAGCTTGGAAGACGAGAACTCGTCGGCCATGCCCTCGAAGATCACCTCGAAGACCTCGAAAGCGCCCATGGTAATGTATTCATTGGTGGAGCGGGAGGCGTTCATCAGAAGTTCACACAGCGCCTCGATCTTCTTGCTGGGCCAGCCGCCGGAGGCAGTGGCAATAGTCTTGACAAGTTGCAGGGAGTGAATGATGAGAGGCTCGTGGCTGTCGCGGTTGGCATCATGTCGAGCCTTCTTTTGCTTAGAAGCGGCCTGGATGCTATCACCCAGAGTCTTCATGGCAGACTCGGCGCACATATCTGCGGCCGGGTGGTCAAGCGACGGGCTTGGGGGAGGCGTTTTCAGAACCTTGATAAGCGCTTCCTGGGCGCGCTTCCGAACCTTGGGCCGGTGGTCGACCGAAAGGCTCAACAGACCGGCCGTCGCACGGCGGGGGCCGATTTGAGTGTGAGGCAAGTTCCATGCGGCGGCATCTTGGGCAATGAGGAGCGACTCGAGGCAGCCAATTGATGGTCGCAGGAGGGGGGCTTCGACTTCGGGGAGAGAGAGGGCCGGCGCGAGGCTGGTGAGGATCTGGGAGAATTTCGAGCGAAGAATCGGAGCGGGCACGTAGGTAGTGGTGATATCGAGCAAGTAGACGACGGAGGTCGCGAGATCCTTGTTGACGATGCCCTGCTCGGCGGACAGGGACTGGGAGAGGAGCGCAAGAAGCGCAGCGAAGTATGCGGTCGCAGAAAAGTCGGCCTTTTGATCGCGAAGAGTATCCTCCACTGCAGAAAGCACCACGGCAGTCTACATTTGCATTGGTTAGCGGTCTGGCTGGTGGCTTCGAAAAGATCGACACGGCGGAGGAAAAACACGTACATGGTGCTGGTTCTGCAGCTTAGGAGACTTGATCTTCTCAAGCTTCTCCGCCAGAGTCGCCATGGTGATTGTTGACGACGAGGAGGAGAAGAATAGAAAAGCGTGCGGGGAGGCTGTTCTGGCGGTGATGGAGAAAACTCGTGAGAAAAAAAAAGGTGCAGCGGGATCTTGGCGGTTATCGATAAGCACCTATCAACCACCGCCTTTGAGCTACGAAATCTTTCATACTCTACGAATGCATATTTTAGTCTGAAAAATGTATGAGATGGACCGTCAAGTCGTGAATTTGTTACTGTTGAACATAAATAAGAAAAAAGAAAAACGTGTGTCCCAATTGGGATATGTTGACGGTCGTCACACCCTTGTTCACCAGCGTCCCACCATCTTCCAAGTGTAGCCAATGGTATGGATGCGCAACAGACAATGCGATGGATAGGATGCGCTTCGAGTTCGCGGTCTCACTCCTTGTACTCGATTGAATAGTGCTTCCTCCCTGTAAAGCCGTACGTAAGCCGGCATGCACAAAATTGATGATGCCTTGAAAATTCTTCAAAGCCGATAAGGAATGAAGCCCTGGTCGGGCAAAGACACCTCATCTTAGCATCCACATCTGAACATAGAAGGTCGGTCCAAGCATTGGAGTTTTATTTCATCCCCAAAGCAAAACTCGTCTTGTATAAGATGATCCAATGGTTCCAAATTATGCGGCATGGGAGTCGAGGCCATAGGAATGACGGACGAACGCACAAGCAAATACGCAACAGAGCCCCCTTAGAACAAGATCTCACCACTATGCTCAGGCTCGAATCCAAGTGCCTGGAGCTCGGAGTGTCGCTTCTTATCTCCCTGCTTGCGCTTGCTGTCTTCCTTCTTCTTCAATTCGAAGACTTCCTCGAATGGGGCCTTGGTCACGGTAGTAGGGATATCGTCCTCACGGTCGAGGTCCTAGACAAATTTATGTTAGAACGCAATTCTAAAGAGACACGCTTTCTGCTCGAGGGCAGATTTCAGGGTATTCCTTGCACATACCACTTCTCCCAAAAGAAGAACATTCTCGCCGCGCACGAGGAAGATGCCGCGCGGGACATCAGCGTAAAGCTTTCCAGCGTAGATTCGCTCAATGGTATCCTGAAGAACAAGGTTCGCTACGAGTTCGCGCCAACGGAGATGGGGCTTATGGTAAGCCAATGCTTCTTGAAGAGGTCTTTTGCGACGTTCATACCGAATTGATCCCAGCTTCGCAAAACACCAATCAGTTTCCTCCCGTCGCGGAGGACCAAAACGAGCTTTTCTGTACGATGAAAACAGTCCCCAGATTAGCATGAGATGCTTTCAGAGCCAGCATCCGCCTATATCAACGTACTATCTGTCAAGTCCAAGAGTTGTGCGGCGGTTGTGAACATCTGAGGAGGAAGTTGTGGGGGACCGGACTGGGTCGTCGGAGCTGAGGGGCCAAGCGCATTCTGCTGTGGTTGTCTATGTTGTTGCTGTTGCGACTGTGGCTGCTGCTGCTGCTGCTGTGCGTTGCCAGCAGTCTCGTTTAAAGATAGCCGCTCCATGTTGGCTGTAGGTGGAAGGTGGGGGTGTGGGAAAACGAATGAGGCGAGAGCGCGCGGGCGACGAAGAGTTCGGAGGGGGATAATAATTTCAGGTTGGATTTGATGAAGACTCCGTTCTCATTCTGGTCGAAGCTGCGTACGTCGTATTCGAGAGATCAGCCAAGTCTGCGACAGCCTGAGCGAGTTCTCCGAGCCGGAGATGGACATCAAGGGCGGTGAGTTTGTCTTGTTTGCTTGTATGCCCGCAGTACTGTACTACATGAGCCCGGATTTTCTCGAGGTGATCCTATTGACATTAGTTTTGAATATGTCAAGATTTTCCTCCTTTTTCTTCTGCCCTTGTTATTTTTGCATCGACAATTTTCTGTTTCCTCTTCTAATCTCTGCCAATCATCTCTTTACCGCCGGATTTGATGCAAAACTTCGTGGCATCAGGATCCAAGTATCAAACATCAGAATGTTGCGACTAACTCGACACGATATCGAAACTTTTACGCCTCTGATTTTACACCTCATTTCCATTATATTTGCGAGTGCTTCTCACAAGACCAAGAATCCATTCCCAGGCCTGATCCTAGGGCATGACCTCGTAGAGGGAGGAAACCTTGAACATGCAATTTGTCCCCACAGTTCATTAGTGATACAGTGGGGTTCCATAAGTTTGAAACCCGGCAAATCTTCAACATCATCTTTGCAGCCACGAGTGGAATGATGACTAAAGAATGATACCTAAGTCACCAAGAAAGAGGATTTAAATGACCTTCAGAAAGACCTCTCGAAAAACAAGAAGTGGAAGCATATCTGTTGAGCGATTTCTCTAGTCTCTAGACTCAGACTTTTGAACTAACACAGTAGGACCGAGTCAGCCATGAACCCTGTACTTCAAAGACTAGATGCCGTATCAGAAAGTCCACTCAATTGCGTAAAAGGCCGTAGTTGCATCGAGTCTAGCGGTGAAGCAGGTGGAGTGATAGATATATACACCTCCACCCACGATAATCACTGTCTGCATATGTTGTTTTTCAACACACTTTAAGCGAGTCTCACTCGTGAGTTCACTGCGATATATCAAGCAGACCAATCCATCTATCGAGTCTAACGTCATGATCAATCGACAATCTGATCTATCGAGAAACATCCATGTCATGTGACTTGAGTGGAGGTATCAGGTGACCTGTCTAGACTTGTCATAGATTTCGCAGGGAGGACAAACACTCTCTCAATCCGACCAGAAATATCAGATAGAGTCTTTCAAGTCATCTATGACCTTCACGCAAAAGGCCCGCTCAATTGACTATCAGATCAGGTCCACACTAATAAAAAGCAAGCACAATGTTGAAGTGCACGACCACACAAAATACAAACTATACAAGAAAGGAAACCGCGAAAAACAAGTTGCCAACAATGACGAAAGGGGGAATAAGTCAAGTCAAATCAAACCAAATCAAAAGACAAAGTCAAAGTGAAAGTGAAAGTGAAAGACAAAGATACATAAGAGCAAGTCGCAAAACGCTCCAGGGAAATTCAACCACAAACACAAAAACTTTTCTATCAAACCCTCACCCAAGGGCATCATCTCCATCTCACCATCATCTCATCACTTCATCACACCACACTAACCCCCCTCGACTGCCCACGCATCCTCTCTTCCCGCCTTCGACTGTAAGGCGCGCAATACGGTTCATCCGCAGACCCGATACTAGCACGAACACCATCCTGTGAGCGGTGATACGCCGGACTAGACGGCGCAGGCGCAAGTTGCATCGCCTTGAACTGTGCGTCTGAAATGATCCGCCTCCCGTACAGGTAGCGCATCAACTCGAAATCCGGTCTACTCCCGGCTAGCGTCTGGCCGTGCTGGTAGTGGTCTGCGGCGACGTGGTTGAGGAGACTGTCCCAGGCGGACGGTTGGTCTTGGTCTTGGTCTTGGGAGGATGCGGCTGGATGAGATGAGCTAGCTGGAGGTGTTCGCGGTGGTGGAGGGGTGAAAGGGTGAGTATCAGTTGGTGATGTCTCAGTGAAAGTGGAAGACTGGTCTGAGTTTGAAACTGGTTCTTGGTCGATGAACTCCGTGTCCGGACAGAGAGGGCATCGCGCCGTTCGTGGTGGTGGGTGTGTACGGAAATGGCTCAGGACATGAGTCCTCCACTGCGTGGCATCATCAAAGGCCTCATGGCAGTCCAACATGTGGAACAAACACGCATAAATCCCCGACTCGGCCGGAATTAGATCCAAATTCGAGATCGCATTCGAATTCGCATTCAGATCTATATCTGAATGTACCAGCGAACGCGCCGCAGAACTCACCGACGGCGCGGCCGTACTCCACGATGAAGAGGATACTTGTGAGCGCGCACGCCCACCACTGCCGCCAGTCACACCCGTGATAACGGGCGTCATTCGATTCTCCTCGACCTCACCTCCGACATCCCGCTCGACTCTCGCAACAAAGGCAGGACCAAGTCTCCGTTCAGCCACAGCCGCAGACGCAGACCCAAACATCCCATCCGACCCGCCATCAGACCTCGTCTCCACCGACGAGATCGACGGAGACTCCGACCCGCTTGTCAAGCCCGGCAGAGGCGGCGGGGACGACGAGGGCATCCGGGTGGCACGGATGATCACCTCACTTTGCTTTTTGCGGATAGGGTTACTACCAGGCATCGAGGGGAGAGAAAGCGGGGGTGGAACGGAACAAGCCAGCCGCGACGCAATATGCAGAAGGCGATCGATCTGATCTGGGACTTGCGCAAAAGTTAGAACGAAGGTACAGTACAGTCAGTACTTCTGTATTGAGGGCCGCGGGCTGAGGTAGGATGATGATGATGATGATGATCTGAGGGGCAGAGTAGAGTGGGAGTTTCTCTCGATCTTGCTGTCTGTTGCGACTGGTTGCCTTCTGTCTGCTCCGACATGCTCCGTGCGATACGCGGGGAATTAACGGGTGCCCTTTTTGCGCCGGGGAGGGTTGGGGGGTTTGGTCGTCACCGGAGGGTTCGGGGATTACCCATGAGTACCAAAAGGGTATTGCGTGATCTTGTATAGATACCCGATGTGGGAAGAAAGGAATGACCGGACATGAAAAAGAAGAGAGACCTGATATACTTACATCCAGATTCCAGCTCTATACTTCCCTCCCAAACTCGCTTCACCAACCACGATCAAACCGCAATACCAAAAGTCCAACCCGCAGTTGCAGTTTCAGCTAAGGTACAGTACCTATCCAACACTCAAGTCCAGACACCGGATAAGTTATACGGTACGTACCTTATCAAAAAACAGTCAGCATGCACGACATCCATCCCCAACCCAACCCAAACCAGTCCACCCCTCCTCGAACCGCGGCCACATACCGCAACAAAGTGGATACCCCCACGCACAGCAGCGCACTCAATTCAATGCAGAAAGCTCAGTCATGCAGGCACATGCTTTGCCTCGTGAGATGATGAAGAGTAGTGGGGTAGAGCTATTCAGTTTCGACGGCGAGGATTGGGTGCTTTGAGCTTTTGGGACGGAATGGAACTGGTGTTAAGTGGTAGGTTAGTTTGATGGTTCTTTTTTTTTTTCGGCGCTAAGATTGATGGAGGGGGAGCGGGGGGAGGGGCTGATGTTTGAGGTGGACTAAGATCTAAGATTGTAGTGTGGTGTAGTGTATATTGGTGGTGGTATTTGATTGATGATTTTCTGTTTAAGGTGAGTCTTTTCTGAATGAGGATTTTGGAAAATGGAAAGGCAATATGGTAGTCTCCTATTTGCAATCATTATCATCCATCGTCATTGTACTTCTAGTGAAGCCAGGTGGCATCTCGTAGCTTACGGGGGGCCGAAACTCTGCCCTAAGCTGATCAAAAACCAGTGATTACATGACAATTTACATAGAGAAAAATATTAAGATAAATTTTCTTTCATATTTCCAGCCGAAGCCAGTAGAGCCAATTAGGAAAGTAAAAGGTAAGAGGGAACATCCAAATCGATGTATAAAGTGGAGAGAACCACAGGTCTCAGAGAGGAGAATCACAAGAGAAAAAAGAATTTTGGACGCGAAGGAATGGGGATAAAAATGAAAAGTGAAAAGGGTAGAAAAAAAAAAAGAAAAACAGCCACGGAGAATTTCCCAGCCCCATCTATTTAGTAAGAGACGCCTTGATCAAGCAACAAGGGGAAAAAAAAAGAGGAAAGAAAAGAGAAAGGGAAAGAGATACACCGATCCATCCAAACCGACACCGTTGATGCCTGCAACCCAGAAAAAATGCACAAGTCTATATCGTTTCGTAGCGCGCATAACAGCAAATTCAAGAAGACATAAGAGCGTGGGAGGAGAGATTCAAATCCCACGAGGGATGAGGAGATCAGAAGCGATCGGCCAGGTCACCGCCCGCGACTGAATTATTCGCCGATGAAGACATCGAAGAGAAGCCAGTGGGCGGGTTCAGCATGTCCTGCACTGCAACCTTGGGTACCTGCGGTACAGGCAGCTTGCGCTGTGTGCCGTCTGGTTTTGACATGATGTCTGTGATGCTGGGACCCATGTGACTTTGACCGGGGCTGTAGTAGTTGGGCCCCTCTGGCTGAGGCTCCATGGGGGCGAGAGCAGGAGTGTGCTGGAGAGACAGGTGGCGGATGGAAGGCAGGTGCAGCTCGTTGGCTCCCAATGGGCGCAGGCGAGGAGAGTGCGCGGGAGTAGCCAGAGGAGTGTGGTCAGGAGTAGGAGAGAGCGAGTCGTGAGAGAAGGTAGGAGACGAAGGAGCAGTAGAGTTAGGCGAGTTAGGGCGGGAGCGCTTCACACGATGCCCGTATCCATCGTCGTCATCATTGGAGTGCGATCGAGTCATGTTCTGAGAGATCGCGTAGGCGGAGAGTGAAGGTAGACCACGACTGTGATGGCGCGATCCGTACATGTGGTGTCGCGATCCGTGGTAGCCCAAATGGTCATCCCGCTCGACCTGCGAGGCAGCAGTGGCCAACAAATTGATGTCCATACCCGAAGAAGCGCGCTCCGAGGTGCGCGAATAGGGGCCTAAATTGGAGCGCATGTGGTTGGCATAGTTGGAGAAAGAGTGAGGCGGAGAAACATCCGGAGAGCCGATCTGAGAAACAGGCGCAGATCGAGTAATGGGCTTGCTGGGAGGAGGCATCATGTTGGCAGCGTTGACCATGGCAGCATCTTGTCCCGCAGCAGCCGCCGCAGCCGCAGCCAGGTGCTGGGCCTTGTTGCTTCGACGAGAGTTGGGGTTGTTGTGAATGCGCGAGTGACGAGTCAACTCATCCGAGCGGCTGAAGCGCTTGGTGCAGCCCGGGAACTGGCAGGCGTGGGGCTTTTCACCAGTATGCGTCCGAATGTGACGAGTCTGATGCTCGAGGCGGTGGAAGGCACGGTCGCAAAGAGGACACTTGTAAGGCCGGGGAAGATCCTGGCGGACCTCCTCATTGGTGGGGCGTGCACCCTTCATGAGAGGCGGCAACAAGCTGACGGAAGAAGCCATGGAAGGGTCTGACGAGGGTGACGAGGTAGGTTGGGCAGTGGTGGGCAAGGCCGAATCCGCTGCTTCTTGGGGGTTCAGTAGATTGGAGAAACCCACTGAGACCGGAGGAGACATGTGAATATCTCCTTTCAGGGTTGGATCGAGGAATGAAGACCGGATATATAGCCCGGGAGAGGATTTCCAAGGTAGTGTTGGTATAGAAGGGGGTTTTGCGAAAGAGGATGTGCCGAGGCGGATGATTTGCAGGGGTGGTGTTCCAGAGCTATAATCGTCCCGGGTCGATCAGATCAGCGAGGGGGTGATCGTATAAAGATGTATACACCTCGGACCGAAATGGAGAGGGAAGCTATTGTACCCAAGTAGTGCACAGGGTGAAAATATGGGGATGCAGGAAAAGAGAGAAGAAGAGGAAGAATCTGGAGACGGCGATCTGGGGAGCAGGAGTTGATAAAGGAAGGGGGAAGGAGGGGAGTATGAGGAATGGAGGGGAAAAATGAGGAAGGGAGAAATCGGGGAGGGCTCGGAATCGGCGCGAGTTGGGTTTTTGGGGGGGAGAGGAAGAAAGAAAAAAAAAAATTGGAAAATCAAAATGGAGAAAAAGGAAGAGAGGGAAAAAAAGACGTAAAAAAAAAGAATAAAAAAAGAAAAATCCGAGTCGAAAGGGAGCAGAACTTATCGGATCGTAACAAGGTTGAGCGACGGTGTGGGGGAACAGGGACTGGGGGGGCGAAAAGGGAAAAAATCGGTGAAAAAATGGGAGAAACACCCGAAATGGGGAATGAAAAAAAAGAAAAGAGGAAAAAAAAAGGTCGACAAGTTGCAACGTGCACCCGGGAAGATCGTCTGGGACCATTCCGGCTAAGAGAAATTTGTCTCGCTCGATAGGAAGAGATTAACACTAAAAGTACAGAGTACAATCGTGCGATACCACAGAAGATAGAAGAAATAAGATACTTAATCCTTGATCCCTAACACTCAGAGATCATAAAACGATAGTACTATAGGGTATATAGGTATAACGAGCAGTGCCATTGACATCGATGCACGAACTACTACAAAGAGTCCAGTTCGGCATAATCAGATGGCCGGATGGCGTGTCGGGGGAGAAGGGGGTAAGATACCAAAAGAGCAACGCAGAAAAAAATGAAAATGAAAAAATAAAAAAAATTGCACCCCAAATAGGTCTGGGCAACGTACTCCATACCGCAAATGTGGGGACCAGGGCGACTTTCCGGACGCTACGACACCGAAGGTCCTCTTGATTAGCTCATACTTCTTGGGCCATTCCCGACCTGAAGATCCGTGGCCTGATTGCCCCCGGTGCGTGTCCCCTTCCCCCTCCTTCCTCCGTACGCTCCGTACTCCATACTCCATACTCCATTCTGTACTTCTGTACGACCACTTCCGGCTATCGCGCGTCTGGAGTAAAGCTGGGGCTTTCCCTTATCTTGGTATCTTTGGAGGACTGAAGAGGGGGGCATGACCACGATATGTCTACCGTACCAACTATGACCATTGCTTTGTTGCTCTCCCTCCTCCTTTTTAACCCCCCTCATACAATAGGTAGTTCTTCCGTAGTGATTCATACAGAGATAAATAGTAGCAAACCCTCACCCGGAAGAAAGGATGGTTAAAATGGATGATAAACGATGATGGCATCACAAGTGGCAATGACGAAGAACGTACACTAATCGGTCCCCCCTCGAAGATCAGAGAAGGTCGCGAACAGTCCAGACCCAACACATCTGGGGAGGGGGAAATATCCTGGAATTCCGGGGCAAAAGAACCTTAACAATCAAACGATGTACCCTTTTAAGGTCGATCCCTTTTCTCCGTATCGAGAAAATGGGTTGTACAAGTCGTGCATGCCAGAATCGACCGTACCTATAGTAAAGATAAGGGAGAGAGTATTGTCTTGTCATGTCTTTGCCCCCGGCCGATCGGCCAAGCCCAACTTTTTCCTCCGCCAGTGACGAAGGGGCGGATCATAGATGATGTCGACACATGATACATGATTTGGGCATGATTTAGTCATGGGGGAAAGGGAAAATCCAAGAGGTCATTCAGCAAATCCTCCCCGGATGGAAATGGCTCGTCCGGGAATTAGTCGGGTCACATTGGGATTGTCTTGGAATCGGTCGATCTGATTATACGGGATGGACTGTAGTATATGATTATAGTTTAAATCCTGTAACCTAGGTTGTCTATAGATAAATATCATCTCCAACTGTAACTACGCGACCGTTTCAGACACAATGATTTACTCGAATCATGGTTGCCGATAAACCACCGACAAGCTCCAGTACTAGAAACTCTTACTGTACTAAATCGGATGAAATACCCCGGATTTTGTGGAGGACCGTGAGCTCCCTTCCCCGTCCTCGAGACGGAGTGTACGGAGAGAATAGTCCTGTCTGTGCTTCTATCATCCTTCGCAAAATAGGCACAAACAGTCCGACCCCAGACCAAGACACTCTATATGTATGAAAAGTACGAAAGTACATGCTCGATGCAGATCCAGCGATACGCTCACCTTGATAGTTGATACACACTGATAGGCGCGGATCGTCCAATAATTGACGATTGGCGACGCACCCTGCAGCCGCAAAGCCGCATCTCGCGCTGGCCAAAATGCAAATCTTCCTGCGAATCGCATGCGCGTGGGCTGTCAGCTCAGCTCGGCGGAGAGAAGAGATGACCACGATCACGATCTATTTTCTGTGTCATCTTTTTCATTCTTTGTTTTTTTTTTCTCGCCCTTACACTGAACACGTTGTCGTCCAGTCGTAGCTCTTTCAGGTTGCATCGTGGGCTGGTGACGGCTGAATCGGAAATTTGCGAGGGCTCTTGTCAGCGCCTCCAGCACCCAGTGTGTACCCCCAGTGCTGTAACCCCATAAAATAACCCTTTTGGTGGTCGAATCAAAATTCTCCTGTAGTGGCACAGGTTCATGCTCCCCGGAAGGCAGCCACGATTCTTCTCAAGTCTGGAATCTGGAATCTGGAGTCTAGAGTGGCAGTCCGGAGTAGGTACCACTACTGTAGTCTGGGTCTGGAGTATAACCGGACAATCGACCGGAGATTTACCGGTCGGGATGATGTGCTACTCTGCCTATCTCTCACTCTCAGCTCCATGCTTATCGCAGAATTCCCGTACGGACCACGGAGCAAGCTCAGTAGTCACTAGTCGCATCATCGCCCCGAAGTAAATCCATCCATCATTAAGCGATAAACCCGGCTGCCTGACCTTGGTGGACAAGACCCAGAAAATTACCGACAGAGTACGAATGTACATAATGAAAATTGGCGTGCCCAGAAGGGGGACCATTCGCCTTCTCCCGTTCCCCCAAGACCACCCCCAAGCAGTGGACCACTGGACACGTCCCCCAACTTCCAACCCCCATGGGATGATAATAACCGCCCCATCATTCCATGGATAAAGAAAGATACGCCCACTCGGCAAGATCCTCCCCACAGCCGCGTCTCCCGGCCCAATTTCGGCGAGGCGATTATTGAACGGTAACTACGGTTGTGAGCCCCCCATGTGCCGAGTATTGCGAATTTGGTTGGATCGTGAGGAAAGAGTGAAATGAGGCGATCGGGAGGGAGGATGGCTAGAGAAGGAAATCCTAGCCTCTGCCCGACAATCATGCAATATTAACAGTTGGCCATGTACAAAAATCGAAATAGCTTTCGTTATTATCCTTCCTGCCCAGACTTGACATTAACTTGTGAGTAATTCCTTGACAAAATCCCTTCCATCCTTGAACTCTATACTACTGTAATTTACCCCGTGCCCATGCCCATGTCCGCGTGCATTTCACTTCTTCACCCTGGTTCCTAAGTTCTACACTTCCCCCTTTCGACAAACCCACACTGGTACTCGTACTCAACTCCCTTGGAAGCTAAGCTGGAGCAGTTCGAGATCCACGGCGGTGGGAGCTAACCTGCATACGTGCAGCAGGGATGGAGCCCCTTAGTCGCAGATCTTAAGCAGCCGCCGCAGTAAGTCTGTATGAACTAGGGTATAGCTGTCCATAGCTCTCTTCTTTGCCTATATTAATCCAAATCTACCCCCGGTCTATCATCCTATAGGTCAAGAAAAGACCAAGATAGTGGCGAACCGTTGATTTTTTTTTTTTTTTTGGCAGCTTCGGATACTGCTAGTCTGTTTTACCCCCTTTGAGTCGGCGGATCTCCGCATCCATGGAGGTTTCTCCGTGGCGGGATAATTGAGGGGAGATTTTTCCTTCCGTTTGAGTCGGGGACCCCGGATTATTGGCAGCTCGACCACACAAGCTAAAATTCAGATGGCACAATCTTTGATTGTTCATCGCTAATTGTCGTGGCTTTCGACTCGGTCGTATCTGCTCCGGACCCCGTTGGTTAGTGAGTGGGTGAATCTACTAGTTGGATATAGTCAGCTGACGGGGAGGGGCCTCGGGTCTTTCCAAAGATTAGGATAAGGCCACATCTCCACAGTCCACACAAGTCCCCTCGTCGCGAGTTTGTTTGTCTATAGGTACAGTGCTACGAGTACGGCCTGCCGGGTCGCAAGTCGACCGTACTGTAGACCGTAGTCAACGGAGTTCTTTTGCCCGCTTTCTCTGTCCACCAAAATTGCCCCATTCAGCTAACCCCCACCCCCACAAGAACCTAACACTGCCACTGCCAATACCACACGTCTTCACAGGCAAATTCGGATTTTTAAAAAATTAAAAACTAAAAATTAAAAATGAATCCTCACTTTTGTGTAAAGCGTGACCTGAAGTAGGTTTAAACCCTTCGCTTTATCCACGGGGAATGGCGCCATTGTCTCTGGAGATTCTCCGGATTCGACGCGGTCGATCTGCAAGAGAGGGTCCAAAGCAGGTACCAGTTCAGTAGTAGCCGTGGAGAGTACACCGGCCATAGTGTATCTTAGACGGAGTGTCGGAGTTCCATATTACCATTCCTTATCATCCAATAATTATCCGCATTTTGCCGAGTAAGGAAGTACGCAGGAGGTGCCTTGGGGCTGGCCTTCCTGAAACCGTCTCGGTTCTTCTTACACGTTACTGCAAGCTGTCAACCTATCTTTGTTCGAGATGCGTTAGGTGTTTCAGCGAGCTGACGAATAGATCTGTCTATCTCCATGATTGCATTCTTCCTCCGTATCTGCTGTAGTACATGTACAGATATATTTCCCGTTTGGCCCTTCAGCCGGGATTCAGCTTCCGTGGCTAAATGATATCTTCAACATGTATCCATCCATTAGAAAAATATTTCCATATTCGCCTCGTCTGACTTTCCCTCCACAAATCATGCAGAGATTTCTCTCCAGTCCTGGAGATCGTGACCCGCGATCGCACAGATCGACATAATTACCCACGCGCTATAACCAGTAGAGCGTGGGGGGAAAAGATAGGCTACAGGACCTATGGGGTTCTGTACAGGCAACACATTTTCGTGTCAATAGCCGATCGAAGCGGGCAGGACTCGCCGAAAGCGTCGCTTTCATGAACCACGACTGGGTAAATATGAGAGAATGAAAATGGATACAGTTCCAACCCATCTCTTGTCCCTTCTTTCTTTTTCCCTCTCTTTCCCTTCCAGTCTCTTGAGTTCTCCCACTTCCCCGCCAGTCTGGTTCCGGTCAGTAATGATCGCCCCGACAAAGTTTGAAAAAAGATGGGACCCGGGGATCTTCACTTCCAACTTTACGCCCGACACATCCTCTACCCCGCAATCTCCAAGTTGGGGTTGTGGATAATCTCATTATATACATGATCGGCTGGAAGATCAGATCCATCCCGATAACGGTCTACCAATGCAATCCGTGGTTTTGGATACATCTTCAAAAATCAATACATACATATATCTATCACCTACCTATGCTTATCATTCCAACAGGGATAAACCTAGTCGATCAACATGATAAGTAGGAGGAGCCTTCCGGCATTCCGCGATCGCCAGACTTTGGGCCCGTGTGAGGCGAGGGCTGACATTGACTGGTCCTCGTCGTCCGACATCGCAGATACGCATAATTAGGAAATCGCTGGAGACGTCAGAGATTGCACAGCGCGTCCGCGGAACGATGGGGTAGACACTGGAGAAAGGAGAAATGAGATTGACCTTAACCTTGACTTTCCTTTCCCCCGCAGTGGCCATGACGCCATTCCGGGGAATGAGGTGGTGCAAAGTTTGAGTTACAAGCACCTCATTTTCCACTTTACAATTTCCGCCCTTTATCGAAGATTAACCCATTTCCCCCGCATACGGCGGATATTCGAGTCTTCACATCATCAGGTGGCAAAGCCTCGTATCCTCGGGACGGAGTGTGATACGGTTGGATGATCAGAAAAAAAAGGAATGGGAAAAGGGATCGATAATCACGAAATCGACCAAGAAATCCTGATCGCGTAATTGTCAGATTTATCGAAAGAGCCCGAGTTTTCCGAGTCTCTCGTGATGTGATTCCTGGTGGCCTCCCGTTCTACCCGCCATCTCGCGGACACGCAGACCTTTCACCGCGATACTACTCCAGTAACTACACATACGAAAAAGTATATTCCATCCCAGCAACCTAAAAGGCAGGACGATATGATTTTAGTCATAGCCAAGCGCAATCCGAACGAGGGATGCAAATTTCCTACGTTATCAAAACTTGTCATCTCCACTGTCCGATCCCCCAGATTATCCTGCAGGGCGAGAACCAACGATAAGCGGGCCATAAACTTGGCACTAGGAAGCCCTTGTTGGAACTTGGAACCAAAGCTCAGCTCAGCACGTCTTGTCTCAGCCGCCCTTCTCGACCTTCATAGGCCATCGGCCATTTTACGGCCACCACTAAGAGCTTCATGCTTCATGCTTCACCAGGGCGCGCATCAACACCCCGTCTAGACAAAGTTGCGCAGCACGCAGCCAGTCTCAGCCTCCCATGTCCCCCTTGCGGGTGAGTCATGACGTGCTTGCTCAGGGAGGCGGTGGACATACATAAGTCATACATAAGTACAGTACTGTAGAGGTAGACGTCGACGTAGACACCGACACCGACATCGATCAGACCAGACCAGACCAGACAAGGATCGGGGATTCATCGCCCTCCGTTTCATTTCCAATCCGCCCCAGTTACTCCCCGCTGGCGATCGCCTGTGCGGGCCTACGGGCCTACTACGGCTGCGGGCGCTGAAACTCATAGCCCGCGCCACGGGGAGTACACTCGTGAGTCAAGGGGTTTGACATGGACATGGACTGACTGGTGAGGGTTCAGCCACGCCTGCAAGCTGCACTGGCGTGACAGGCGTGCTGTAGGTGCCAGGTGGATGATAAATATCTTGTTACCTAATACGTATCTGTCAATTGTCAGGGAGGTCTAGGGTACACCCTAAGCCCTGTGCCCTATTAGGTACTGTTCTGCCTATCTACAGTGACGAAGTATGAAGTACCTCCTGCAAGAACTGCAAGTACAGCCCGGGCCTTGACGCTTGACAGAATGCACTCCAACCCTGACGCATTTGTCAGAGACGCCAGAGCTTAGGTGGCATCGGTAAGCTGTCTTGTTTCAATTTCAATATCAAGAATTTTCGCCCTCTCCTTTCGTGCGATGATGTGGTAACATGCCTTTCCTCCCCCTCGAGACGAGGGTGACATTTTCTGTTGCTTGGCAGGTTCTCAATGCGGGGAGGACAAGTTTCCCTTTCTAAAAATCCGGGGTAGGTTTAGGTTCGCCGAGAATGGAACCTCCTTAGCTAAATTGCCTTGCTTGGATAATTATCCGCGGGCACTGTATGATTGTCGTAGATTAGTATTGTGCTACGGTCTATGAACTTACTACCACACTACCCTCCAGTAATCATACGCAAAACCAAAACGAGGGGTAAGAAGATAGCGGTCGGGTCCAGTTACTCAGTCTGGGCGTGGGGAAAGGGGGGTTCGCGGTGTAACCCCGGTCTTTACATAAGAGATACAGCGATACCTACACTCCGCTAACTCTATCCGGATATCCGGATAGACGGGATAGACGGCAAAGGCAGCAACCCAGGTATCCTTTGTACAAAGATTTCTCCGGGCGGAGGACAGTCATGCTATAGCCACTCACTACCTATTCCCTAACCACACGCACTCTGCCCCAACGCCAAGGCGAGCGATCCGCGATCCACAGCTTCTGGAACAGACACCCCTGGCCCAATGAGCGCGGCGAGGCGCATCATGCTGATATCACCGTCCCCAGGATGCGGGGCGTGCCGGAGTCCGAGATCAGATTGGCTGGTTGGGGAGATAGGGGATTTTTCCACCGTCATCGAATACTTAGACAGAACAGTATACAATAAAGGACATTGGAGATAGAGAGGGTGTGAATTGATCACTGATGTAAAAAAAAAGGGGGGTGGACACTGGGGGTAATCGATATGCACACAAAGAAAAAAAAACTTGCGGACACCGGCAGAGCAGCGAAGGAGTGGACACCCAAGGCCCGCATTTGGGGCATTTAGGACGGTGCTAAACAACTGCTTCCGTACAATTCTTTTGTATCCAGTTCTCGGTGAGGGCCGAACAAGTCCCTCAATCCTCCTTCTGATTCTCACCTTCTCCATTGTACCCACTCCACTTTTTTTTTTTTACGTCCCGCTTTGAGGCAATTGTTTTTCTTAGTTTACTGGAGATGATTTTATCGATTGACTAATCACTAGCGACAGAGAGAAATTTAGAAGGGGCGAATTACAATCCGATAATCCCAGATCTATTTTGGCTTACCCCATATCTCGCGGCCAAGTCTTTTTGCCCACTTTACGCCCCGATAGGGTAATCTAGCCCCTCGTCCTTAGCCCGTCTTAGCCTCCGCGCGGCGGGGCAGAAAAAGGAAATGGCCCCTGGCAGTCGCGGCGATCGACGTGAGTCCGCTCAGCCACTAACCAAGACGGAGGAGCACAGTTTGTGCACACTCATAGTTCATAGGTATTATCACAAGCTCCTATCGTACGTACAAGGACTATGAAACCAATCAGGAAGTATGCAAACTACTGTGCAGTACTATGTACAGGCTTCCCCATTCTAGACTGAACAGACACGGAGCGCATCCTCCAAGTACAAATCGGAGTAGACATGACATACCTTTGAGATATGACAGGTCGCCACAAGATATCAACGCACCCGCTTATCTACCAATGAACACCTCCATGTCCACCACCACTTTTGTCCACGGGGAAATACCACAACAGGGAAGAGCAGAGCAGATAAGCCCCGAATAAGAAAATCCGGCTCTCAACTCGGATCCAGATCCTTGACCTGGGGAACCGGGATTGAGCACGATCCAGAATCTTGAACTTCGGACCCCCTAAATTGAAAGGAACAAGCAAAAAGTCGATGATACAATGCATGTCGTGCTGGCCACTCTCGCTTTCACATGTTATGCATAGTCCTGGTGAGCTTGCGAGCTCCGCGAGCTATCCTACCCGGGGTGGCTTTTTCGGCGCCCTTGACGGATAGGTACCCCCTACAGTTACCCCCTAATCAATTAATTAGTGAAGTCACAAGTGAATTACTCTAACTAGATGGTGGGCCCGGATCCAGATCCCCAGAGTTCTCCACGAGCTAGCAGCTGAGCTTCTGGTTGGGGAAGATTTTCACATGTAAAAGTCTTGCTCCAGTACTCCAACTCCAGTACCAAGAAGATAGCATGTGTCTTTACTCCGTACTCTGTAGCTCTGACGCCAACAACATGTGCTTATCGCGTGCGATGCGCGCTGTCATCAGTGGCTTCTTTACACTTCGCGGTTTAACGGACGTTGCTGCTTCTTGTTGCATTCGTCCCGATCGGGGACCATGTGTGCATTGTACCTTGCCGAGGTTTTTCGGATGCCCCGATACAGTTCTATAATCGGTGGATGATGCCATTATTATTCGTTGTCCTCGCAAGATCATCTCAGTTGAGGGTGATAGGCATTATCGCATGATCGGTGCGTTTTTTGGATGATCGACTGGCTATCTATCCTGGCTGGTATGAGGAGGAGTAGGTTTACTATTCGGAAGACACGCCGTATTGAGTACATACCCACTGCACAGTAATGAGCTGCATTCAAATCTAATATTGCGTCACGCTAGCATTAATAAAAAATAATGATACATTACTAGAATGAGCTTGTCTGTATTTACGAAGTGCTTCATGCTGAAGGTCAAGGGGCGGATAATTAGCAATAGAGTCCACGGTGTCCTATACATATCGTTCTGTACTCTATACCGCACCACTCCAGGATGACGGAATGACGACAGAGGACACGGAGGTCCAAGCTAGCTAGAACCCTCGCTACTGCAGGTACACACCGGTCCAGACTCTTCAATCATCAGCCCATCTACATGGATACTCATGCTCCTACACTCCTACTATACTACTATAGGGCTGGGGTGCAAACGCAATGCAGTTGTACGGTATGATCGGGGAAAATCGGAAGACGAGCATCGAGGGGCAATTGTGCCATTCTGGCATGAGTTGCGGGGCTTAGTGTGGCTTTTTTTTTTCAAGACTCCACGATGATGATGGTGGAGGCTGACCCCATCTAGAGTAGTGCGAAGGGGAAACTGTGGTTACTCTGTCCCAAAGGAGTCTTCATCCGGGTAGAGTGGTAGTACTGTAGGGGCTGGCTATTCGATGGCTGAATGGCAGGCCATCCACGGATCGCGGGCCCGGCTCTTGCAGATCTCGCGATATAGGTGATGACGGTTGGAGATATGCATTTTGAAAATTCTTCACGATAATCGCTACTCGGAGTAAGAACTGTACAGAGCAATGGCAGGGCCCAAAAAGGGGTCGACCGGTGAAGCCTTTCAAGCAAGTTTACCTAACGCCCACGGGGTTCTTCCGCAGGTGCAAATTTTTTCTTACACTCCGTCCTCTCTACGAAAATTTCTCCATTCCTCCTCCACTTCAATGGAGATATTCCGAGCCGCGGGCCCGGTAACCCTCGGCCACTGATTCGGCACGGCAATGCCGATTCTCGGGCTGGCGTGCTCGTGAGCTCGGCCCTGTGTGGCTCGTTGGTCTTCTCTCGCTGGGCTTTCATCTCCACACTTGGGACTACTTGGACTTGGGGAGCTGACTACCCTTGACTCCTTAGTCTCCTTGAGACCTTGCCTACTCGGACTCAGATCTCCCGGTCTCTGGCCCGGTCTGAGGTTGCGGTGTTGGCTCCCCGAGATTCTTCCGAGGCTCGAGGCTCGGTGGCCACCCGCGGTGGTTTTGCCCCTGGTGCGAAAAAGCAACGCTGAACGGCAGCCACGTACGAATTCCGCTTGGTTCACTTCGGACGTGCCATCCATGATTTCCATGGACTATCTGATGTTTGTGTGAGCGCTTTCGCTTTACCTGCCTTGATAGCGAGGACTAGCATCTTACTGTACAAGTTCTCTCGGGCGGAAAGGGGCCTTCCCCCACTCGGATATACTGTAGGCAATTACGCCGCGCTGGTCCAATGGTCCCCCACTATCTCTGGTCAGTGGTTCCAACTTCCCTTTGCCGATGTGCGGAGGTTTCCAGGTCCTCTTCTCCGCATCAACCATGTTAAGCGGTGTGGTTTTTTTTTCTGTGGGACATGGTGGTTCGGTAAGGGCGAATGATTGTGGAGGGGGCCCTATCTCCATCCCACAAAGTACATGGAGTGCTTTGCAGGTGCCTGACTACTCAGGTTGCAGTACGCGATAGTACTTCATACCTCAATTATAATCTCTGACTGATGACACGCTCTGCATTGCAAAGAGTTTGTGTCAGAGACACACCCCATGTATGAAATATACACTTGTCGGGATTCTCAATACACTATCACCATTCAATATGACCTATTCCATCTCTACTGTTCTTATCACCTACTATCACTACTTCGGAGCAATGTCCGGCCGCCCCCAAAACGGACAGGTCATTCTGCCGGGTCCCTCCGCCTGGAAAGCGGAGAATCTGCTTGACTCCAGTGCGCCGCGACCAGCTTCCCAGCTCACTAATAGCCACCGAGCACGGCATTGCTCCTGTCTAGTCCCTCTCCAGCTTCCATTGACTTCCCCAGTGTCTAGTCCACGCTTTCCAGCGGGCCCTTGACACCATGGCACCCCCGCGCCAGCGCACCGCCGCGATCGTTGACGACTCGAGGTCCGAAGCCTCCAGCGGCACGCGAGAGTTCAAGACCACCGCGCCAAAGAGTCGAAAGACTGCCACCGCAACCAAGGACAAGGTCTCCGTGACGAGCGCTCCTATAACCATCGAACAACCCATCAATGAACAGCCCAGGGTACGTACAGCACTCAACAAAACTTGGAAGAGGGGAAAAGGAGAGAACCCTCAAGCGGCAAAACGACGACGTCAAAAAAAAGACAGTTACAGTCAATGCCTCTTACAAAACCTCGCTAACAAATCATCTCATCTCTGTACAGGTCCCCTGGCCCGATCTCCCCCTCGACATCCTCCACGCCTACCGCCACGTCCACAAACTCCCCACCCCCTCCGCTTTCTCAACAGACTACTCCCGCCTCATCCTCTCCCAAGGCGTCGGTCTCCGATCCCCAACAGCCCTCGCCGCTCGTCGCGCCCAATCCACCCGCTCATCTACCCGCGAGCGTAACGGTAACGCCGCACAAGACGCCGAGTCCCCCTCCTCCTCGTCCCTGCACCGCATCGTCGGCCAAGACCGCGTGAGCAAAGACCAGTTCGCGCTGGTCGTCCGCAAACACTTTAACAGCGCTGGCTTGTCTGAACAAGAAACAATTGCGCGGTTCTTGTATACTGTTCGCGAGGAGCGGAGGGGTCGTCAGTTTAGACTGCGGTTCCAGCCTTAGCGGGCTGGGAGATGCTTGCTTGATTTTGTTGCGCGATGTGTGGCTGCTTGGTGGTTGAGATTTGCTTGAGTGGCATTCGCGCTGGGTCTACGTTCATGTGACATCTTTTTATGATACCCATTGGCGTTTTGGGATTGGGGTTTTTCTTATTTCTTATTGCGCTGGATTGAGGTGCAAGCGTTTCTGTACAGAGTCTTTCTAGATGCCTCCCACCTTCCATTGTATAGCTAGTTTTATGGTTGTATCGCTTACTGGGATATATTATGGAGATGCCCGGATATCTCTTTATCATTCGCGTTCAGTTCTCTATTGCTACCTAGTCTTGGTAGCGATGGCAGGCCAACAAATATTCAGTGGCGCCTCTGTAGATATGGATAAATTGTCTTACTATAGCCCATTGAGCATGTCATAATGCACATCTATGGTCTTCCCTTATCATTTCGGTCATGTACTTGAGAATTTTCAGCTTCTATACTGTCTACACCTTGAGAATGGAGAGGAAAGGACACTCATTCATGTTGTTGTAGGCCCATTTGTACAATCTCAATTCAATATACCAGCTCAGTACTCTCCCCATATTGCACTACTTAGTACCTGATTAATCACAAAAGATCTCGATCTTTTCAAGTCAAATCCAACATTATTCTCATCGACCCACTTGTCCATGACCTCATTTGATATCTCACCACTCTAGCCAGCCACACCAAATATGTTGATCCCCAAATCGCGACACGCCTCAATTGAAGCATTTAGCATATCAATTAATCTATTTACCCCAGACTATCACCCCATTATAGAGCACGTATGAGTCCCCGCCACCCCACACCAAAACAATACCCCGGATCCATTCGGACCCGGTCACCAGAATAACCCCCCGAGCCTCACGACCACCAATCAGATCGACCTCATCCCCAACTTCACTTGTTGCAGATTCCTTGGTTTGATGAATAAAGTTCAGTGGAGTGCTAAATCCTGGGGAATCTGATCCCCGCATTTATCTGGTGCGAAGGGGGTTTCTTTTCTTTAAAGGCAGACAGGGTGAACTAGAGATGTATGTGCATTGATCTAAACCTGTATTTGATATTGGAAACATCTTCCCGAATCCGCCATGTTTGATGAGTATATCCAGGGCAAGGCATTGCGCCGCCTTTCTCGGTTTAGTTGCTCTGTGGTATGGTTGCCCACTGAGGGAAGACGAATTTGTGTCCACTCAATTGCTCATGACTTTGATAGGGATTCTTGATCGAGGGCTACCAAGCCGGAGTCCTCGGTGGTGTACAAGAGACGAAACCCTTTCTTAATGCAATTGGGGTGAGATTTTACGTGTAAATCCCACAGAGATCAGTTTCTGACATTACTAGAATCCTACTGGCACTGAAACGATTCCCATGATTGCGTCCTCGTATACCCTGGCAGCGGCATTTATGTCTTGTGTCGTCATGCTTATTGGGATGCCACTCGGTCGTCGAAGGTGCATTATTATTGGGAATGCGTTTATTGCGATTGGTGGGGTTATTCAAGCTACTTCATATTCGGTTCCTCAGATTATCGTTGCTCGAGTTCTTTGCGTGAGTAATGCGTGAGATTTTCTGCTTTGAGTTGAGCTAACGAGAGTATAGGGATTTGGGATTGCAGTAAGTCAAGTGGAAGTAGATTGGTGCTTTTGAAACTAATTAGTTTGCAGTTCATCACTTGCAATGTTCCAATGTACATGGTGTGTATTCCTTGGCCTCCTTGTCAGACCCTAACTAACACTCGCAGTCTGAGATGAGTGTCGAGGCTCGGGAACGCGGACCGGAGGTTGCAATCAACTGCTCGTCCCTGCTATTCGGAGTTGCACTATCCTATTGGATAACGTTTGGTTTCACTCGCATGGCAAACCAGGTTTCCTGGGTAGGAATCAACCCAGTCCAGTCACTTCAAGCCTCTTTCTCACGACTACCATTTATTCCCAGCGCATGCCAATAGCTTTCCAAAGCCTCTTCGCCATCCTCTCCGGTGTATCAATGGTCTTCCTACCAGATACCCCCCGATGGTACTATGCTCGCGACAACATCCCCGAGGGCGACAAAACCCTCTCCCGAATCTACGGCGTCTACCGCAATGGCACCACCAATCACAGCACCGTGCCAGAAATCCAAGCCATGAAACAGAATATCATGGAAAACTTCCACGTTGAAGAAGAATCAGATAACCGTCTAACCTTGCTAAGTCTTATCTGGGATACCACCCCACTCCGTGTGGGCCGACGAGTGCGGATATCCTTCCTGATTCTTGCTATTCAGCAGTCAATGGGTATTAACATGTTGGTCTACTATATGACGCTTATCTTTACGAATGTCGGTTTATCGGATTTCCTGGCTTCGTTGTTGGCGGCGATTTCTTTGACGGTGCAATGGGTTGGTTCGCTGTTATGCGTCGTTACTATTGAGCGTATCGGTCGTCGCAGGATTATGATGTGGACGGCTTGTATAGAAACATGTTGTATGCTTATTTTCGTGGTCTTGAATACGCTTCAGGATAAGACCGTTTCGACTCAGTGGGCTGCGGCGATGATCATGTTCCCCTATATGTTCTTTTATGGATGGGGATGGGTTGGTTGTCCATGGCTTTATGGGCCAGAGGTATGTTTTTATCTATTCAAACTGCATAGTACGACCTTTTGAGGGAGGAAACGCTGACATGAAGAATTCAGATTGCACCTCTTCGGTATCGCCATATTGGATCCGCAGCTGGTCTTCTCGGCGTGTGGCTGTTCACTTTCCTCACTGTTTTTGCAGGAGGTATTGCTTTCGAGACTGTCGGTCCCAAAATATGGATTTGGCCGCTTATTTTCAACGCCATCGCTTTTCTCTTTGTGTACTTTATGTGCCCTGATGTGAGTTGCCTTACTTCTCTCGATAAACGAAATACAGTACTAACAGGTTACAGCCGACCAACAAAACACTCGAAGAAGTCGATGCCCTTTTCGCCAAGGATGAGGCTATTCTTAACCGTCTCAACCATCTTGTTGATGAGAAGCCTACTGCGCAGGAAATTGAAAAAGCTACTTAGGCAAGAGGGGTGAGGGGAGGCAGACTAAACCAAAGTCTTGGCTATTGAGAATATTACCCTCTCTCAAGATGGTTAGGTAGCGGCTCTTTTGGATACTAAGTAGTTATATCTGGTAAAGATTGAAGAAAGAATGAACAAATTGGGATTGATTATTGCTGAAAAATAAAATTTCTTCAAAGCTGACTCTTGGGTAATTCATTCTCCAGTCTCACGATTCCCTGGAACGGTCAGCATGGCAATCCATTCATGTAAAAAGCTTAGGAAACTGACCTCCTGGATACAAGTTGCTACGAGTACTCCATCCTTGGTCCATATCTTCTGATGAACCAATCCTCTTCCATTCCCTGCCCAGCTAGTATTCACCTCGCATAGCAACCACTCATCCACCCGCAACCTCTCTACTCCGTGAAAGTAGATCGTGTGATCCAAGCTCACCATCATGGCAACCTTCGGAGAAACATTGACACCCTTTTTATGTTCTGTTTCCAAATGGGGCCGTCGAATTGCCGTATGAGTCATGGGTGAAGTAAATAGATCCTTTTTTGTGGAATAGAATTCCGTGACGGGCGCCTCGACAAAGTCCCATATTTCATGAGAATGTGGCACTGCCGCCAGGAAGTAGCTATCTGACATAAATGCCAATGCAGCCAGATGGATAGGATCACCGGGTGGCACAGAAATCTTTCCCTGTGCTCGAATCCACTGATGCGATCGCTTATCCTGAGGATTTCGCGATGTTCCTCTTAGTACACCCGCGCTTTTGTTGATGTAAGGAGTCGCGGATGAAATCTTGCAGGATTGACCTAGATCGGCTACTTCATCCTCATCCAGCATAACGGCTGGCAGGCTCGCGGAGTGTGCCATTCCGCGAGACATATCCCGACTTTGTCGTAAAGTGAAACTAATCGTTGCAAGAAAAATAGGACGATTGCCCTGAATCGCACGGACAAATCTCGTACAATAGCTCCTCCCATCTCGTACTCTCTCCACACGATATTCAATGAGATCTTCAGCATTCCCTGCAGACAGAAATGAACAGTGCATTGAATGTACATCAAATCCATTGGAAGCAGTCAACTGTGCTGAGCGGAGACTCTGAGCAATGGCTATGCCTCCAAAGATCCCGCGCGAGCCAGGTCGCCATAGTTTCTGCTGATTTTTGAATACATCTGGGTGAGATTCTGAGAAAGGAGCGACTTGGATGTGGCTCTCAATAGGCGAGGGCTTCATGTTGGTCATGGTATGGTGGTAAGATGTCTGCATGGAATTGAATTTAATCATACAACTTTCGACTGTAATTGGATATGAAGAGACAATTTCTAATTGGATAGACCTTTGGAGTATAATGAGCCAAGCTTCGGAATTTTGAATGGCGTCGGTCCGTCGTTCGGAAATAAGGAAGATTTACCAATTCACAGCTATACGGTATGTAAATCTATTTGCCGGTCAAAGGGTTCTTCTTTGACTAGAGCGAAGGTGCAGCCTTAGCAAAATGACAGCATATAGGTCATCATAGTTTGGAAATACATCAAAATTCTGACCTCATACAATAAATTTGTGAATTTCCAGTCGTTCCTTTGCTTTTTCGTCTCAGTACCCTATCTGTGTTCCACACACTGTTCCGCAACATAGACCAAAATGCCCGCCCTTGATGGTATTCACATCCTCGAGCTGGCAGGCCTGGCCCCGGGCCCCTTCACAGGAATGATGCTGGCCGACAATGGGGCTAGTGTGATCCGAGTTGACCGCGTTAAACAACCTCATCAGCCAAGTCCTGACGTTTTGATTCGAAATAAGTCTTCAATCAAGATCGACCTGAAGTCTGCCGGAGGGAAAGACCTCTTTCTTCGCCTTGTCAAACATGCCGACGTCCTGATCGACCCGTTTCGTCCCGGTGTCCTGGAGAAACTCGGCCTTAGCCCGAGCGAAGTCTTACTAAAGATCAACCCACGCTTGATTGTGGCTAGATTGACTGGGTTCAGGCGTGATGACAAATATGCCAACATGGCAGGCCACGATATCAACTATCTGGCCGTGTCAGGCGTTCTGTCAATGCTCGGTTCCTCGGCGCCAGTTTCCCCACACAACCGTCCCCTCCCACCCCTCCCACCAGGAAATATCCTTGGTGACTTTGCAGCGGGTGGACATATGTGTTTCACAGGAATCATGCTAGCTCTGTTTGCCCGATCCAGAACAGGAAAGGGACAGATCGTGGAATCAAATATGGCAGACGGGGCGAGTTACCTTGCAACAATGCCGCGCATCTCAACTAAAATCCGTGGTCAATGGGATGAGCCTCGGGGACATAATCTTTCCGACGGAGGATGTCCATACTACTATGTCTACGAATGTAAAGATGATGGGAAATATTTTGCCGTCGCCGGGTTGGAGCCGCAATTCTTCGATCAGCTAGTGAAAGGACTTGGACTTTGGGATGAGGAGTGGGTGAAGGATCGGGAGAATCGTGAAAAATGGCCCGCTATTCGAGTGGCATTCGAAAAACGATTTCGACAGAAGACGCGAAAAGAATGGGAGAATATCTTTGATGGGACTGATGCTTGTGCCACTCCGGTGTTGACCCAAGGCGAGTTGGAGGCTAGTGGTCATGAATTGAGGCCTGGAGTGACGTTGACCGGAACGCCAGCATTTCCTATTGGCAAGTCGGGATGGACTGTAGAGACATTACGGCCTGGTGAGGGTGGTGAAGAGGCATTGAATGAATGGCTGGGCTGGAAGAAAGGTCGTGATTTTAGCATTCTAGAGGGAGGAGTGCAAAGTACATCGGGCTCAAAGTTATGAAGTATCGATAACACAATTTAGTGATACCTCATATAAATGGGAATTGCTAAAGCGACGATACACGATTGCTCTTTTGACGATACACCCTTGGTTCCGGTTCAGCGTAATAATATTATTACTACATTTTACAGTAAGAATTCATAAGTTTGAAACCCCGACACATTTCAAAATCACCTTAGCAATCACCAGTTGAACGGTATGAGTGCTACCAAGAAAGATGTTTCAAAAGACATTTAGAAAAACCTCTCAAGTAAGAGTGATTGAAGCATGTCTAGTTAGGCAGTTTCACTGGTTTCTAGACTCAGACTTTTGAACAACTATAAGGTTGTCCTAATAAGAGGATAGCAATACAGTTACTGCGCTAAAACCCCAAATATGAGTGTATCGTATGTTTAGCAATCTTGTATCGTCGTTTTAGCAATTCCTGCATAAATGGAAATCGCTCGAAATGCTGAGAAGAAAGCGAATTTGCCTCTATGAAGAACTAATATTACTTTAAATCAATTGGGAGACCATCCTTTGCCTCTAAAGCAGCAATCACTGCTTCGCACACTCTCACGGCATCCAATCCATCCTCTCCTGAACAACGTGGGCTTTCTTCTCCTCTTGCAACCTTGGCAAGATGCTCTGCTTGTTGCTGGAATGGTATCTCATCCGAAGACTCTAACTCTTCTCTTTGCATGGGTACATTCCACCCCACTTCTCTCCCTAGTTTTGTCGCCTGTTCAGTATGGTACTTCCATAGAGTACCATCAGGCTCTGTTAATGTCCCTTCCGTTCCGAAAATCCGATAAGAATCCACTTGAGCTGGTGCTGGTGGGTAAAGTGGATTATCGCCTGTTGCAGCCTCCCATCCGAATGGACTCGCCACGTTATCACTAACGATGAACGTACCAACCACACCATTGGCAAATTGGAGCATAATTGCTGCTCCTTCTTCCACAAAGTCATTGCCTCGAATTTCCGTACGCGATCGGCGACCCATAGTCTCAATTGCCCAAACTCGAGCTACCCTTGAACCTGTCAAGTAGTGTAATACATCGATGTCATGGACGAAGTTTGTCCAGATAGGTCCACCACCAGCGGAGCGGGAGCAGCGCCAGTCAGCAAAAGTGAAATATCCATCATTTTTTTTGGCGGTCCAGAATCCAGATATTGCGGTAATTTTCCCGATTTCACCTCTTTCAATGACCTGACGGGCACGCACAACAGACGGGTGAAAACGGCGGTGGTGACCAACAAGAAGCTGACAAGACTTCTGCTGAGCAAGCTCGAGAAGTTGCCCTCCGGACTTTGAGTCTGTAGAGAAGGGCTTCTCCACGAGTATGGCTTTGGGTGAAGAGCTTTTGAGAATATCTTCAGTCACCCGGACGTGAAGACTCGATGGTACGCAGATGATGTACGCATCGGGAACTTTAGAAGTAGATGCTAGGAGCTCTTCGAGTGATGTGAAACGAGGCACTCCGAGTTGTAATGCTAGCTCCTGACCGGGAGGAAAAGGGTCGATTAAGGCTATCAGAGTGCAGGTAGAAGATGAAAGAAGATATTGCGCGTGGAGAGGCGCGATGGTGCCTCCGCCAACAAGAGCAATTGCAACTTTTTCGCTCGATAAGGTCATGATGTACTATAATGATTTTTAGTTTAGAAAGCCTTTCTCTAATTATAAGATCCACCAGTGGTTCTCTTTGCGTGGTCATGTTGAATGTATGTGGAAGGTGCCGGCGCATAATAAATTGACCGGAACAACCCCGCAACTCAATACTGTATCTCAACCTCCCCTCATCAACATCTTATTTGCGCCCTGCCACCTGTGCCTCAGATACCCAGCAACCTTGAGAATGGATACCCTCCGTGAATCTTTTCATTATGGCACTTCGCCTTTGACCTCATCATCACTCGCATCCCCTTACAATACCTACCTTTTTGGCAGTCATATCTCCAAGTCTCTATCACCTCTCCTCCATGGCATCCTCTTCCGATCCTTGGGTGCGTCATGGAAATTCCATCTAGAACAGACCACCGATAAAGAAAAGTTTCAAGATACACTGGCTGCTCCGGAATCTATCGGGATCTCCATAACAATGCCAAACAAGGTCACCTTTGGCCTATTGTTGGATGACTTGACCGAGGCAGCTCGAGTGATCGGGGCTGTTAATACCACCTTCGTCCGCCTGGATTCGACTGAGAAGCGCCGTTACATTGGCACAAACACAGACTGTGTTGGAATTCGCGAGTCTATTGTGCAGTATGATCCCACTGCCGTCAAGACCGCGAAGGGCAAGCCCGCAATGGTGATTGGAGGGGGAGGAGCCGCACGAAGCGCTGTATATGCGTTGTGGAAATGGTTCTCGCTATCAGAGATCTACATTGTCAATCGACTCAAGTCAGAGGTTGACGACATAGTGAAGCATTTTACCAAGGCAATGCCTGGCATTCAGCTACGATACATTTCAGACATTGCAACTGCGCAATCACTTCCGGCCCCGTCAATAATTGTGAGCACAATCCCGGATTACCCACCATCGGAACCTGGAGAGGTTCTCTGCTGGAAAATCTGTGAGACTATTTTCCAGAAGGCCGACAAAGGGCTGTTGGTCGACATGTGTTATATGCCATTTCCAGAGACGAGGCTTGTCAAAGCAGCAAGAAAAGCAGGGTGGAAAACTATCCTGGGCACAGAAGTGCTAGTACGAGTTTGTGTTGCGCAGGAAGTTCTATGGACGGAAAGACTGCCGAACCAGCGGGGTGTGAGCGAGGCAGTTGCCGCAATTACCCAATCGAGGGACGCTGCGAAGCTATAAAAGCTGTAAATTCGCTGTTTTAAAAGGTTTTCTAAAAGCAAAATGCAGTTGTCCTCAGAATCATCTTGTCCATGTAGTAGCTATAAGTAGCACATTCTACCTAATTCCAGAGCAAAGGAGCATTGCGCTCGATAGACTCGGAAACCAGAATCTGAAATTAAGAAAGGCCATACAGTGGGGTTTCATAACTTTGAAACTATGACCAATGTCCAGAATCATATTATCAATCATAGACTAGACAATGATACCTGAGCTATCAAGAAAGACAATTTAAATGACCTTTAGAAAGACCTTCCAAAAAACAAGAGGTGGGAGCATATCTGTTGGGCGGTTTTTCTGGTCTCTAGATTCAGATTTTTGAACTTCCACTGTACCTGCGCTGGGGCTATTCTCCACTTGCTCCACGGATAATTTGACCCCGCAAACCGGTGCTCAAATAAATACACCGGATGTCAAGAGACAGGAAGAAGCACTCAAACTGTTAAAGAAAAAACACAAATTTCGATATAAGTTAGGAGAGTACTGCAAAGCTCATTCCAATGCAAATTTGGCTTCATTCTTCTTGCACAGCTCGAAAATTCCATCATGGCTCACATTGCACCCCTGGCTCAGGTATCATCTCATTATGAACTGGACAAAGAATGAATAGCTAATAGACTCAAGCCCATTACCCTCAAACTATCCGGAAAGGTGATCAAAAATCGTCTTTATCGTACTCCTCTCAGTGAATACGCTTCCACCTACGACGAAGATAATGTTGAGAATTGCGGCAAGCCGCTTCCTCGCTATGCTGAACTTTACCAAGGAATGTTCCTCTGATTTGACAGAAAGTTCCCCATGAAAGTTAACTAACACAAAACAGAGCTTGCTGATGGTGGTGCTGGCCTCATCTGCACCGGCAACATCCCAATTCATCGCGACAACCTCGAGAATTACAACAACGCCGTCCTCGATATCAACAACCCCTGGGATCCCGTGGAGGCATTCCGTCCTGCTGTGCAAGCAGCCAAATCCCAAGGCGCGCTTTTCCTCCCACAGCTGCAATTCCCCGGCCGGCAGGTACCCGAATTTTTGAACGCCAACCCCAAGTCTTCTTCGAACGAGCAATTGCCACCTTGCTTGAATAAGACATACGGGAAGCCGAGTCCGTTGACCAAGGCCGAGATTGAGGATTTGAAGAGGCGCTATGTGTGGGCTGCAGAAGTTCTCGCTAAGGCTGGAGCAGATGGGATCATTGTATGTCTCACATTTTTCAACGGCATAGCGAAGAAATCGTAACGCTAACCGAGACAGCTGCACGCCAGCCATGGATACATCATGCAGCAGTTCCTGTCTCCTTTGATCAATAAACGAACCGATGAGGTATGTTGCTTGATCTTTCATGATGGGCTCAAATTGACTTCTCAAAGTATGGCGGAACCCTCGAAAATCGCGCCCGGTTCATCCTCGAAGTCGTAAACGCCATCAAGGAGAAGCTTCCATCGGACATATTTGTCATTACTGCTAAGCTGAACTGCCAAGATTGTATGTTTACTTAACCCGAAATTGGCAGCATCTGGGACTAATTAAAAAAGTTATCGAGGGAGGTACAAGCTTTGCTGAACAGTGTGTCGTCATCAAGTGGCTTGAGGATGCGGGCGTTGACTTTTTCGACATTTCTGGCGGAACTTACGCCTCGCCTGCGTGGAGAGGGAACATCATGGAGGAACTTGCAGAGCGACCCTCACAAAAAGAAAGGGGAAGGTGTGTACGATGCATTTTTGCTAAAAAAATGAAACTATTGCTGACATCGATAGCTACTTCATCGAATGGGCCCAAGAGATGAAAAAAGTATTAGTAAGTCGATTTTTCAATCTGTTGAATCATCTAAAGCTCTAGGGCTAATTTATGACAAGTCGAGGGCCGTGATTGGCACTACTGGAGGTTGGAGAGATAGTCATCGAATGTCAGAAGCGGTTGAGAAGGGAGATATCGACATGATTGGACTGGGAAGACCTCTTCGAGAGGATCCGTTTTTCGTGAACAAGGTACTTCGCGGTGAGGTGAGAAAGAGTAACCTGTAACCGTATCACGATATGTCTGCTTCAAGATATTTCTAGTTAAATAGGAATCAATAGAGATAGACAGTGATTCTTTGATTTGATTCGTGTGTGTCATTGTATGTATCTGAATCAAAATTCAATGAATACATTAGAACACATCGCCAAAGCCTGGACCAAAGATCTCTCGCAAGAGATCTGTGAATCCTTCTTCGCCAAGATCTGTCTCGGAGCCTATGGTAGCTGTTGTCAAGAACGGGTCATAGTTTGAAACCAATGGGTTGTTCACGTGCGTCTCCGACAGTATCTCCATTGAATCAGTGCTGTCGGGTACATTTCTTCCTAGATGGTAGCCTGAATCGGAGTTGTTTCCGTTTCTATACTGTGGTGCTACCGATTGCACCTCAGGAACTGGAATGGCATTCCTTAGCGCGGATGCTCTTGCTCGCAATATGATCAGCAAGTGCTGACCAAGCAGCGCAGCGATCCCAAATCGATGAGAGGGCGTAGTCCCTGCGCGCTTCAATTGCAATGCAACTTGGGCCAGCAAGGCAAGGAGCTCGACCTCGTACCCTGGACGCGACCCATGCAGATGTGGGAAAAGCTTGAGAGCTAGGACTGCAGCGTAAGAAATCATCGCCCATGTTGGAGAAAGCATACAGTACATTGGCTCTCCAACAATTGATATGTCACGCACGGCAATTTCGCAACAATGTATAGCGGCATCAAAGCAGTCCTCGCGAACAACATCTAGATCCCGGTCATTGTTGGCAGAAATATTGAGTGCAGAAGATAGCGTCCACAGCCGGTTATGGATATAGACATAATAAAGGTAGAGGTTTGGTAGCTCTTCATGCTGGGGTGAGATGGTATTTAGAGACGGCAGCCAGGTTTCTCGCCATGGTTCGAAAACAATGTTGACAAGGTCGCGCACCCAGTGAGGATTTGAATGCGGCATATTCGCCTGGCGTCTTATATCGCTTTGCAGAGTCGCCAAGTGACGGCGAAGAAGGATGAACGCACATGTATGTTTATCTGTTGAGTCAGCCAACGGATGCATCCACCAATTCTCAATGTTGCAAGTCAGCTCTGTCTCCGGGAAGGCATTGATTCGGCCACAGGCTGCGCTATTCGCTCGTTCCCAAAGCAAAATTCGTAGCCAGGTGCGCTCTCTGTTGCGAGCCAGTCGTTGAAGGTAATCGTGATCCTCGAGCAAGCGACCGTGAGAATTCTCGGGATATTTCTGGGCTGGGAATGCAGAGCGTTCTTCTAGCGTGAGGAGACGCTGAGATGTGGGTTCCTCGGGCGATCGAAGTTGTGTATTGTAGGAGCCGGTTTCCTTGTTACAGCGTGTTCGGCACTCTTGATCGAGTCCCAACTCTGCTGCAACCCCGAAGGCATACATTGTATATAGCCACGATCGTTCTTCAGATAGAGTGTTGGCAGGGGTTGCTGAGAGGAGGGAAATATAGTACCCTTGGACAATCTCCACTGTCTTGTAACCACAAGTGTGAACATGTCGGGATAGCTTCTCTCCATGAAGTCGCAGCCTTTTGGCAAGATGGCCCGAGCCGTGGTCGAATTGTGCTGTAAGAGCAAGGATCCATGTGAATAAGAGGGAAGACCGGGAGCGGACGTAGCCAGGAGTATGTAACATGGGATCGAGGATTCCATTTATCAAATGAAGTCGGGAGAAGTAGCTGCAAATATTTAGTAACGAATTTCACTTCGGACTCTCTTTGGCATACGCACATTGGAAATAAGGCATATGCTTCTTCCATCGATACCAAGCCAAGATCCACGGGGTCTAAATCAGGACCAGTATCTCGCGGGGGATTTGTATCCGGCGACCGGAAATAATTTGAGTATCGATCAGATTCCGTAGGAGGTGCAAATAAGGCATCTATTCCGCTCTCCAGAACCTTCCGGTCTAGGTGAAGTCCCAAAGAAACGTATCCAGGTCGATGCAATAGATATCGGCCTATGCCCTCACCGGGAGAAATTTCTCCCGACACGGACTCGAAATTTGAAGCTGGCGATAGATCTATTGGCCCAGCTTGAGGTTCTAGTGCCTGCGCAGCGCCGGCAGCCTCTGCCATAAGAGCCAGTGGATTGCTAACTGGTTCCAGGTTCACATGCGATGTGATGGTCTCGGGAGCAAAAGGTGAAGTAGTCACATTCGGGCTTTGATTCGATTCTGAGGCCGGTGGCCTATTTGCATTGAGCATACTTGAGCTGGGCGACAGCGGCTTTTGGTGACCATGAGGCCTGTTTCCAGCAGATGGCTCCCAGTCGACTTGACTTGGGTCATTTTGGTGCATATTTGACATCATGAGATCGCTAATTTCTGTGTCATCTTGTGCCGGAGATACGCTGGCAATTTCAGACGCTTTATCCGTTGACAGGCGTGCTTTCTTTAGCTCCGCCTGCATCTTTCGATAGGCCTTTTCGAATCCATGATATCGACCAACAGCCCCTCGCTTGCGACCCAGCGGCCGTGGAGAGGGAATATTGCAGGTACGGTTTGTGCGTTTGCAGCGCTCACAAGGTTCATTAGATCCATTGTTTGTGCTGGATGCGCTTGGTCGGATACATCGCATTTTGAGCTTCCGACATGCTTCGCACGCCGCTGTCGGCGATGGGATCTGGGCTTGTTGCCTGGTTATCGGTCGCTCGGAACTGGTTGCCATGGCTCTGGCCTGATATTTTCACGCGTCATACAGTCGCCAAATACGAGCATTTGATAACCCATCCAGTTCTCCAGCGAAGATGGATCTGTTGCCCACGCAGGATGTCGTGGGTGATGATGAAAAGTTCCGCATGGTGGCGGGTCTTTTGCGGGGAAGATTCCCGGAAATTTGACACAGTACTTGGAGCCGCCGAAAGTTTATAGAGGCACCAGAATAGCCAAGGCTTCTTCTGTGACCTATTAAGATCAAATCTGCCGGATCTCTCTCGCTAATGGTAAAAGAATCCTCGTCATAAATCTTTGGAAATTGGGTCGATTCCTGAAACTCTACGTGACTTAGGGACCTATGGTTTTCTGGGAAGGAGAGAGCAGAACCTCAAATTGTGGGGCTTCATAAGTTTGAAACTAGGACCAATGTTCAGAATCATCTTATCAGTCACAAGTTGAATAATAGACTGAAAGATGATACCTAAGCTATCGAGAAAGATGTTGAAAAGACCTTTAGACAGACCTTTCAAATACCAAGAAGTAGAAGCATATCTATCAGGTGGTCTCTCTGGCCTTTAGACTTAGGCTTTTGAACTACCACTGTATCGAACGAATAATACATTTTGGTAAATCATGCCTGTAGATATGACTCAATTCTAACGAAGATCAATTTTTCTTCTAAACCCTACATAGTCATTCAATCTACAGTGGAATTCCCAGACTTGCTGTTTCTGAGGGAGAATTCCGCATGCCCTCGGCAAGTACATCATCGTCCCCACCCGGACATTAAATCTAATAGCCGAACAATCTCCACCTTTGTATGACTCTTGCTTGCTAGGGACCCCTTTACATGCCATACACTCGTTAAGATCACTGGGTAGATAATTTGGGGTATACCACTGCCCTCTACAGTCATTCTAAATTCTTGAGTCTTGACTTGCTGTCTGTCTCACAATGTTCACCATCAAGGTAGCTATTGCCACCAACTCTCTTGGGAAATCGGCTGCAGGTCATACAATCCACCAGAAGCTCGAAGCGGCAAGGTCATATGGATTTGATGGTGTCGAGGTCGCTTTCGAATGTCTTGATGCACATGCAAATACTTTGTCATCTTTAGAGTCTCGTGAAGATCGCTTGCGCGCAGCAGCATCGGATATTTTCAGCAAAGCCACGTCTCTATCGCTCTCTCTTATTGCATTGAATCCATTTGGAGCGTATGATGGGCTTAAAGAAGCTCAAGACGTGGAAGACCGTCTAGTTGAGGCGGATCTATGGTGTCAGTTATGTCAAATCATGCACATTCCGATTTTTCAGGTAAGGTACCCGATACTGAATTTAAAATGTATTGCCTGCTGAAGATAATCAGATTTGTTCGGCTCTTTATCCTCTCCAAGAATCAAAAATCACTTCCGATCCCAAAATAATTGCTGCAAATATGCGAAAGCTTGGGCTGCTGGCACAAAAATATGGGTTACGTGTGGCCTACGAAGCACCCTCATGGGGCATTCACAAGAATACCTGGCAGCATATTCAGGAAATACTCGACCTAGTCAACCTTCCAAATGTCGGACACTGCCTTGACACGTTCCACATTGCGTCAAAAGTGGCAGGCGATCCTTTCAACGTGGATTCGCCTGTACGCCCAGACGGCATGAAGCGTCTCCGAAATAGCTTGAAGGAATTAAAACAAACTGTTGACCCGTCCCAAATTGTATATCTACAGCTTAGCGATGCTACAGTTGCTGATCCGAAGCAACGAGGGTACCCACGGAAAGACTTGAACCAGCCAGCATTCATGACTCAGTCTAGGAATTGTCGGATATTCCCATGCGAAGAAAACTACGGTGGAACTTTGCCTGTGGTGCCAGTGGCCAAGACTATCTTTGATATGGGTTACTCTGGCTGGGTGTCAATGGAAGTTTTTCATACAGACATGTTTGACACACGTTCTTCGTGAGATGACCCTTCCTCGGGTATCATTTCATTCTGCTAATTTCAGTAAGGCTACCTGGTTACTGGGCAGGTCGCGGTATGAGATCTTGGGATGAGATTGCTATTCAATGTGGACTTGGTCGTCGTGAGTATACTCAATCGCTTTCTCAGAATCTGTTGGGCTAACAATACTCAGGTGGAAAGATGTAGCGAAATCATTATGCTTTAACACAATCTAGGTGGTGGTAAAGCCGCTGCCCGGGAATTCCTATTCCTGTATCCTACTTCCGAAATCCGGTCTCAAGACTGCAAAATGAACATTAATTATTCAAGTGTCCCTACGATCTCTTGATGCTAATTGCTCACGCCATCAGCGGCCCTGGCTTTCGCTTGGAATGCACGGAATTCTTCATCAACACCATGCACTTTGGTCAGGTACTCCTTGAACTCCCGGGTCATATTGCAGACCTGTTCGAGGTCTTTCTGGTCCAGGGTAGGCCCGTCGTCTTTTGACTTGTCTGGCTTCTGAGAAAATCTGTATTCTGCAAGTGCCACTGCGGTTTGAAAGGCTAGAAGAAATCATTGGCACCTTAGCACTTTAAGTGTGGCACAAATGATATGAGATATGTAGAGGAGTTGAAGGAAGTCATACCATTGCGGATTTCCCGACCATTCCATTCCATTTTGCTAATTACGTCGTCTTCCAGGACATAGGACTTGGCGCGTCGAGTTATAATGAAATCGTCTCGTTCATCGGTCAGTTTATTGAAAAACTGTTCCCAAATTCTTTTCCGGTCTTCGTCTTTCAAATTGTCGTAGCGAATGACGACATGGATTCTTGAAACAAAGGCATCATCGAAATGGCCAACCCGATTAGTCGTCAGGAACAAGATGCCTCGATAGTACTCAATGCATCGTAGGAAGACTGCGAAGTAGGAATTTAGTCCCTGTTGACATATACAGCGTAAAATAAGTCCGAAATGATTTTGCAACTTACCCGAAACCAGACTATTCCGCTTGAGATCAGTAATCTGCCTTCTCTCGAGGTACACATCCGCCTCGTCAATTAGCATTACTGCGCCCCATTTTTCGGCCAGCCGGAACCATCTAGAAAGCTGATTCTCCATTTCAACCTCATCAGTTCCAATATCTCCACAAGTCAGAGAGAGCATCGCTCGGCCGGTGTATTCAGCGATACATTCTGGCTGGGTTAGTATATGAATATGGCAATTTTGCTCGATGATATTTAAGTTGCCTGCAGTCTGTGGAACAGGTGTCAGCACACGACTCCGAAGATGGCTATATGCGAACTTACAAACGTTTTTCCCACACCAGGACTGCCATGAAGGAGGAATATCTGACCTTCTCCTTTATTCTCGATGAAATCAGCCCCCCAGGATTTGGCGCTTTTCTCACCACTCGGATCCGTGAATTTCTGGACGAGGGCTCTTATCATCTCCTTCCTGGCTTCAGGCATAACAAGGCTGTCGATGGCTCTCTTGTTGACCTTTGGCTCAGAGCAAAATGCATTGTTCAATTTCGCTGCTCGCGTCAGTTGAAGCCGGAAGAGAAAAGTCGACATTTTTTAGCATCTTACCCCATGTCCTAGACTTTAGAATGAAACCATGCATCACTCTACTGCAAAGCAGGTATCGATGCCGAGGGCCTTCTAGTGAGCCTGGAAGCTCAAGGTCCAATTTGACGTTCGGGTCCAGAAGGTCATAATCCGCCCACCGAAAGCCAGGCAACGGGTGGGATCTTCGGCCATGACACTCTTCGCAGAGGCAATTGGCAAGTTCTTCTCCCATATCATCTACCTCGCATATATTTGGCGCTGCATGGCTATTCTGGGCATAATATGAGGTAGAATCAACATACACGCGACCTTGGAACTGTTTTTGGGCATTAGAACGATGTGTAGAAGTTGAGAATAGCGAATATTCACCTGTCGTTTGGATGGACCTATAAGTTCACCAGAATAGAACAGCTAACGTCCCCGTAGGTAAATGTACCATTTTGCACCAAGGTCTTCCAGGTTTCTTCGGGTTTTTCCGTCGTCCTGTCTGTCAATGAACTCGCATGGAAAGATCTTGAGCGATGTGACCTGTCGTTCCCCATCGAAATGTGCGATGGTGACGAAGGTGGATGCTCTTCCAACAAAACGTCCGTCAAAATCGAGATTCCACAATTCAATAACATATGGTGGGGATTGCAAACGAGAGGTGGCAGAGAGGATTCTTTTGTCCACCTCCATGGACCTAATAACGTAGGCATACAGCTGGCCGCCAGACTCCATATAAACCGTTTCACCAGGCTTGAAGAGCAACCATAACATTCGAAATGTACATAGGTTGCGGGTATGTCGCTCCTGCTCGTCGGTAATATGTGTCGTATAATGAGAGCTCTTCAGAAAATCGAAGAGCAATCCTAGATGATCGAATGCCTCTTTGTCGCATGCAGGCTGGGCGACAGTATTGCGGTTCTTTACCCCTTCCTGTATTGGGCCAAGATCAGAGTTGTGATATGTCGCTCGGTAGGCCTCAAGCTCACCGAGATAGTGTCCGATCAGCGGTTACGGCTCATTTAGGTCGAGTAAATCGCGTTGGAGATTCTCCTCGGGATAGTAGGTTACCACAGTGGCGAATACCCTGAGAAGGGCCTTCGAGCGAATGGCCAGCTTGGTTGAGCTAACCTTAAGCTGGATATTAGAATTACCAAGAATTCCCTTTTCAAGGATCTCTGCTTTTTCACTAGGGTGTCGATGAGAAAACTCAGGAATAGAAGTATCAAGAACAGTGACAACATCGCATATGACGCGCTCCTTTTCTTTCAGGTCCTTCCGGGCAGCAGAGAGATCAAAAGGACCCGCCCAAGGTACTGTGCCGATATGGTAATTGCCAGCGTCTCGATACTCCAGGGAATAAGTGATTGCCGGCGAGGTATTGTCGTTCTCCTGGTCCTCGGACGCGGCAACCGATCCCTCATCATCAGACGAGGTCGAAGATTCGTCCGACTCGTATGGCTGATGTCTCCTAGAAATCAAACCTTGGTCGCACTTCGGGCATTCAGTAATGCCGAAATCAAGTAGGGTCGCATGAGATCGTCCATTCCTCGGGCAGTATAAAGATGCTACCGGTTTCTGGTTCCGGTCATCCTCTGACTTGGCTTCGACGACTTTGATTTCTACGTCAACGATGTCGCCCGCTGGTTCTTTTGTCTCATTCTCAAGATCAACACAAGTCAGGCATTGACTCGCAGGGGTGACTTCAACAGCTTCGGAGTCAGACTTGGCAGGATTGGTAGACTCGTAAACTTCTATGCTTGCTGAAGCCATCGTCAGAGTGCCCATCACATCTGAATTTTCTTCTTTGGCTCGCTGTTTGTGAGTCATGGTTTTGTACGTGACATAAAATAATAGGACAGCAGACGATTTGGTTCGTATGGAGGGTGACGGAGACGTCCAGACTGTGAAATTAGGAAGAGTTGACCCAAATCCTGTGTGGTCTTTGAAGAATTGCCCTGGTAAAAATACAAAGCCAACGGTCCATGGGGCTCATCCCTTATCGAGCATGAGATGCAAGCCCCGCAACCGGGCAGCAAACTTACGCATCGTCCCTCACCACTGAAACTGGACTGACTAGTCGTGATAGCGATCTGTAGATATAACTTTACCGCTGTTAGCGCCTAGAAGAGCAAACCGTTTATGGCTGCCTCAACACTACGACCTCTCATGTCGCCATCCTTGGACCCAATTCCCAGCGATTCTAGTGTCCGCAATGTTCCCTTGAAACACATGCATACAGCTGAACTGATGCGGCTTATTCTCTTGCCCCTTTTCTTTTGTATGACCCGTCCGTGTCCAATTCCAGGCAGGTCTTGTCGCCTTTAGTGCTTTTGACATTTACTCCGCACGGCCAGCTGAACTGACCGAGCACCCCACCTTACCCTACCAAACTACTTGTCATGCGAGCTGCGCCTGGCATTGGCCTACGGCCTCCGCAGTGTTCGTGGAGCTTTGGATGAATAACGAAAAGGCTACAGCCTCGTAAGCATCGGCCACGAAGGACGCACCAATGGAACCAGACAAGAAACGCACAATCACATTTACGTGCCGGCACGGTCACATGGGACCAGACAATCTATACTGTATCTGTATTATGATTTGGACAAATCTGCTTTATTGCATATGCAGGCCGTTGCTTTGACTCTAACCAACTCCAGCATGATACGACCCATGGGTGAAATCTGACACTCTCATCACTTTTGGTCCTAGGCCATGAACATGGAAGAATCCATCGCACGGCCGGGAATTTCGCCCTTGATCAGGCAATATAGCATGAAGGCAGAGGAGGAGACTCCGAATAGTACACTTGTGCAAGCCCTAAGCTCCACCATTCGAAAGCAAGACGAGGATGAAAGGCGGGCCAGGAAGCAGGCCAACGAATGGCGAGCATGGCTCGAATTCGGGCAAGCCACAGAGTTAAGAGACTTCCACGAAATGAGAAGTTATAATTGCTGACTCTCCTTAGCGACGCCGATCTGAATCGCTTGGAAAACGGCCGCAAGAGCATTGTTGAGATATGGCAGAGATTCAGGGAGCATCATGACTCGGACTCGGGGGAATCAAGTTTATCGTTCCACGATGTACCGAATGTTGCCACGCTGCAGAAAGTAGTGAATGATACCCAGGTCAAATGGGAGACCAAAAAAGGAACAGGCCTTGGGAAGCTCAAGACCTATGTTTCTGATTTTCTGGGAAAGATGGATGACCATTCATATTTGTTCAAAGTCATTCCGGCGGGAGATAAGTACATCAGTCTCATCACCGGGGTTGTGTCATCTGTTGTAAAGGTAGGCAAGTAAGAAAGGGGAATTTCGGGAGAACCTGAACTAATGAATGCAATATAAAAGGCAACCGTCAGTCATAAGAAGATTGCCGAAGGATTCTTTTTGGCCTTGGTCGATATGAGCAGCGATTTGTGCTTTGTTCAGAAAAAGACGGATATCTGGGACAGCCCTGAGATGAGAAAATTTGTGGTGGACTTCTACATTATTGTATTCGAGTTCCTATGCCATGCAATGCTGTGGTTCATTCGCAGAGGAACCCGATTGCGTTCAATATGGAACAAGAATTTTTACGATGATACGGTCAAAAGAATGGTCGATCGGATGAAAGCAGCAATGGGCAGAATTCAATCCGAAGCGTCGCACCTCGCTGAAGTGCAAGTCCAGCAGATTAGCATGGGCTTGGGCGCTTTTTTGGGTAATTTTCGGCCGACTAGCGATGATAGCATGAACAAATTTCTACTTCTCCAGGTTGTGGGAAGTGAGAGCCATGATGATGACCAGGCAAAAATACATCAGAAGCAGCACCGTTTCGCCCAATTGGTGGGAGTGGGAGCATGTTCACTCAAATCCCTGCAGGCCGCCGAAGAACACATTGAATATGGTAAGATGACTCCCTCATTATCGGATATAAGACGAGTGAATTGAACAGAATAATTGCAGATATAGAGTCACGGAAGATACATGCGTACTCCGCTGCGCAGGACAACTCGAGAGACATAGAGGTCGTGGAGGACGAGACATCCGATGAGGCATCTGAACCCGGTAGGTGTGATAGCCCCGATAATGGGTACAGCAAATTTGACTTCTTACTTGTTTTTAAGATTCCGCTGAGCTTTTTACACGCTACGACATTCAAAAGGCTACTAAATCGTTTATTAAATTCACGGAAGACGGCAGGACAGAGATCACCAATGCGCTTCGGGGAATTTCCTCCTCAATGCTGCCTCTGGAGGTCTTAACCGAGGTCCGGAGATGGATTGAAAGCCCAAAATCCAGAATGATCTGGATTGAGGGGACATCATCATTTTCTCACGGGTCGACCCTTTCTCTGTCGGCAATGCAGCTTTGCAACATTAGTATGCACGCACGAATTCCTTGCGTGTCCTTCTTTTGCAAGCAAATCTACACTTTCACTTCGACATCTCAAACAGGTCTCTCGAATCAAGAGGCTGCAGTTGTAGCTCTGTTGTACTCCACGATTGCTCAACTTGCGCGTCTTATTCCAGCAGAAGTTCCAGCTGCCCCTGAGCTCCACGAGCAGCAATTTGAACTGCTTGATGGGAGCATTGGTAGTGCCCTCGTTGCACTGAGGATTATCCAAGCACTCATTGTGCATGCACCTCCGTCGATGATTTGGGTTATTGATGGACTGCAGTTGGCAGAGAGCCGAAGCACAATTTCTCTCCTTAGTAGCTTCTTTGAGATCCTACGCAGGCAAGAGGAACTTCGGATATCGAAAGTGTGCTTTACAACAGATGGAAACAGCGTTGTTTTAACCCGGGGTATTAGCGTGCATGAGCATGTCGATGGCTCTCGAATGGTCCAGGGAGGACCGGGGCGGCAATTGCGTGGAGGTGGTGATGTTTTTGTTGAATTAAATAGGTGGTAGGTTGTGTTTCGGTACTTGCTTAAAGGCCAATTATGATTCCAGTTGTATATCCTAGGCCCAAAGAGGCTACGCTTCGGCCCCCACCAAATCACACGGAGCAATGCTTGGTGATGATAATAATGTATGTGACTTGCGACTTGATCAGTTATTCCCCTCAGCACTCACCTCCTTTCTCTATGGAAAGAAAAGAACGGGCGCCATGACCGAGGAACCGCAGCTTGGTTCCATCCAAGAGCGGATTGCCGCTCTCAAGCGGTCACAGTCGTCCCAGTCCCAGGCAGGCGGAGCCCCTCAGTCACCTCCATTCCTTCACCCACCCACCGAGCGCAGCAGTTCGGCCAACAGCCGTCTCTCGTATCATGTGAATGGCTCTGTGCTGAATGGCCCTCGATCGACTCAGACGTCGTCTGCAGAGCCAGAAGTGAGAGCCAAAAAGACACCGCCGCCTGTGCCTACACGAAGGGCTGATCGCCCGCCTCCTCCTCTACCTACGCGCCCAGATCTTCCAGCCCGTCCAGAGGCCACTCAGCGACAGCGACCACAACCTCCTTCGAGCCCCGAAGTTCGCCCTACGTTACCGCCTCGCCGACCTACGGATTTATCGCGAAAACGGTCGCAAGAGTCTGTCCTGTCTAACACATCATACTCGACGGCTGGAACAAGTCTTAGGCACGCCGCTTCGACGACATCTCTGAGTTCTAATGACACCGGTAGGATCAAGGCCCCGGCTTGGGGCCAGACTGAATTACCCGTGCTGCCTCCCAAGCGACCACAGGCACAGGATGACCTCAAGCCACTCCCGCGTTCCGAGTCTAGCTCGAACTCAATGGTTAGCGGGTTGACCTCGAAAATATCAGCCTTGCGGGGGAGGGTCTCTGGATCTCTGTCTTCGTCTCCGTCCTCGTCAGCCAGATCCAGTGTACCTTCACATTCATCGGCTAGAGATTCGTCACCTAGGCCTCAAATTCCCCCACGCCGGCCGTCCGCGCCACAGACACAAGCAAATGGAACAAATGGAGATGCCGAAGAAGAATACAGACCTAGTCTGCCGGCTCGAAGGCTCCCGCCGCCTTCATCTACTGATAGTATTAAAAATGACCGCCAGGCTGGATTCGGTAGCTTTAACAAGAGCCCAGGCAGTCTCACGAGGCCAGGTAGTACACCAAGTGTGAATGGGGCTTCGAGTGGAGGGCCGCCACCAGTACCCCATGGATCACGTCCTAGTGCCCATTCGCCCCCTCAGACTTCGGGACGAGGGAAGGTGTCCAATATTGACAAGTGAGTAATATGCCCTTGGATGGAGCAAGTAGTTGCTGTATGGATCTATTTATTCTGACGCTTACTACTGCAAAAACAGTCCTCGGACCTTCAAAGAGCTCATATCCTCCGGTCCAGTCCTCGTTGATTTCTATGCGACCTACTGCGGACCTTGCAAGCAGGTGGCCCCTAAGATCTGTGCTCTCGCAGAGAAATATCAAAATGTTCTGTTCCTCCAGGTTGATATAGAGGTTATGAAAATGGTCGCTCGGGAATATCAAGTACAGGCGATGCCTACTTTTGTTCTGATGCAGGACGGCGAGGAGGATAAGCGCGTTGTCGGTGCAAATGTTTGGGAGCTTGAGCAGTGGCTTAAGACAACACCTGGTGCCCCTGGTGCACCTACACACGGGTTGGTGTGCAATGCTGACAAGTGAGCAATACACCCCGTATCTGGAACGGACGGCTCTCCAATATGTCCCGAGATTCTAACTTTCCCAAACAGCCCGAAAGTCTTCGCGAATCTCACCTCTTCCGGTTCTGTTCTCGTTGACTTCTACGCGACTTATTGCGGCCCTTGCAAGGAGGTTGCCCCTAAGATAGGTGCCCTTAGCGAGAAGTACCAAAATGTTCGGTTCCTCCAGGTCGATATTGATGCAGCCAAGGCGACTGCTACGGAATACCAAATTACAGCAATGCCCACCTTCATCCTGATGAGGGATGGCAGGGAACACAAGCGGGTAATTGGTGCAAATGTCTGGGAACTTGAGCAGTGGCTTCAGTCGCAGCCTGCATGAATGCTCTAGAATAAATGCCACATAATGCTGCACGACAACTTCGTTACCCGCCCGAATAAGGTGACTATGGAAGATATTCTGGCCGACGCTCCCAGGAGCACCAGAAGAAAGCAGTTAGCAGTGCGGTTAGCGACGGAGGATCTCATTCGCCGGAGAGCCAGAATGAGATCGAATGATCTGTCTGAGCGTTGGGTTGGGCGATCAGGTTGCCCAGGGAGCTGCTTAGGGCGGCGAGGTGACGGACTCGTTCTGTGCTCCGGGGGCCGATCGTTTTCCGAGGCGGCAGTTTTACTGTCACCTAGATTACATAGTAAACCCATTTCTCTGGATTGGATGTCGAGGATCACGATGCAGCTGTTCTCCACTATATCCAAAAGGGGTATCGTGTGTCGTGCGAGAGGCCTCAGTCTAGATATACGTGGGCTAGTTCTGCTTCTTCTAAGGAGTTCTTTTCATAATGTATTGGCAATCTTAATAGTAATATGTTTACACTCCCCTTCCTCCATCTACTTCTAAAGTTGTGCCAGTAACAAATGAGCTCTCATCTGAACCCAAATACCAGGCAGCGTTTGCCACGTCCTGAGGCTGGGTAACTCTCTTCATGGGTATAGACTCTACGACCCCCTGAAGTTTGTGATCAGAGTCAGCACCATCTCCAATGGAATTTTTCAACCTGGCCGTTATCAGCAATAAGCTCTCTGTTAAAATGTGCACGTAGACACGCATTTGAGATTTTGACCTACATTGAAGTATTTCCAACCGCAGGGGCAATGCAATTGAATCTGATTATTGGTGCGTATTCGAGCGCTAGTGTTTTGGTGAATCCCTTCCAACAAAATGTTTAGTTTCAGAGTCTATCGGATAGGATGGAATAGATAGAAACCGTGACAGCTGCTTTTGACGCATTGTAGATCGCGAACCCTGGGCGAGGCCGGGTGCATCCGGTACTAGAGAAATGATTGAGTGACTAATATCACGGTTGCACCCTAGAGAAAATACCTTGTGATGTTGGTAAAGACACCATGTCCTTGTTCCAGCATAAATGGAGCGAAATTAGCGGCACTGAGGAAGATAGGCTGAGTTGAGTGAGTATTCGATCTCAATATGCAAGTCGGCGCAAATTACCTTCACGTTCACATTGAAGGTTTTCTCATATTCGCCTATAGACTTTGTGTGGAGTGGCTATAGTCGATGTTAGAGATTATACGGTGTATCGTTTCGGTAGGCCCATACAGATGGGTCATGCGTTATCCCTAAACAAATGATGTCATCATGTGAGCTCAGACTAGGAAATAATTTTATTGTATGTACCTGCGTTGTTGACAATGACATCCACCCTTCCATACTTGTTTCGAATAATTCCTAGTGCAGTTTCCCAGGTCTCTTGCTTTGATACATCACCGAAGACATACTCTAAGTTAGGATCGGCACGAGCCTTGGCCTCTCCCCCAGATTTATTCAGATCGATCATAATGACTTTCCAACCCTCTCGGCTGAACCTGTCAACAATGGCTGCCCCGAAGCCATCGGCACCACCTATATTCATTGTTAGTTGAGACGGAATAAATGAGATGAGCGTGCATCTAGAGACCTGTAACAATTGCCGTCCTGGGAGATTCCATTCTAAATCCTGTGCTCGAGATTGCTGTGACGAAATACTTGAAGTAATGTACTTCTTGTTAGGACAAATGATCAACGTAGAAATAAGGAACGTAAAAGCTATACATTCTGACGGCTCCCTAAATACCAAGGGTCGGATGCTAAATTTATCCTCCGCTCATTTAAGAGCCCCAGTCTGATCGGCAGTCAAATATACCACCCGGCAGGTTAAGCCCAGCATTACCCCACAACAGCGAAGCTACCCCACGGGGAACACTTCGAAATCTTACGAGGAATTTTGGCGAAGTTTATCGTGGTCAATTATTGAATCGTAAATCGCATTCCGCGGCCAGAAAGAACGACGCGGTTCGACGGTGGGCAAACGAATATATCTGATTTCCTTAAGTGAGTAAAGTTTTGCCTCTTACGGTTTAGCTCCTCCGCGTATCACTTCGAGGCCTCTCCTTTCCTGCTTTGCGCCCTTCAAACAACTGATCTTGCACTCGTCGTTGCTGCATTCTGACTATGCACGACCAAACAGATTCCACGGGCTCCTCCTCTTTTCTGGTAGTCGGGAACTGCGGCTAAGCACTTGATCGCTCCATCTTCACCTTTCCGAGCCGGGGTTCGCATCGCAATGTTGCCTCGTCAAAAAGGTCCCAATCCCGCTTCTCAGCCGTGCACTTCTGCAAGCCCCTCCAAGCCAATCAAAGCCACCCGCTTTTCGTTGGCACACTCTTAGCTATCAAACTCGAGAAGCGCTTCCGGAATTACGAGGGGAGAGTTCTTATGTTGACAGATAAACTAAGAGTCAAATACGAGCAGCGTGTACATCTATCGGAAGCCTCAACCTTGCGTTTCATATCAGAACATACCAGCAAATATAGGGGTTGCCTCAGTTGATGGTGGAACAATTTTTGACTCCCCTATTTCAGGCCCCTTACGCCATGGCCCATTCGAAATTATCCAGGACTTTCACCGGCATTTACGCATGGGCATGGAATTTGATCCAACTTTTGACTCCGAAGTCCAGGATATGATGAAGCAACAAGATAACAACACATGGCCATTGAAGTTTACCCATGGTGATTAGAGCAGTTTCAATATCCTTGTTCGCGACGACACAGTCGTTGGTATAATTGACTGGGAATACACAACAGCCTGCCAAGTTAACCCTCAAAATTCTTTCTGGATTAATGAGATTGATAAATTCTTGCAACCAATGCCGACAGAACTGGCGATGGAACAGATCCGACGAAGACGATTTTGAGACATGACCTTTTTCCCCCTTCATCGCTCATGCGATGATTTCCTGCTGCTCCATCAAGTCGTACGTTGGGGGTCTCCGTGAACGAACTTCTCCTTGTCCATCAAATCGGTGTTGGTCCCTCTTCTGCTGGCAGTAAGACATTGTCTGGTCTTGGACTTGGTTCCACCCAAGCACGCTTGTGCCTAAGGCCTTGTTATCAGCTTCAAGCGATTCTAGAGCCTCCGAGACCTACCCGACACAGTTCCAACCCGGGGAACCTTGTCGAATAGGGGTATTGCGCAGAATTTCGACCAAGCGTTGTCCCGATCGCGATGCGGACAAGCAGCATGCTAGTGGTGATGAGTGAACACTCCAGCTCTTAATAGAATTACTCTGAGCCACCTCCTGCCTTCGGCCTCTCCTTGGCGTGGTAACGGGTACGATTCCCATCCTCTCGTTCGATTTTAGGCCCTACGATCAAAGCCCAATGGTACCTGGTTCAGCGGAAGTATTAGTCTTGTCGGTTGCTCCATAATCGAGAAAGACCTAGACGATGGTCTCACGTATCTTCTTTGCCTGGCATCTTCGGTCCCCCTCCCCGCACATAAAGAGCAACATACAGCCGGTCTTTGTTAGAGGGCATTAATGCCCCTGCGGCCTTACTATAGCGGCCGTTAGATGTCTGGGCGTATACTCTAACACCCTATAAATAGGATCGACTGAAACTGCATTTCTACATACTAGGTGGACATCCCATACGGAGTTTACAAAAAATGAAACAAGAACGTGACTTTTACGCATGGCTAATCATCTTGTGAAACTCGTTACATAAAGGCAACAAGCTAATTTTGTGCCGAGTCTAGGTAATTCCTGCAACGTTTTAGTTAACTGTGTAACTAGTTAGTTAACTTAGTTAACTAACTTAAGTTAAGGCATCGATCATGACTAAGCACCAACGACCCTTGATTTTGCCCATCTCGATCTGGTGTCATTGCATCCAAGTTAAGCATGTCTTCGAGAAAAAGAATTCGGTCAAGCTCGGCTGGCGATGTAGAGGAAAATAAGATGGAGAAGGCAGGAAGCCATCAACCGTTAGCCAGCGTGGCCGGGGAGGAAAGGGCGTTTTCGTTGCTACTTCCGGGCTCAGGATTTCATGGAAAGGCATTTACAGCGATATGAACGACTAGGTACGTCAATATTTTTCATTAATATTTTGCCTACAACAGTCAACCGATATCTACATTATTGTTTCATGGGATATGTAGACCTTCGGGCTATCTTTTCATTGAAAGTATGTCGATCGAATTATTAGATAGTTGATTTCAACGGAAATGAAGGTGTATATATTCTTCCAAGGGTTCTTCAGAGACTATCATCGGTTACAAATCTGTTTGATTGATAATACATAATATAAAGCATTCCTCTCAAGCACATCCGAATTGGTGTAGTGGCTAACATCGTCGTCTCTCACACGACAGCCAGGGGTTCGATTCCCCTATTCGGAGATATTTCTTTTGCACTTTTTTTCCTTTCGTTTTTTTTTTCTGGCTTTTTAGAACAAGTATTGTTGTACACTCAGAACCGCTCGACTATTGATTCCTAATGAAAATGAATACTCTCACTCAGCCGTAAAGAGGTCACATCGCACATATTTCACACCCGTGTCACACGCAATGGTGACTACAACCTCTCCAGGCCCAATTTTTCGCTAGCTCAATCGCAGCCACTACATCAAGGCCTGCTGAAGTACCAGCCAAGATCCCCATTTTTTTGGCTAAGCGTCGGGACATGGCAAAAGCCTCAGCCTCCTCAATGGCGAGAGCGTCGTCGTACAACTCATACTATATTTCCTTTTTCCTGGACCGGCGGGGTGGAAAGTGGGTCTGTGGGGAATATGTATAAGAATCGAAGAAATCTTGGTATTTTGGAGAATAATGTTCAATTAGCACTACTGAATCTTGCATCTGATTTCCACTTAGTGGGACGTCAGACACGCTATTAACCTTTTTTCACAGCTCTGAGTACGCAAAATAGTATTATCTTTCATTTCAAAATCGTGCTTGAATATTTACTTATAGCCCACGAGCATAATCCTGCAAAATTGTTTCTTCCGGCTTCATCCCAGACCATCTCCAGCACGCCGCCCAAAGCCTCTCCTGCATCTCGATATCTTTGCTAATTGCCGCTGGAGCGTCCTCTTTCTGGGCAACAAAATAGCCTCTCTTCCCATTGAATGCAGGATCAACGCTCACGATGGCAAGCTCTCGACCAGCATCTTTGATTGTTCGGAATGCAGTGGTCACATGCTTGAGAACGGGCATTAGGAAATTGATAGTTGACATAATTCGCTTGGTAGATTTCTTCTGCTCTGCTTGGGCTCTTGAAGCTGGAAGGCCACCCGGGTCCATGGCCGTCGCAGTGACATTTGAAAATTTAGGGTCCTAAAAAAGAGTCAGTGGGACGATATTTTTCGCATATATGCCAAGTAACTGCATACCTTCTTCAACCTTTCATTCAGATCGAGAGCGAATGTCACATTTGCGAGCTTTGCAGTACCATATCTTTGGAAACCCCTATCATGGACGAGCGATCGTGGATCAGGTGTTGGCTTGACCAGCTCTTCAAGGTTCTCGGGAAAGCATGGACCCAGGGATGATACCGGGTTTGGCTTATCAGGATAGTGGGTGATGGATCCTAGCATGACGACGCGTCCAGATGTGGGATCCATGCTTTCAAGCAACTTCAAGACCAAAAGATAGTGCGATAGGTGACAGACTTGAAAGGTAGCCTCAAAGCCATCAGACGTAAACTTCTGCCCTGCTTCTAGTGACAAAGTGGCAGCGTTGCAAACTATCGCTGTAATTGGTGGAGTTTTCTTCGAAAGAACCAGGCCAGATATTATCTGTGCAAAAGTGCGCACGCTGGCAAGCTGACCGAGGTCAAGAGCCTCCACGTTGACCTTGGAGTTTGGGTACTTCGAGATAATCCTCATAAGCTCTGCAGTGTTGGAATCTTTTTCCGGCGAGGTGTTTCGAACAGTAGCGATGAGGGTATGCTGGGGATAGCGGGATAGAAGAGCCTCGACAAAGCCGAGTGCTAGGGAGCCGTTGGCTCCAGTGATCACGACTGTCCCAGCCATGATAGTCAAGCCAGTCAGTGGAAACTATATGGATATTCTGAGACAGCTTGAGAAGCGTCCTGGTATCGATATTTATATGTGAAAGTTGATTCAAAAGCCCTAGAATAGGACGTCCGATGCCATGCCTAACTCCGGCAATGGCTCTGTTCTGAGGATATACTTAGACCAAAATATGTTTTTTTAACACTGAAGCTCTTGAAGAGGTAGGAGCCGGTCTTGGCTTTTTTGATGTGATTGGTTCTTGAGCAGAATTGCAGAAAAACAAACTCATGAAGAATTACCCTAAATTTCAAATCTAACGCGGCCGTTGTGCCCAAGAGCGGTCGATATTACAGATCCCTAGCTTACTAGGGTTTTAGATTAATGGTTCAATCTCACGAATTCCTTACTATTTTGTCAATCTTGTTGATCACTGACTGTTAGCCTCAGACCAAGTGGTCGATAGTCGGGTTTTGAACCGGCCCTTAAATACGACCGGAAGTTGGGGGCTAAATCCCGTCCTTAGCTCAGCTTTGGCCAGATACTTAGGAACCACCTACCTGCATTTTGAATCAATATATATGGTCGAGCCTTAGGGATCATCTCTAAGCCTCATTCTCAGTACTGCATTTGAGTGAAAAATGTGGGGAGTTCAAGCTTCCACAAGCCACTTGCGTTGTTGCTCAGATCTGAGGCTTGACCATCTTGGGAAGGCGCAAGGCTTGGCATTGATCATCCAACCATCGGAGTTAAGACGGATTCATCATCACTTATCTGACAAGTGAGCTTTGTCATGAACGATCTTAAAAGAATTCTACCACATCCGAGTCCCTTAGCTCTAGAATATCTTCAACTCGATATCACCTTTTTGTCGACCCCTGGACGCCTTCGTTCGGAATCAACTACTCGTTAGGCTTTGTACTATATCTACTCTACGGCATCATGGGACCGCCAAGAACTCAATTCATCCTCGTCTCATCCAATGATCCTGAAGAGGCTACCAGATCAGCTACACGGCAACGGAAACTTGCCCACTCCCACGCTGCTCGCTCAGCTCATGCCAAGGCAAGGCGCCTTCGAACAATACAATACCAAGCACAGAAAAACTCCACAAAACAAGGTGGCTTAGTCGAAATATCCGTTAAGCTAGGGCCCTGGAAAGAGCATCCAAATACGCCGCTTGTCACCATCTTGTCAGCCGATCGGAAGGATCCCTTTATGAGCTTTGCAACACCATTGAAACCAATTGAGGAAATGTTATTTGACCACTGTATGTATGACCAATCTGGAAATACAACTCATCACTAAAATCTATGAGATGTGACTGTGATCATCCCGCTTATGCGATGTAATGAGCCGACTCTCGAATTTACACAGCGCATGACGAGTACCTGGGTACCACTCGCGCGCGCCGATGCAAGTCTTCTAGATATTATATTCCTCTTATCATGTCGGCATCTCTCTGCAAGTTATACGCAGTCGCATCAGGAATCAAGCTTTACTCAAAGAGCATTTCATTACAAGAGTGTATGCCTGAAAGTACTACGAGATGCAATCTCAAATGAGGCGCCCTGCTTTAGTGACTCCACTGTTGCAAAAGCGATAATGCTGGCTTACGATGAGGTACGATGCATTCCTAAGGCGACACAAGCTGTTAATTTCTAACAAGTTTAGTTGTTTGTGCATGATACGAGGATGTTGAAACATCATATGGAAGGGGCTTTGAAGATGGTTGCATTAAAGGGGGGACCCGAGACTCTCGGTCTCGATGGCTTGCTTAAGCATTTATTGTTCAAGTTAGTATCTAAGGGGGCAAACGAGGCAGATCTTCAGCTTGAGTTTCCTTGGGATATTCATTCAGATTGGGGTGCATATATGCCTTGAATAGACCTTTGATAGTCACTAAATGAGATAGATTCTTTCTTTCAAAATAGGCAACTTCCCGCTCATTGGCCACTTACCTAGAAATAATTGAATCTCACTTTACTTCCATCTCATTAGAATTATTGTCCGCCACAATCTTAACCATATCTCTAATGGAAAACAACATCAGACTCAACATCTATCAATGAGCAAATCCAAGCGACTCAAAAATCTCCCGATCCCACTTCGTCCTATGAAACCCCATCCATATACCAGGCCCAAGCCCCGGAATCCTACGTTCATCCTCAAGCAACAGCCCCTATTGAGAGCGATTGAGAGAGGCAATAGATAACTGGTCTTTAAGGTCACAGTAATCAGTAGTGGCCTCAAAATAGAACTATTATGATCCTGCAGTTTACGTCGAGGGCTTCTGTCCTTCAAAGACATAATCGCTACTGTATATTCGCATTCATCATTTACATAACAACACAGATTCTCTATTCATAGAGAAAACAATCACGAACATCCACATTCTGCAAAAATCAGGCCCAGAATAGAGGATGGTGTAGAATATAAAGCCAAGACCTACTAAAATGGGAGTCAAGGAGGTGATACCGAGCTCACACAACAAAAGGCAAAAGAAAAAAAGAACGCCGAGAAACATGCCCCTTCCACTCATTTTGTCCCCGCCTTAAGAGACATATGTGAATACACATACTGTATGCTTATTTCCATGCGTTCAGACCTGCCCAGGGGTCATTAGCGTTTGGCGGCTGTTGCGGCTGAGACTGAGAAGGGGCCTTGTGGTGTGCGTAAGGCCTGGCCTGCGCATATCCGCCGGGTCCAGAGGGGTACGCCCCGCCGGCAGAGGGTGGGTAGTTGGTTTGTTGCGGGCGCGGTGGAGGTGGGGGGAGGGATGTATCCCTGCGGAGCCATATAGTTCGGGGTCACGGCAGCAGCGGTGGGTGCCGGGCTAGCACTTGAGTAGCCGCTGTATACCGTAGGTGTTTGGGAGAAGAATTGCTGGTTTGGGGGCGGGGAAACAGGAGTCTGGTATGGGTACGCCATGGGATTGTACCCCTCGGAAAGTGGAGCAGCAGCACCTTGCTGGAAGGGCTGACCAGGTACGTATCCCGGGTTGCTACCCATGTACTGACCATAAGGTGCTGGGGAGTGGGAGAGAGGGACGGCTTGTTGCGGTGCGCCTGGCATGCTAGGCGGGTAGCGGGGTGACATCTGTGGCGATGGCCCCGTCATTGAATAAGATGGGGTTTGAACAGGAGGTGGCGGAGATTTGACCTTGGAGGGAGGGGCAACCGCAGAACCGGTGGATGGTGAGATTGATGGCCCTTTAGGTTCCGTAGAGAGACGCTCCATCAACAGGCGGAGCTTCTCCCGCTCACGATCCTCCTGCTCAGAGACGCCGCTAGCCTTGTCACGCTCGATCTGGCTCAAAAGCTGTGCACCCTCAGACCGGCGATTGCTAATGAAAGTCTCAACATTTTTCCGCAGACTCTCCACATTCTCACCCATATCTTGGTAGAATGTGCGAGCTTGCAGAATACCAGAAGAGAGACCGTTGAATGCCTCATACACCTTCTTATATCGAGCCATAACAGAGTTTCTCTGTTTCGAGACAGATTCATATTTGGACTGTTCAGACTGGACTCGCTTGTCTTGAAGCAGGGCTGCGTATGTTTTCGTGAGCTCCTTCATCAAGGAGGACTGTCTGTGATTCGCTTGCATGAGGCGAGTTTGATGTGGCCGGAACTTTTCAAGTTCGGTCTCAAAGAGTTGGCTTTCTTGGCCGGCGATAGACTTCTTATTCAATATCAGAACGTTCGATATGTCGTCATTGCGGACCTGATTAGTGGTTAGCGGTAGTCTATATCCAGCAGGATTCTCCTCCTACCTTCTCCTTCAGATCTTTTAAAGTTGTGGCCCGATCTTGCTTGACGAGATTCAGCTTGTGCAAGATTCCTTCCACCTTTGCGATCTGTTCCGAGACAGACGCACTGCCCTCATCATACACATCGTCCAAAAGACTACCTTCCGCCGGACTAGCCACACCATTCTTGCCCTTGCTATGCTTAGTTCCAGCCTTGATCATTGCTTTCTGATAGAGCACATCAGCCTCGTCCGTCTCTCCGGCCGATCGCATCTGGTCAAAGTCCCCTTCGTATTGTCGGAACGTGGCAGACAGTTGGGTATCACTCGCACTGGCCTCGCTGATGGTGTCTCTGTATGTGCGAACATCTCCACGGAGTGTTGTGTTTAAGCGGCTGCTAGGCTGCTGGCTCCAGTCTGCGCCGTACTTGGAGCGCATTTTCTCGCACACGCTCTCCTCCAAATCCAACTGTTTGGAGCAGTGGTCCAATTGTGTCTGGACATCATTCTTGCGCTCCTGGAGCTCGTCGAGGGCCTTGTGGAATGGCTTGTGGCCTGCGAGTTCTGAGCACCAGCGGCGGAACTCTTCATCAACAGTCATTTCTTGATCCATGCCACCCTTCAGAATGTTGAGACTCCCTGGGAGCTTCAGATAATCCAGGCTAGCAGCCATCTCACCATCGGCCGTGTCAACTTTCTCAGTTTCAGCGCGAATCAACTTAGCCTTCTCCTCGTCATAGAGACTGGCGGTCTCCGTGACGGAAATAGGAACGAGTTTCTGGAAAATATCCGGTCCAATGATGCGTTGGATATCTTGTCCCTGATAAAGCTCGCTAACAGGGATTGCTTTGGCCGCGGCCAACTTGGGAACTGCAGACAAGCCAGCCTCGTTAGGGACGGGTTGGTGGTAAATGAAATCATTGTCTTTGACGATCGTAGCCAGCATGGCTTGCACATTTGCGAGATTGTGCTTGACAAGGTCCACCAAGTTGGCTCCGGCCTCTACCGGCAGGTTCGAGGTGGCAGAAGCCGAGGATGGGAAGGACTTGGCCCAGGTGAGTGCTGTAGTAGCCTGCTTCTCTGCCATTTGCAGTCGAGCAACAGCTACACCATGCGAGTTACCTTCGCTGTCTGCAATCGCCTGGAAGTAGGATGCGGTGGACCCCATATGTGCGGTCTTGGCCTGTACCATGATCGACCATACCTTGTCGAAGACGTTCTTAGTCACGAAGTCTTGCATTGTCTCCGCGGCTTGAGAATAGAGGTAGGCGGCTTGGCCTGCCAGTTTCGCAAGGAATCCCGGCTTCTTCTTATCTTGTATTTGCTTCTCCAAAAACACCTCCTGGGCTTGGGCGAGAGTGATATGAATCAAGGTCTTGACGGTGTCTCGGTTTAAATCGGTCGAGGGCGCATGCAAAAAGTTCTCATTGATGTATGTGAACATCCCCGCGGATGCCTGGAATGAGTGGTACGCCGTCTTGACACCAACATCCTCGGCCCGATTCTGGTTTGCGGCATGGCAGGACAGGACGGCGGAGATGTTGAAGATGATGGAAGCTTTCTCGTAGGCTAAGGAGTATTGGGAGGTCGGCTTGTGAGTGAATGCATCGTACCTAGGGTAGAAAATTGGTCAGCTGGGGGGCTAAATAACCCAAGTGAAGCGGTCAAGGGCGTACCATGTAAAGGAGATCTTGATGTGATTCTCATCGACGGGGAAGCGGAGGTCCAACAGCTCCAGCTGGCCGTAGTATCGATAAAGCAAGTCACGACCGGTGGCGCTATCCTTACCAGCGCCTCTCATATCCTGTCGAAGGCGGTTGAGTGTCGCACATTCTTGGCTGTAGCGCTCGGGGTCCTCGCCATAGGTCTGCCGGATGTAATCCTTGAGGGGCTGGATCCAATCGATCTCGTTGGTCTGCTTCAACGGGCAGGAGAGCATAGGTGACTGAACCATGGTCGGATGGTTGTCAGGAGCAATGCGCTCCCATCCACTAGCGATAACGTAAAAAGAGAGAAGCGAGCACGAGAGGGAGGCGAGGCGGGTTCAACGGTGCTCCTGAGGGGGTCGGGATCGATGCTGTGGGGTAAAGGGAGGGCGGGAGGTCGGGGCCTAACGGTGATCACTGCTTGGTCAATGACGTCGGTCCGAAGGAGTCCCCTGCGGATGTCAAGAGGGTCGGGATGGAATTGAATCGCGATAGAGAAGAGAGGTAAATGGCAGGTGGGGGGAGATGAGATGCTTACGGAGGAGAGGGAGAGGTAGGGAGTGACAGAGTGGGATGTGATGTCCAGCAGTGACCAGTGACGACCGTGTTGTGATGGCCTGGGCGGGCGCCAACCAACCACGCGCCAGTTTAGACTTGCAGATTATATAGTTCCAGGGGCTCGGTACTCGCTTAATTCTGTGACTTAGCTATATACTTCAGGTAGTACGAAGTACGATAGGCAGAAGAATAAACATTCTAGATGATTTGAATTGGAAATCCCTGTAATGCAGAGAAAGTAGAGAGCTTTCATGGCTACCTAAACACAACAAGTAGTAATACAAGTGAACTGCCCCACCCCAAAAACAGGCAGAACCAGGCCTTCCGATCTCGCCGGCGCTATGACATGGTGAACAAATAGACCAGATGAAAAGATCAAGAAATAAATACAAAGCCCAAGGTGGTATACAAATACACAGAGATTTACAGTAGCTCTTTTTTAACTCGACTTCTTCGAGTCGTCCTTGCTGGCATCGGTCTTGCCAGCATCCTTGTTATCCTTAGCATCCTTGGCCTCGGGCTTTGAAGGATCACAGTTCTTATCCGTCAGCTTGTGCCAGATGGATTTGAGGAATCCTTCGTCTCTGCCGTTACCGGCAGACTCGGAGGGCGATGCAGGGCTGGAGAGATAAGATGTCAGCATTGCATATTACGAAGACGGTCTGATGTATAAGGAAAGATTGAACTTACCTCTCTTTGTTGAAATTCATGGTCCGCTTAGCCGTCTTGTCATTCATCTCATCCGCAAGGACCTCCAAAATAGTCCGCTGGTTACCGGTCAGGTACTTCGGCATAGCAACCTTGAACTCGACCTTCAGGTCACCTGTGGGGCTGAAGCGGCCACCACGGCCTCCGAGCTTCTTCATACCCATGCCGGACAAGGTGATCCGATCACCGGTGCCGGTGCCGGTAGCCACCTTGACCTTGACTTCGTTGTCGAGGGTCGGAATCGTCACCTCACCACCGAGAAGAGCGGTGGTAAGAGGGAGGGTGGCGGTGTAAAGGATGTCGGATCCGTTGCGGCTGAATCGCTGATCGGGAGCAACTCGAATAGTGACATATAGATCACCCCGTTGAGTTCGAGCACCGGCTGCGGCAGATGTTCCAGTAGGTGGGGCATCACCCTCCCCGGTCACCCTCATCCGCATACCATCCTCAACACCAGCAGGGATATCCACCTTGATGGTCTTGCGTTCCCGAACGACACCGTTTCCATGGCATCCACCACACTCCGATCCGCGGGGAACGATCATACCAATACCTCCACAGGCATCGCAAGTCGCAGCAACCTGGAAACCACCTTGCATGAAGTGAACACGGGTTCCGGAGCCATTGCATTGCTTGCACTGGGACCGCTTTGCGCCGGACTTCAATCCATCGCCCTTGCAAGTTCCGCATTGTGTCAAGGGAGTGATGTTGATCTCCTTAGACGTTCCCTTGGCAGCCTCCATGAATGAAATGTTGTTCTGTACTTCGATGTCCTCGCCGACGAGAATCTGCTCCTGGAAGGGATTGCGTCGCCCACGAGCGCCTCGGCGAGCGCCTCCAGCGAAAGCGCCAAAGAGGTCCTCAAAGTTGATATCCTGCGCAAAGCCTCCACCGAATGGGCTACCACCAAATCCACCACCGCCGAAGCCACCGAAGCCGCCGGCGCCAGCGAAGGGGTTACCGCCGGCATTGGGGTCGAACCCGCCATTCTGGTCAAAGGCTGCGGAGCCAAATCGATCGTAGTTCTCGCGCTTCTTCGCATCGGATAGCAATTCGTAGGCGGATTGCGCTTCGGCAAACTTTTCCTTGGCATTGGCATCTTTGTTGGTATCCGGGTGGTATTTCTTGGCCATGCCGTAGTATGCCTTCTTGATGTCACTGGCGGAGGCGCCTTTGTCCACTCCGAGGACCTTATAGGGATCGGGAATCGCCGAGAGGGGAGAAGTGGTATGGAAGATCTGTGAAAGCGTCAGTCTATTGCATGAAGGCGAGATAAAGCAGCCTGTGAGAGCCCAAATGTGTCACATACTCTAACCGACGGCGCAATGAAGGATTTCTTCTTATGAACACTCTCACGCAGTCGTCTAGCGGAGGTTTCAGAGGCTGTCGCGTGATATCCCCGTTTCCGGTTTGCAGAGCAGACATGTTGGCTGGCTGTCTGTTTCGAACATGTCGATGGTGCCCGCAGCAGGCGCGCGGGGGAGGCCCGCGGCCTTGGGGAATGCTGCGGATGGGTTCATGAGTTGTAATTCCCAAGCAGTGGTTGGCTAATTGTTAATAGAATTGGAATCGAGCGGGAGAACAATCAAATGGGATCAAAAAGAGCGAAAGACGGGCGGAAAACCGGGTGAAGTCTTAAAATTGGTAAACCCGAGGATAGCCTTTAATCCAGTCGGCTTCTCCTGTTCGCTGAAAGAAGCTTCTGGGCGGCTCGGTAGAAGGCTTGCTCGGAGAAACGGTCGGCCCGTGCCAGGATGATGAAAGATGGAGCTGCTTACAGAGCGGTGTTCCGAGGCCGGAACTTGCGTTTCCTTAACACTCATCACTTCTCTGCCATTATTCTCACGACTGCATCTTTCCCGAAGCTGCTATACGGGTGCTTCGAGGTTCTATTCAATACCCAAATCCCTACCGTATCCGATTCTACCCCAACCTCCACCGCATCACGCGACTCGATCCAGTAGCATGCTCCGCGGCCAAACCCTCCCCTGGAGAGCTGCGCTCCATCAAACACCTCGCCCTCTCCTTCGTCGGCCATTCCTGATCTCTTCAAGGAACAATGCGACCTTCCGATCAGCATTGACATCGGCCCGACTCTCTCGGTCCTTTCCATCAGCCCCCCGCACGTTCTCCTCGAGCTCCATCCGGCGGAAAGAGAAACCCCCACCAGAGGATCAGAAAGACGAGCAAGAACAGAAGGAGGGGGAAGAATCACAGCGAAATGATAAGGAGGTCGACCGAGCTCCTGAGCCTCGAAGGAAAGCTCTCGACTCGGGGAAGACCGGGGACCAGACAGTCTCCACGCGGAGAAAGGACCGGTCCTCCGGTGATAAAGAGCAGCGCAGCTTAGAGGAGGAATCGAAGAAAGATGCCAACGCAGCGGATGGGAAGGGTGATTCGAATCAGACGCCAGCTCCCATACCGCCAAGCGGCGGCTTGGCTGACTCAAAGCCTAGCTCGGCCAGCAGCGGTGGCAGTGGCGGCAATGACGACGGTAGCAAGAAGGGAAAAAAGGGTTCCGGAGATAAGGCTCTACAGAAGCCCGCGGTCCCGGATGTATACCCACAGGTGATGGCCATTCCTATCGCCAAGCGTCCCCTCTTCCCCGGATTCTACAAAGCTATCACTATCCGGGACCCCAATGTTGCGGCTGCGATCCAGGATATGATGAAGCGGGGTCAACCCTATGTCGGCGCATTCTTGTTCAAGGATGACAACGCCGACGGCGATGTGATTGAGAACTTGGAAGATGTCTACGATACCGGTGTCTTCGCTCAAATCACCGCTGCTTACCCTCTTCGTGGCGAGGCCAGCGGTGTGACCGCTGTGTTGTACCCTCACCGACGTATTAAGATCTCCTCACTGCTCCCGCCTACCGAAACGAAGAAAGATGCTGCTACCTCGGAGGAGAAGACTAGTGAAAAGCGAGGTGACGTTGTTGCAAGCTTTGAAGAAGGAACACCCGAAAATGCCCCCAAGGACCACTATGAGCCCACTTCCTTCCTCCGGAAATACCCTGTCAGCTTGGTGAATGTGGAGAATCTTGCGGAGGAACCATATGATAAGAAGAATGGAATTATTCGTGCTGTGACGAGTGAGATCGTGAATGTGTGCAAGGAGATCGCCACCCTGAACCCCTTGTTCCGTGATCAGATCTCGGCCTTCTACACGGATCAATTCCCTGGAAACCTCAGTGATGAGCCCGCTAAGCTTGCTGATTTTGCCGCCGCGGTCTCTGCTGGTGAGCTGCATGAGATGCAAGAGGTGCTGGAGACTATGAACATTGAGGAGCGTCTTCCCAAGGCGCTTGTTGTTTTGAAGAAGGAGTTGATGAACGCACAGCTTCAGTCCAAGATCACCAAGGATGTGGAGGCCAAGATCCAAAAGCGCCAGCGTGAATACTGGCTCATGGAGCAGATGAAGGGCATCAAGCGCGAGCTTGGGATCGAGTCCGACGGCAAGGATAAGCTTGTGGAGAGGTTCAAGGAGAAGGCAGAGAAGCTAGCTATGCCTGAGGCTGTTAAGAAGGTCTTCGAAGAAGAGATCAACAAGCTTGCTCACTTGGAGCCCGCTGCTTCGGAGTTTAATGTCACCCGCAACTACTTGGACTGGTTGACCCAAATTCCATGGGGCCAGAAGAGTGTGGAGAACTTCGGCATTAAGAATGCGGTAAGCGTTTTGGACGAGGATCACTACGGCCTGAAGGACGTCAAGGATCGTATTCTTGAGTTCATTGCTGTTGGCAAGCTCCGCGGCACAGTGGAGGGTAAGATTATCTGCCTTGTTGGCCCTCCTGGTGTGGGTAAGACCAGTATCGGCAAGTCAGTGGCTCGTGCTCTGAACAGGCAATACTACCGCTTCTCTGTGGGTGGTCTGACCGATGTTGCGGAGATCAAGGGTCACCGACGAACCTACGTTGGTGCTCTCCCCGGCCGCATCATTCAAGCTCTTAAGAAGTGCCAGACGGAGAACCCCTTGATCTTGATTGATGAGATCGACAAGATTGGCCGAGGCCACCAGGGTGACCCTTCTTCCGCTCTCTTGGAGTTGCTTGACCCTGAGCAAAACTCCTCGTTCCTGGATCACTACATGGATGTCCCTGTGGACTTGTCTAAGGTCCTCTTCGTCTGCACAGCCAACGTCACCGACACTATTCCTCGACCCCTACTTGACCGTATGGAGTTGATTGAACTCTCCGGCTACGTGGCGGACGAGAAGATGGCCATTGCTCAGCGATACCTGGCCCCCGCGGCGCGGGAGTTGACGGGCTTGAAGGACGTGGATGTTACCCTTGAGCAGGAAGCTATTGAAGAGCTCATCAAGTCGTACTGCCGCGAGAGCGGTGTCCGTAACCTGAAGAAGCAGATTGAGAAGGTATACCGGAAGGCAGCCTTCAAGATCGTTCAGGACTTGGGCGAGGAGGCGCTGCCCGAAGAGGCTGCTTTGACCGATGAGGGCAAGGCTGCTCAAGAGGAAGCGAAGGAGCATGAGCCTGCGGATCCCGCAGAGACCCCTCTCGAGCCCGAGAAGTCGACTGCAGAGACCCCGCGTCACGCCCTCAAGGTTCCCGGGAACGTTCACGTCAGCATCAGCAAGGAGACCCTGAAGGATTACGTTGGACCCCCAGTCTTCACCGCCGATCGTCTGTACGAGACGTTCCCACCTGGTGTTACCATGGGTCTGGCTTGGACTAGCATGGGCGGAGCCGCGCTGTATGTTGAATGTATTCTGGAGAACGCTCTGAAGTACCAGTCCCGGCCGGGTCTGGAGATCACCGGTAATCTGCAAAATGTCATGAAGGAATCGTCGCACATTGCCTACTCCTTCGCCAAGTCTGTTATGGCTCGGGACTTCTCTGAGAACCTATTCTTTGAGAAGGCCAAGGTCCACCTGCACTGCCCTGAGGGTGCTGTTCCCAAGGACGGTATGTTTAAAACTTCTATTCATGGTGAATACCTCAGTTGTTCAATTGCTAATACCCTCCCACTAGGTCCCTCTGCTGGTATCACCATGGCTAGCTCCCTGCTTTCCTTGGCCCTGAATCACCCTCTCGATCCCACTATCGCCATGACCGGTGAATTGACTGTCACCGGCAAGGTCCTCCGCATCGGTGGTCTACGAGAGAAGACCGTCGCTGCTCGTCGGGCCGGCGCAACCAAGGTTATTTTCCCAGCTGACAACACATCCGACTGGCTCGAGCTTCCTGAGGTATGTTCGCTATTTTCAAATTTAATCGTCTCTTTCTCTCCGCCGATCAGTGCTAACCCCACTCTACAGAATATCAAGGAGGGTATCGAAGGCCACCCGGTCAGCTGGTACTCCGAAGTCTTCGACATTCTCTTCGCCGACCTCAACCGCGATGCCGCCCGCACCATCTGGCAGAAGGCACTCGCCAAGCCCGCCAACCAGAAGAACGAGCGGGACGGTGAGGATGACGAGTGAAACGCGATTTTGATCTAATTGTAATGTCCCGGCTCGGAAATTGGAAACCTGTGGTATATATGCCTTCTTTTGTGGGTTGCGAATTTGTGATTTTACCCCCCCTTGTATAGTTGCGTGGTCTTTCTGGGATGTACATTGTACATGGCGTCTTTTCAGTGTCCTTTTTTTGGACATGGAATGCATGGACTGGAGTTGTTGGTGGTTAGACGTTCTTTGTTTTCTTTTATGTATGAGGGCCACCCCCAGAAGAAAAGGATCAGTACTCCACTCTTTGAATTGAATAGAAAGGATGATTGGTGGATGCGCCTGTTGGGGTGGTCTAGCATTCTCTTTGTTTTCTGTCATTTGTATACTTCCTCTTGGCGAGTGACCTAACCAAGCTGTAGACGACAGCCTTGGTAGCAAAACGAAAGACCGAGACTAGCAGTAATAATTAGATTCGAAGTATCCATCTAGGAAATGAATTGTATTAGACTGTCATAGCCTATGTGAACGAAATTGAGTTGCTCTGCTGAGCTCCTTTATGGATTCTATCTACTTATTAGACTATCCGCCTACGTTCGAAGAAGCTGAGTTTAGTTTCTTAGTACTTCTTTCACGGCCCATTCCCAAACTTTTTTCTCATATCGTTCTTAGGAACATGGGATGGGCAATTCTTGTTTATATTGATGCCCGTTTCTGTCCAAGAGTCGATCCTCCATATTGTGCTTAACCGAGGTATTAGATAGACCGGTATATCAAACTTGGATCATTTAGGGATTTATCTACTTATGACTCACGATTTGTATATTGGTTACTCGCATTACTATTTGCCCAGCCTTTCCATTTATCTCTTGGCCATGGAACAAGCGCGGACGATGACGAGGCGTTCCATGAACAGGGATAGGCGCCCCTTTGAATGGACAGGGTCGATGTATACAAAGTCAATCAATCAACGCCCAACCAAACGGATAACTGCCATGCAGGCCACGATTTAGGATCCCACCGATGGCAATCTTGTGTTGGGCAAGTTCTCGATCGAACTAGTCTAGGCCATTAGGATGAATTTATAGATCGTTCGCCAAATCTCGCGACCCTCGTTGCGTCCTTCCAATCAGGCATAAGCTGTCAGGCCGCAACGCATCATTTCCCAATTTTATCTGTGCGCGATGAATCATATCCTGGCGCTTTTTTTCCACTTTCACTCCCTTGATTTCCCTTTTTTTTCCTATTTCCTGCCAGCATGATCTGATTGATCATTGATCCCCTGCAGAGTCCTTTTTCTGGCTGCGGCGTTATTCGCTATAATTGATTATCCTTCTGCTCTGTGAGACATTGAAGCCTTGCAGTGGATCAGCGCATCACGCCCGCCAGCAACGGTTATTTTTTTTCTCGGTACTTTTTCTTCCTTGGACTTGAACCTTGGGAGACTTGGGATGAACGAGATCAAAACTGTTTGATGTCAAGTCGATTTTCACCGATATCTGATCAGGATTATAATATTTTTTTCTCAGCTGTTGTGCACCGCCTTTTTCCCATGCTCTCGTCTTGTCACGGACCAGCCTCCCAGCCTCCGCGCCCATTGCAACCCGACGTTGTGTGACACGCCAGATTGAATCTTGACCGGGACATACGCGGAAAGCTCTCATCTCTCTGGAGGTTCCTTGGAAGTTCCAAGATACCAGCCAGGCAAAAAAAAAGGGAAACTATTCAGTTTAGAGGGCGACCAGGGATCAGAGATTACAGAAGACAAGCGAGAGACCACAGAAAATCGACGCCAACTACCCAAACCCCGTGCGTAGTGGCCAGTGCAGGTACAACAAACCATTTTTTTTCTCTTCTCCTCTTTCTGGGATCTTCTCCTCCTTAACCCCGCCCACTAGGAGTCCGATCAAAATCGGCTCGATTCTTATGGCCATCGGCGTTCCGGCCGCGGCAGGGTGTTCGAGTCGATCCTTGCACGACTGAGCAACTGCGTGCCGAATGGCCATCTCGCTTGCCAACAGCTCCTGTAGCCCGACGCGGCTGGGTATCCCTTTGGACGAAAAGGGGCCTCAACAGAAGCAGAGCATGTGGCATCGTTTGGGCCTGCGACGATGGCTGGGCCGCGAGGATCGAGACGCTTCGCCCGAGAGGGCCGATAGGAGGCGACAATCTTCTCCCCTATCCCCCCACAACCATGACCAACACCACCACTCCCATCACAATCACCGCGCCGCCTCCGCCGACAACTTCCCACGCGCCAAGCAGGATAACCTGACCCGCCGTCTCTCCCGCAAGGTCGGCGTAGGTCTTCCCCGATCAACCAACTTCAAACGCCAGATTCCCGAGCATCGCGATCGTCTAGCCCCCCTCGAGCCCGATCACCGCCGTGCCCAGTCCGCCGACCGCCAACTGAGCGTCCAAAGAACCAGAACCCATTCTCCACCGCCAACCGTGGGCCCACGACTCTCCGCACCAGAGGTTCAGTGGCTCGGCCCGACGCCCGCATCCACGGTCGACGACGCCGCCGAAACAAACGATGAGAGCGATCTCCATGCCGACTGGGAGAATCCTTCGTATCCGGACGTGACAACCACCCCCTCGGAGATCGAGACCGACCTAGACCGGGAGAAAGAAACGGAGACGCAGGCGCCGGTGCCGGCATCGGCAACTTTGCAGGACGATCTCGAGATGGAGCTGGAGCAGCGATGGATCCTAAATTTGAGTATGCACTTCCGGGACAACTCAGGCCGGGAAAAGTTCTTCGTCACCTACGCCGAAACCCCCACAAAATGGCGACGGGTGACGATTTCAATGGACTATCGGGGAGCCCCGCCCGACTCCCTGGAGCGAGATCTGGAGGAATTACGATACCAGCGCGATAAGTGCGCCCGAATATATGAGTCGATCCGGGAATCGCTGGCCGAAATTCAATTTTACGATACCGTGACGAATCTCAAGGTGGAGACACTGGACGGTCGCCTACACGTCCATGTCACGGAAGATGTCAACGAGATAATACCCTACCCTCCAATCGCCAGTATTCGCCATCTCAGAGGCGCCCGATGCGTACCTGAGCACCTCCTTCACTTCGACTCCCATCTCTCCGGGTTCGTTTACAAGGTTCAACTGGGTGGACACCCGTATATCAAGAAAGAAATTCCGGGCCCCGACACGGTGGACGAGTTTCTCTATGAAATCAACGCCCTACACGCGCTCAACGGCGCACCGAACGTGATTCGGGTTGAAGGCATCGTAGTTGACGATTCGCAGGAGGTGGTCAAGGGCCTGCTGATCAGCTACGCAGAGCAAGGTGCGCTCGTCGATATGCTGTACGAACAGCGTGGACGGATCTCATTTGACCGGCGAGAGCGATGGGCCAAGCAAATCGTCCAGGGTCTCTGCGAGATCCACGAGTCGGGCTACGTCCAAGGTGACTTTACCTTGTCGAACATCGTAGTAGATGCAAATGACGATGCACATATCATTGATATCAACCGCAGGGGCTGTCCGGTCGGCTGGGAGCCGCCTGAGATTGCCGCAAAGATCGAGAGCAATCAACGGATTTCCATGTACATTGGGGTCAAAACGGATCTGTACCAGTTGGGCATGACACTGTGGGCACTCGCCACGGGGGAGGATGAGCCCGAACGACAACACCGTCCGCTGGTCCTTGGATATGACATCGATGTGCCAGACTACTATCGACGCTTGGTCGACATTTGCCTCAGCCCAATGCCCCGACACAGATTAGGGGCGAAGGAGCTCCTCCATTTCTTCCCACCGGATCTTCTTTCACGACGATCTCGGCCTCCCAGCCGAATTTTACTACCTCACGAAATGGAGTCTGCGCCATTCATGACCCCGACAAACGGACTTTATCCTCTCCCTCCGGCAGAAACACAACCCCAATATCGCCGCAAGGAATCTTATGAGCAGGAGCTGCCCAAACCACAAAGTGAGAGTCGACCACGGTCTATGCTCGCAGATAATCACGACGAAGGAAAACGATCAACCATTACACTCGCAGAATCCACCGGGGATGCCGACTTCGCGCCTCGCCACTCGTCTGCATCCACCTTGAATCATGATGACCCTCATAACACGACTCAATGCTGGGATCGTAACCAGTATTCGTTCGGCAATTCAAACTCCGAACCAACCCCGGATGCGAAGGTCCAAAACGCCGTACCCATTTTCTGGGCCAACAATATGGAAAATGGAAACGGCGCCAACGTCGCGGAACCATCGACGCCTTTGGAGCCATCAACGAGCCAGAACGAGTCGGCCCACATTCCAGCACAAGAACTAAGTGAGGACCAGAAGCCCAGCCTCCTCCCAATTGAGTCACACTCGGAGGCTTTGCCCATTGCCGAGCATACACCCTCACCCACTCGGAAACATGTCAGCTTCGACACTCAAACGGATGATGATTCCCATTCGACAACCTCTCTCTTGCTTTCCGCACTACCAATCAACCCTGCCCTCAATCTCTCCAAGCGCAGATCCCTCCCATCCGTACTCAAGGAGGCACAGACTCTGGATAGAAAGACACAGTTCGATTCTGTATCTTCCCTTGCGGAGTCCCGATTACCCATCAACCCTGCTCTCGGCCTCTCTCAACGCAGGTCCCTCCCAGCCATTCCACGCAACACCCAACCACAAACACCCGCCGCAGCTGCTGCCGAATCCGAGTCCATCCGTCAAACCCTTATCACCTTCCTCTCCGAATCCCAACTCCCCATCAACCCCGCCTTCAGCGAAAAACTCGCCAACCTCCCTTAACCTCCTTCTTGCTCTGCTTTTTTCAGCGCAATGCTATTCCCCCAGCAATCTACGCTCCGACCACGTGAACCAGAATCTTTTCGGCCCCTTTCCTTTTTATTGACGGGGCCCAGTGCTCGATACCCACTTCGTTTCTTTCTCGCTTGTATAGTTGCCCCCCATTTCGTCATTGTCCGGATGTGTCTTTTCAGCATAGCTCTTTATCAAGGCATATGCCCACCCCGATGTTACATGCCGGCGAACTTTTGGCGTCTAAAAAAGTCCTTTTCATCTTTCTTTCTTGCATTCTTCTCATGACTCTGATTTAATATACTCTTGATGTGATTTTTTTTCTGTTCATTCTCTTCTTTCAGGCTATCTACATTTGCGTTTCAAGCTTCTATACGGAGGATTTGTTCATTCTTGCTTGGCGTTGTTGTAGCGGTTACTCTTTGATGTACCTCAATCATTCGCTTTTTCCTTTTGGCAAATATGGTTGTATTATCTTCTTCGTTGACTCTTTGCAATGCATATTATTGGAATACCACTACATTTCTTCTTCGTTCAACTGTAGCGGACGAATGACTCGAAGCTGTCTTTCCAGGGATCTACAGTCGGCCCTAGCCCGCGGCCGATCAGTACGATCTTGCACTGGACTGGAGATCGCTTGTCGTCGTCACTTTGAGTAGGCTCGGAATCCCTGATTTCGAAAACATCGCGCACTGCTTGGATGATTCTACTCGTGCCATCCTCAAGACGTAGGATACCCTTTAGTCGATGAATCTCGAAATTCGTGGGGTGTGATTCAGGTGATGAGTTTGCTGGCATGGGCAGCGTTAATTCCCACAGAACAGACTGTAGCCAAGAATCGACCTGTGGTACCTTGTCAGCAGGGATTGGAGGTGTCACAACCGCAATGGTCGAAATAGCCTATAAACAAGTCAATACATCAACGCCCGAATAATACTATCGATCGCCAGAAACCGTACCGGATCAATATGACTATGCCCCTTCCTACTAAAATCCAAATCATCCAAATGATCATAGGCATGCAAATCCAACACAACCCCCTCAATCTGCGGCGTCCGACTATGATCCGTAACATGAATCTTAGCCACGCTATTAATAGCCGAGATGCGATCCCGGACGACCTCCAACTCCTCGTCCGTAACAAGATCAGCCTTATTAAGGATAATCACATCCGCATGCGAGACCTGCATATGCGCCATGGACAGCACAGGCCCGGAACCGTGGTCGTGGTTATGGTCTTCGTTGTGAGAGCTTGCTTTTTCTTCGGGCGTGGGCTCGTCTAGCAGATGGAGAATGTTCTTTGCGTCGACGAGGGTGACGATGCCGTCGAGGTAGATGGAGCTGCCTAGGCCTTCGTCCATCCAGAATACTGGGGCGATGTTTCCGGGATCGGCGAGGCCGGTTGTTTCGAGGAGGATGTAGTCGAATGTGCCTCTGCGTTCCATGAGGGATTCTAGGGCCATTACACCGGTGTCTCTGGTTGGATATTAGTCTTTTGTACTTTGAATAGTGGAGGCATGGAATGTGTACTTGACTGAGCAGCAGATACAGCCGTTGCCGACTTCCATCCACTCGGTGACTTCTTGGCCGCCTTGGTTGACGGTCAAAGGTTTCTCGATGTCCGAAGCTGGAGAGAAATCGAGTCAGGTTAAATGGCGTGATCTTTTCTGTAATGAAGCACTCTTACAGTCACCAAATTCTAAACATAGGTTAGCATATATCTTTCAATTAGCCGGTCCTAGAACAAACCATTCATGATCACGGCAATCTTTTTTCCGTGTTTCTCCGTCAGAATATAGTTCAACAAGGTAGTTTTCCCTGCTCCAAGATATCCTATCAAGAAGCCATTAGCTTTGAAGGTCTCTTGCATTCCGGGTTGATCATACCTGTGACTAGAGTAATAGGAACTCGAGGTTGTGACTCTTCCTCTATAGACCCAGGCTGTTCAGACGGGATCACAGACACGTCCACCAGCTCTGGGGGTGCATCATCGTCCTCGAAGTTGGTAGACATTATTGCAGAATCAGATAATTGTTGTAGATGGAATAGCTATCAGTTTATTCTTTTCCTCGGCCGATGCAACCCGCATAGAAACTACGCCGCATGACGTTGTCGCCCAAGACGGAGATTAGGGCTTAGGGCACTGGGCGGTCATTTGTTTTGTTGCCCCGGGCTTATCTGCCCAGTACAACTCCAGGACAACGGGACAACAGAGTATGCTCGCAGATCCATCGCATCTCTGATCGACTTGACTAGTCGCGGAGCTCCATTCCACTCTTTCTATAATCGCGAACCCACACTCGTTTCTTTCCGCAACCTCTCTCCGAGCTTCCAACCCTTCCGCCACGCGCCATGACTGCTGCGGGAGTCTCCCCGTCTAGCTCCCCGCGACTTCCTAGTCCGCCCCCGTTCACGGAGGTCCAGATCGGACCTCAGTCGCCTTCGGTGGGCGAGACATTTGGGAAAGATGCGGAGCAGCTCCTAGCAGGTGTGACCGGTGAAGATGAAGGCCCAACGCGCCGCATTCGCCCCGGTACCAAGGCTGCCGACATGGCATTCGGTCCGCCACTGGTTCCTCTTTCTCAGGTTCGTATGCGCATTTAGGAAGCTTAACTTTGATATACCACTAACTATACCAGCTTGATTCTCCCTTCCAGCTCCAAGAACACCTCAAGGCGCTCTACCATCATTTCACCAAGCCCGAAGGATCAGACACGGTGGTCCCGATCACTCGCCACGTCGCAAGTCAGCTCGCAACCCCTCCGGATGGAGTCGATCGATCGTTGTGGCTGTACGAACTATGCCGCTTCTTGACCATGAAAGTGAACAATCTTATCATCGCCTTTTTCGCCGAGAACCCGCCCTGCTCAGCGCAGACTTGCCCGGAGATGCGAGCGTCGGAATGGCAATACCTCTGCGCTGTGCATGACCCGCCCAAGTCATGCTGTGCTATCGACTATTGCTGCCATACTCTCGACTGGGCTACCAACACCCTCACCTCCCCGAAGTATTTCCCCAGCCGCCTCACATTAGGCACCGAGGGCTCCGCCGGCCCACAGGCCAGCATGCGACACTTGACAAACATCTTCCGCCGGCTCTACCGTATCTTTGCGCACGCTTGGTTTCAACACCGGGATGTCTTCTGGACAGTGGAGGGACATGATGGACTTTATATCTTCTTCAAGACTGTCTGCGACATGTTTGCTCTTATTCCAGAGGACAACTACACTATTCCACAGGAGGCGGAGGGCTCGGATGCTTATCAGCCCAAGGTGGACGAGGTTGTTGACAACAAGCGGTTGACAATTCTGCGCAAGGAGAATGAAGCTCCCTTTGGCTCTGGTGTGGAGGGCATGGATCCAGCGATCAGTACTGGTGCTACTACCCGCCGCCACAAGCATAGCCCATCTACGGGATCACGAGTTAGCACGATCACAGAAAGTGCTGAGGATAATGATGAATCGCCTCAGCTCGCTGCACCCCTACGAGAAGTCCGGCAAGAGGAGGCACAGCCTGAATCAAATGAGGAGACACCTGCTGAGGAGTCGAAGGAGGTCTTCTCTGAAAAGGAAGAGCCAATTGATGCAGAAGAAACATCTGAAGGGGTTATCCCAGCTGCAGAGACATCCAAAGAATCTGAGAACCCCGCAGAGGAAGCCGTGACTGCAGATGAAACGCTTAAGGAAGCGGAATCTGACGTCCCAAAAATTCGGGATGAAGTCAAGCCTCAGCAAACTGAGGATGAAGCTCCTGTGGAAGATACAACTGCCTCTGCCGCTGAAGACACTCAAGAACAGAAGCAGGAGTCCGAGGTTGAAGCTGAGCCTGCAACTGAGCAGAAGGCAGAGTCATAAAGACCTGCAGACTCTCCTAATATCCCATTTCTTCTTGTCATCACTAATGTCTTATCACAAACGCCAATGCTTTACTAGGCGTTATGCATGTCATTATTATTTTGTAATATAGCTCAGGATACCATTTATGGTCAATGCCAATGATACCCATCCTCCTGAAATGAGTACCTAAAAAGTAAAGCTTAGATGAAATTAGAAGAGACCAATGTAAACGACATCATCTTATCAGGTTAGATGTTCAGGTACCACGATCAACCTTGATCGGCGCTGATAAGCACCTTATCTCCGTGGCGCATCTCCGCCCATCCCCGATCCTCCAACTTCCTCATCACCGCCTTCTACGACCGGCAAAATCACCTCCAGTCGTTCGACAAGACAAGAATGTCCTCGGTCAAGAGCGCTTCGGCGCCGATCTACTTTGGCTCGTTCCTGGTGACTCCGCAAGTAATACATACACCCCTCCCATGTACTCAGTCGCTAGCCAAAAACACGCAAAACTAACCCAATATCAACACAGGTCTTCCACCAGACGCCGCTCTCCTTCGCCCTCGTGAACCTAAAGCCCATCCTCCCCGGCCATGTCCTCGTCTCACCTCGCCGCGTCGTGCCCCGCGTCGCAGACCTCACCCCCGCCGAAACCAGCGACCTCTTTCTGACCGTCCGACGCGTCGGCCGCATGGTGGAGCGGCTCTACGGTGCGACAAGCCTCAACATTGCGGTGCAGGATGGCGTCCATGCTGGCCAGAGCGTGCCGCACGTCCATGCGCATATCATTCCGCGCAAGCCCGCAGATCTCGACCCTATCGATGCTGTCTACGATATGCTGGACGGAGACGAGGGGGATCTAGGCAGGGCGCAGCGCGAGGCGGAGACTGGGTGCGCTGCTGAATCCGAGCGAGCCAAGAACCGTCCCCGATTCCCTGTTGTTGATAATGAGGAGCGCAAGCCTCGTACCGCGGAGGAAATGAAGGCTGAGGCTGAGATGCTGCGGCGCGAGATGGAGAAGGAGGCCCTTGACTAGGAGAAGGGGGTTTGAATCTGATTCTCTGTCCGTCCCATGCTGTCCGGCGCCGACGGCAATCATGTAATTACATACGAAGAAATGACCGATACAGAATAGGGCAATTCAAGAAATGTATTTGCTCTTTCAAAACTCAAATCCGAAAAGTCCATGCATTCGTTCATCATCAAAACGTCTGTCTTCGTAAGGAACACTATCCCTGACTCATTCCGCTATATGGTATGTAGGGTACCCCCGAAAATAATATACCAAAACAATAAAACGCCAAACTGAGAATTCTAGAATGGTAGGACTCTAGAGAAATTCATCCTACCCTGTCAAGAGGATTTATGCACGCTTTGGGCGCTCGGCAATGACCTGCTCAGCCCAGACCTTGATCTCCGGTAGTTGCACGCGGTTGGCGACGTGTTGGAACTCGGACAAATCGACATCGTGAGCACGCTCGTACTCCACCATCTGGAGGAGCAGCTCCATCTTATCGATATCGTGCACGAACTGAGCCTCAAGTGTGACATTATCCTCATACTCCTGGAACACACGCTTGATCTCCTGGGCAGACAACGCGCCGCCGGGGATCTTGCCCAGCAGGGTCTCGGTAATGTAGTCCATGACATCGGCCTCGCGACGGGCCTTCTCGGTCTTGGTCACATCTTTGTCGACGGGGGTAATATCTCCGACGAGCGATTCGGCCATGTCGTGAACGAGGGCCATCTTGGTGCAGTGGGGGATGTTGAGTTGGGAGGCCAGCTCGGGCGGGGCAAACATCGTCATGATCGACATGCGATACATGTGGTCGGAAATGGATTCGCCATTGATACCGAAGCGGCGCCAGCCCTCGCGCTTGGTGGTCTTCAGGCGCTCAAGGAGGTGGAAGAAGGGAATGGGGGAGGTCGTGTTCTCCTCTGGAGGGTGGGGGAGGGTAGACAGCACTAGAAGAGATAACAGATTAGTCCGCGCCCAGTTCACGGGAGAGCTACAGCTAATTACCTGTCTGAGGGGTCCATTGAGGAGTGTTAGATCCCATGTCTGCGAACGGTGTAGGGAGAAGAGGAGAGGAGAGGGGAGAGAGAAGGGTAGCACGAGGCCAGTCTTATTGAAAAGGGAAGAAGAACCAAAGTAGAAACAAACCCAAAATGATCCGCGGGACGAACTGATAGGCGCAACAAACAGTGCAAACCCCCGTTATCGTTGTTGACATTCCGCCGCCTTCACTAAACTAAACCACGACCTCCTCATTTGCTCGCAGCGACATGGCTGCCTCGAGGCCCGCACGGCCAAAGCCCCTGGACTGGTCGGGCCCATCTCATCTGGCAATCTTCATCCGCAATCTGAAGCTTCTTCATCTGGATCAGCGCGATGATTGGCCCGGTATCACCATTCGCGCGTTGTCCCCGTCGTCGCAGAACCAGCGCCAGCGAATTCGCCTGATAGAATGGTCATTATACTATCTGTTTACGATATGGGACCCTGAAGTAGCTCAAAATGTATTTCAATAATATTCAACGAAGCTAGATATGCAGTTTACTAATTCGATACAGAAACTCCGTCCCTTTTTCCCTCCGCTGGAACCCCTACAATCCGTCAACCTCCGTGCAGCTCTCTTCCGATCTCTTACCGAATTGAAAAAAAATGGCGATCTCGGACGAGAAACAATCCTTCGAAAGACAATGCTGGACGACTGCAAAGGCGAGAAATTTGATGAATTGCTTGCGGTGTTCTCCACGGCCGTCCTACGGAAGTTGGTGGCTGCATCGGCATCTGAAATGATCTGGAATCCTGCCATGACACTGTCTACCGCCTCCTCAATTTCTCCAAGGGACTATCAATACCTCATACCGTTGATTCTTGCTCACCAGGTCTCCCTCAATGCGACGGGTGCTCGCCGCTCACGTGTACAGGAGACGTACGAGCAGTTTTCGCATCTGCTTGATGATAAGAAAGTCGAGCTTACAGATCGAGCCAGCAATCTGTCCACGCAAGATAAAGATCAGCCACGGACTGATTTAGACGGATTAACACAGGAGCTTCAAACCAATTGGCTGGGCAGCGAGGAATGGGCTACTGCTATTCTGAATGGCGGATCGCACAGCAGCACCGACGGTTTTCTGGAGCTTCCTTTCTCCAAGGCCTGGAAGCAAGCTACGGAATCGACGGTGAACGGTCTCGGCGGTGGAGTCAAATCGGATCTGGTGGTGGATCTAGAGGCTCGAGTACTGCGGCTACGAGGTCGGCTGCGCAGGTGGCATGAATACAGTGACTCTCTTCGCGAAGAACGCGACAGGAGCTACGATGCAAATAGTTCCGCTCGTCATGAATCCCGCCTAGCGTTCCGAGATCATCAGTCATTGACGGTGGCGAGTATATCAAAGGCGGTCCGAGAATCAGCAGACCGCGGGAGAACCCTGAACGAAGCGGACCGGTCATTCATGTCGAGTGTGAATGAGGCCATCATACGTGTGAACGGCAAGTCTCATATTGAAAGAACTCAGCCGTTGTCGGTGGCCTTTTCGGAGAGGGATTCAACACCAGCCTCGGTGGTGAACGAGCCTCAACCGATACGATTATCAAGATTGGAGGATACGCAACCTTCTATACCTTCAACGCGCAATTCTCCAGAACTACCAATCGAGCCGCCGGAGCCCCTCCATTCCTCACCTCCAATTGTCCGACTTCCCCCCGACCCCCACTCCGAGTCAGATGAGGAACCTGACCCAGAGCCTCTCAAGCCCTCAACATCAACATCAAGCTACACCCTCGTCGAACGCACCCGCAAATCAATGTCCCTTATCCCACCCCTCCCAACCCATGAATCCCAACATCCCCCCAAACGCCGAGGCCCACACTCTTCATTCCCAGTAAACCAATTCGAAACCCCACGCAAGTCCTCGCGTCCAAAGATCACCCGTTCTTCTACACCGCAGGATAAACTCTTTGAAGAAGACGCCGATTATGCGAGTGTCTTTAAATCACGGCCTCGTATTGCACTTAGTCCGATCTCATCGCCGGCTGTGCATTTTAGTCCGTCGATGGATGAAGATGAGAGCTTTGATTTGGAGTATGATGAGGCGGGCTTGAGGGACATGGATTCGCCGTCGGGGACTTCTCGGTTTCGGGGGTGATTGGGGTTAAGTTTATCAATGGCTTGTGCTTGGCAGAAGGTTGGGAAGTGTAGATAGGAGATTATAATGTACTTATTTCCCTTCTCGGTTTGCGGAGTAGAGCATTCAGCACGGTCAAGGCTCGTTTCAGAGTCGACATAGTCTACAATTCAGGCGTCAGTACAACTCTTAAAGGGTTGGAAAACCGGCTGGGCCGAAGTCGAGCAGGCTCCGTTAGTTGCAGGTATCCCACTAAGTATAAATAAAACTCATGATTTTCGTAACAATTATAAAGCTAAAATTACATGTTTTGGATAACCGTCATACATCAGCACCTGACATCATTTATCAATCAGGGGCGTACTCAGACCCCGAGTCAGCATCATCTTCCTCATCTGTACCTTCGACGATGAAACCGCCACCATTCATGTCCTCATCGGTGTTTGGAGGAGCTGTTCGCCGTCGTGTATCGTGATGTTGCTCAACAATCAAGCCATCATCCGCATCGGCTTCAGCTTCACCAGGTAACAAAAAGCCACCACCATGATCAAGAGCATTATGCAAAGATTTCTCAAAGTCATGATGATCATCTTCCGCAAACCCGGTGTGGTGCTCGGGCTCTGGCTCTGGCTCAGACTCATCAAGCTGCTCCTTCTTACCCTTCTTCCTCGCCGCAAAAGGATTATATGCATCCCTCTCGCGATCCTCCGCAACATCAAAGGCACCATACTCCTCCTGCACACGCTCTGTAATACGCAACCCGAACAAAAACTTCCGCCAAGTCTGTAAGATCCGCTTCTCAGCCTTAAGTTCTTCGCGCTTGCGCTTCTCTTCCGCATCGATCCGCCACGCATCCCGAAGCAGATCCTCGTTCTCGGCCGCAATGACAACACCCTGAATAACGGGGACAGCCATCTTGGAGCCAAATTCGAAGCCGGTGACTGCTTCTGCATAATCGATGCCGAGCTTCTTGCAGATGCGCACTGTACCTGGTAATGGGACGTGTGCGGCACCCTGGGGGACCATACTGGGTACGAAGCAGTCGATATTGCCGTAGTCGTTCTTCGGGATGATACCGTCGACGATGGGAGGTGGAATGATGAATTCCGTTTGATCGCGGGCGTAGAGTCCTTGCATGGGCTTTTCGCCCGTCTCGCGCTGTAACTCGTCTACCTCGCGCTTGCGCCGAAGTGTCACGGATCGGATGGGGACTCGTTTTAGAGGAACTGCGCCTGGAAGGATCTGTCGTCCCTCTTTGTGCCAGCTCTCCGCTGACATGCATTTGACGACGTCCGCCCTGCGGAATACAAGTTCTTTCTTGGCTTTATCACCTTTTCCGGAGGTGAAAATGCGGACGGATTCCGCGCCGGGGGTAAGCGCTTCCTCGCGGCGGAGAAATCGTTCTAGCACGAACTCGGTGGATTGCCGGAGACTTTGTAGAGTGTCCGTGGTCTGGGTCGTCTTTTTCTTTTCTGGTTGTTTTCGTTGGAGATCGGTCGTATCTTCGAGCTCGTCGACCTTTGTTCGCAGGTTCGGCGGTCTTAAGTATGGACGAATGGTCACTCTGAACCAGTCAAACTCGAAATGTTGGCCTCGCCGGCGGCCTGGTAATGGGATCTTTTCTACCGGTATGCGTAGGCCCTTGGTCTTTCCAGGCCAAGTCCGTCGCTTGAGGTATCGGGTCGTCACATCCTTGGCAGTTCTATCGGCTGAGTAGGCGACTACATAGCATATGACCTGCTTGGCGCGATCAGCTTTGACACCGCGCGGTTCAAAGGCTGCTTGTAGCTCGGGTGTTGTGGCTACAGGGTTTGACAGAACGAGAGGGTCGACTGGGATAATCTCATGGGTGATTGGGGAGGCAACTTCAGTCCAGTAGATAGGGAAAGGCATATCCTTGTCATACTGGGGCTTGCCCTTCGTCGATGTAGGCTTTTCTTCCTCTGGTGTTGTATCATCTTCGGACTCGTTCTCTGAAGCAGAACCCTCTTGCTTCGCCTCCGTCTTGGATGGTGTGTATGTCTCTGCTTTAGTCCAGCCGAACCCCAGTGGCTGTAAGCTAGCCACTAGTCTGGCCTCGATATTCAAAGCTCTGATGAGGGCCGTGAAAAGCTGAGCACCCACATCTCTGGAGCCCCGCATATGCTCAGCGGCTGATCGAAACCCCTCCCTATTAGTGATACGTTCTCCATGCCGGTTGGGATCATGCTCCTCATTTCGAAAATCATTGATAACTGCCTCAAGCGAGGCAATAGGGCGATAACCATATTTCCGCAGACCAGGCGCAGTAATACGAAACTGCTTCCTCCAATATGCTACCAAGATCTTGAGAAGGCCAATGAGAGGATCACCTCGGCTCATATCTGGCTGACCCGGCTCCAAACGCTGGGAATCCTCACTCCAATCCTTATTCTTCCGCGCCTGTTTCCCTTTCTTCTTGCCCTTGGGCTGCGGCTTTGGTTCGGGGAGCTCCAACCCCGATGCAATCCGCCATTTCTTGACTTCTTTATGGATTCCCTCTGGTAGCTTATGACGTAATATCTCGTGGACTTTCTTGTCATTTACCCAGGCGTTGCGAATAGCATTGTGGAAGAGCAAGCACTGGACATGTATGCAATGAGACTGGATGCGAATCTGGCGTTCGATCTTACTCGGCCCTTTCTTGCCATCCAAGAGATCCGATACATGCGGCTCATTCTTGTCTAGGGTCAGCTCTAGGTCTTGGAGCTCGGGCTGGGGTCCAGCGACGATAGGCGTTGTTGCGCTGGTAGTGTTGGTATCGATAGCATCCTCCCAGTCGACATCCTCGTCTTCCTCGTCATCAGATTCACCTGCGCTAAGTCCTTGCGGGGTCTCAATATCGCCCTCTGGAGCATCGCTCAGCGATGACGAGTCGGAGTCGGAATCATCAATGATGGGGACAGGCGCGGCCGGCTCGGCCTGGGCCTGGCGCCGCTTGGCTGGGGGCAGGTCCGCGGAGGAGACGCGCTTGCGGGGGACGAACGGTGGCATGCGCGAGATCAGATCTGAGTGCCGACAAGGAGGCCTGAGAGAGAAGAAGGTGACAGGAAGATGACTTGACCCTCCGGGATAATTCTGCCGTTCGTGGTTTGCGGCGGTCTCCCTGGCAGGGGGTTTGCCGGCTGTTATTGGGTCGGATGGTTATCCTGGTTCAACACTGAGGCTCCAATCAAAAGTCGTGTTGCCCATCAACACCACATCTCCTAGTAACACAACGTATCCGCAAGATAATGACAATTCGAGTAATCAAATGAAAAGACCATCCAGTGTACATCTAAACTCGAATGGTAGACTGTAGAAACTGAAATGGCAGAAAGGATGGCAGACAAGGTTCGTTGCCTTGTTGCTTTATCGCCTTCTCTACTGGAAATTCAGGCACCAACAGTGAAGTGACGTCAGGGTCGCTTTCCACCTTACTGTACTCCGTAGTTATGGAACTTTGTTTAAACAGGCTACAGGTTTCCGGCGTAGATCGAGAACTTCGACATCCTTATGATACTTACTAAGCCTTTTATCACAGATACATACAGCAAGTTCTGGAAGTTCGAACCCTTGATATGGGTTTGAAATTGTCTTATCAGTCAGGACATTAAACTATACACTATGAAGAAACCATGGCTATTAAGAGAGACGGTTCAACAGACATTTAGAAAAACCTTTGACAAAAGAGAAAGCTAAGCCGTAATATCTACATAACAAACCTGGTTCTCTAGTCTAGATGTCGATGATCCAGATCTGCCAATTCTCCACTATATACAAAAGGGGTATAAAGTATTTTTCGGAAGCACAAGTTGTCGTACGATTAGCCTTGGCCATTTATAGATCTACTAGGTGGTCCAGAACAAGAGCATGTCCAGGAAATTTTTACACGAGCGAAGCAAAAAAATCTTGTCATAGATATTGGCTGAACGATACAATTTTCGCATGTAGACATTTAAAGCACAGCGACCAGTTGATCAGGGACCACAGTCAGCCACTTTAGTAGTGAAGTTCCAGAGCAGGTAAACCAAGGTGACATGGGAGATATCATGTTATTTTCATAGTATCACTTCATTGTCATCGCAGTTATACTACCGTTCTATCAGATTGAGTCTCAAGCAATCGAATACATAAAAGCCACCTGCAACCGCTAATCAGAGCTAGAACTTCAGAAGGGCAGGTCATGAGCATGAAACGCAGAGCTTCCAGGCGGATGAACTCCTGCCACTATATCTAGCATGACCTCCAATTCTTTCATGCTGTAAACCTTTTCACGATCTCGCTTGTCGACAGAGAAATCAGAAGAAAATGCATTCCAACGACGACCCTTCTGAGCCTCGGCAAAGCTGATCCCCTCTCTTTGACACAAAACCCTGGTCGCCGTATGGGCTTTCTCGATGTCATCTTGAGATAGCCGCAACGGAGTCTTGCCTTCATGATTTTTCGCACGTAGGTCAGCTTTCCGGTCAAGGAGCAATCTCACGACGACAGAATGCCCAATTCCCGCGGCGTGATGAAGTGGAGTCATTTTGTATGTGTCTCTTGCGTCGACACAGGCCCCATTCATCAGGAGAAGGCAAGTGAATTCGTATCTGTCATTAAGGGTGGCATAGTGAAGCAGCGTTTTCCAACTTAAAGTTCGCGCATCCACCTCGATTCCTGCGTCTAGGAGCGGTCGAATCATAGTATGATGGCCTCGGCAAGGAATGTTAGGATAGAAGCGTTTTATCCACAAAACACAATGTAAAATCACCAAATGCTCTGATTTTCCGATATTAAAAAATAAGAGTGACCCATTGTATTAGATTAGAATTGAACGGATATCAAGTATCCAGAGGCGGGTCAATCTTATTAAGGTCTAGAGTAGTACTGGTCGATCTTCGGGGAATGGAGATGGGCGATGAGCCAAAGAACGGCGAGGATGACGCTGTCGGCGAAAGCCGCGGTCTTGCAAGAACTCCAACTTACTTGACTACCTTGACAGAAAAGTTCCACTGGTATTCTAACTCTACGCTCATCTACACAATTCTCACAATTATCCATTTGCCATTTCTCCTCCACTCTCTGCAGTATCCCCGCCAAATAATGGACGCCGTCAAGCGATTCTTCTCTTCCCCGCGCTTTGCCGTGGCGGGCGCCAGCAATGACCCGGCCAAGTTTGGCTTCAAGAGTCCGTCTCTTTCCTAATATTTGCTATGCGAAAAACTTACATTCCTCCAGTCCTCGCATGGTATCACCAGCACTCGCTGCCAGTGACCCCATTAAACCCGCGAGCACCGCAGATCAACCTCCCCTCGCGTGCGTACGACACTGTCCCCTCACCGAGCAAGCTGCCCTCGCCCACCCAGACTTCGCTATCGGTCGTCACTCCTCCCCCGGTGACTCTCCAGGTGCTGCAAGAAGCGCATTCCGTCGGAATCCCTGCCGTCTGGCTGCAGCCGGGGACTTTCGATGACGCTGTGCTGGAGTATGCCCATGGACACTTTGAGGCGGTGATTGCGGGCGATGGTGGAGCTGGTGGAGAGGGATGGTGCGTGCTCGTGGATGGTGATGAGGGATTAGATGCTGCTGGAGTCCAGTGGACTAGCCAGCGACTGTGAGAGGATGGGATAGACTGAGAGGAAAGAAGAGGAAGAGTGGAGGATCTGATCTGATCTGATCTGATCTGGGGATGCTTGATGTTTAATGTTAGGGGGAACAGCAGCTAGTGATGGTGTCTCAGATGATAACTGGGTTAACAGTAGTTGTTGTTATTTAGAAGCAAGTTGAGTCTAGTTATTCAGTACCCCTAAAGAACTTCCAATATTTTTCTTTTGCAATCATTCTGTAACTATCAGTCTATTAGCTTGTTAGTCTCAGTAAGCTTCACCCAATGACACTTTGTTGTTGTGACCCTCCAAGTTTCCCCAACCTCGTCACTTTTTTCCTTTTCCCTTTCCACCCGACTAGAGACTTTTCCTCTGACTTTTTTCTTTCTTTCTTGAACCTCCTGCTCTTACTATCAAATATACTTATTCTCACAATCCTCCTTTCATCTCCTCCCCTCATCCCTCTAACCTCCCCTCCAAACATGCCGGACATGCCGGCCCTCTTTCACCAGTCGGCTTCCCCACCCAAGCTCGACCTCGCCAGCGCCAACTCGCAGTTCTTCCAAGTTCCCATGTCTGCATCGGCCTCTTCATCCCTCTACTCGCTATCCGTCAGTCGCAAGCGAGCCCGTCGTGACACCGAAAAACTATCCTCCAAGTTCGAGGCCTCGTCCGAAGTAGCCTCCGCCTCTCCACTTCTCCAAGCCGAGTACGGCAAAACAAACAGCCATGATCAGTTCCTTCACTCCGCCGACCTCGACTACCGTCCCAACCGATACCGCGAGTCATTCCTACCACCCTCGCTCGACAACAGTGTGGACTCCTTAGATCCTGACCTCCACGGGACAAGCCGTAAGCGCACTCGGCGCGACTCGATCCTCACATCACCCTGCGCTGAGGATGCCAGCCCCAACTCCACAAGGAGCATCGGCTGGGGACGAACGGTGATTAATGCTGTAGGAAAGGTCCTCGATCTCTGCTGGTCGGGGGGCTTTCCGAGGCTTCTACGCTGGCGGAGGACAAGGATACGACATGCAGGCCGGCTCACCAGCTCCGTTCACTGCGAGCTGGGAGGCTGGACCGGCTTCAGCAGAAAAGGAACGTATTTTCCGAACTCCCATCCCCGGGCAATACCCCGAGGAAGATATCGATCGGAGCTGGGTCGTGATACCGTCCGACCCGACCGATCCATTCGGGGGCGATGGCGCCAGCAGTCCCTCCGCGCGACCCCGTCGTATTCATCAGGCGTCCAGCCCCCGTCGTCGACCAGCAGTCATGCCGAAATTGAACAAACGAACCAGTTCGTCTATGCGGCCCTCCACTCCCACGAGACATCAGGGGCTACCTTCACCCCGGTTGAGTCAAGGGCCTGGCTCAGCTGAGATGCAACGATACGCAGCACAAATTCGCCGGAGGGAGCGGGAAGAAGACGCCAGCATCAAGCGATTGAACCGGCAACTTCAAGCAATGATTCGGGAAGGTAAACAGGCATTAGGATCGACGGTGGAGGTGGATGACCTGGACATGGACTTTGACTGAGCAATATTCGGACTATTGCATTGGCGTCACTCTTTGAACCTCTTTTTTTTCTCTTGGTGTCTCTTTTTTTTTCTTTTCCTTGTTGACATGACCTTCTTTCATGCGTCTCACGATTCGATACCCCAAACGCGCTAGTTTGCTTGGTTATTTAGCCAAGTCAAACTGGCTGACGCGCTTGACGACTTTACGATCTCGGTGTTTTTGCTTCCATACCTATTGCTGTTTATTCACATCCCCCACACAAAATATGCTGGGATTAGGGGAGTTTCATAATTCAAAGGCTATTTATTATGCTACCAGACTGCATTACCAATTCAAAGGCCTCCTTTCATTCGAATCAAATGACATTGTAACTGAAATTCAATAAATACATCATCCATCATCGACTCCACAGAGACACTCCTCGTTTCGTTTCACACTGACAACCATCCATTACACTGAACGAAGAAGCTATCCATTAATGAATACCTTTACCTCACAGGGAATGATTCCTACTGTCCGGCAGGAGCAAGTCCACCAGGCGAAAGGAACTTAGCAACCTTTCCCAAAACGCCACCCCTGAGAAGAACGTCTGGCAAGGTAGCGCCCTGGATAGGCTCACCACGGGCCTCGACTGGGACATCACGACGGCCATTCATCTAAAACACCAGTCAGTCAAGTCCACATCCATCTAAATCTAAGAGAATCGTCGACTTACGGGCAGAATACCAACACCGTGGTGCGCATTACCAACAAGCCCACCAAGCCCACTCTCACTGAAAAGTTCCTTCAATGGACTCTCAACAGCCTTCTTGTCGTCCTTCGCAGGCTTCGCAGGCTTCGCCTCATCCTTACCCTTGTCACCCTCCTTGGCCTTCTGCGCCTTCTCAGCCTGCTGTTCCTCCGAGAGTTGCTGGGGGGTCTTCAGGACGTCGAAGAAGTCACGGCGGGACTGCGTATATCCGTTAGTATTCTTATCCTTTTTTTCCTCGATGCACGAGCTATTCTATTCATCTGGGATCGATCGGGGGTAACATACAGGCGTGGCAGCTCCAGCAGCGGCCAGAGCCTCAGCCTCGAGGTTGTCCAGGTCATCGCCCAGGAGGTTGTTGGGGTTAGTCAGGTCGGAGACATCCTAAGGGTTGTGGATTAGTTGCCCATTTGAGGTGTATAGGGGATACGAGGTCAAGACTTACGACGCCTTTGATACCCTCACCGAGGGCGTTTGTAAGGCCGGCATCCTCGCGGCGGCGGTGGCTGATAGTCTCGGACTATGAGATGTGTGAGTTTTGACAATATCATCTGGGTTTGAAGGTTTGCTTACGCCTCCGGATGTGAGCTGCTTGACGAAAGAGAGCAGTCCCAGGCTCTCGGGCTTGGCTTGGCTGTCACGCTTAGCAGCGTCCTTCTTTTGCTGCTGTAGCCTTGGTGAGTGAATGATATCATTTCGGGTTTAGTTGGAGGCTTACACCACCAAGAAGACTGCCAATGAGGGGCAGACTGCTGAGCTCGCTGGTCAGGTCACGGCGTGAGTTCTGACCATAGTTCTGCAGCCAGTTTTGGCCCTCGTTTTGACCATCATTTTGTCCTTCGTTCTGGCCTTCGTTCTGGCCCTCGTTCTGGCCATAGTTCTGCATCCAGTTCTGGCCTTCGTTTTGGCCTTCATTCTGCCCGGCGTTCTGACCGGCATTTTGACCGGCGTTCTGGCCGTAGTTCTGACCGTAGTTCTGGTCGTATGAACGAGCGGACATGGCAGGCATGGCATCTCCACTGCCGAGGGGCTGGTTGGTGTTCTGGTTCTTGTCTTGGTTCTATCGGCATTATTAAATCTCTCATTCCATAGAGCCTTGCAGTGTCATCATTTCATTCAAGAGACTTACACCACCAAACAATTCACCCAGGATGGGGAAGTGGCTCAGATCACCAGTGAATGAGCGATCGTGCAGCTCCTTCTCCTCAACGCTGCGCTTCTATTCATTTATTCCCGTCAGTTTCAATTATCATGAAATCATCTGCGTCTTCTTTTCCTGGGCGTTGCACTTACCGGGTTCCCAAGAAGACCACCGATCAAGGGCAAGCTCTGGAGGATACTCGGCTTCTGATGCTTAGCAGCCTCAGCAACTTCCGCCCTCTGCTTAGGTGTCTTTTGCCTCGCTAGATCAGCATTCTGCTTCTTCAAGTTCGAATAGAGTTGGCCAACCAGCTGGTTCAAAGACCCATCAGCACCAGCACCGACAAGATTGCCAGTACCATCGCGACGCATCGGCTCAACGCCCGTATAATCATTGCTACTCGGCGCCATAGGAGCAGCCATGCTCACGGCAGCAAAGAGCGTAACCGCATAAGTAGTCTTGACCATCTTGACAGCTGTGCTGTTCCAGTGAAATCCTGCAGGGAAAATAAACGAGAGTCAACGCCGGCAAGCGACGAGGGAAGTGGGCAGGCAGCAGGGAGGGAGAGAAACTGTCAAGGACGGACGAATCTGCGGAATGCAAAATAAGAGGGAAAGGATAGGTGGCTTGGCTTTATCTTTATACGGACGTGCCTTGGTGACATTCTAGGATAACTTTGGTATTACAGGGGGGGACTCGCGTCTCCTTCACGGACGGGACGAACCATCTAGCAGTGTCAACAACCCTTTCGAGGAATGCGGTGGGCTTCCACGCTGGTTAGGAGTGGACTGTCTTGGTTACTCGGTCCTACAGGAGGAATGTTTCGAGGCTTGTTTGGTTTAATTTCTCCGTCGATCGAGGTTGCAGGGTGTTCATGCAAGGGGGATCGACGCTGGTCGTGCGCGAAGATGTATACAGAGTGGCCGGTGTGCTTGGTGTCTGAAGCCACTTCCATCATTTGGGTCCATCCTCGTGGTGAGTATAAAGTGGTCTAAGAGCTCTTGCTTGGTTTCAGGTTGTTGTGAGGCAAATTAGGTAGAGGATTTTGTTCGTCCGCGAAGACCACTTGACGTTGTACGCTGCTTGTAGGAGGGTTTGCCGGAAATGAAGGGGTCGGGCCTATTTATCCCTCTTCGCTACCCCGTTTTACCCTTATTTGACAGTACCTTTTCGGTGCACGTCGGAGGTTTTGGGGTAGGCGCCAAGTGCTTGTTTGCCAACACGTCTACGGGCTTGGAAGGATACATATCAGACAACACCCCGAGTCATAGGTATAAGTTCGGTGCCTAGCACCTAGCAGAGCATTAATTGGATATCAATCTATGTACTCGAACTTTATTTTGTAATTGAAACTCCTGCTGATTACCTTACCCTCCAGTGTGTTTTGGCGGGTAGTTACTTCACCCATGGGGTATACTCTGAATATTCCATTGGCCGTGGATTGCCAAATCTTGTTGTCTCTCCATGTGACCGTCGAAAAATATTTAGATGCATGCCGGCTCCATATAATAGGTCTTTGACGCTTTTCGGTCACTCTCTCAATCTTAAATGAGCCCACTGGGACTGGGTGTGAGCTCCGAGGATACAATCTGCCGAGATATATATACTGCTCGCCAGCCCAGACGACACCATCCATGAACCTAGCAGCTTTGACCTGCAAGGCGCAGAAACCGATAAAGAATACCTCTAAAGCCCAATATGATCAGAGAGGGATACTTGGAATGGATGTAGATTGAGCCGAGGCCCTCAAAAGCCAGAATTGTTGTTGAAATGCGATGACATAGTTTCTGAATACACAGGTCATGGTATAGCTTCATCTTGTCAAAACAATGACAAATTCTTTATGAACCGGCCAACTGGCCTAGTGGTAAGGCATCCGTTTCCGGTGCGGGAGATCGTAGGTTCGAATCCTGCGTTGGTCGTTTTTTTATTATTGTTCGAGTCGTGCGATCGATCAATGTGGAGCAAAAAAAACATCGCGGGTATATTTTTTGTGGGGACGAAAAAAAGATGTACATTCGTACAAAAAGAATCGACCAACGCAGGATTCGAACCTACGATCTCCCGCACCGGAAACGGATGCCTTACCACTAGGCCAGTTGGCCGGTTGATGAATGTTTTCTTAAATGTTGACACTACGATGCAGAGCCAAGTTGGTATCGTCTCATCTCATCATGTTTTCATCCGATCTGAACCATGTCATGGTTACCCCTAGACAATAATCCTCGGCCAGGGTTCGCAGATTCATATTTACAGTAATAATATGAATCAAACTGATCGCGCAATTTGCGGATGCCAATGGACTCAAAAAGCTCTACTTCTCACAAAGGCATTGTTGTTGTTAGGAGTCTGCGAACATATACTACGAGACTTGAGATGATACGAATACATTGTCAATTCAAGGCACGTGCTCGGGACCCAGTGAGCCCTAACTGCAGCTATGTCTGACAAATTTTGATTCTCACTCTTTATTGAATTCCATCTAATGTCCATGTCCTTTGATCACCCCCGACGCATAGAATCGCGTTCCAGTCGCGCTGAATTCCTAGCCGAGTGAATCTCCCAATCGGAAGTAATTTTAATCTGCCCGTGAGCCAGCTCACTTAGCTTTTTCGCCATCGGAGGCATCGTGACAGTAACCAGTGGTATTTCAGGATCGTCCATCTGTGCACGCGACAAGACTGTCGTTTTCCAGTACCCTGACGATACAGGACTAGTGGAGATACCATCCGTTGTTGATGAGAGTACCGAAGTTCCAAAGATTATCTGAATTGCCGGAGGTAGTATTGGCAAACATGCCGCGATGATTCCCAGAAGAGGAACAATGCTCGAGAGGAGCGATTTCCGCGCAGAGCCGTAGGTTGGGTCCTCCGGGTCAAGGTCGAATTCGACTTCGATTCGAACTGCGGAGATGACGATGATGCTACATGGTCAGGATTAGTTTGTGTTGGAAATAATCCATACAGGGAAGGACAAAGACGTACGTAATTCCCAGGGCATATATACAGCCTAGTACAACCTTTCTAGCCCTGGAAAGTATCATATCCCGAATAACGGGAAGGGGAAGCAGGAGAATGAAGCTGTGGAGGATCACTTCAGCCACGGAAGAGCCCAAATGCAGCATTTTACGGTTTCCACAGTGGCCTTCCACGTCGGCGAACCATATCCTCTTCGGTGGTGTGCAGAAGAATGCAGTTGCAAATGAGCTCGCAGTCCACAACGCGGTACACAGGCCCATGGTGATATAACCTGGCCACATGATAATTCGCAGTGGGAATCTCCGGAGATAATAATGTAGAACGGACAGTTGAATCAATGCAACTATTGTGACCCAGAGGATGTCACCGGCATATGTGAGCTAGATGATATTAGACTGATCCCTTGTAGATACCAAGTGAAAATTGCCACTTACCTGATCGAATTGCACAAAGACCTCGGGGCCTCCGATACGGGCAACCTCTGCTGCATGCAGTCCCATTCCACATAGTAAGATCAAGGCAAGCTCCACACTATAACGACCGACCATGAAGATCTGAACAGACGACGTTAGCGCTACTTGACAAAGTAGAGACAAACAATCCAGTATAGGTCTTTTACCGTCGCTACCACTATCAACCAATCATTCCCCTGCCACAAAATTCCTTGCAATCGCCGAGACCATAGCCGTAACCCAACAGCAACAAAGCCGATTGCCAGCAGAACCGTCTGCACGGCAATATCAGCCTTGCCCAGCCCGTTATGGCCCAGTTCATGAATAAGTGTCCCTATAGGAGGTGGCATCGAGCTATCCAACAATCACAAAATCCTCACCACCAGGCGTCGGGTACCACCTCACCATATAACATACCTCATACCACATCTCGGCCTCGGGTCCACTAGGCCTGAAGAGGGGGCCGATGCGGGGCCTTGCATTAAAGTAAGCAAGCTAATCAGGGAGGGCCCCTGCACCAGGCCGCCATCTAGATCGACGCTTGTTGTCATGAAATCGCCTATGGCTTTTGTACAACGAGCGATTTAAATTACGTCCAGCAAACGTTCTCGACTTTAATTGGACTATGCAGAGCTTTTCTGGAAGATTTCCCGGGCAGGCGTTTTGCGAGGGCGGGGGGCTGCTGCTAGACTGCCTAAACGTCTTCTGACATGGGATCCACTTCATCCACCTTTCACTTTATCTCATACATCGGCGTGTCACACCGCTGCAAAGCCTGTTTTAGATTGCCGATGCGACTACTACTGTACTGATGGCGCTATTTTTGCATTGGCCCTACGAAAATTAATTCTCATGTTGAAGTAGTTTAGGCCGGGAAATCATATGAACGACTTGGGCCGAGATCGAGGCATGTCTGAAACTAATATCTCTTAGCTTGTGATTTAGACAGGAAGAGCTATGAGACACAGCTGTTACTGAGACCGTGCATAGCCAAATGGGGAAGAATAGCTCCTGACGGGACCTTGCAACCTAAACCACGCTCGAAGCTCAAAAAGGTCTCGGTGGTGGAACTAGACATGCATATCTGCCGCAAGACGGAACAATGCAATCCTTCTCCAACAGACAATAACAGTGATCGTCATTGATTTTGATCTCATCTGAAGGATGTAGCGTTGAAAGATGTTCCACATAGGTTGCACAATACCTAAATCGCTAAATGTTTAGGTTTTTTTTATATTTTTTTATTTTTTGAGACTAAAACCCAGTAACTTATATCGAAGCCTCTGTTTGAGGGCCTAGACTAAGTTATCCTCAAAATTCGGGCCGCGAAGACCCGTGGTACCGTGTGTATCACAAATGCCTAGCGAAAAGACGGTGGCCAGAGAATCAGTCTCGCACTTTCCAAATTGCACAAATTTGCCGATAGAGCATAGAGGCCCTTGGGGTTGCGATGGTGCCAAGTAAATCTAGATAAATCTACTTCCCTCTGGAATTTACATCCACTGAATTGCATCAGTGGGGTAGCCCTGAAAGTGCCTCGGCAAAGCCCAGTAGTAAGATGATTAATCGTATTATATTCAACTCATTGTTCATCCCGGTCATCGAGCACATAAGCTATATCTCCGTAGTCCTACATCTCGTTCTCCCAAAAAAGACATTTTGAAATCCTTCTTGACACCAGTCTACCTCACTTGCAGCAAATTATCATCGACATATCTTCAAGCAATTCAAGTGCTCTTCTTCTGAGCATCCCGCTCCGCCTTGCGCAGGGCACGCTTGCGAATAGCCACGTGCATGGCACCATTCTGAGACACAACGAACTTGTTGAAAGGTGAGACGACAGAGGTCAAGAACCAAGCCATAATACCGTGGCTCCAGTACGGAGACGAGCTGTAGGCGTAGGAAGAGGTACCACCGCTGCGTCCAATCTTGGAGAGGACGGCGCGGACGAAAGTGCGCGGGTTGGGGATGGTAGCGGAAGCGCGGCGGATCTTGGACATAGCGGAGGTAATCAGGTAAGCCTGAACGAGCTCCACCTCGATGTTGTAAGGAGCAAGCTCGTAGCCGAGAGCCGTGGACCAATGCTGCAGGAAGGCCTTGCTACCGGAGTAGGTGGCCAGCAGGGGAGTCGGGAGGAGACCGCCGAAAGAACCCATGGTCAAGATCAGGCCGCGACGGCGCTGAACCATGCCAGGGGCAACGAGCTGGGTGACGCGCAGAGTACCGTTGCAGTTGATGGTGATGATGTTGGTCATCTCCTCAGCGGAGGTCTGCAGGAACGGAACGGGGATAGAGTGGCTCTGGCCGACGTTGTTGATGAGGATAGAGACATCTAGATCGGAGACGAGATCACCAAGGGCCTTGTAGTCTGCGTCCGCATTGCGGGCAAAGTCCATTGCCAGGATCTTGGTCTGGACATTGGGGAATTGCTTTGTGATTTCCTCCGCTAGCGCGACCAGCTTGGATTCCGTTCGAGACACAAGCACAATATTGAACTTGGCGCGAGCCAGCTGTAGTGCGTACTCCTTTCCGAGACCGTCCGAGGCGCCGGTCACGACAGCCCAGCTACCGGGGGGGCCGAACGAGCGAAGCTATACAGATAGAGAGGATTAGTCTCAATAGCTCAATCGGAATATTCTCCGCAAGAGAAAAACACTTACCGGCTTGCCAGGAAGCACAAACAGGCTGAGAAGCACCCGCAAGAATGACCAGAGCTTACACGCAACGACCAAGCCACCGATTCCAAGCAGAAGCAGCGCACCGATGGTCGGCAGACCTGGAGCCAAATGCTCAGGCCACTGCGAAAGGCATTGAGTGTATTTTGACACGTCCATGATGTGCGATTTAATGGTTGTGGAAGGAACGGAGGTGACGGAAGGGAAAAAAAGACGACCGTGCAGCTTGTTGGGGCAAGTTGATCGACGCCAAGAGTCCCAAACATCCTCGGCTTACTTCTTCACAAGCAACCCCATTCTCTCAACAACCACCTAATTGACATTGCAAAATGGAGCAAGTGCTGTCCTATCTGCCCCCCTTCGAGGGCCTGCTGCCCAAGTGGCTCGTTTTCGTATGTTTTGTTCCTTTGCCCCTCTAGGGTAACTTCGCTAACAACATCCCACTAGGTCTCCGTGGTCTCCGCTGTCAACAGTGTGCAGGCCTACACCTCTGCCGATTACACCTCCAAGCTCTACACCAATGGTGCCATTGCCGTCGAGCCTCTTTCTGGCCGCGTCTTTGGTACTTGGACTTTCCTCTCTGCGGTCATTCGCATGACTGCCGCCTACAACATTAACTCGCCCGTCGCGTACGATCTCGCCCTGTGGACCTACGGTATCGCCTTGACACACTTTGTGGGAGAGCTTATCTTTGGTAATGCCTCTCTGCGCGGTCGCTTCTTAAGCCCGTTGATTGTCGCTTCATCGTCGCTGGCTTGGATGTTGTCTCAACGGGAGGCCTATCTGGGTGCTTGAGCTGGAATAAAAAGGGGGTGCAAGGTATGGTCATTGGCTTGGCCTTGCGTATGCCGGGGTTGAAGTCGGCTTGATGATGCTCATGAAGCAGGCACCACTTTATACACTAATAATAGAAAAATCATATATTTCGGCGAGGTTATATCTAATACAGAAGGGTTGTTTACACGTGCCAATATCCTATTGACGTCCAGCTCGTACAATTTCTTCAACTCGCCCTCTGATCCTAATGCCAATGATGGACATTGGAATCATAGAAGGGCGATCTCGCTGATACCATGTTCCTGGCATTCGAGACAGCGAAAGATTCCCGGCGGCCCCGTCAGACGAATTCCGGCGGAAACATCCCTGTAGCTTGATAAAACTTCCTACCCCTCAACGAAGGTCAGTTGTGAGGGGTCAGACCGGTTGGAAAGCTGTTGAACTTGAGATCGTTAATTCATTTAAAGCGAGCTGACGAAACCTCTATCCTGACACAAAATCTGCACACCTGCTACTTCATCGCTCAACATGGCTCTTTCAGGCATCGAGATGAAGCCTCAGTGTTCAGCTCCGCAGCTGCAGCAAGAGGAGAACGAATCTTCATTCCGGTACACCCAGACCACCAAGTTAAAGATTGCACTTGAGAAAGCTGGCCGTGACTTTCGGTCTGATGTGGTTACTGTCCCGACGGAGAGGATGATGCAGGTTAGGCTCGACCTGATGAACCATTTTCAGAAGTTGAAACTTACCACACAATCAACAGGCCATCATAGATGCTACCGTGGGAGATGACATCTACGATCCAGAGGGCGATGCCTCTGTAAACGCCCTACAAGACAGGCTCATTGAACTAAGCGGCAAAGAAGCTGCTCTATGGACACTTTCGGGGACTATGGGTAATCAGATATGCCTACGAACTCATCTCACTCAGCCCCCACACACTGTGCTCCTCGATCACCGAGCTCATGTCCAATGCTGGGAGTCTGGTGCGCTCCCTGTCTTCTCACAGGCGGCAGTAACACAGGTCCACCCCAAGAATGGCATTCACGTCACCCTCGAGGATGTCAAAAGGGATATGATCACGGATGGAAATAGTAAGCTTTAAAGAGGTTCTACGATTTAGTAATTTCTAACAAAGATTGATAGTCCATTTTCCACCGACTCGTGTGGTCTCCTTGGAGAATACCCTCAGCGGCACTATTCTCCCCTTGAAAGATGCAAAAGAGATATCGGAATTCGTACGCAACTTCCCCGTACCTGCTGATCAGAAGCCAATCGCGATGCACCTGGATGGGGCAAGACTCTTCGATGCCGTAGCCGCAGAAGGAGTTGATCTCAAAGAGTATTGTGCCTGCTTTGACTCGATCAGCTTCTGTCTGGCAAAAGGTGTCGGTGCTCCCATGGGCAGCGTCATCGTTGGAAACAAGAGGTTTATCGAGAGGGCGAAATGGTTTCGGAAGATGTTTGGTGGAGGGACTCGCCAGGTACTGGAGCTCTTTCTAAACAGACTGGCTGCCGAGAAGACATAACTGACTCTTATAGCCCGGTATGATGGCTGCTGCTGCGTGTGCGGCTTTGGACTATACCCTTCCTCGACTTTCGGCGGTGCATGCAATGACTGCAAGCGCAGCACAGGAGCTTGAGACTATGGGATATAAGTTTGCGCTTCCGGTACAGACCAATATGATTGTTCTCGATCTCGAAGCTGTGGGGATCCCTGGCGCTGCATCTGTGGGGTACTGTAAGGACCATGAGGTTGCAGTCTTTCCGAATGGAAGACTGGTGTTTCATCATCAGACCTCACCGGATGGGGTGTTGAGAATGCTTGAGGCTTTTGGACAATTGATGAGTGATAAGGGGGCTGGGGCTCATCTCATGGATCATGAGGTTACCGGGGGATATGCCTGAAGTGTCAGAGCAATAAGCTGTGCGAACCAAGAAGGCCACAAATAGCACACTCGTCTCCTGTGGTTATTTTGCCGATAATATTGCCCCAATTTTCATTTTGTAAAGTAGTGATGAATATTATTGAGAAGGATCTGATGAGAACTCTCTAAAATCCGAAAAAGCTGAGCACTAGGTATCGGATCATGAAAATACTCACAGGTCTTATACGGGAATATTATCTGCTATGCTTTCCACAAAAACGATCAAATTCAACTATAGCATCAAATCCATCAAGAGATCCTTTCACTGTCATTTCTATCTTTTAAAATCTAAAAGACCATATCCACTGACAACCTATCTACAACTTTGCTCGGTCTTTCTGTTGGGTAATCTCATTGACCAGACCAACAGCCTTCTCAGCGCAGCTGAAAGAAACCTGGTATCCGAACCCTCCATGACCGTAATTGTGAACGACTTTAACGCCATTCACCTGATCCTTCTCGATCCGTGGGCCATCAGTTCTCGCCGGACGCAAGCCAACACCGTGTCTTACGATATCCAAGCCCTCGACTCCCTGTCCTTCCTTCACAAGTCGTGGATCAAGCTTGAGGGCGCGTTGCATAATTCTGTTCGCGAAGTTGGGATCAGGCAATGGGTCCCAGTTGTTCTTTTGATAAGTTCCGCCGATAACAGTACCACCACCTGGATACCGTTAGCTTTGAGTTATATAAATTCTGGTGATTGTTGACAAACCTGCTGCTCGAGGGAAGATATAGGTAACTTCCTCTCCGCCATCATCAGAGCCGGAAATAGAAGTCATTGATCCAGGGTCATTCCGCACGATCATGATTTGACCACGGACAGGGTAAACCTGATCGTCAGCCACTCCAGCAAGAGTCCGCGAGGCCAAGCCGGTGCAGTTGACGACGACATCGGCCTTGTTACCGGTATGATGTGTCCCGGCAGCGTCGGAGATATGCTCCAACGAAGCTCTTTTGAATACACACCCGTTCTTCATGCACTGACTGACCAACCATGGGAGGTAGATCGCAGTGTTGATGCAGACAGAGGTAAACTTCTGAGCATTATCGATACCTGGCGGGAGCTGGTCTCGAGGAAGATTCTGGAACTGTTTGGCTTGTTAGAAAGACGGGACTTGTTTAATTAGGATCGCTTGGGCTAAGATAGCGGCAAGCACATACGTTAAGAACAAAGTCCTTGAACCATGGGTTGGCCGATGTCAATTCTGCAGACCACTGACCGGTAACAGTATTCTGATCCTTGAGGCGATTTTGAATCGTAATATCTACAGAGTCTTTAGAGCCGAACGATCACAAGGCGGATTATTGGATAGGAGGCATACCTTGGAAGTGAATACCCGATTCCGGTTGATTCTCCGCCAAATCCCGCAGCGCTGGCCAGGTAGCCCGCTCCCACTCGGCATGATCGCTTCCCTTCTTACCAAAGCTATTTTGGTCAGTTTAAATCCGGCTGGTGGTGAGGTTAGGTAGATGATGGCACTTACGGCATGTAGCTTGCACCGGCCCATGGAGATGCATATTCGATGTCATAATCTCCAGGCATGTGTTTTGCGATCACAGTGACCTTGTTGGCCGGGTTCTTGGAGAGCAGCAGGGCCGTTGTGAGGCCAGTGACTCCCGCACTAACAAGTATTGTTAGCCATGGACGGATCTGGGAATCTGCGGACAAGGGAACTTTGACTCTTACCCCACAACCACAATGTTATTTGTTGACATGTTGACCGTCGATGCTTCTCGGTCGTGAGGGACTTGGCGAGATGAATTTTCGGAGTGAGAGGTTCCTGACGCGGAATATAAAGAGGGAGGAAATAGTGTGGTACGAGAATCGCGAATTGACTCACCTGAATGGTTGGTGCGGTGAGATTCCGGCGGCTGGAAGTTCTCCGCCGGAAGGGCTGGCGGGCTCGGAAGTGGGTTGGCACACTACCGAATAATGCTACCCTGGCAACACGCAGGCCAGTATAATACCATTTCACTAATTCGAATTGATGCCTAAATAATTATGATGGACTCTGATTTTGATTTGATGACAATGCTCTGTCCTTCCTATGAATCTATGGGTACACCTGCCCCGTATCGACCTCGTCATAGAGCGGAGCGAAATCCAACCCGCTCCAAAATGTATCTGCCGAGTTCTCGAACAACAAATCCAGATTGGAAAATGGCAAGGCATCTGGAATCAACTCTCCGAGGCCTGATATGGCAGAGTCACTGGCACCTTGTCGATCTACTCCCTCGGAAACAGAGCCAGCCCCTTGCGTGACCCCATCGTTTGACGCCGCTTGCTTATTTCCCTGGGCATTCAGATAGCTCATCACTTTGGACATGGATTCACCACAACGGGAGATACACATCACAGCAAGATCCCAACTTTCATTTTCTGCAGCGTCTTGAAGCTTGGCCCAGAATTGAACCAAGCTTGTCTTGCACGACTCGGTGACAGTTGCATCCGAAGCCTCGATGGTACATCGTAGCAGGATGATAAATGTGAATGTTAGATGATGTGCTGAGTCTTTAAAGAGCAGAGTTAGTACCAAATTTTGTGGGGGCTCGTTAGAATGGGAGGCCACTTACAAACGAGCCAGAACTCCTGTAAATGTACCCTTTCTAAAGAGCAGACATATTCCACGATATCTTGAGCTGAGCGGCGAAGCCTTCCAAGATGGTATCGTAGATTAGTGGCCCGGTCCATGTCATCAGAGCTAGTCTTATTTGCAGCCTGACATCATTAGCTTGCATCCTCGATCGTAAGACTGTGGTACTCACTCGGAATGCGATACGGCACAGGAGTAATCGCACAGATAGGTAGCTCAAACAAAGGCTACTCAGTCCGGAGATGGGGTAGGGATATTTTTCGTTCGGGCCATTGATAGGTAGAGAGACATTTTGTTCCCAAATGTCTAATTCTGTTTCACGGCGGCGAATGTCCCTCCAGATATCTCTTTGTTCGAGGTCATATACCAGTGGTAGAACTTCTCCTAAAATGACAGAAAGTGTGCAGAGGTGAATAAAGCACTCTGATGCATTCTGCCCGTCTTCTGATTGTCCGTCATGTGTGAGGTCTCTCAAAGTAGGAACCGGGACATCATATTGCCGATTGGTGATATTTGGAGAAATCCCATGGGCGAAGCTTGACCTATAGGAGATGTTAATAATTTAAGGTTGAAAGGTAAAGTAATCTATGGTGAGATACCAATAGTCGTGAATCAAGACAGCCCACCAAAGCCGAACTCGAAGAACCTTCTCACTGTCTGGACGCTTCCAGTTCGTGGGATCACGATTAAGCCCAAGGCTTCGAGCAAGTGCCACGGATCGTCCATTATTTATAGTATTCCCTAGAATTGAGAAGATTGGTCGCCCCGTCATATCAAAAAGCACAGAGTATATGGTGGAAAGACCCGGTGCTAGAAAGTCTTGTTGCAAAGATTCCACGGCTAAATTCCAAACAAAATGTGGATCTGGCTTCGGATACCGCCTCAGGAGATCCGAGTGGTCCCAAAGCGTTAGAGATAGAGCAAAGAACTCACAGAGAAGAGGCGGAGAGATCTTGTCGCTGCGTTCATATATCTCAAGGAATGTCTTTTGATCTAGTATCGGGAATGCGGGGTGGAACTTTTCAAAGTACCTGCAACTAATTAGCCATAGGGTTTGCAAACGTGCTATCGGAGCATCGACTCACAACTTGACAAGCTCCTTAGCAAAAGGTCTAAGTATTTGCCAGAGAACCTCTTTTTGGAACTTCCCCGGATTTTTTGCCATGGCAAGTCCTTCACGTCTCCGAGGGACCCTCATGTACACCAAGGACTTTTCCAAGCCATCTGCCGCAGGCGCGGGATCTCCCGTCGGAGCCCCGGAAGAGAAGTATCGTTCCAGAGCTTGAATATCTTCGGTGAGAATAGGGCTCACCACGATAGATGACTCTGCCCTAGCATCGCCCAGATGAATGGCATTGTGATCATTCGATTCCGAATCGCCCAGGCCGTTTCTCACACCCGGCGGGACGGGGGATGAGTGAGCTGGATTGCGGGAGTCGGAGTGTTCCTGGATCTGATTCCGCCGTGGAAGAGTATAATCTGCCCTTGTAGACCGACGCGATGGCGTATGCGCTTTTGCAATATCCGATGGCTGACAGGGAACGTTTTGCAATTTACACAGCACGCAAGGATCGCCAGGTCCACCCCCGGTGCATCGTCTCTTGAACCGGCGGCAGCGATCACAGGCTGGAGTCTTGTGGGATCGATAAGGTCTGCGAGAGGCCGAGGGAGTTGATGGCATGACTGGTTTCGCGAGATACCCGCTTTGATGAGGCGGAAACGTCGTTGGAATGGTTTGATGCCGCTATCATCTGGCAACTGGGTAGAAGTAAGTGGATCCGCCGGGAAACTACCCCGCAGGTATCAAGTGCCACGAACAGTGATCCGGGAAGTGATAGACACAAATGCTCAAGTGAATAGTTGCTCGGAAAGATTGATCGCAGAGAGCTGTGATTCTATGAAACTGACTGAAGTAACATGCTGATCGAGCCATTTAACATCGCCAATTCACTTTGACTACATTGCGATACAAGGTCATGATCTGTATGGAAATGGTAGATAACTGCTTTCCAGTACAACCTTTATCTTATCCTTGATACCTAAGACCTGAATAGACATCTCATGTGCACTCGAATAGCCTTCCTCAAGGTGTGAAACAATCCCTAAGCCTTTTGATGTAGCAAGTGGGACTTGCAATAAGTCCGGCGGAAAGCATCGGCTCCGGCGGGAAACTCTTATCGCAAGACTCGACAAACCAATCAGGTCAACCGAACTATGCAGACCCAGTTCCGAATATCTGCTTAATCATGACCACCAACTTCCTTAGGTACATATGGGCTCCCCAGATAAGCCTCCTCCTCAAGTGTCAAGGTCCTAATTCCATATTCCAGAGCTTCATCAATTCTTTCCACCGAGCTAAAGCCGACAATGGGGCTTGCAACACGACGGCTCACCCAAGCCAGTGCTACCTGACTCATAGTCCAATTCTTCTTCTTGGCTAGCTCTTCCACTCGATTGATAATCTCTGCATCTGCATTCAGAACATCGCTTGGAAGGGTGTTCCCTAGACGATAAGTTGCCCCAACTTGCTGAAGAGGTCGTGCAAGTCGACCGGCATCAAGCGGGCTCCACTGTGAAGACTGCCGTCAGCTTTTGATCCCAAGAATGTTGTATAAGCACGAAACGTACCGGAATTAGGCCAACACCCGTCTCATTACAAAAGCGATTCATCTCCCGCTCCTCCTCCCGATAAATCAGACTATACTGATTCTGCATAGAAACGAACTTAGTCCATCCGTGCTTCTCGGCACAAAACTGCATCATCGCGAATTGATACGTTCTCATCGAACTAGCTCCGATGTAGCGAATTTTGCCACTTCGAACTAAATCATGCAGGGCCTCCATTGTTTCTTCGATGGGGGTGTTATGGTCGAAGCGATGGATTTGGAAGAGGTCGATGTAATCTGTGCCGAGTCGTTGGAGTGAGGCATTGACCGAGTTGAAGATTGCTTGGCGAGAGAGACCTGATACATTTAGTACATGGATTTGAAGGTCTAGAGAAGCTGCAAAGGGCTTACCAAATTGGTTGACGTATTCCTTGTCTTGCCGCATTTCGTCTGCGAATGGAACGACGTATACATTTTCGTGCTCGCTAACGGGTGCCCAGCACTTGGTGAGGATGACAAGTTTATTTCGAGGAATATTGTAATGTTTGATGGCCTTGCCGATAATTTCCTCTGATACGCCGTTCGAGTAGTTGTTGGACGTGTCCCACTGTTTGTGTTAGCGACACGTTTCTAACACGGGAAATGCCATCTTACAGTATTGAGTCCGCGATCGTATGCAGCTTTCAACAGAGGAAGTGCCTTGTCCTCCTCGAGAATCCAGGATCCGAACTCTGAGGACCCTATGCTCATGCCACCAAGAATAGGGACCGAGACCCAGAGTCCGCTGCTTCCTAGTCGTTTGTAGGAAGCTTTGGTTTTGCTTCTGGATTCATTCAACAAGGGAGGAAGTTCGGAAGCCATTTTTGAAGAAGTAAAGTATTTGAGAAGGTGAAGGATCGATTCAATCAGCTAGAATGTCAAGTGTTACTCTCGCACGATGAACAGAAATCATTTCTCTGGGATAGAGCAGGCTTAAATAGTTCATAAATCGTAGCGTCAAGGCCAAGGGATCTCAAAAGTTGTAGAGCATCATCTCTTGATTTCAAATCATATACAGAAATCTCTGTGCTGGTAAGCTACGGTGGCACTCCAAGAATTTCCTCGAATGGGATCTCATCATGATTCAAGATAAGACCAGTCTTTGAAGAAAGGGATTTATCGGTATAGAGGTGGTAGAAGGAGTCCTTCGAGACCGAATACGAGGTATGAGTAATTCTCGGAGTGTCGGGCCGTCGAAGCCAAGAACCATCAATCAGAAATGTGACTAATAAAATTTATTGCCGCATATTTCCAAAATAATAAAGTATAGAACATATTTGTCCTTTTCAAACACTCCTCTCGCCCATGCACCACACAAAAAAAACACCAATATTTACTCCAACTTCTTGCGATAGAGCTCACCACCGCAACCACGGAGACGAGCTGCAGCCTGCTCGGGAGTAATATCACGCTGAGGCTCAGCCATCAACTCATAACCGACCAGGAACTTGCGAACAGTCGCGCTTCGCAGAAGAGGCGGGTAGAAATGTAAGTGTAGATACGATGCCTCCACCTCCTCATCGGTACCGTCTAGAGGAGCCTGGTGGATACCCATAGAGTAGGGAAAGTGAGTCTCGAACAGGTTATCATACCGGCGGGTAATCTCAGCAATGGCCTCAGCTAGGAGAGTCTTATCGGCTTCAGTGAGATCGACCAGAGCGCGCTTGTGCGTGCGGCTGACAATCATAGTCTCAAACGGCCAAGTTGCCCACCAGGGGCAGACGACGACGAAACCCTCGTTCTCGAAGACCACGCGCTCCTGCTTACGGCTCTCGAGTGCCGCGTAGTCCTCCAGCATGTGGCTACCGCCGTGATCCTTGCGGTACCGGCGGAGCTGCTCCAGCTCCGCTGCGGGCTCCTCTGGCAGTGTGCTGGTGGTCCAGACCTGGCCGTGGGGGTGGGGGTTTGAGCAGCCCATGGCGGCACCCTTGTTCTCGAAGATCTGCATGTACCGGTATTGCTCCTTGGGTTTGGTGATGCTGGTGTGAGGTGTAGCGGGCTGGATGTGGGTTGGGGGCGCGTTCTGAGCCAGTGGGGACTTGGGTGACAAGTGGGCAGCATAGATCTCGGTCCATGCGTTGATCACCGGGACGATCTCGATTGGGGACAGGTCGGCGAGGGTGAGGTTATGCGCGGAGGAGAAGGTCAGGACGTAGCACTTGCCGGTGACGGGCTCGGCCTTGAGGAAACGCGATTCGAGATCTACATACGATTAGTTCACCGTCGCGCGTGACGAAAAGAACGTCTAAATTGTGCCGTACCATCTCCGTTTGTCCCATCATAGGCAGCCTGCTCCTCCTTCACAGCACTGTAGTCATTGACAAAGACAAAGGTGCTCTCATATTTAGGGTTGACGTCACCCTGGGCGCGCTTGTTACCAGGGCACAGGTAGCACTCGGGGTCGTGGTGGGGCAGGGTGGTCTTTGACGGGCTCTCCTGCTGTCCTCTTTGCGATGCAAAATTTTCCAGTAGTTAGCAATCAGCTATTTCGCGTCGCTGGGCGCATATGAAGGTCCAAAAACTCACTGCCAGGGACGCTTGGTTCGGTGGGGAGACACCAGAATGTGCGAGCCTCGGAGAGGGTTATAGCGGCGGTGAGAGATGTCGTCTAGCACGTTTGCCATTGTGGGCTCGAATTGCAGTCAATAAGAACGTTCGTGAAGAGTACCTTGAGGGAGAACAACAGGGAGGAGAACGAGCTCAAGTAGCAAAATGACACTGTCAAGTCGGATGCCGGGTAAATTATACGGAGTAAAAGGGTCGTGTCGGTTGGACCTCCGGCGGGGCGCGCGCGGGGTCTCCGGAAAATAACGCAGAATGTACATTCCAACAAGATCTACTAAAGATTTCAGTATGATATTGATATCAAAATGATCCTCAAAAATAGAGGAATTCAGTGATGCTTTTTTGACATCTAGAAACAGGCATTGCGAGTCGTAAAATGATGAAATATAGTACAAACTCTCCAGGTCATGGTGGGGGAGTACTTTTTTCGGTGAAATGTTCAAGGCATTGCCTCGGGATCCCGCACTACTCGGGCTACGCTAGTCAGGTTTGGCTACTCTGGATTGGCGGCCACTCAGCCACTGAATAGAACCACGCCTTCAAGTGTGGGTCACTGGGGATTCCCGCGGGTTTTTTTTGCCTGGACACGATTAAAAGAGGAAATTATGCAGGCCATTCGGCAATTCCGCTAGCCCCAAGTGGCTTTAATTAGCTTAGGGGTGGGACACTGGGCTGATAACTCGGATGACGTCAGCATTATCGTGACTTGGGATTATCGATAAGCACGATAAGACCTCACCTCCAATCTGATATCAGACCTCATTGCAAGTAAACAGCATCTTAACAATATATTTTGAGATATCCCGTACCTCTTTCATACTACTGTTACGTTAGAATCCCTGTGATAGACTTGCTTATGCATTTAATCTTGAAATGAACGCTAGACTACCTGTGGGGCCGCCTCAGACATCGACTGAGCCGTCAGGACAATGCCAGATCAAGGTGCTGGCCTACCTTGGCGCGAACCTCCACTGAACCATGAGCATCCACAACACCCTCAGCCGGTCTCACAAAAGCTGCTCCAGCACCTCCCAGTGGAAGTAAGTCTCACGGTCCAGATTTGGAACCCAGATACTGACATCTGCGAAGCTGTTATCAGAGATCCTGAGCGCCTTTCCATCGGCTTACCTCTTATCCATTATGACCGTCAATAAGATATTTCACGCAGTTGCCAATGATATTTTCCGACTGCGCATAATAAACACCCCTCAGCAGCTTGAGGAGCTCCAACTGGTCCTGGAGTGCGGTGAGCCAAGCGAAATATTATCAAATATCCTTTGCCAATATCAGGGAATGCGGGGGTTAGACGTGGACAACAGCCTTCCACAGCGGCTGACGGACGTATACCTGGTCTTCAAACCGGAGGCACGCCCTGTTGAAAGCTCTCCAATCGAGTCTCTCCCAGGTGAGATCATTTAAATGGCATGCGGGGAAAGGGTCTGATCCAAGCTAACACGAACAAACTAGACGATGAAAGCCCGACACTGAAGCGGCTGCTTTACTTGAGCGTCTTTGAAACATTTGGTCAATTTACCGCGACGTTGAAGCTGCCCTGGACTCCTGGTCGATTCTTTGTTCCTCCGCGCAGCGTTGTGTGCAACAAAACTCTTCGTCTGGGAAGGAAGTGGTTGGAGAACGGCGAGTCCAGAATCTTTTGGCTCGATGATGCGGAACATGTTGGAATTCGTCTCCGTGCTCTGCAGTTTGATGCGCTTGAGTTAGAATATACACTGGACGAGGATGAGAACAGCTGGGAAGTGAACGTGGAAGGTGAGACCTTCCCCTGCCTTTGCTCGATGTGCGATCGCGTGCTGATGATTTGTTCCATAGAAATAATATGTCGTGCAGTTCCATTTCTAGTGGATGTTGAACGGGCCCAAGCAATAAAAACGAGCCAGACTATAGTTCATCTCCGCGCTTGAAATGGGCAGAAGCCTCATAGCTGTCGCTTAGTGAAGAGCTGCAGAGAACCTCGGTCGACCGGACTATGGCTTAATGAATGGATGGTATCTGTAGTCTGTTCGTGCCTTGTAGTGAAATAGTCCCAATCCTGCGAATGCATGCAAGTCTTGACAGCACTGTTGCCGTGAGCGTGATCCCCTTTTGCTTAAGACCGTCAAACATAACAACCTGGCGTAACAATGAAGGTATCGTAGCAGCACCGCTCAGAATTACCCTTTGGCTCTACACTGTATCCTTGAAAGTTACGGCTTGTATTATTCTAAGCATCACCAGCTATCTCAAGCGACTGTATTGGATCAACTTTCAAGACTCCCAAGACTGAACATGCGCACTGATAGTGCCAAGATGCCTGGGAGTGTTGTGTTGTGCCATATTCCCAAATAGGCAATAGGGCTTATTATGGAGAGTTTCCCTGCATGCGCCTCACAGAATGCCCGATTAGGAAGGGGCAGACCTGGCAATTTCTGGCCTAGTAATACCAGGGCCACTATCCATTTAGGAAGGCACCTCGCCGTCGCCCCGTTTGGGACGGAAAGTAGGGCTTTTCTCTCCGCCCCCCAAACCCTAAGGAGTATAAAGGCTTTCTCCTCCCCCAGGAATTTCTTCCTTCGTATTCTCCCCAACATCTCCAATTTTCCCCATCCTCCGCAGACGCCACGGGCGTCCATCCCCACTGGTGTCCAACTTTATTCCAACCTTCTTCCTCCTTGGTCTGCTTCCTCTTCAGACCTTCATCCACCTTGGGGCCTTTCATCTATCACCACTTACCTTCATCATCATATGTCTCATCCATCATCTACCTTGGGGTCTTTCATCCATCATGGCATGTGTCGACAACAACACGTCTCATCCACCACAACATGGCTTGGTCTCAACACGTCTCATCCATCGTGACGTGTCCCACACAACACATCCTGACCTTGTGTCTCTTCCATCATGACATGTTATCATCACAACATGCCTTGGCCCCCAAGACATATCGAACAACCTTTCCATCATATCTTGATGCCTTGCAGAGCAAACACAGAGGTTAGTCCACTCACACTTGTTCAGTCCATCTTGACTCTGACTTGACTAACACCTGTCCACCACAGGAGCCTACACTAACGTTCTTGAGTGAACCTCGATGTTCCATGGATTTGGTGTCGAGCCTGCGTAGGGCGTGGTTGACCACAAGTCTCCACTGCCACACATCTCAGCCTCCTCGCTGACACTCTGGGTATTTTTTATTGACAGATTGGCAGATATTCTCTCAATAACACGTCTCACTCATCATGACATAACAAGTCTGATCCATCAAGACGTGCTCACACCACATCCCCTCATCACTGACATCTTTCATCCACGAAATGTTCACACTAACAACATGTCCTTTCCATCTCTCAACCTTCTACTCTTAACCTTCCACTCTTGACCTTACACACTCGGCCTTCCATCTTACGGTTTGTTACTGACCGACTACTGATTTGTATGTTTACTAACTTTTCCCCCTTACATCTAGGTCCTTCCACTACCTCCCATGGTGATCTGGCTTGGTTTCTTTCTGGACAGGCGTCACGTAGTTGGAACTCCAGTTTGCATGTCAGGACAAATCCAAAAGAGGATTGGATCAGACTACCGACGCATACCACCACCCTCCCGTACCGATAACCGCACCAACGAACATTCCTATTGAACACCTCCGTGGTCTGGCTTGATTCTCTTTTAGACAGGCGTCACGTAGCTGGACATCCCAGTTTGCGTGTCAGGACAAATTCAAAAGAGACTCAGTCAACTCAATCACCAACCACACTGGCACATTGACCTTCAATCACTGCCAGCTAACGAAGCTTCGGTTATATTTCCTCCCAAACAACCACTTGACACGTTGACCTTCAATCACTGTCTATCGACCAAGCTTCGCTTTTCTTTCCTCCCGTCTACTTGACACATTGATCTTCAATCACTGTTTTGCCTGCGGAAACGGTTCTCTCTACCGAGAAAGGTTTGTCTCTAGCAGCCAAGCACTATATGCCGTTCCTGACATTGTCTGCTAGGTCACGAGCAAGAAAGACAACAACCCAAAATCAACCACAATTCGACTCATCCACTCCACATTGGTCTATCCATTGACCAACCAACTCTCAATCAACTCTCCATATATCAACCGGGACACGGATGGATGTTTTGTTATTTTCCTCTTATCGGAACCTACTTCTCTCGGGTCCTCAGGGTTGGAAATCCAAAACCAAAACCGAATATTCTCTTTCTGTGATATTGTTGATCCTACTCACCCGTCTTCTCTTCCAGTGAAAACAACCATCATTCTCTCACGAAAGAATTCTTCCTCCGTGTAATTACATCTAGAGTAGAGACGATTTATGTAGCTCCCTTGCTGCCTGTAAATCCTGCTTTGTGTGTACAACAGTGCTTCTACGGGCCGTCAATCATGGAATGGCTCCTCAAAAACAATGCCCTGAGAAACTTACAAAATTCAAAATGCATAAATGGTCTACAGCTATGCGGTCCTGCCCATGAGGAGTACAAAGAGTCGGGTGTAGTCGTCAGCGCTGTACTCCATGCCTGCGCTCGATTCGATAGGTATGTCAATTATCCCGTGAGCATTCAAACTTCAAAATAGAAAGACCGATCGGGTTTCAGCAACCATATGGGTTGACCAGGACATCAATATTCAAGTTCCCGCATAAACGGCACTCCCGGCAAGCCGTGTCTAGTCAAGATTCTGGTCGCAAGTGGCGTTCGGGCCGAATCTTTGGGTTGGTTAAAAGCAAGCACAACGATCCACCGAAAAATTCTGTGTTGGCGACAATGACGGGCCACTCCGCTTTGTACTCGGCACTGGATGCCGGATCCCTCAGGAACGAGCCAATGAGAGAGGCGGGTTGATTGTGTGCCTGGACGGCATTAACCAGACTGGGAATGAGCCGAGGCTCCCGGGTATCAAAGTGGGTCACAGGGATTTGGGTGATTACTATTCTGTTCTTGTCTCAGGTCGACACGATAGGTTTTTTCATTTTTGATTCTCAGCAATCATTTCTTGGATGAGTTGATCTGCATGGGTCTTGCCAATAAACTCATGGCCAAGTGATCGTCTGTCCAAGTCTGTTGAAGCGGTGGATTCCTCTACGCCTGAAAAGCATCGCGAGGCCTATATTCGATAATGGCCACCATCCCAGCCGGGGGCGAGACCCCACGGCCCTCCAAAATTCCCTTCTGGCGTCTCATCTTTGACCAGAAAGTCATCACAGAGGAAGTGGCTTCATTTCCATACCCAGGATCGGGCACACAGGAAGATCCCTATGTCGTGACCTGGCTACCGCGCGACCCTCGCAACCCGATGAACTTCAGAGCAGTGAAGAAATGGTCAATCACGATCCTGGTGTCATTTGTCACACTAGCAGTGGCCCTTGTCTCATCAGCATACTCTGGAGGTCTGGGCCAAATCGTCGAGCAGTTCAAGGTGGAAGAAGAAATCGCCATCCTCGGCGTGTCGCTGTTCGTTCTTGGATTCGCGATTGGTCCATTGATCTGGGCGCCGCTTAGTGAGATTTTTGGCCGTCGCCATATCTTCACGATTAGCTTTGCTTTTTTGACGGCGTTTAATGCGGGTGCAGCTGGCGCGAATAATATCCAGACTCTGATCATCTTGCGATTCCTTGCGGGATGTTTTGGTTCGTCTCCATTTGGAAATGCCGGTGGCACGATTGCCGATATGTTTACTGCCTCGGAGCGTGGTATTGCTATTAGCTTCTTCGCTGCGGCACCATTCCTGGGCCCGACAATCGGGCCTATCATTGGAGGTTTCCTAGGCGCCGGAGCTGGTTGGCGCTGGGTGGAAGGCTTTCTTGCTGCTTTCTCCGGCGTCCTTTGGCTGTGCATTATCTTCCTGTTGCCAGAGACATACGCACCAGTCCTGTTGCGCCGCCGAGCAGCTAAGCTATCCGAAATCACGGGCAAGGTGTACCGCAGCAAGCTTGATATCGAGCGCGGTCCTATTCCCATGGGTAAGACCCTGAAAACGGCTCTTTCGCGCCCTTGGGTTCTACTATTCCGGGAGCCTATCGTGTTTCTCTTTTCTATCTACATGTCTATTATCTATGGAACACTCTACATGCTTTTTGCCGCATACCCAATTGTCTTCCAACAGGTTCGCGGGTGGAGCGAAGGTATCGGCGGTCTCGCATTCCTGGGAATTCTCGTCGGGATGGTTATCGCTGTGGCATATACCTTCCCTGAGAACATGCGATACGCCAAGAAGTGCAGCGAGACCACCGATCGTCTTCCACCGGAGGTAAGATTGCCCCCGAGTATGGTCGGTGGTATCGCCCTACCCATCGGACTCTTCTGGTTCGCTTGGACCAACTACCCCAGTATCCATTGGATGGCGTCCATCGCTGCCGGGGCTCCGTTTGGCTTCGGCATGGTGCTCGTCTTTTTGAGCGTGTTCAACTACCTGATCGACTCATACACGATTTACGCCGCCTCGGTGCTAGCTGCGAACTCAGCCCTTCGATCGCTATTCGGCATGGCCTTCCCTCTCTTCACTACCTACATGTACCAGAACCTGGGCATCCACTGGGCATCGTCAATTCCAGCATTCTTATCGCTTGCCTGCGTGCCTTTCCCTTTTATTTTCTACAAATATGGTGCTCAGATTCGTCAGAGGTGCACATATGCCGCCGAGGCAGATGCTTTTATGCGTCGTCTGGCGGAGAAAAACCAAGCTGAGATTCAACGTGAGGAGACTGCTGTGCAGAATGAAGCGGAGAAGGACGTGGTGTCTGCAGATGTTTTGGATGATAGCAGTGATAGCGAAAGTCTGTCAACTGTTCCATCACGCATTACTCTGGGACGGTATGCGTCTCGTGTGTCTCGCCAGTCTGGGCGGTCTATGCATCGCATCGCCACAGCCACTCAATATGAGGAGAATCCGTATGACCTTGACTTGGTGAACACTCGACAGTCTGCTATCAGTAGTCATCGTCATGATTGATTGCCCATGAAGGACATTTGTATCTTTGCCTTCATCTCCTATGCAAGACGATGGATGACTTGATTTGAAGTCGAGTCAAAGGGCAAATGGTTCTTCGCAGAGAAGTCTTCCGTTTTCTATCGCAAGAAGTGCACTGGGAATTCCGAGAGCTCTTCGCTCCCGTCGCCTTTCGGCAGAACCCCCCACCTCGGGTCGGAGAAGCGAGTGCTTACCTCTTGTACAATCTAGAGATGCGGCCTTCTGATTACGGAGCAGTGAACCGGAGCCCTTGCCTTGTTGAGGGGTGGTATAGGCACAGTCTCCTAACAAACGGCGGGACGTCCCGACCCGTGCCGAAAACATGCGCCAATCATGGAGTTGTATACTTCACTCATCGATGGTCTTTAAGCCCATTTCATCTAAAGCAGACAAATATAAATGCCTCGATAATCTAGCTAAGGAATTAACACAACATGTTATCCTACCATCTGGTTCTAGTAAACTGAAAATACATCTTTCACATGATACTACCCTTGAACACGATTCGTTTCTAGGTATCAACGATAGTGCGACACTAGAGTAACATCTGAATTCGACCTTCTCTCAAACCCCCAAAAAGCGCTTCACCAGCTCAAATCGCATTATCCAAGAAGAAGCTGCCAAGTCAGCGTTGGCTTCCAACTGTCCCACATCATTCTAAGGAATCCATGCTCACATTCATTCTCTTCAAGGGCCTTTTCATCGGACGTAATCAAAAACGTCTTTGCAACACTTGGTGTTCCATTTGAATCCATTACGAACAGCATCCAATACCCAGGGATGACAATGCCTGGATCAGTGGGAATTGCGACTGACCACTTTCGAAGCAGGGTGCTGCGTTTTAGAACCAGAGGAATACGGCGCTGGTCAGTGTTGACTGTATGCGTTGCACTGCCGAGACGGACCAGGGATGCAGACCGAATATCCCCGTTTGCAGAGAAGAAGACATTCTTTCCAACCCGGATCGAGCGTGGCAGTCGTTCTGTAATTTCGGGTCGAGGACGGGGCTCACCGTTGTCAGTCAGGAGATACGGTGGCGTGAAGATCTGGCCGTCATAGTGATTGGCAGAGCAGTTGCCGCAAAGTCCTCCGCCGCCAGTGAGGACCCGACCGTCCGGAAGTAAGATTGACACAGTATGATAGACGCGAACGATGTTGTTCTCGGTCAATTCGGTGAATGTGTCGGTTTCCGGGTCATACAGCTCTGGAGCAAACTGCACGTTCTCCTCATTGAAAGCAACACCAAAGGTTTGTCCTCCCGCGATGAAGACTTTCCCGTCCGGCAGAACGACAGAGGTATGGAAGACACGCTGTCGATGCATGGTTCCACCCTCGCCAGCAGGCTTCACGTCCGGCTTAGCGCCGGGTTCACCAAGAGTAATGACGTGCGCGTGGTTCGTGGCCCAGGACTTGTCATAATCCTCCGAGCCACCGATGGTGAGAATCTTGCCAGCTAAAGCATCAAACATGACGGCGTTGCCAGACATGGAATCATCATCCTCCAAGCGGTTTCCGGCACCCTTGACACTGCCATCCCCACTCATGAAGTACCAGTTCATTTGCTTGCTAGGACCGGCTTGGAAGACACTCTGCTTCTTCCACCCAAAGAGCCAACCATGGTTATCCGCTCTCCAAGGCCCCTCCATATCTTGCGTCAGCATGGGCTTGACTTTAGCACCGGGGAGGAGGGTCCAGTTTCGGGTGAGCGGGTCGTAGACCTCTCCATCCTTGGGGAAGTTTGAGCCTCCGGCCCAAGAGCCACCGATGACAAAAACGCGTCCATCGGAGAGGGTTGTGGATGCCTGATATCCACGTCGAAGCGCCATTTCGGGGCCCGATACCCACGCATCGTTAGCCTGGTCGTAAAGGCTAGTCTGGGAGGCATCGTTGCCACCAGTCACAACAATCATGCCAGTACCATCAATAGCAATGCCAGGGCAGAACATGTCATGTTGGGTATTGGAAACGGTGCGTTTGGAGACTTCATTCTTCAAAGGGTTCCACTGTGTCATCACTGTTTTACCACCGGGAGTGGAGTGGAATTGGTCATCGTCCCACGAGGACCACAGCAGGATGTTACCGGAGGCCTCCTGGGCACCAGAAACAGGCACGATCGGGAAATTGATGCTCGGACCCCAGACACCAAGCTTCGGATCTTGGGGAATAGTGTATTGTGTCGCGTAAATGTTAAGCTCGGAGATTCCAATCCACGATGACTCCGTGGCTTCGGAGCTAGTGTTGAGCTTCACATAGCGGGCAGTAACGGGCTCAAAGGCAGCCAATCGCTGTCTGTTCGTTGTAGGCCACATTCCGTATGCGACCGGACCCTTCCAGTCTTCGTTATTGGTGCTGACATAGATTTCATGCTGGGTAATTAACCCATCGGTTTCTGTGTCGATTGGAGGCAAGACAACAAGGGCACTGACGGTGTAGTGCCTCTTTAGGTCGATTGTGACGCTGTGTCCCTTTGGATCAGAATTACTTCGCCAGGAACTGGTATTAGTGCCGTCGATGATATTCTCGCAAGGGTATTTGGCCTTTGAGCTGCTGCAGGTCATGCTCCAGTCTGTTCGAGCAATGCGAATACCCTGATAAGGAGGCGATTCATCGTAGAAAGAAGGTGTCCACGACGGCTCGTCAACGGGACCGTAACCAGAGACGCGCTCGCCATACATCGCCTCCTGCATGAAGGTGCTCACGGCATTTGCACCTCCGATTGAGGTCCCAAGCAGAAGCTTAGCCCATTGCAACCTCATGTTGGTGGCTGAGTGAGTTCAAGAGAAAAGAGAAAAGGGGCAGTCCTTTTGGCCTGAAAGCACCAGGAATGCTGATGAGCAGCAGCGTATAAGTAGCGAAATTGAAGCCTACTTAGCATGCGTCAGTGCCAATGCCGTGCCTTGACTGAATACATTACGCACGATTACATGGGCGGGCGGGCCTTCAGCACGCTTGTGGAGCAGCAATTCTCTAGGCCAACATAGCTGCAAATGCGAATGGAAGATTGGAACCACCGTGTCATAGATGGATGATCCGCTACCATTAAACACGCAAGCAAGTGGAATTGCAATTCACATAGCCCCTCAGCTTTTCTGATGAGCAGTTGAATTCGCATTCTATTGATTGGTTGGAGGCTTGCGGGGTTTTGCATCCAATACGACCTGTCTATCTTGACCCTTGGGATAGACAACCAACTTTACGCAATGGACTAGGCCCTTGCTATGTGTAACCAACCGTGCATTGGTTGCATCAAGAGATCTGCATTGCCTATGTTGTGGAACAGTGGGACCCGTCTACTGGAGACTTTTGACTGACTGATTGGTCATTAACGGTTTGTGGCTGGGTGTTCTTCAGCTGGCCGACCGGTGGGGCAAGCGCATTCCCTGCTCTTTGTGTAACCAGCAGTGGATAACAATGTTAGACCGCGGGACACTCGTACACTCTCGGGACCGAGGGAAATAATCGATGTGATTTAGTTGAGACCTACTATGGAGATTTTGTTGAGCGCATCTCAAGGCCTACGAGACTAGTACTGGCATCGTATGAAAGCCAGGGTGAGGGTGACTTACAATGTTAGCTTTTATAGCGCATGACCAAGACCGAAGAAATACAGAAATAAGCTTAAAAAGCTACTCGTTCATTGATCTCGATTTAAAGTTGCGGTCCGCAGATAGTTGCGGGAAGCGTGCGTGGCAACATGGGTATCAGAGAGACCAAGGCATGTAAGCACTCCTGAGAGGCTTGCAATATTTACCTGAAAGCTCCCCCATGATGTCGGCTCAATTACCTTCCTTTCCTTACTTCTATAATCCCAAAGGAGAAATTACAGCGCGAGGTGATGCACTGTTTGCATACCCCTGCATGCAGACACCCCACAGCATAGCGATGATCAATTCCCGTGCATCCGAACTATCGAAGCAACGAGGCGACAAATAAGGTCATCGCGTAAAATAATAGCGTTAGCGAGATAGGCCCATCACGAAGAGTTGAGCTGTACCAAGCGCCCGTGGGCAGCAAGAATACGTATGGAATTCTGAACTTCTGGACTGCGTGGTCCCGCCCATGCCCTTTTCTCCTTTCATAAGTGTAGGCGGTCGATGGATTCTTAAAGTCGCAAGCAGCCCCCACCATCAGGAATTGCGTTAACTGGTTTGCTACGCATTTTTGATCTTGCCTTTTGTGGTCAGAAAGTGACAAAATTACGCTTGGAAACTATGAGTTGGGTCGCGAGAAAGGCCAATATCCAGGGCGACATCTGGTGAGCTTCGATATTCAAGCAATCACATGAAATCTCTTCGTGTACTTATCCGTATCCTTAGGCCCGGTCTACCCAAAAGATGCCAGACCTTCATGTTCTTCAAGATCAAAAAAGGAGAGGAATTCAAGACACGGCTCAGGTCTTTTGTGGAGGCGGGCGGAATAACATCTGCGCAGGATGCCCTTGACATGAAGAAGAAGATTATCGAGACAAAAACGGAAGCTATACAGCGGTGTCGACCAGCCAAGATTCAGTCGTTGCCAGGCGTGAACATTGCCTTCACTTCAACTGGATTAGGAGCAGTAGGCCAACACCAAGACCCCGACAGACTACCGAATATGTGCTAAGTGACTCCAACAGATGGGAAAGTTTGTCTTCGATGAGGCTGGTGTTAAAAAGGACAGATCCCTTTCTAAAATCTTTAGAAAAAACCAGCTGCGGGGTGGCCTATTTGCAAAGGGCATGTTTGCCGACCTAGTTGGCGAGGGTTGGGATGACCCACAGGAGCTGCGAAAGGAATATCATCCGTTTGGTGAGAAGGCTCAGCGGCTGATTGATGGCGTGTTTCTGGTTACAGCGAGTCGTGAAGATGATCTCGCTCAGAAAGTGAATGGTATTAAAGAGCACTTCCTCAAGGAGCCAGGCTCCGGTGATGCCGATACCTATCGTGTCAGCAATGATCCAGTCCTCGAATTTCCGCTTATCAGACAGGGTCAGACTCGTCCAGACAAGGGAAAGGAACAGTAAGAATACCTTATCTTCTATTTCTAATGATCAGCCGGAACTAACTATGCGTTCAGCTTCGGTTTTGAGGATGGAATAAGCCAGCCGCTCCTCGAGGGCTTGGACGAGGTGAGCATCAAGGAAAAGGATCCCAAACCAACAAAGTCCGGGTCAGTAATTCTCATTTTATCTTTATCAACTCACCTAGCTAACTAGATATGTTCTGGATCTCAGACTAATCTTCGCCAAACACGATGGCGATGATATGGGCCAGCCGGACTGGGCCGAGGACGGTAGTTTCATGGTTTTCCGAGACCTACAGCAACTAGTGCCTGAGTTTGAAAAGTAAGTTTATATACCTTTGTTACTTGACAATTTACTTACCAAGTCGAACTCAAGGTGGTTGGAGGACAACAAGCACAAAGCACCCTTCGCCGAGACCTCTGATAATCCGAAGGAGAAGCTCGCGGCATACTTGATGGGTAGATGGAGGAACGGTTCGTGTCAGCCATGTCTCGTATCATAAACCTATTTTGCTAATAGTTGTTTCAAGGAACCCCGGTCGACGAGAACCCGCATGATGACAAAGACCCCAGCCTTTTCAGATCTAACAACTTCGATTTCCAACCTGTCGACAAGCACGACAAATGTCCCTTTGCAGCCCACATCCGCAAGATGCGACCCCGTGGAGACCTGGACCACGACCATGCAGTCATCATCCGTCGTGGCATTCCTTATGGAGGCGAAGTGACTCCCGAGGAGAAGGCCGTGCAGAGATCGGATGAAGAGAATGAGCGTGGCCTCCTGTTTGTCTGTTATCAGAGTGATATCCGCAACGGATTCAACTTCCTAACCACCCGCTGGGCGAGCAACCACTACTTCCCTGACCGGAAGTCTCATTTCATCGATGACCACGGCCCTGGTATTGATGCCATCGTGGGTCAGAAGCTTGATCATCACCCGCCTCGCTCTATTGGTCTTCCTGATGGTAAGAATCCTACCGAGGCTCGGGTTGATCTCGAGCGCTGGGTTATTCACAGAGGTGGTGAATATTTCTTCTCGCCCTCAATCAATGCCCTGAAGGGATATCTGACAGATGCCCCTGATTACCCACCAGCTTTTACAACTCCATGAGGAGATTATGATAGCACTTTAGCTTTCCGGTAGCAGCGGAATAAATTGAACGATAATTCGGATGATAATCTTATTTGACTGATGTAGCTCGCTCTAGATAAGTTCTGCTATAATGAATACTGTCCGGCCTATCGTCAGCTAAAAGGAAGCCACTAGCCTAGTGGACAACTACATGCGGAAGCTCGCAATGCGAGCATCTAGTATGTCACTATTCCATATGAGAGACGTGAATATTTTCGAAGACCTGAAAATGTCACACATATTAAAAGGGATATTAAAAAGGGTGCTCTGCCTCCTGCAATCCTTCGATTGGCAGGCATTTCCAATTTTATTTTCTCTCCCTTTATGGTCGCATGACGAAATCCCGCACACAGAACAGTGCTTAATCAACGGGGATGCAGTGCTAGATCCACAGTATTCACGTTCTTAAAGAGCGCATAAGGCAGCTGAAATTACACATAGCTATGCATAAGTAGGTCTGAGACAAGAGGGTGAAGACAGGAGGGTGATATCACTGTACAGTAAGTTATGGAAAGAATAGCTGCGGGGCAACGTTCCTTTTTCCTACTTATCTATGATGTTTACATCTCTGAGTTTCCGTTGGTTACACAAATTCGAGGGCGATCAATCAATATTCTGCCCCGCAACTCCATGAGATAGTTTTAGTGGACTGGTAGCCACCTGAGAGCTGGCGGCAGGTCCTTTAGCACTCCCGGAAGACAGTACAAACTCCTGTGCAGCATCTAACTTTTTGTAACCTTGGCTCTAGTGTGGAGTACTGGAACATTAAAATGCTATTTCAAAACATGTACGGAGTAGTGTGCCGGAATCAATAATATTCAAACGGCGCCAGGATGATAATGATGCCTTGACCTACAGTATGATGTAACGAGTATGCATTTTGCAGTCTCAGTCTCCTTGTCATTCAGTTAGAGAAGAAATGAAGCAATAGCCATGGCTGGCTGAAAATTCCCCATCCAAGGATCGTGAGGGCTAGACCTCCTTTCTCTTATTGTGATCCTCGCATCGAGATGCATGCAGCCAACTGCCGATCATTGGGAACCTGCATTATACCTAAATCACAAAGAATGCAATAAAATTGACATCCCCTTTAGACCCACTTCGTCAGTAGACTGGAGCTATAATACGGAGTGAGTTAAGTCTCAAAGCATGCCAATCACTTGTCTGCTCAACAATTTTCATTCTCACTCTCTTTGGCAACTCCACTATGAGGGTACAGTACCTTGTTCATGCTCTGTGTCTTCTCAAGGCAATTGAGGCACAGAGTCCGAAAGACGAATTTGATGCCATCTGTGCCTCCGAACCCTCTCAAGATGGAGAGTTCAAAACCCTGGACAATGGATACACATTCCAATATGTCTGCAAATATACCGGAGCCTCTGCCAACTCGATCGAACCTCCTGTGACGGCGGAATCAATCGATGAGTGTGCCAAACTTTGTGCCTCCCGGGACGACTGCAAAGGAAGCTCATGGATTCACACTTTCCAATCGTGCCAGCTTTTCACCAGTGGGGAAGATCTTCAGGCCCGTCGCACAGCAATCTTCCTGCGTCGTGACTTGCCGGTTCCCGAGCCGGAACCTTTGACCCCCAAAGCCCAATTTGAAGCTGTCTGTGATGATCTAGATGGAGAGATCAAGACTCTCGACAACGGAGTGAAATTCAAGTATGTGTGCAGACAGGCCGGTGCTGCTGCCAACCTGATCCAGCCTGTCTTGGAGGCGGAAACCATCGACGAATGTGCTGCTCTATGCGCCGCCAATGACCAGTGCAAAGGAAGCACTTGGATTCATACATTTGGTTCATGCCAGCTGTACACCAACGGGGACGAATATCAACCCCGACGCACTGCCGTGTTCCTGCGTCGTGAAATTGAAGGCGCTGATTGCACCCACGTTGAGTCTGAGCTTAAGGACTGCGAGGCTTCGGAGACAGCGCTTAAGGAGTCTCAGACTCAACTTCAGGAGGAAATCCAATCGTGTCTAGAATACAAGGAGCAACTCGAGGCCACGCAGACAGATCTTGAGGAGAAGGTCGAGAAATGTAAAGACTGCGAGTCAGAGAAAGAGGAGCTCCAGCGACAGCTGACCAAGGCGCAAAAATGCGAAGTCGAGAATGGGTTCATTACGGATTTGACTCAGCAAGTGCAGCAATGCCATACAGATGCTGCCTCCAGTGCTCAGCAATTGCAGCAGTGCAACAGCAATGCCGCGACTGGCGCTCAGCAGCTGCAGCAATGCAGGAGTGATGCTGCGACCAACACTCAGCAGTTGCAGAAATGCAAAGCTGACGCTGCTACCGGCAGCCAACAGTTGCAGCAGTGCCAGGATGATGCTACGAAAAACGCTCAGCAGTTGCAGCAATGCCAAAGCAATCTACAACAATGCAATAACGATGCTGCGACTAGCGCCAAGCTTCCCCAAGTCAAGGAATGCAAATATGGTGGCTCCGAGCAGATCATCAAGATTGGGAACCGGTCCTTCAAGCAGAAGTGCCCTGTGTCTTTGGCCAAGAACCGGATGCCTATTAGCAGGGTGGTTCGACCAGGCCTCACGAAGCCGGAGTGTCTCCTGATCTGTGCCCTCGATTCCACGTGCGTGAGTGTTTACTATGTGGGTGGTACTGCCACCGTTGGTGAATGTCAACTTCAAAGAGCAAACATCGAATCTATGCTGGCTTGGAGTGGCCCGAGTTACGGGGATCGTGACTGGGCTTTCGTACCTGTGTGAGTCTCCGTGCCTTGTGATACGCAGCCAAGCCGAGTTTCCGAGGGGATGTCAGTAAAACTAAGTGATTGAGTTGACCTGACACTCTTCCCCTCTCTGGTACATGATTACTGCTGATTTACTGAGTGGCTGGCTGCATCTACTGGCCGGATGTCAGAAAGACTGCCGGTTTGAAATTGTTTCTTTCGGGCCTCGAAGTTTGAATATTTTTTCCCCTATTGGTAGAGATTTGTATGAATGTGACTTGTCAAATTTGGAAAAAAAATTACGTAGGGGTTCTGATGCGCCTTCGCCTCTTCTTTGGTCATCCTATCCACTCTTTTTGCCCCGTAAATTCACACCAATCCTTTGAGTCCTGTTAGATACAATCTTTGGGCACATATTTGCCAATATCCTCCACCGTGGCGTCCAATCAACCTGGTACTTGTAATTGAGTTACCATATCAACCTTAGCTCTCTATGATGCGTAGTCAACATTTTGTTAAATACTGTAAGATCTTGAAAATTTCAACTATGCAGCGCTGATGCACCGTGGGGATATCGGCAAGTTTGTGGGTAGATCAAGAGTGTATTTTCGAGGAAGGCAGGCCGAGGACTCAGATATGTATGCAAATGCGGCTGAATTTGGGTCATGGCCTCGAAATCCTTCCATCGATTCTTTGTGGGCTCGCCTATCGAAGGTTGCTCCAGGTCCAGCCTCGCACATGCACGCCATGATCGGCGCGTTTTCCGGCGTCATCCAACAGCAACGAAAGCGGTGTGAGTTGGCGTTGCTATGGGCTATGGGTGTCGCGCTTCTTAGTACTTATTATGTATACTCATTAGATCCGAAGATCCGTTATCCACCTCGTTCTGCACACTTTTTAGTCTTCTACACAAGCAATTGATGATCTCAAGAACTTCATTTTGCTACTTGCACTCGTGAATCGCTAGACAAAAGCCTCTCTTCATTTCTTGTAGATTACTCTGGAAAATGCCTCATGACTAGCTCATAGGTACTAATTTTTCCCTGTATTCTGCGTCGTTAGTGAGAAACGTGCAGACTATTTGTCTCCCAATGACGACACATACACGATAGCAGCTGCACCGTGTATGGCTTATGTATCTCGTGGTGCATATGCGTAGGTGGCTTGTATAACCAAAGGAGGAAGAGGAGGGGAAGGGTGGATGTGGTTGACTAACTGCCTGCCACAAAGTAATTTGTGAGGTAGACCATCTAGGAATGTAAATTCATAATACTAATCTCTCTAATTGGTTATTATATAGGTTGGGTCTCAATGTACAGATAAGATGTGGGGCAGCAAAACATGCATCTTGTAGGTCACACGGCATTGCTTTGTGCGAGGTGATGTGTCTTTTCAGCTGGTACTTCATCTATAACGTGCTTGACACTGGGGAGTATGTTGTTCAAAGCTACCATGCTTCGAGATTGATAGATCTGTGTTCTTGCAGGTGACAGTCGATCACTGAAACCTGGAGAGGCGGATCAAATCGTCATCTGCCACTTTGGATATGTTTTCCTAAATATTAAACGCTCTCCCTCCCACCTAGCCTTTTCATCCATTTCACTCCAAGTCCAACTTTCTATCTGCAACCAGATTAACTGATTCTATTACTTGTCGCAACATGCCAGCACCCAACAAGAAGAATATCCAAGGGGATATTTGGTAGGTCAACATAATTCATAACTCTTCAAGGAGTATACGGAGATTACTGACCTTCCTATCAAGGCCCCGACTTCCAAAAAAGGCGGAAACATTCCTTTTCTTTCGAATCACGAAGCCTGCAGCCTTTAAAGGCCATTTATCTCAACTGGCACCATTGCTCACTACGGCTGAGGATGCACAGAGAATGAGAGAAGACATTTACAAGAAGAAGGAAGCAGGAACTCTGAAAGGCCTTATTCAGCTATCAGCGATCAACGTTGCGTTTTCTGCTAGGGGTTTGGCTAAGGTAAATTTCTCTGCTTTACTCGATAATGTGATATTTGCGCTAACTTTCCATAGCTCGGAGCGGAGGGCTTCACCGATGATATTTTCAACAATGGCCAATGGCAAGATATGACTTACCCAGGCACTGGTGAAGATCCAAAGAAGCATCAAGGCCTCGATGATCAACAGGATTGGTACCATCAGTTTAAGCCAAGGAATGGCTACGTCGACGGTGTCTTCATTGTCACTGGTGATAGCGACCAGACTGTGAAGAAAACAATTGATTCACTGATCGAGAAGATTTTTAATGTTGGTCAGGCTGGGCAAAGCATTCAGAGAATCTTCTCCCAGAGTGGCAATGTTCTGCCTGATGATAGAGAACAGTAAGTTTCCCAGTACCGTTGGACCGCTCGTCAAGGTCATTGACATTGTTCGTACAGCTTTGGATGGGTTGACGGTATTTCCCAACCCGTGGTTACTGGTTTGGATGATCTTAGCAAGAACAAGTCGCCCAATGGCTTGAAACCAATCCCCGCTGGGTGAGTAAGATCCTATTTTCATAATGCACCAAAGTTCGCATTGATATTCTGACTAGCTTATCTCCAGTACTATCCTTGTTGGATGTGATGGGGACAAGTCCAAGCACCCGGAATGGGCCAAGGAAGGTAGCTTTATGGTTTACCGCGCTTACGAGCAGAGAACTCCTGAGTTCGTAATGTAAGTAGAACCGTTCGTGATCCACAAAGGAAGAAAGTATTCTAACAATTCATTCTAGGTGGTGTGGCCGGAATACCCCATCTGTGCAATCGGAGGGTTTTTCGGAGAATGCCAAGAAGGAACTCCGCCTCTTCTCGTCCCGTGTGATGGGGCGATGGCCTGACGGTAAGTGAAAAAAAGAGCACTAAATATGAATTGAAGACAGAACTAATATTTCTGGCTACAGGTGCTCCTTTGGAACTTCACCCGGAGAGAGATCCTAGCCACATCCTGAGCGCTGATCCCCATGAGAACTACGAGCTACTCAAGAAAGAATGGGGTGATGACTTTGAAAGGAAGTACAAGGAGCAGGAAGCGATGAACCATACGGACAACTTCAACTACAATGCTGATGACCAAACGCGCTGCCCATTTGCTTCGCATATCCGCAAGTGCGGGCCTCGAGATGATCACCCCTTCTATACGAAACATCTCATGCTCCGCAGAGGAATTCCGTATGGGCCGTTGACCAAGAACGAAGAAAAGGCTGGTGGAGTGTCGCAAACTGAGCGTGGGCTGTTGTTTGTTTCGTACCAGAGCAATATTAAGAATGGATTCCACACCGTTCAGAAAGGTATATCTCTCTTGTGTGATACAAGCAGTACAAAACTAACATCAATAATCAGAATGGGCGAATACTGCTCACGGCCCCGACGATAAGACCGACCAATGCGGAGGTAAAGCCCCTCAAGGAATTGACCCAATCATCGGTCAAGTTGCCCCTCATAATCGTCATGATGAAAACCCCGTCATATACAATGAGCCCGTCCCTGCTGTGAATCTGCCGGACCCCCGAGTTCCTCCACCAGAGGTCAACGAGCGAACTGTTCCTATTGAACGATGGGTGATTCCCCATGGCGGCGAGTACTTCTTTACCCCGTCAATTTCGGGTATCCAGGACCATCTGTGCAAGGCCTAGAAGGAATCCTCGGCTATATGAACCATCCTTGACCTACAGCCACAGGTAACCCCAGACGAAGTTACTTTCATTTTCGGGCCCCTTGACTTTGAATTGTTTTCGTCTCTCTTCATTCTTTAATTGGTTGTTGGTTATCTTGTACGCAAGTTGCAATACGGAACACTGCCAAAGAAACCTTTCCCTACCAAGCGCTGCCATTGTTCTCGTAGCTAAGATTGGCGACGCTAGATATCGTGGTCAGCATGTCTTTCCATGTAAAATTGATCAAGACAAGGCATTTGCCACAATCCAAATGTCATAGTGATAAAATGTGAACGACCACACATTATTACCCATATCCTTTGCAAATTGCAGTTCATACACGCAATCTTCCCAATTTTTGGCCTGTAAATCACCCAGTGAAAGGCGGCGATCGAAATCATAGTCCCCTTTCGCAATTATAAGAACAGAACTTTCACTTTTCAAGGGTCGAATCACTTACCAAATTTTTCTCCTTGCAAGCCCTCTGTAAAGATTCCATAGAGATACAGAATTCGATGCATTCAGCCGGTATCCATCGGTAAGCAACCCAGTAATTTGAATTCGGCCAATTAAGACCATTCATCCGATACGGTGTCCAAGTGCCCATACCCAATTGCTAGCCAAAGTAATCGTGCGACAGAACAGGACTCTCATAGCAAGTGGCTTCGAGACGTCAATAACAGCTATATATCCCGTTCTAAGTCCTTGAAATCCCAGTGTTTGACAAAACGCAATATTCTTGCGGTGCTATCAGACATCGGGAAGAGGTCTGAAGGCCGAGCACCCTCGCAATGATTTTTTAGGCCGTCCTTATCGACCAACGACCTTTCGTGTAGAGGGCCTTCATAAATGGAAGGTAGGGTGAATGGTTGATTCGAGGAACGGAAACCAAGGTTTTTGGCGCATCGACTGTAGCTGCCTGACCGAAAGGCCTGATAAAAGATGTCTGGGGTGTTCGTTTCGGGTCGACTCAGATGGTCAGAAAATTTCTTCAGTAGCGCTCTATTAAGAGCGCTGAGCGTTTTCATATCAGCTGATAAGGTCAAATTCGCATCTGTCAGTCTGTTCATGATTCTTTCCTTTTCCGACAATGAGAGCGCTCCGTTCACTTCTTCGTATTCAAGTTTTCGTGGTGGGACGTCTAAATTTTCGCCGGTGACCAAAGAGGTGACGAATGCGAGACATTTGGTGACAAATATCTTATCATCAAGGGCGTGGATAAGTCTTTGGCACAGATCGTTGTGATTCTCCTGAAGTTGAGCATTGCGTTTAGTATTCAAGGTTTCTCTTTTGTCTTCCTCTACGAGCGGTTCGTCGACGATACCAATAAAACATTTCTTCTTGACTTCAACTAGACGAACTCCATATCTTTTGGTACGATCATGCCCAGCCATCTTGTCGAAGCAAGGAAATGAATATACGAGAAGTCCAAACATTCCAGAAGAGGGCATGTCGAGAGCGGCCAAATATACTTCCGTTCCGGAATGATGTTTGTTCCCAATCACCACATGAATCAAGATAGTTGACGCCCCCAAGTTTAAAAGTCAAGCGTTGCTACGTAAAGGGCATTAACAAGCTATAGCAGTACTTAAATTTACCTTTGACCTAGTAGTCAGACACCACGCACCTGTAGCCCGTATGTCTATCACTCACTAGCCGTAATCCGAAAAATCGTGATCACTCATCAACCAACCCCACAAGAGCCTCGGTCCCTCTCCACCTCGGGCCAGCAGCCTCCCCCGAGCTTCTTCTCCATGGTATTTGCTATATACGATCAGCCGCCCTCTTCCTTTTGCAATGTACCAGTGATCATCTCATCACGACATTATTACTGATATTCTAAGCATATATCATCATCATGGCTGGCAAGATAGACGCGTACGTTGACTGCGGTATGGTCACTTTACCCTTCCCCAGCCTTCCCCACAGGAGCAGGATCCAACCTCTGCATTGAGGTGCATGCGGGACGTTCATTCGCTAAATAATCGCCAGTGTCGCCTTACTCTTACTATGCGACGCTATATTTGAGGCGCAATCGACAGGCGCTCCGGTCGCACGGAGTTGAGATCGAGTACGTGAGCCATAGCTGTTCGCTATCCCAATGCGGGCGCTGACTTGCAGATAGATTGCATCCTGTTTTCCTGGGCGGCATCAATGTCGGCTCTGGTATGTTTGTTCATCATCGAACGATGGCACAATTCCTTTACTTGGATAGATCGCTCATTTATGATAAAAATAGGCAATAAGCCCCCATGGACACTGCCAGCCAAGGCGACCTATTCCAAGTACGACTCCGAACGGGCTTGCAAATACTTTGGTGTTCCGCAAATCAGGACGCCCGATTTCTTCCCAATCTTATCAATCATGGTGAATATCCCACGAATATCCCTTCTCACTCTCTTTTGAAGCTATTCCATACTGATTATTTCCAGCCCCAACGATGCATGATCTACATCAAGCGCCACTACCCGCAAGAGCGCTATGAAACTACATTCCTATCGCTGTGGGAATGGATGTACCACAAAAACATCGACATTAGCAAGCCCGAAAAACTAGCAGAGCTTCTCAAGTCTCATGGCTATTCCGACCAGGAAATCAAAGATATCCTAGAATCCGCCAAAAGTGCCGAGTACAAGGAAGCACTGACTGCCAACACGCAAAAGGCGCTGGGTCAAGGCGCATATGGAGCGCCGTGGTTCTGGGTGCGTAATAAGGAAGGCAAGGAGGAGCCTTTCTTTGGAAGTGATCGGTAAGTTCAATCTGATTTCAGGTGTCTGTTGATTTGTTGAGGACTGGAACTAAGTTGGGATTAGGTTCGCATTCATGTGGCAGTACTTGGGGATTCCTTTCCATGATGTGACTATCATTGAGAAGGCGAAGTTGTAGGATTAGCATTTTGATCTATAGTATGGTGTAGGAGGAAACATTGTTGATCGAATGTTTCTTTTGGCATCGATGGATCTTCTACTTATAACACTGAGAAGTCTTGAGTATCGCAACTATTCCAATCTCTCCCGATGCTCAGGTTGGTTGCTATCCTAAGCGCGCCCGTAGTATGTCCATAAAATGTCGCACTCTTTGCATAATGTCCAATGACTCAATTACTCTTCTAGCTCTACGTCCCCCGTCTCCATTTTATTAGAGTCCAGACCGATCCCACCCGGCCTGATAGCCTTACAAACTCGGTCCTTCGGTCTTCTGCTTACTTACTACTTACTACTTAGGACACCGCAATACCCGTCATGGCCCGCGCGGGCCGCGCGAAACGGGCGCCGCAATCGGAATCAGCACCACCAATTACCTCGCCCTGATTGTACTTCAAGAACGAGAAATGACGCCGAAGCTATGACTCCCATTGAGCGGTTTATTTTCGTCCACTATAGGTATATATAGGATGACACCCAGCGATTGAAGCTGCAGCACAATTCTTCTAACTTTAAGCTCATCGCACCGGAAGCGGATAAGAACTGAGCCCGTTGCGCAACTGATCCTCTACCCCACGTTTGTGCCACAACTGCCCCACGAAGCTTGACTTGAAAGACCGCTGCACGTCAATTTCCCCTTCTTCACACCTAAACACCTCTTTGAACATCCTAAGAAGTCAATCGCATCATGTCTGGCGTTCGTGTAGCATGGATTGGCCTCGGCAACATTGGCCGGGTGAGTACACAGCACCAACGCATCCAATCCAATACCACCAACCGAACACCAACTAACCTCCAAACTATAGGGCATGAGCAGCAACATCGCCCAAAAAGGCCCCCAATCCAGCCTCATCCTCTACAACCGCACAACCTCACGCGCAACCGCCCACGCCGAAAAGCTCGGCGGCAACGTCAAAGTCGCAACCTCGCTCATCGAAGCCGTGCAAGCCTCCGATCTAATCTTCACCTGCGTCGGCGATGACCCAGCCATCAACTCGATCACAGAAACAATCCTCTCCGACAAAGAAACCGACTTCTCAACAAAGACCTTCATCGACTGCTCAACCGTGCACCCAGATACATCGCGCCGCACAGAAGCCGCCTACGAAGCCCGCGGCGCTTCCTTCGTCGCATGCCCCGTCTTTGGAGCCCCCAACATGGCCGACGCAGGCCAAATGATCGTCGTCCCCGCCGGAAAACAATCCGCCATCGCCAAGGCTAGACCGTTCTTCGAGGGCGTCGTTGCAAAGGCGACTATCGATTTATCCTCCGGTACAGGCGAAGACATCGACGTCGGCCGCGCGTCAACCCTCAAAGTCCTTGGTAACACATTCATCCTCAACACCGTCGGTGTGTTGGCTGAGTCGCTTACCGCCGCCGACGCGACTGGTCTGGGAACGGGTCCGTTCCGGCAATGGCTGGAGCTGTTTAACCCGGGGCCGTTTACTAAGTATGCGGATCGTATGATTAGTGGAGATTATTATCAACGCGAGGAACCGTTGTTTGCGGTTGATCTTGCGCGGAAGGATTTGAGACATGCGTCTAATATTGCTAAGGAGGGTGGGCAGCGGATGCGGAATGTGGAGGTTACGGATCACTTTTTGCAGGAGGTTAAGGCTGAGAAGGGGGAGAAGGGAGATATTGCGGCTGTTTATGGTGCGGCTAGGAAGGCTGCTGGGTTGAAGTTTGAGAATCAGTGATTCATGCGGAGGGCTGTATATATGAGGATGGGGTAGAAGCTCCTTTCTTCGTGAGAAGCATATACATTGAAAGTATCAAGTTTACACATACAAAACCTGTGTACGTTTCTGATTTGACTCTACCTGCACGAATGAAGTCTACTAGAACTTACTCTAATCATGGCCAGGTATTTCCCATAAGGGGTAGTATTCAAGCCAGCCCAAGTTCGTTTCGAACATATGAAGACCACAATACACACCATATGTCCTCAACATGTTAGATCTATGTGACATTAATGCTCGTGGCCTACTTGAACATTTACAGTGATCAAGAAACAGGTTTGATGTAATTATGGTTCAAAAGCCATATTCATTCGAGACTCGACTCCGATTAGGACGTCGTAGCAAAAGTGGTGAGTCAATATACACACGGGGAAAAAATCATAGACTAAAAAATACATAACAGGCCATAGCCAGTTGGCCTAACTTTTCTTCACAAAGCTGGCAATGTCCACACAAAAGCTAAACCGCACAAGCCCACTTGCAACAGATCTACTGCTGCTCGGGGATCTCAGTGGGCTGGTCGTGGTGCTGGTGGTGCTCGGCGCCCTCCTTGGGCTCGGGCACGGCAGGGGCGTGGAGGTCGTCAACGATACCCTCGGGAGGAACCCAGCTGGCAGACTTCCAGGGCTTGACGTGCAGGACGTACATGGTGTCGACCTCCTCGAGGGTGCGACCCTGGGTCTCGTTGACGAAGAAGAAGACAACCCAGATGGCGGCGAAGCAGCAGGCAGCGAAGACGTAGCCGTAGCTGAAGTCGATGGAGCTGGAGATGAAGGGGGTGAAGAAGGAGATGAGGAAGTTCCAGGTCCAGTTGGCGGCGGTGGCGACTCCCATGCAGGTAGCACGGTAGCGGAAGGGGTACATCTCACCGCAGATGGCCCAGACGATGGGACCCCAGGTGGTGGCGAAGCCGACGATGAAGAAGCAGGTGAAGACGATCATGGCAACACCGGCGGGGTGAGAGGAGGGGTTGACGTGGAGGACCTCGTGGCCGACGGAGGCCCAGATCATGAAGCAGACGAAGCACCAAGCGGCACCGGCCATGAGACACTTGCGGCGTCCATAGTGCTCAACAATGTACAGGCCAGGCAGAGTCATACCGAAGTTGACAGCACCCAGGATGATCTGGGTGACGTAGGAGTTGGACAGACCAACACCCTGGAAGATGGAGGTACCGTAGTAGAAGATGAAGTTGGCACCGGTCAGCTGCTGCAGGGACTGGAGAGCAATTCCGAGCATGGTACGGTAGAACATGCGGGGGCCGGTGAGGACCTCGTGCCAGGCAGCCTTGCCAACAGCAAGCTCCTCGTCAAGCTTGTTCTTCATATCAGACATCTCCTGGGCAACGACACGGTGGTTGGTGGGGACACCGTAGAGCTTGGCCATGACCTCACGAGCCTCCTCGACACGGCCGTGACGGTAAGCGAAACGGGGCGACTCGGGCAGAAACAAGGTGCCGATACCGAGGATGAGGGGCCACGCAAAGCCGATGCCCATGGTGATACGCCAGGAGGCGGTGGAGTTGAGGCGCTCAGTACCGAAGTTGATGATGTAAGAGATGAAGATACCGAAGGCGACGAACAGCTGGAAAGCGCTGACCATGGCACCACGGACCTGGCGAGGAGCGGACTCGGACTGGTACATGGGGACAACGCTGGACAGAGCACCGACACCGAGACCCATGACCCAACGGCCGAGAGCAATCTGGTACCACTTGTCAACGGTGGCAATCTGCACGATGATACCGACCATGTTGATCAGGGCCCAGAAGGAGATGGAGAACTTGCGGCCGATACGGTCAGCAATGGGGGCAGCCACCAGGGCGCCAATCATAGTTCCGATAGAGAGCTATAGAAAGGAAGTTTTAGTCAATTGTTTCCCGCGGAGAGAATTGTAGGTGGGTGGGACGTACAAGGCCGACAATGAGACCGTTGCGAACGTTGCTGAAGGCATATTCACCGGTGGCAGCGTTGTACTCGGCGAAGCGCATCTTGAAGTCGGTCATGGTGGTGAAACCCGAGATTTGACCTGCGGCCAAGTCAGTTACCATGCACCGATTGGGTTGGAAATCCAGTTCCCTGGGACGAGGGAAGTATGTAGCACAAGCTTACCAGTGGAGTAACCGAAGATGAAGCCACCCATGGAGACACACAGACCCAGAATGAACGAACGCCAGGTCAGGTACTTGACGGGGCTATCATCGATGATGCCCTCATTCTTCTCCACGGTCGAGTCAGCCCGAGCAGGAGTGGGAGCCTGCGAGGAGAACTGAGACTCCGAACCGGGCTTGAACCGGGCCATGAGGTTTCCAACACCCATTATGAATAGACCGGACCAGGTGATGAGGTACCGAGCAAAATGGGATAAGGGATAGAGGGTAGAGGTTAAGAGTGGAATGAGAAAGACGAAGAAAAAAAGGGCAAAGGAAAAGGGAGGGTGAAGTCCCATAAATACATCAAACGGAGAATCGGCTTCCCCCTTGGGGTACCATGGCAAGCGCAATGGGGGCCCGGATCTCGAGTCCCACGTTACCGGGATGGGGCGGAGGAAAATTCACGCTTGACTCCATGGGCAAATGAATTCCTCCATGGGCACAGGACACTAGGACAGGGCATTCTCCGTACTGTTCGGAGGGAATGGGGTGGAGAATGAAAGGGTGGAGAAGAGAAATTCAAAGGCTTCTCCGCTGCGAGGCCTAACTGGGAGTGTCCACGTGAGACGAGGAGAGGGTCAGACCAAATGAATGATGATACTAGGTTTGATGAGATATCTACCATAGTTTATTGATCGAGGTCAAAGCTATAAGGAGTACTACACCGAGTATCAATTCGTGGAATTATAGTTTGCTCCCAGCGATGTTAGAAAAGTGCTATAGCAAGTTGAAGCATAGCAAAATATGTACTCAATATTGATGACGGCACTTGCACTCGGTTGCTATTTACTCCATACATCATCAAGAAACAGAAATGTCTCAGAAAATGCCAATATCCAGCCAAGGGTAGACAGAAACCCACGATCGTTGGAATGTGCATACATAGCCGAGCTTCCTCGCCACCTTCTAGAAAACTGCGCGATACAGTAATAACTGGGTCTGGCCCCAGCAAATGAGAATGACGTGCCTGAACAAAGACGGACGGACTCCGTGGATACGTTGGGATCGGCTACAAGTCGATGACGGAAGAAGAAATCACCTCTGGCCCTGTTGAGCTGAGCGAAAGTATGGTACGACAGGCAACTAAACCGAGCAACGGCGCGTCATTGATGAATAAGGACAAGCCATAGTTTTCTATAGTTCGGGATATAGTCGGAGTAATTCCTAGTGGCTCCTTAGTAGTGCTGTGTCTCGTACATCATAATGTTCGGTAGTGGCCTTTTACTTGCTTGCCCCTTCATCCGCATGTAGCTCCTTGCAGGACATATTATTGGCGTACGAGGGAAAGAAATTTACTGCCATGACTAATGGACAAATTCTAGCGTTCTGCCAGAGCCTTCTTCCAAAGAGTGCTACTGAAACGAAGGTATTTTGGTACATAATAATTGCATCAGAAAAAAAAATCTGTTTACTTCGCGCCCGGTGGGGCAGCGTGGGTTCTGCACTGGAAAAAGGCTGGCGCCCGAGCAGGTCTCAACATCAATGACGATCGCCGAGCAACAAAAGCTTGGCTCGATGAGGTAGGTCCTGCAAAGAAAACGCCCTGTTGCAGCAGTTTTCGAAGGCAATACGATATATGATGCCAAAATTCTGGAATATCATGGGAATGAGCCCCATTATATACCAGCTTCGGGGCTGATGCCAAAAGGCCTACGAGTCGAAGCTGTACTGATAAGAAGGTGAACTGAAGCATGCTCCGGTCGGACACATTTCTCAGCTCGCGAGTGGAACGACCCACTATCGGTGAGCCATCAAGCCCTCGGGCGTCTCCCGCGCAGAGATTTGCGATCAGTTGAGCCTTGAACGGGATCCACCCGTGGCCCAAATCGGCACACCGAGTCCTGCGTGCTGCCATCCCGACGCCGAGCCGACTCGGGATCGTATGCACGATGCCGGGTAGCCGTTGCAAGATAGCCCCTAACCAGCACAACTTCCATCTCTTAGACACAATATTCACTCTATAGACATATATTTAACACCTGATTATAATGCAATTTTCCATTCTCAATTCCAAGCACAAATGCCAAAACCCGATCAGGTCAAATTTTCCCACTCGGCATGCCGAACACGGGATCTCCCGGGCAAGTGGACCCAGCAACAAGAAAATATTCGACGGAACGGGAACCAGAACTCTCAATTTTCACACGCCCCACTCCACCCAAGCCCCTTCCGTGATCTACGGTGAACTCGGCAGGGAAGTCTCTGACGCCAGCGGACCACTGCTCAGTGCTCCACCAGGTCACCCAAAATAAATCTCCAAAAATCCCAAAAAAGGGGCACGGGGTGGATCTAGCTTGAACGCTCCTTCCTAAAACCATGGCGTGCGTGCACGGCATCTCCCTGCATCCAATCATATTAGATAAAGCTCTTATCTTGGTGCTGTTATGCTAAGATTTTTCTGGACTGCGGTGACCAGGAATGAAGCTGAGCTGAAGAGTTGAGTGGCTCTAGGCCTCTTGGTCTTCTCGGCCGTCTTTTGTGTCGGATATCACGGAGCATTGTGGTCGTGGTGAGCGGTTTGAGAGTGAGTAGTCGCTTTATTAAGCACGACGAGCCTTCCATTGAATGGCACTTCTCCATGCATGGGTAGAGTTGAATCGCATATTCAATACTCTAGACTAGATAGGCTTTCTTACAGAATTGTGGTGAGTACTCATTATAGCCATGTATAGCCCTAAACAATTCATCGGAATGGCTTAACTTATTCATCAGGAATCATAGAGATACATTCTCTGGTTAAGTGGATCATCGTAAATAGCTAACTGGATATCAATCGGTGGAGATCTTGATAGTTCAGGTTGGGCGGGGAGTGTAGGATATCAGCGTCTACAGCTTGCTTTACCATATGCAGTAGGGTATCGGTATAAGCCGTCGAAATCCAGCCATAGGATCTTCCAAATACCTTTTTCAGGTTGAATCGACGACGATTTGGATATGAGAGGCGTGTGCATACGATGCATACCGCGATCTCGGGCGAAGGTCGTACCCGGCCTCGATATTCGATATCAGAGATACGGAACCAGGTGACAAGCCGACGAATTTGACTTGGCGTAAATCTGTACATGTCAGTACATACAGTATTTCTCATATAAACATGGGAGTGATAAAAGCTTACCGTGTCCAAAAAATGCATTTATTATCACCCCAGCTGTCCAGATTCCACTCAAATCTAATGTATCTAACGACCCAGAGGGTATGCTGCGTGAGTTTTCCAGACGCATTCTTTTCCGATCCTCCTCAAACTCGAGTAAAATAAAAGTGCAGATAATCAGCCTCCGGGCATAGGCATACCATGCATTGCATTGATTCATAGTTTTGAATTGATAAGCGTTGACGGGGTGATTTGATGTACAGTATGTATGAGGGTATATACGCATCACAATCGCCAATGTCTGTACATGATGTGACTATATCATGTGATCTCAGTCATTATCTGTGATGGAGACGGAAATACTGCTTATTAAATCATGGTTGGATATCAACAATTCTGAATTTCTATAACAAGCCCCTATCTGGCAATTTAGGTGGGTCAATTTCAGCTACCTAAGTCACCAACTGTGCTTCAAAATCATAGTATCTCAATTCCGGATGCAAGCTAATCAAATGAAGGCCTAAAGTCATATCTTACACAGCTATAATCGATAGAGCCACCAGCGCCTCCATTGTTGCCTATGATATGAGTTAGTTTTGATGCCACACGGAAACATGGAACGACTGAGGGAACATACACTTTTCCTAGTTCTCAGTCAGGAGCCTCCAGCATGTGTTCCCAAGAACATGCTCTCCGGTTGGAAATGGATACCGTGCATCTTGCTCGGGTCCCTCGCAGTTTTCAATCCAGGACATTGTGAACCTGAATCGAGTGTCTCCGTACGTGGACTTAAGTTCAACGGGCTTTGAACCTGCCTTCAATTTGGCCTTGTCATCGGAGATCCCAGCACATCCAGTCGCGGCATACTAAGCTCCCCACCGCGAACATCTCCATGACTGCCGAACTGATCTTTTGTGTGGCATTTTCTTGGTTGAAGACCATGCTGAGTGACTGTATCAGGCTTGGGCTTGGGCTTATCGGGGACAGTAATTTTATAGCTGAAGCTTGCCCCACAATCGTCGATTTTAGCGCCGCCTTGCGACTGGATAGAATGGCTGTCATATCCTTGGCCTATTTGAAGATGAGCAACCATACAGGAACAATGGATATCTGATGCTGTGCAAGGGAGGGATGCATACATTTACCAGTGATGGACTTGAAGACTGCATTACAGTCAAACTTGGAGTTCTTTCCAGGATCGAGCTCGAAGTGGAACTTATAGTACTTATAAGCAGAGGATGACACATCTTTAGCTGTTAGATCCTGGCTGCGCTTCTTGTTCTTATCCCCACTACAGAACTTGTTGGCTAGCATGCGCATCAAGGAGACGTCGACTGAGACGGCCTTGCTGTAGGCAGTGTTCACGCATTTGACTTCTGGATCTTTCGGCTTATCACCCTCCTCCTTCTGTTTTTTCAAGCTATCAGCCAATTTAGCTAAAACCTTCTCAAAACCTGTGACTTCAGCTAGGGTTCCTAAAGTGTAAATCTCAAAGGTAAGGTCATAGCATTCACAGCCATGATTCGTGTCCTAGATCAAGTTATTATCAATTCGGCAAGCTGGTTTGAGAAGGGTCCTTACAGCTGTGCATTTGTGATCCTTTCCATTGCAATTCTTATCACTGCAAACGAACACCTCCTTCTCTGGTTTAGGGCATTCTGCCTTACATTTGCAGTCCTTGTAGTGGCCTTGGCTTAATATTTAGCAGCTGATCAGCAATTCAAAAGTGGATGAGAATGGCGAACAATAGTGCAAGATCCCTTGTCTCCTTTACAGTCGTCGGCTGAGCAATCGGGCTTCTTGTAATCCGCAGGACATTCTTCTCTACAGGGACATCCAGCTTGACTACCGACGGTACACCAACCCTCTAGAGGCTTGCAGTCCTTGCAACTGTTCTTGGTGTAATCTTTATCGCACTCCTTCTTTGGATTCGGCACTGCGGCAGGAGGAGGGACGAATCCCACCGGGGAAAGTGGGAATGGAATGATAGGTGGTAGACCGGAGCTTTGAAAGATGTGGAATGAGCACACGTAGGAAGGCGGACTGAATAATTACCCTGGCTTGCCTGTCTCCTCCGAAATACATTCGCAGGTAAGACCACAACCTTCCTTGTGGTATTGCTTGCGCCGATAATAATTGGACATCCAATCTTGACCCTTCTCAATGTCGCAGAACCCTTTCTTTTTCTTGTCTCCTCCATATGTTGAAGATTGCTGCGGAGGGCTAGGCTGTGTCAGCTTCATGGTCACCAAGCCAGAGAAAATTGGTGACTTATAGGGAGTTAATGACACACTTTGGACAGATGGACATAACATATTGATGTTCGTTGTAAGCATGCCACTCTACTACAAAATACCGGGACATAGCAATACGGGGTAAAAAGTCTATGGACGCATGGATCTGAGTGGCATTTTCATGCAATAATTCGAGTCACAGGTTTTGTGGCCAGCTCTCTAAGCTCCGATTCGGAAATAGTACGAGCGATCTCACATATATCTTGGGAAACAATTTCAATCATCCCGTCGTCCATCCGATCCCAAATGTAGAACTTATTGCCAGACAGGAAAATTGTTGTCCACGCTTCGTTATCCTCCATCACCGGCTTTCCTGGTTGGAGACCATGGCATCGAGCAATTGTTTGGCCTTCAGAATCGGGACCATCCCACTCTTCATGATAGACGGGGCTTAATGGACTCGAGGTCCAGCCGGGAGGGATGGTGAACTGGTAATTCTTAGTGACAGGACCCGGAAGAAGAGGGGTGGTTATTACTCACTGATGGCAGAACGGAGCCTTTTTTAGCTGGTGATGTAATAGTCAAGACCTTCGGAGAGCTTGTAATAGAGGTGATGGAGCGAGCCATTATCGTAGCAGTACGTAGAAATTCAGGATACCGCGCGTGAAGGATGTTGGATCGTGGAGAATGGATGGATGGGGCGGGTCTAAAGTCATGCTTGGTGGTTTTTGCCATCCGCATCCACGAATGGAAGTACAATAGTAAGCAAACAAGCTTTCTTGGGTAAATTGTGGCGTCACGGGCAGCGACACCATGAAAACAAGGCATGCATTACACCTGAGACCAATTCGAATTTCGGGAATTAGAATTTCATGAGTTCGATCAATAAATTAAGAAATGAATTAAGCATATTTATCTCTGAAAGACTGTTACGCGGATTATTTTGAAGCAAGAAAGCCATGAATTCTTGCGAATGCGGTCTTTTTGCTCTTCGTGGGCGGTTTGTGTACTCCATGATACGAGGAAAGAGCAGAGTAGCGATAGATAGACGTACTACACCTGCCCATTGTAATGTTTTTTTAGATCACCAATCCATTCATACAATGAACTTCTCGACCTAAGACAAGCATACACTTGGGATCGCCGGCGTGTGAGTGTATCACTGTATAGTGCTCATTGTCTTGCATGCTTTTTCTGTATGTATTCAACGCTGACGAATGGAATAGTAGATATTTGACTTCCTTCCTCATGTTGTTGATTATGGCTATATGTATGATATTCAAAATGATCATTTGCCATCGCTCAAGGCAATTCTCGCCCAGATTGAGAAGCTGTGGTACGAGAACTCATTGTCTTTTACCTGCTACAGTTTCCAGTCTGATTGTTTTGTTGGCTTCTAGTCCTCCGAATGGCAGTGATTTTCCCTCGCCTGGCTTGGAGCCTGATCAATCAATCAGGCGAATCTTGAACCCCGCTTGGGACCCTCGGAATCCATCGAGTGTCTCAAAATTCCGGTTAAATTCCTTTTGGCATGACGGGGTCGGCTACTGGAGTTTATTCGACATCCTCGGCCTATTCCTCTCCTCGGTTGGAATTGCGCCTAATAGCGCTACAACCCGCAACTTCTATCTCCCGCTAACGGCGATGTATGGAAGGTGGTGTGTTATTCTGGGGGCATGTGCGCGAACAATGTTCAATTGAGCGGTACTCAGAAGCTCAAGACGGAGACAAAGCGAGGGAAACGATTGCTCTCGCAGTCTTGGAATGCATGACGGTTGGTCCAGGCTCAGATGTTGAGATTTGATTTATTTGTGACACTCAACCTGCGATAACCGAGCGACAAGATCTGGAGGTGTCGAAAACTGTGCGGAAATTACTGGTTCACCAATGATTGCCGTAAAACTATGCTAGTCATTGCCATTCAATGTAACGGGTTTGGTTCAATAAAATTTACCTTCTTTCGCTATCTTACCCACCATCCTTCCCCATTTTCTGATCTTGCAGTCTTAATTTGAGGCTGGGGCTAATCGCACGCCAACTCGTGCTTTCGCGCGACACACTGCTCCATTGTTGGATATACTGAAGAACAGGTACACTGGATCCTTAGTATCTGGACTGAATAAATAGTTTTAAAAATAAAATTATATACACATTGACTTTCCCAACTATAGAAGACTTTTCTAAATGTCTTTTGGACTGTCTTTCTTACTAGGCCTTATGAGGATATCTAGGTACTCGATGCACCTGTTATCCACCGGATCCGAACATGGAATAGTTTATCATCCGATTAGCCTTAGCCTAATTTGAAATGCTTCGGTAGCCAGTAGCCTCGACAAAGCACAGGAGTTGGTAAATATTATCAAATCTAGTGACATACCCAATATCTACACTCAACGGTATGATTCCAACCAGAGAATATCAGGTCTATCCATGGCCCATTGCAATCACGAGCTTCCCAACGAACAATCCACGGTTTCCACCACTAGTTCGGGTTTGTCAGGTATAGGTTCGTCGTTTCTTACGAGATGAAAGGGCGCATCAAGAAGGAGGGCTTCCGAGGCTTCATTTGCCGGCCATGTTACCTCGACGTTGAAAGCTCGCATGCAATCAAGCTCCATGAGCGGCGCAAATAGCCTTGCTTCTTGATCTACTGTCAACATATTCCCTGACACTTGGTCCATCTTCACCCAAGCTTGGATGTTCAAAAGCCCTTTTGCAAGTTTTACCACGTCCCACATGCTCGTCCACTGATCAAACCATTCGTCATCGAGGCTTTGAATCCGACGATCAAGGCATGCGTGTAAGAACGAGATCTCAAGCAATCGAATTGCATGGAAGCTCCGAGATGATAAGGCAGATTTAAGATCCGAAAGAATTCGAAAATCCGATGAGTCCATGATTTGGAGATGAATAGTATTGTGAGACCACAGAATGTCCACAGACTCGGAATAGCTATGTAAATTCTGTGAGTACGTGGGATAAAATTCAAGCGAAAGTGGGAACATACATCTGGCGACAAGTCAGGAGCAGTGGGAGTCGCTTGCTTGTTGAATCTTTGTCATGTGTCAAACATTTACACCACGAGCCGTCTTGGATTTTGTATCCCAAAAAGTGGTATTTTTGGCCTTTGGAGGGGCAAACACAATGGCGTAGCTTTGGGCCTCCACTGAGCATAAATGCAATGACCTTGTCTTCGAATATGAGTTCATAGATCCGATGTCGAATTTCCACGGGTAGTTTCTCCAGAAAGGCACTGTCATCTTGTTTGATTTCTGAGGCCAGGCCTGCGGTGATTTGCATTGGAGATACTATGGAAACTGAAGAAAGCAGGCCCACAAAGCTCCTTTAGATCTAACTTTCAAGAAAAGCAGTCGGTGGATGATTCTGTGATGGAAGCTATCACGACTTCACGACGTTGAGACGCAGTTGCTCGGGGTAAGAAGTGATCAACAGTTGAGCAATTCAAAGATAGAAACAGCACGTGACTATGGGGCTGAACGTCATTTGTGGCAACCTATTTGCCAAGAGACAATTGTTTGTTACCTTGGTATTAATAAATAATATCTGAAAAGAACACCTTCCGCACGTCAGGGTGGGTGGAATGTGGCGGGGTAAGTTGGGGGCGGATTTATAGCGAAACTTTCTAGCCAAATAAGTATCACGCAGATCGGTAGAGGGCGCAATCTTTCTACATATGTTATTTGTCAATCAAAATTGGTAAATTCTGCTCCGTGGCATAATTGTATCAATTGACAACAAGAGAATCAACTACAACACAGGCGGAGCTTGTGGCCTTGTTACGGTCATACACTAACTTTCTACAGCTTTTCTTATCTAAATACGAGGGCCTTTCTTTCTTAAGGTCTAGCGCCATTCAGTTCCAGTCAAGGCCCATATGTAGTAGCCAAAAGTTCGCATATTGAGAATACTGTGCTCTTTTCTTAATACCCTTCCGCATTTTTTCGTCATCCCCTGAAGCTCATTCCCAACTCCGATACTAGATAGGGTCATTTTTTTTACTCTCGTCATGAAACACCTAGAGGCTTATCTTCTTCTCGTGATTAGCGGAAATACGAAGCCTTCAGCCTCAGATATCAGGGAAGTACTCGAGTCTGTCGGCATTGAGGCAGATGATTCCCGCTTGCTACAGCGGTTCGAGAGTCTGAGGGACAAGAGTGTCAATGAGTGTATCGACCCAGGCTACTTCTGTATTTCAATCTTAATGACAAGGGAAAAAAAGCTAACATATGTAAAGCTCATCTTGGAAGGTTCGACTATGTTAGTGTGGGGCTTCTCTGGAGCAGAGCAGGCTGCAAGCGCTGAAGAGGCCAAAAGAAAAGGAAGAAGACGACTCGCACTTCTGCAATGAGGGCGATTGCTCCAATTATTGCGGAGATGAAGATCTCGGATTGAATCTATTCGAGTAGTGAACCAGGTGGGCTTGTGGAGCGCAGGGTGTCATGCAAATTCCCGCGTAGTCACCCCGCCCCTTCGCTCAGCTCGAAGGCTTATCGGGGATTCGGGGGAAGATGCTCTTAGAGCACGTGACTAGATGGTCTTTGCAATATATCAATCGCCCTGGTCGAGACGCTTGATCATGATCTATATTCTCACAATCCCCTTGAGACTCACATTTCCCCTAAAAAATAAGGCATCTACTACAAATGCTCATCACAGAGCCATATCATTTGACTCATTCCGTGATCCCCACTCGGGCCAGGTTTCCAAGCACGATCTTCCTTGCCTCTTCGTCATCTCCTCGAGTTCTTTGCCTAGCTTCCTCCATCGTCCTCTTGAACTTCTTATCCGTGCAATGAAATGCATCCAAAATACCCGTTGGACCAAAATTTTCATCAAAAGCGAAATGATGGAAGTCGTGTTGCAAATTCGACGGCATCCCCGGAATATTGTACCCCGAGTGTGTGCAGATGGTACCGAATTCAAGGAACAAGAAGGTGAAAACAGCTTGAGACCAATGATGAGGGACAAGCAGTGTCCCGATAGAGTTGGGCAATAAGTTCGAAAACACATGTTCCGCAACTGTACAGTACGTCGACGCTAGTCCGACAGGGGCGGTGAATTCGTGATGTTTTTTGTGGAAGGTGGGATATAGTAGGTTCGAGTGAAACAGGCGGTGGACGTAGTAAAAGCCGACTTCGGTGCAGAAGATATCGAATATAATCGTAGCAATCGTTTTGAGTGGTGACGGTAGGAATTTCGAAGCCACCGGCATTGGACGCGTGGTGAGAGTCCCCAGTAGTAGCAAAGGGAATGCAACGAGGACTTGGTTTCGCAAGGAGATCATCGCAATGCGGAAATATGCCTTTCCATTGACCCGCACAAAAGGTTGGGTTTTATATTTGAAAAGCCACACTGGCCATCCGGTCAAGTCGGGAATCGCAAAGACAGCAGACCACAGCCAAAAGAATACAGATGTGATGATAAAAGTTCCCCACAGGTTCATATTGTACACACCGTACATATTGTCCAGATAATCGTAGAAATTGTGGCCTGTAGCAGAGGAGTTGAAAGATATGAACGCAGCCACAAGAGCTGTATACGCTCCAAGGGAGATTATTTTGGAGTTAGATAGGGCCGTGGTCAAATAGGCCCATCGTTTGCCATGAGGGATTGGGTTACCCGATCGATCTTTGGGGACAGATCTGCTCGAGAAAGAGCTGGCCGTTGCACTCGAGGACTTGGAAGGCGCCATGACTGCTAGCAAATTAACGGGAATGGTGCTTCCAGTCAGGAACTCATGCAGCTTGGAGAATATCAGAAAAACGGGATAGAGTAATCTTGTGTACTTCGAGGTACTGACAGCTAGAGGTTTTATACCATGTGATGTTTCGTCAAGACGTCCGAGTACGTACCCGCAACTCCCCCGCGAAGCGATGGATGCAACACTATAACCTTACACATGTCAGAACCTCGGCTATCTGAATACGAAAACTTGTCCCAACAAATAACTAGTCAGCGTTTGAATCATTAACGATATGTCTAACAGGGCAGTTTGTTCGCTGAAGTGAATTTCCACAAGATAGATATCTCACCTGGGCAGCGAAGTTTGCTATAATTGATTTGACTCTTTTGTATAAGCCCGCCTGCTATATTACAATCTCTTAATACAGAGAGGTCATTTGCAACCTAAATAAATTCTCCCCTCCATGAATCGAACCCTCGACCTTCTCCTCCTCTATATACTTCGCCCTGTTACTGCATCGCCATCCACGGACATCGATGGACATCACTGGTCCCCAGTGCCGTCTGATTCAGCTCTTTACACCCTGCTCACCCGGTTGAAAAGGCTATTAAATAAAAGAAACTAATAGAATATACTATTCTAAGATAAGTCTTTCTATTAAAAAAAGAATGTTACAAAGAAATCTCCAAAAAAAAAGAAGAACTCCACCCGCCTAGCGGTGTGCCCGGCCGTCCGTGGAGCTCGAAGCGTCAACACTGGCCAAGTATTTTTTTTTCTTCTGCTTTTGTTTGCCCACTCCTACAGGGCACACCTATGGTTCACCAATTTATGGCGGATACCAACTAGGCCATTGGAGGGGGAGGGGGAGTGATTGTTTGACCTGGAAATCGGTGATAACCTTTGTCTACCATCACGCAAACTATGTATGTGAGGATAAATTAGATCGATAGTACTAACTCTACCTAGCATAATCTAATCGCAATGGGCGTTACGAGGGTACTCAATGCATCTTCTGTGGGTGCTCCTTAGAACATAGTAGATAAGAGACAAGATGAAAAGAGTGGGCGATGATGGGCAGTGCATGCGGACAACTCGATCTCTGTCTGATCCCACTTAGAGCTATTTTCAACCAGCGAACTAGTCAAAGGCTTACAGGCAGCAGCTCAAGCTGGTACAATATACTATTCTGAGTAGCGCTGAGTAGAGTTTCGCCGTTGGTGTCGGATAAACCCGCAGAGCAGCATGATCTAGTTAGCTATACCACTGGTGGAACATCACCCTACTAAGGTTCTACTTAGGCAACCCGCGAGCCGCGACGTTATTGTAGACAAGTATAGTGGCTACGTTAGCCGCAGCAGCACGAGTCGACGTTTCGGCGAACACATTCACCCTGCATGACTAGGGTGTTTCCTTCCAGCGATAAAGCATAGGACCTCCGCGGTGTTGCATCCGAGGTATGTAGAATTTATTAAAGCAGGCTGACTGATACGTGTTTTTTTTTCATTGTTGACTTTTCTTATCAACCAAGACATGTCGTATAATACAAAGAATCGCCATATCAAAATCCACATATTCTCTCTCATCTACGAATGCCTCGGCGACATATCTGCCCACCGCGAATGCCGCCTCGGAGGATGACCAACCCAACCTGGATGTCTCTCCGTATCCCCATCCGGCGGATCACTACAATACATAAGACTATGATTCTCAAACCGGATTCTCTTCGACGCAAGGATATCAATGATCATCACGACAGGGAATAGACACTCCAGGGTATACGCGAAGCGATCAACCTCCCCTGGGATAGTCGTCGCGCTCTGCGCAGAAGTCCTCAGTGAGAATGTAACAGCGCGCAGGATACCAATGCAGCATAGACTGGCGAGCCGAATCTCTGTCGACTGCAGCAGATGTCGGAAGAGGTGGTGGGTTGGTGAGCTCCAGGGGGACATGACGTATGCATCGCGGAGGAGGCGAATGAGGAACACAGCGCTGCTAGTTTCCACGAGGGCGATGGCTGTAAAGTAGCCGACGTGAAGGTAGTCGACGCGTTGTTGGAGGGGTTCGTTTGTGGCGATTTCGACGGCGCGAGTAGCGGCGATAGCTATGCGGATTCCGACGATACAGGTCATTAATGACCAGAAGATGGTGCGGAAGATGAGGAGGGCGCGGTTCTTGAGGGTGTGGACGAGGATTTGGTAACTGTAGAATGAGAGGCCGGCTTCTTGGATCTGTAGATGGGTTTAGCAAGTCGCTTTATCATTGCAAGTATTGGGAGAACGCACCAGCCAAAATATATCTGCAAAGATACTGGCAACGACTTGCTGCTGCGTCGGGTGCTCAGCATAAAAAGCGTAGTAGCAGAGGCCATTTGCGACAGCGCAGGCAATAGAAACAATGATAGGAACGAGATGTAGAGGTGACACGCGAGTAATGAGAATGGCCCAAACTCCAATGATGGTTAAGAACAAGCCAATGGTGCTCAGAATGGACCAGCTCAGCTCGTAATATGCGGAGACGCCCATTTCGGTCGCGCAGGGCCGCGCATCGTGGGACGGGTAGGTGTTGTGAAGGAGAGGAGAAAGAAAAGGCGAAGGGATCGATAATAAGTACGAGATATTAATCGCGCAGCTGGGGGAAGGAGCCGGGGTGGATTAGAACTTTGAGCCTGCGATCTCGGTGCGAAGGATCGAAGGATTCGTGCTCGGTAGAGTGCCCTCGTAACCGTCACACCAGCCCTTGGACCAGTCCAGCCAATCGAGTCGAGTCGCGAGCGATGAGGAGAAGTTCGAGCCAACTTAAACAAGTGTGCCGGGCCACTCTATTGGTCAAGCTGGTGACCCAGTCGAGCGAATCCGGGGAGTCTGCCCCACTGTACCAGAATTAATCAGTCGTACCCACCACTAGGAGAAACTATTCAAGCGGTCATGGATAGTCCGTATGTCCGTGTTTCCATCCTTGGTTCGATCTTCATGGACTTGCTGAATCGAGATAATAGTGTCCTGCTGTACATTTCTCGAGTTCTCTTCCACCCCAGATCTCCATATGGATTTCATCAAGTTGAGAAACCTAACCTCCTTGAATTGGACTATTCTTGTGATAAAATTCAAACAACTGCAGTGTTCATCAACCCCTTAAAATCCGTATTGAATTCGTATTTAATCCGTGTTGAATCTGTATTGAATCTGTATTGAATCTGTATCGAAACTTAAAACGTAATCTACTCAAGCGCTCAGACTATTATGGAGACCAAGTGGCTGCTCGCCTACAAAGTTATATCAAAAGTTCTCCGAAACTGCAAAAACGGAGCTCCATTCTCGCGCCAAAAGACATTCCTGGTTACACAAACCTAGTTCTCAAACTCGAGATCGGATTGTTTCTACCAGACTCGGCCAAAACCGCCCCCACGAAAGAGGAACAAAAACTCAAAACTACCACGACAAGACGTTATCCGTGCATTCTAGGCAAAAAAATTCAATAACTACCTCAAATCTCCTGGTCCCTCGTCTCCCCAATCCACCCCGTTTAAACCCCACGAAGAACCAAGCCCCTCCGCTCAAGCCTCAAAATAACATAAAAAGCCCAAAACTCACAATTCTGTGGCAGAACCTTATACACCTCCTGACTAACCACAATTCCCAGAAGCTCACCCAATACTCAGGCTGATCGGCCCATTTGATCTTCGTGAAGACACTCTTGTTGCTAGTGAATCTCAACACCAACAGGGACCGCCCTGGACCCTAACAAGTCGCTGATTCTCTTGAATGTTCCCTAAACATATTTCAATATATTCTCTCTCTGGCTAGAAAAGGCCGGAAAAGGTCTCAGAAACTCAAATTTTTTTCATTTATTGAAGCACAACATGAAATCGAAACCCGTTTTCGTGAATTCTGGTAGAATGATAAAACTTGAATGCACCGAAACGCCGCGGAAATGCCCAGAAATAGACCACCTTTTTGGAACGCCAGCCTATGCGAAGATCATGATAAGACGTTCATGTCAAGGTACTGGAGTTCGCGACCTGAATATCATGACAGCGATCAGCTGGACTCGACCAGCATCACGTGTGGGCACCACCTCCATGCTCGGGGAGATCCATCTGAAGTGATGACATTCAGAGCAAGTATGACAGTGGATCTGCATCAAATATGATTAGATTCCATCTTCAGCCCATTTGGTCTCCCAAAATAAATCGCTGCGAATTTTCATGTTACTCACTGGAACGAAGATGTTTGATTCGCCGACATTGCATTGCACGCAGCGACTGTCGCCGCCTTGGGTAGCGGCGCTGGAGTCTGTTTGTCTGCCGATGCAAGCTTGAATATTTTTGCCCTTTGTCAGAACTAGTTGCTGCCTTGGGTCTCTCTCTTGGTCGGTGGTAGTTAGCTGAATCACGCAGTCAAGAGCGTAGAAAGTTGGAATGAAGAGGAAGAAATGACAGACGGGATGTTAGTCAGTGGTACCCATTATGGGTAGCGATATCCTTGACCGTGCTGTTTGGGCTTGTCCAGAGTATCGAGGGTGCGTTACAGGTGTACAAAGCATATAATTCTTAATTCTCTCCCAGTCGATGACAATAACGCAGAGAGACAAAGAAGAGAAAATCTTGTCTGTGCAGAGTACAACTTGCTGCCGCACAAGGCACTTTCCAGGCAATTGCATCAATCGAAATTAATCTTTCCAAATGAGAATTCGATTCATAATGAGTGACGGATAATCTTGAACTAGCGGAACCGAAGTACGAATAGGCTCCGCTCGCTGACAATTCCACTCAATCAAAGTATACTATCAGTGACCGGCGAAAGCTCCACAGCTATTGTATCTTTTACAGGCACACCGAAGAAGGTGATATAGTAACATACGGCCACAGAGCATGGAGAGCAGGGCTTTCCATGCTCCCTGAGTCCCTAAAAAGCCCTCTCTCAATACCTCAATGTCTCAAATCCCCAGGCCCCTCATCTCCCCAACGCTCACTAACCTCCCCAACCCACCCTCTATAAACCCCACGAGGAACCAAGCCCCTCCGCTCAAGCCTTAAAATGACATACAAAACCCACTACTGACAATTCTGCTGCAGAACCTTATTCGCCTCCTGACTAACTGCAACGTCCAATTCAGTGGGGAACATACCAAGGTAGAATTTCTCGTCAAAGCTCCAGCTGTTGAAGCGTTGGTTTGGTTCGATAAGCGTCTCGTAGTCTCCTGCTTCGCCGGTCTCATTGACGCAGTGGTACCAGATACAATGGGTGTCGTTGGGGTGGACCATTAGCAGTATCCAGTGACAGGGTTTGTGGGGGGACTCTACTTTGCACTGGGCGAGCCAGAGTTCGTAGTGATTGTAGTCGATACGAGGCATTTTTGAGATAGTTTTTGGGGGTCAAGGGTATAATGACCTTTGATGGATATTTTGGAAGAGAAGATAGAGAGAACTATGTTCTTTGGATGGGATTGGGATCCGTGATGATGAGCGGTATTGAGTAGGAACTTGCCTCGTTTTTATAGTCATAGCCATCAAGAGGGAACTCGTGGATTCTAAAATTGGTAGAAGATCGAATATAGATTCAAACAAGGGCCGGTCTCGGTCCCATTGTATGATAGGGATCAAAGTCAGGCTACCCTTTTCCGCCATTGATCAAGTAAAAGAAAACAATGTCTTTCTTTCCTTAGACCAAAGGACTCAAAGACCATTAACCATGACAAATAGGCAACAATAAACTCGCAGATTGTACCTGCTAGAAGAACAAGGCCGAGGCTACTCGCACGAGACACTATGTATACCCCTTTTGGTTATTGTGGAGAAAAGGTACATCTGGATCCTCAATATCCCGATCAAAGGAACCACTCTACCACTAGAATAGGGACATATCGCCTATGTAATCGACGCCAAAAGTGATTATATCTGCCACCAGAGATAGCGGCCTTTCCGCCTGTACTTCTACGTACTCCCATCTTGAGAATCCTTCAAAAACAAACGGACACATATCACTGGAGATGGCTACCAGCATGACTCCGACTCCGAATATGGAAGAAAGAAAGAAAAAAAAAGACAAAGGCCAAGATCGAACATGGGTCGCGCCCCTCCGAAGAGGCACCCAGAAGGGTGTGACTCACACATGCTTCCATTACACCACCTTGGCTTTTTGATAATAGCCAACAGCTCCCCTATAAATCCACGGTATACTGCGATCTTTTTCCTCGCCCATCACCCACCGGGCAGTATTATCATTGCATTGTGCCTCCGGTACTTGGCTGATGTGACTCAATTTCTTTTTGTAAAGCATGAGTATCGGTCTCGCAGCGAATTGTGAAGTCGTCATGATGATGGTGGAAGAAAAATAGTTGGCGGTGCAGATGGGGACGGGTCCCCCTTTTTATTGCTCCTCGGGGATCTGCCAAGCCCACAATTTAGGCTTACTGCAAGCCCTAGCTCGGGTACAAACGGGCTGCTTCATAGTGGATCAGACCATAGATCCGAGATAGCTTCTTTCCTTCTTGGAATGAGCACGGATTTATGAGTCTATTAATTAAGCCTCTTTCCTCTCTGAATTGTCGAATCGGTTATATCGCTAACAGGATACGTTTTTCTTAGTCAATGACTTTGACACAATGTACACCGAGAGAGCCTAAGGACTTAGCGATGCATTGTACAAAGTCCTCTATCATCTATGAAGGGCAGTTCAATATAAATTGAGCATAATACTAACTGACATACCTATCTTCAGATTGAGGTAACACAATAATACCAAAGGGAAGTCACTTTCAACAAGTTATCCACCACATCCGAAAATGGTAGGTATATAGTCTGTTATGTGAAAGCACTAGTGGCATGCAACTAACCTTAGCCAGGAATAATATTCAATCCTCATCACCCTCAAGCGTTGACCTACGAAGATAATTGCCCACAAGGCTCATACGATAGTAAAGTCATAACCAAAAAATCTCATCTGTATTGGTATATGCAACATTCATCATGTCAAGTCCAAAACTTTTGGTCCTAATGACTGGGAGAAAAGATAAAGATAAGATGAACAGAAATCTAATCCCCCAACAAAATCGTATAAGCTGGTTAAAGCCCTTCATCTGATCCACGCCCCGATTCACAAGGTACAGTACGTGGATAGTGAGTAGTGTATGGAATGTGTGCGTGGAAAACACGCCCCCGTGTCAAATGAACGAGACAAAGGAAACAAAGGGAAGAAAATGAAAATGAAAATGAAAAGAGTAAGACAAGACAACGCCAGACACCATTGTGCACCCGGTATGGAGAAATCGAACCTGGACCCAATTTTGACGATGATTAAGCGGGGGAGCCTTAACGGCGCTCGTTCTTGCCAATACCACGCTTTCCTGCGACCTGTATCAAATGTGTTAGCAGGATGTACCAAGTGGGGTATTATGGTTGAATCAATGGGTGTACATACCAAGTGCTTAGCAAGAGAGACGGTAGTGTGACGATCAGCCTCACCCTGTCGGGCCATGCGGTTCATCTTCTTCTGGCCCAACTTGTGCAGGCGTTCAGCCTTGGAACGAGCCGTCTCATCAACGACACCATCGTTACGACGGTCAGTCGCGGCCTGGCTGCGGGCGCGGCTCTTGGCACGAGCAAGGGCCTTGTGGGGATCATCCAAGTCCATAGCATCATCATCACCAGGCTCGCCGCGGGTAAGAGTACGACCACGGGCTTGGCTCTGAGAGCGGGCGCGGGAGCCCGCGGCATCGACATCGTAACCAGCAGAGTCGAGACCACGCTCCATCTCGGAGAGCTTCTTGGACTTGGCGGAACGGGGGATCTGAGCACGGTTCTTGAGCGACTTGCGCATCTTGGCCTCGTTGCGCATGAGTGTGCGCTTCTCGCGGATCAGGTCTGCCTTCATGCGGGTATCGGCATCCTCGGCTTCCTCGACGCTCTCGTCCGAATCGTAGTAACCCTCGGCCTCGAGCTTCTCCTCCTCTTCCTCCAGAGCAGCGAGCTTGGACTCGATATCCGGGTCCACAAAGTCGTAGATGTTCTTGCCGTTCCACACCTCGGGAACCTTGTCGTGGTTCCAGTCGGAGTCGGCCAGGGTGTAGTCGCGCTGCATATCGAAGCTGTAAACACCAGCACCACCGTTCTCCTCCTCCAGGTCGCGCTCGAGCTTCCGGCGGCTGGGGTCGTTCTTGTCGTACTTCTGAAGGTTCTTGACGGCCTCGGGGATGAAGGTCTCGCGTGTGACGCCACCCATGGGCTGAGCGACGTGAATACGGGCCAGGACATCACCCAGACGGCCACCGGGGGTACCGGCAGTGTTGGAGCCAGACTTCAGCTTCTGAGAGACACGCTCGGCGAGCAGCTTGTCGCAAGCAGCGTTCTTGACGGCGGTCACACCCTCGGTAGTAGTGCAAGAAACCTGGAGCATCTCAACATCACCAGACTTGAGAATCTCCTGCAGCTCAGCCTGCTGCTCGGGATCCAGATCCTCGGGGCGGCGGACATCAATCTTGTTGACAACAATGTAGACAATCTTGTTGGCAAAGAGAGGCTTGATGCTGTGGAACAACTTAATCTGGTCGGTAACAGAGTAACCACACTGCTCGGACAGATCCATGAAGTACAGAATAGCAGAGCGCAAGTGAGCAACAGCAGTGATGGACTGCATTTCAATAGTGTTCATCTCCTCCAGAGGGTGGTCGAGAATACCGGGGGTATCGATAGCCTGGAAACGCAGGTACTTGTAGTCGAAATGACCGACGAACAGGGACTTGGTGGTGAAGGCGTAGGGCTGAACATCGACATCGGCGCGGGTGATGCTACGCAGGAAGCTGGACTTGCCGACATTGGGGTAACCGCAGATCAGGAGAGTGCGGGTGTTGGGGTCAATCGAGGGAAGACGACCCAAGTGCTGGCGGACCTGCTCCAGGTAGACGAGGGGATCCTTCAGACGACGGCAGATGGTCGCCATGCGACCGAGCGCAGCGCGCTTAAGCTGCTTGCACTGGAACAGAGATTGCGCATACTTGATCAGACGGACGTAGTCGCGAGAAACGGTTTCAATCAGATGCTTGGCGGTCGAGACCTGGCCGAGGGCAATGCGGAAGTGGTCGGCATCATAGAGGGTGTTCAGCAAATCCTTGTCTAATCGGATGTGTTAGGCCCCACGTCGCGAGCTGATCGAATCGCAGGGAGAACTTACGGAAAGGATGAATATCCTGCAGGCGAGGGAATCCATCGAGAATGGCCTGGAATTTTTCACAGAAGGTCTCCTGGGTATACTTGACCTTACGGGTGTAGAAACCTGCCGCGAAGAAAAAATTGATCAGCGATATTGTCTTTATCGATAACCTCGATCACATTTTTTGGTCTTTGCCCGTTCCTTCGCAAAAACCGATCGGATCAACTGAGAGTATAAGGATCATACCTCTGATACGGCTGATCTTGAAACCAGCACGAATCTGGGTGGGCAACTGTCTCTGAGTGCGGCTCAGGACAATGTCCAGGAATTCCTGGTGGGTAGGCACAGGCGCAATCTAGCGGTGAACACTGATCAGTTGGGGGATTCTCGAGTCGGGGCACCGAATCGCAGGACTTCAAGATACGCACATCCTTCCACGTTGTCTTCATGATGGGCCACAGGAGTCAAACTGGGAGGTGTATTGACTCTTCAAGTGGGAGGTTGTTGGGGGGTCCAGTTGAGTTTCTCCACGAAAAAATTGTTTGTCGGACATTTTTCTGCCGGGCGGAAAGTGATTGCGGGGACCAGGATTGGATGCGGTAACCGAGCCACTTTTTCCGGGTTCCTGATAAGTCGAGGCCAACTGAGATTTATGGAAACTTTATAATCAGAAGGCAAAATACAATACAATGAAGGAAATACTTTAACAGTCTAATCATTCTTTTTTTGCTGTATTATATAGTATGATAGAAATCGGAGAGACTAGGCATGCTCATGTACATCGCATTTCCACTATGGTACATAAGCGCCCTGGGCTCCAAGTTTGGGAGAGAGCCCAAGCCTCTTTTAATCTTGAGAATAATCCGTCAGACTGGCCATCCCCGACCCCAGAAGACAAAACAAACTCCAGTTTCTTTCAAACCCAAAGACCAAAACCGATGACCGGACGTAGCGTGCGTAACGAGGACATGAGAGAGAAGGGAAAAGAAAAGAAAAAACAGAGATATGAGGGAAAGAAAACCAGTCAAAAAGAAAGAAAAAGCAGACCGGCAAAAAGGCCACACACGGTCCACGCCGAAAGATGCAAAAAAAAACAAAGACCGCCCAGGACACTAAGTCATCTCCTCATTACCAAACTCCAAGACCTGCAGAGTGCGGTGTTAGTCAAGTGCATACTATTTGGTGTAAAGGAATCATGAACATACCAAATCCACCCAACCACCTCCGCCGAATTGGCACTTGCTAGGGCCGTGGGACTCAAATCCGAACGACTCATAGAAAGGAACCAGGTGATCATGTGCGATAATCGCAATCCGGTCCGCAATCTGGGCCTCCCGGATACGGTGAATATATGACTTCAGCAGGGTGCTGCCGACCTGCTTGCCCTGATGCTCGGGGAGCACAGCCAGGGAGTGAATGGCAATAGTACCACCGCCCTCTTCGTGACCAACAGCCTGGTTATCTTCAAACGTCCATCGCTCAGCATGCCAGTCCTTGGGCAGGCGCATAGCCCGGTCAGTCACCAAGGGCTCCGATGTCCGGGTGGCGATAATGTGTCCGATAAGAGTTGGGCGGGGCTTGGGCTTGGTTTCATCCAGGACAGGCAGCGTAAAGATACCCAAGCTCAGCTCTGGGCAGCGGGTGAGGCGGTAAATGAACTTGTCACGCGAACAGCGCTCTGGCTCGGGGAAGGCATTCTCCACCTCGACACAGTCCTCCACGTTGGATACGGAGAGCAATTGAACAAACGGATGCAGCTCGTCCAGCATGGTGCGGTGGTGGGTTGGAGGCCGGCGGAACCAGTAGGGGTAGTCATTCACATCTTCCTGGTCGACTGCAACGTAATCCTCATCCACTTCATCCTCATCCTCGAGATCGTCGAGCGGGAAACCGCCATTTGTCATCGCGATACCGGCGCGGTTCATAATCCGGGCCAAATCATTGTTGCTGGGGTTGGAGATGGGCGTGAGGTCATCGTTGGCATTGGACAACGGCTTCAAGCCAGAGGTATCCGGGCCGGGCATTGACTCCGACGACTGCTCGTTGAGATCCGACATGGCGAAGCTGAGAGAGTTGCAAGATTGACCGCAACACAGATGGGAGGTAGTGGCAAGATGAGGAAATCGCTCGCGTGTTGGGTAAAACCGCACTTGAAGGGTCGCCTTTTTTTTTTTTTTGCAAGGGGACCTGGCTAGGTGGCGTCGATGGAGACTGGAGGGGGTGGGATGCAGTCTAGACCAGTGGGGATTAGTTGATATGCCAAGTATACTTCGGATGAAATCTTCGTAGCACAAGACAGAAAGTTCGGGCAAGGCTGCTTCAAGAAACGGTTCTTTCACCTGCTGTTCCCTTTGTCTTCACGATTGGACTGGGGGAAGTTCTCTGGCAGGGCGATAAGAATTTGCGACACGGGCAATGTGCGGGTACGCAAGGAGGGGTAGCCCACCGGCGACCGGCGCCCGGACGGGGCTGGGGAATGAAAGCAAGGAGACGGACGATACGAGATGGATTGATCTCAAACTTACCAGAAGTGAGGCTTTTTCTTCTGAGCTGTGGTATATCCCCAGTTGTGGGAAAGAGCAAAGAAAAAAAAGACGAGGGCGAAGAATAGGGTAGAGAAGGTGGCGGGGAGGTCAGAATGGGAGCGACTCTGGCAGTACCGCATCCGCCCGAGTTCTTCCTCTCATTCTCCCGTATTCTTGCATGTACCCCCAATGTACCCCCAATGTACCCCCAATGTCACTCTCTCTCCCCAAAAACTCAAATGCAGAAACACCATCCATGTCACCGCCTGCCTCCATGCGGATAAGCGGGGGGAACTTTCTCTCGATCCGATCCAGCGAGTCGTCGATCTCGGGGCCTTCTAGAAATTCCAGCCTCCCTCATTCAGGTTGGTGCAGCTTGCAGCAGCTCTTCAGGGATCTTGTGTCCCACATACACCCTGCCACAGAGTCAGCATCGATCTTGGCTCATTGTACCTGCAGGGTCACGATTTGGCTGACCCTGTGAGACAGCATACTAGAATAATTTCAATTGACTCGTAGTACTACTCACTCACTACTACTCAGTCCAACTACCATGTGGTGACTTGGCTATCAAAGACGCGTCCATCCATCTAATTGCTATTGCTGCCCCCACGTCTCCATAGATCAAATTAGCATTCTATGCGCGAATCCATTCATAGATGCTCCCCATGTGCTCTATACGATCCTGGTTGATAGTGCTAGAAAAGATAGACCTAGCATAACTCGTAGCACGATGCCTGAATACAGCAGTAACAGGTGCAAGTCTATTATAAACACATATTAGAAGGGACCTGCTTTTCCAACCCCGAGCGGCCAGAAGTGGATATATATTTTCGATAAGGGGCGTGGGCTATGTTACCCAGACGACTATATGGATACAGTTACACAGTATCCCTGTACCACCTGGACGCAATCTGGGGTATCATAGCCCTGGTCATGCAGCTTCCCCAAAGCAAAAAAAAAAAAAAAAAAATCGAACCTACCTCGTGGGAGTTATCTGATGACCGATAAGATTCCAGGTGCGGCGTAGGCCACTACCGTATTTCGGTATCTGTCAGGTCCGCCCCGTCCGAACGGATGAGTGAGGTGTCACATGATCTTGCCAGTTATCCTGAAGGGTTGTATAGATGATTTTCAATACTTCCATTTATATGAGTAAAGATTGTTCAATTTTTGATGTATGGGAAAAAAATCGATTTGTCGCTGGCTAAACAATCTTAATCGGAGTCACCTTCGGAAGTTTCAGTCTTTAGATGAAACCCGTACGTAAGAACCGGGCTGCTCGTAAAGACATTTTCAAACCCTCGAATCGTTCTCGCTTTGATAGAAAGATTTAGCAAACTCAAGCGTTCCGACTACTATCAGTATCTCGGTAGATAAGATAAGAAAGCCGCGGTTCGCTCCGCCCGGCTGTCCTGGAGAGAACTAGTGGCCGGCATGGATTATTCCCGATAGCAACATGTTAATAAAACATCCCACTCGGGTTGGTCTTCGCTCATCCGAGGGCTCCGCAGATATCTTGCTTAGCGTGAACGTAATTGATGACAAGTACCTTATCTTTCTACCCCGATGGTAATGAATGATACAAGCCTGATGGCGTATAATTCTATCAATAAAGTGGTACCTGGTCATTTTAGTATATATAGAGGCTCAGGGGTATGACGCTTTACAATTTGTATGACATTAGACAGAGACAGAGCACAAAATGAGTTCTGCGAATTGCTTCAGTCTGACAGCTCTGCTGTCCCTGCTGTCCACTATTGTTGCTGCCTCCACAACCCCTAAAGGCCAGACAATTGAAGTCAACGGCAACTCTTACTACGTGTCCACCACTGCGGTGACAACCCTCAAGATCCCCACTGGCCAAGAGCACCAAAAGAATGGTCTCCTTCCACTCACCGTCATTCGGAGCGATGCCTCGAAATTGACGACTTCACTCATCAAGAGCCTGGTGAATGTTTACCAAACAGATGATGACGTTTTTAACACCGGTTTCCTTGAAAGTAAGCAACCATTCTCAATGGCGTTCTGGTCCAGCTGAACTAATTAAATTACTGTAGATATATTCATCACGTATAATGGCACTGGCAAGAAGCCATCCGAAGATGTCTCTTTACCTTCAAGTTGGGGGAACAAATTTTTAGGCTTCTCCGCTGCGTATAGCACCAAGAAGGTTACCACCTCTTCGAAGAGTATTCCCCCGGGACCATACTTCTTGGATGCAGTGACTGGAGATGTATTCGAAGCCTATTTGCTATATTCTGATGTGATGGGGTCCTTCACTCAGGGTCTCTACGCGGTAGGTGATGGATCTTACGACGTACTCCCAGCGAGTCTCCAAGGATATGCGTCCCTGACCATTGGGGTCCCATCTCGTCTGTATTTCACCAAGACGAAGCATAAGCCTCTTGCAGGAGTACGGCTGGGTGTAAAGGACCTTTACGATATCAAAGGTGTCAAGACTGGCTGCGGCAACCGTGCCTATTACGAAACTTACCCAGCAGCCAACACAACTGGGCCAGCGATTCAGTCCCTGATTGATGCTGGTGCCGTAATCGTTGGCAAGATGAAGACAAGCCAGTTTGCCAACGGAGAGACCGCCACAGATGACTGGGTTGACTACCACTCCCCCTTCAATGCACGGGGAGATGGGTACCAGGATCCTAGCTCATCCTCCTCGGGCCCTGGTTCTGGAATTGGAGCATATCCCTGGCTGGATATTGCTATTGGCAGCGACACTGGTGGCTCCATTCGTAACCCGTCGCAGGTGAATGGTTGTTTTGGCAACCGTCCATCATGGAATCTCGTGTCGCTGGACAATGTTATGCCTATGTCTCCTCTTCTTGACACCGCTGGTTTTCTCACTCGGGATGCAAAGCTGTGGCAGATCGCTTCGGAGGTGCTTTACGCCAGCGCTAACTTGAAGTCCTACACGAAGTACCCCAAGAGCATTAAGACAATCGGGTTCCCCACCAGCGCTTCTACCGAAGCATATGGTATTGTGCTGGACTTTGTATCCAGACTGTCCTCCTTCTTAGGCGGTGCGAAAGTCACTACTCTGGACTATGATTCTCTGTGGGAATCCACCAAGCCTTCCAGCGTGTCTGCCAATGTGACCCTGGGGATGATGTTGAACATCACATACCCTATTCTCATTTCGAAGCAGCAGTTCCCTCGTGTCGGCCAGTCACTCTACACCGACTACGCTGCTGCAAATGGTGGCCGCAAGCCGTTCATTGACCCTGTCCCTCTGTCTCGCTGGAACTGGGGGTTGCAGTATCCCGAGTCCCAGCTGGAGACGGAGATCAAGAACAAGGATACTTTCACTTCCTGGTGGAACAGTACCGTGCAAGTCTTCGATCCGGTGACTTGCTCGGACAGTTTGATTTTGTATGTGGGTGCGGCTGCGACACCGACATATCGCAACGTGTATCGCAGCATGCCCGGCATCCCCAGCGGATTTGCTGCCTCACGTATCGCGAACTTTGCCGGTGTTCCGGATATGGTTGTTCCCAGTAAGTGAGCCCGATCTCTGCATCGCCCGATGCTTGGACCTTTCACAGCGTATACTGATGGTGCGTTCATAATAGTTGGCCAGGCAAAGTATAACTCCACCATTACGGGGCAGAAGGAGTACTTACCGGTGGCGGTTGACTTCATCGCGCCGCATGGTTGCGATCTGATGATCTTCAATCTTGTCAATGAACTGGTGGCAGCGGGTATTGTCCGAGAGCCTGTGGCTGGATCGACCTTATATGGCGACGAGACGATTTATTATCATTAGATTATGTTGGTTACCCTCGCAGTAAAGGTTCAAGTTGCTGTAACTGGTCATGCGACCACCAGGATCGACCCCCTGCTATTGTATATTATGGCATATCCAATACTGAACAGTGACAACCGAGACTCGTACTCTGAAAAGAAAAGGCTTAGTGGTTCCAGCAAGGATTGATAACTGGAGGCTATACTCCTACATACCAGCATAAAGGATACAATAAACTTCACCTCGTCTTCTCGAGATGAAGCAAAGCCAGTCTAGGCAAACAGAGGTTATGACCGTGTTCCAGGTCAAGCAATAAACCCCCCCCCCCTCTCCGATGGCCTAATTGGTATCCACCATAAATTGGTGAACCATAGGTGTGCCCTGGAGGAAAGGGCAAACAAAAGAAGAAGAAAGTACTGGGCCATGTCGACGCTTCGCGCTCCACGGACGGCGGGGCACACCCTCAGGCGAGGGGAGTTCATTTTTTGGAGATTTTTTTCTTGAAACTAAAAATTTTCTAGTAGATCTACCTTAGGCTTTTATATTTTATTAATTCTAGTTCTTTAATAGCTTTTCCCACGGTAGTATAACGGTGAAAAGGGGGTGCTGTAGGGCACCGGGGTGGAATGGTGATGTTCTTCGGTGTCCTTGGATGGCGATGGAGTGGACAAGCCGAAGGATATAAACGAGGACAAGGTTGAGAGTTATATTCATGGAAGAGGCGATTCTTTTGAGGTCCTGCAAGCCTCAGATTTTGTAATGTTTGGCACCTGGATATAGTGACAGTTCAAGATTCTGTATAGAAACCAGAGAAGAGATCAACCAGACATGCTTCGATCACTCACTCATATTTGAAAGATCTTTGTAAATTTCTTTTGTCCTTCGAGTCATCTTTTTTGATGGCACAGACCCTGTTTCTATGGTCTATCGTTGATCTTATGGCTGTTAAGATGATTATGTAAATGACTTTGATATCAGTGCTACAGTACGGAGTACTACCCGCACATAAAGCCTATCTTTCGGACCCGAAGGTCCAGAAAAGGTCTAAACTAAAGCGGGAATTAGCGCCGAATGGGGAATCATCATCCATGTGCTACTGAACGTAGGGCTGTCCCGCCCAAGCTCCGATCGTACAGTAATGTCATAGATGTGCATGAGACATTTTCAACCGGAAATAACCATGAGCAGATTTCATAGCGAATCTTATCCAAGCGTCTTAAATAAAAATTAACCAGATCATCCAACCCCGGAATAACCGGGAGACATGAGCGGAGCCCGATAATCCCTCTACCCGAAGGTTCAGGCGGTGAATCATTACCGCGGGTGCGTCATGCGCCGTTATTTTCGTGGGCCTGACTCAACTTAAATTCCTCTTCTTCTTTCTTTCCTCTGGTGAGCTGGCTCTTCATCCCTCTCGAGGCTAGGCTGCTCTTCCACCGCCGACCGTGAGAGCCGTTGCTGGCCGACAATGAGCTCCCGAGCACTGCACTGGCCTCGGGCGGCGCAGTCCTCGCTAGCAAAGGTATGCATTCCCGGCCCTAATACGATTGTACTGTGGACTGCATGGAAGCTCACTGACGATTGTTCGGCAGCAACATGTTGCTCGTACCAATGATCCTGCCATGATGCGCCCGGCGCAATCCCTGCATAGAGATGTTCGTGCACAGCAGATTGCCGAGCTCTCGAGTTCGAGCCCGAACTATGACCGATTGGGGCGCCGTGCGAAGGAGAAAATGCTAGACAAGGTATGCTAGAGCTGTGAATACCAGCATTGAATTATATTCTAATATGTTGAATGTTATTCTAGGAATTTTTTCTGAGTCTGCTGAGCTCGGCCTCGACTAAACGAGAAGCAAAATCATATTTATCTCGCTTCAAAGCCAACCCTTCGCAGGGAAACCCGAAGCCCACCAGCGAACCTCCAAAGGAGCCTGTACAGGAAGAATCGTTGCCATCTGGGGTGAACCTCGGGTCTTTCTACGGCGCCTCCAGAGCAGTATATGAGACCCCGGTGTTCCGGCAGAACACCACGCCAGTCCCTCAAGAACAGGAATCATGGGAAAGGGTACATTTGGCTTTGATCAAAGTCACTGCGCCGCAGTCCCTCGATGATGAGACTCTCACGGGTGTGGCGAAGACATTTTCACAGCTTACACGCCTGGGAATGGCGTGTTGTGTGGTGGTTGACCCGGGCAACGTGGATGATCACGCTGCAATGCGACAAGTTGCTTTTGAACAGGCCACTCGGATCGCAAATGCAGTGGACGCGCAACCTGACTCGAAATCCTTCCTTTTTGACTCAACCCTATCTTTATCTGAAAATGGCTCGGGTGATCCCACGGTCACTTCTCGACAGAGGCTTCTACGCCCGCTCCGGAATGGATATGTTGTGATTGTCACGCCGATCGCCTATGTGGATGAAAATCCCAGGGCCGTGTCGGTGCCGGCGAATGATGCGGTCATGGCCCTCACCAAGGAATTTGCCGGATTGTCCCTTATCCCAGACCCAGACGAGGACCCGGCTGTGACAGCGGAAAAGATCAGTGAGCTACAGAAGGAGGTCTCCCTGGATCGGGTGATTCTACTACACCCGCTTGGAGGAATCCCGGCCTTCAATGGTCCGCAATTATCTCACGTCTTTATCAATATGGAACAAGAGTTTGACGAGATCGAGGAAGAGCTACTCGATGCACGGCACGATCTCGTCGGCGAAGGAAAACTCACAACCGGCAAAGACGAAGGACCGGCCTCGGCCTTTTTAGAGAGCAACCCCTTCTCCAAGTTTGTGGACCAAGAGGTGGTCTCCCCTCTTCCTGGGAGATCAAACAAGCTGCCAGGCTCCAAGGCAATGGGCTACGTTCTCGACGGACACTTAGAGAATCTCCGCCTCTCACAACAAGCACTCGCCATGCTCCCCTCTGCCTCCTCAGGAATCATTACCTCCCCACAAGAAGTCGCCAACTCCGCCCGCGCACCTCAAGAAGCAATCGCAGACGTGTCCGCCGTGGGAACACGACGCCAGCGTAACCCCCTCATCCACAACCTCCTCACCGACAAACCACTCCTATCATCATCTCTCCCACCAGGCCGTCGCGGGTCAATCAACGGATGTGCAAGCGCAATCAGCGCGCTCCCCTCACACTCCACCTTTGTCAAGCGCGGCATGCCCCTCACCATTCTACCAAACCCCGCTGTGCAAATGTGGAAAGCCTCCGGCCAAACCCGCCTCCAACTCAACGACCCCTCAATCGACCTCCCCCGCCTAGTCCACCTAATCGAAGATTCTTTCGACCGCAAACTCGACGTACAAAACTATCTCGAGCGCGTGAACGACCGCATCGCCGGCCTGATCATCGCAGGTGAGTACGAAGGCGGCGCAATCCTAACCTGGGAAGCACCACCAGGTGTCGTCGACGACGGCAGCGAAGTCAGCGCTGCCCGGATGGTGCCGTACCTGGATAAATTCGCCGTGCTGAAGCGCAGCCAGGGTGCCGGCGGCGTGGCGGATGTCGTCTTCAATGCGATGGTGCGCACTTGTTTCCCCGATGGAGTGTGCTGGCGCAGTCGTAAGGATAATCCGGTGAATAAGTGGTATTTTGAGCGGTCGAGTGGGACGTGGAAATTGTCTGATAGTAATTGGACGATGTTTTGGACAACCCCCGGGCTGGTGGAGGATACCCAGCGATTCAGGGATTATGAGGGTGTTTGTCGGAATATTCAGCCTAGTTGGGCTGATAATAAAAGTGTCGTTGATTGAAGGAGGCGACAAAATTGCATATAGGAAGAGTTAGATATCCTGTGTATATAGTTCTGTTGGTCTGTGGATGGCACATTTTCCAAAAGTGAAACCAAAATACCTTTTCAATTTTCAACACTTTGATTGGAAAAGATTGTTTTCTTACCTCTTTGCATAGAAATAACTGACTGGCTCTAAGTAGTTAGTGTTTTACGGTAGCAATTCAAAAGTCTGAGTCTAGAGACCAGAGAAACGGACCAACCAGCCATATTTCTATCACTCTAATTTCAAAGCTCTGTCTAAACGTCTTTCGAATCATCTTTCTTGATAGCACAGGTCCATGGAAAAAGCCAGTCAAGACCCCTCTCAAGCTGGCTTCTCAAGATTTGGATGAATCAGTTCCATCACGGTGGTGCAGCGTGATGTAGACACGGCGTTTGTTGCGGTTTTTGGTGGTTTTGTCGAAAATCATGATTGGTAAGGTTGATGCAGTAGAATTTCACGATGCTCCATCCAATGGAATCCGTGATAACTAAAGTCTAGGTCGAATCGAGTTGAAGAAGATTGACATGATATGAATATGCAGCCAAGTAGAATTGTCGAACTTTGATCGGTAATGAAAGCGTCTCAAATGGATGCCGAAAGAGATGCAGAAAGAGATTTAGAAAAAAAAAAGACAAGGAGAGTCCTGGATATTCGTATCTAAGAACGGTTAAGAATATCCAAAGTCTAATTCCATAGAAGCATTAGGAATACAATTTCTAAACATGTTGGCCCTGAAGATGTTGACTCCATACTGCACTTTATACTCCATACTGTAAGTCTGTCCCACCGATCCACATGAAATTGGCTCTGGACCCCTGGCAGACAGCCGATAGCCCGCGACATCCAACTCAACTTGACCGCCCACACCCTTGAACCTCCTCTCTCTTCACACGCATCTTAACACCCTATCTCTGTTCCAATGGCGCCATGACACGATGCCCATCTGCATCGAATGCTCATACCCGGTCTCGCACCTGTACAGCGCCTACAGTCGTGCCGATGACCGCTCCCAAGGCAAAGGCGTTCGACTGACACAGTGTCCGCGCTGCCAGCGTTTCGCCGACAAATATGTCGAGTACGACTTTGTCGTGATCTTTATCGACCTCGTGCTTATCAAGCCGCAGGTAGGATGGGCTCAATCCCAGCACTGCGAATCTACATGCTAACAAGCAACATAGGTATACCGACATCTCCTGTTCAATCGGCTTGGGCGCGATGATAATCGGTTTGATGTGAGCTACCAACTACGAGCACAGCACGAGGCCGAATTGAGTTAACTAACAAGACACGCTATCCCAGCGATCAATCGTTCGCCTCGGGATCCTGCTCCTCCTCTTCGACGTCTACCTAACCTGGGCGCGTCTCGAGAAAGACCCCTCCCTTGCAACGACATTTATCGCGCGCGCCCCAATCGTCGTCCAATACCTCTTCTTCCTAACCCTCAACGCCGCCGCAACACTCGCGCACCATCTCACAGTCCGCCTCCTAGCATCAATGCTCGTCCCACAATCCCACCGCTACGGCGCACCAGAAACATCCACCAACCAACCCGCAACAACAGCCACCACTGGCGATACAACCCCTTTCCCCTCCGGCCCTCCAACACCAACAATCCGACCCTCACCACCCTCACAAGCAAACCACGCCGCACAGCAATTATTCTCCCTCGGTCTCCCAGCTGCAAAACTCACGCCAAATCCCCTCTTCCCCAACGACACAACCTCCCCACCAGACCCCTCGATGACCACACAATCCCAACAAGCACTCCCACCACAAGGACCCCCTCCCCCCCTCCCGCCGCACATCCACAGCCCCAATCCAAAACATCCAACCCCTCCCCCCACCAACAGCCGCAAGTCCAACAGCAATCAGCACCGCCCTGCTAGTAAGCAGCTGCGCAAAGCTCTTCCCCATTCTCCTCGTAATCTGGGGCGCCGACGGCAGCGGCAGCGGGAGCGGAATCACCAGCATAACCGCATCAGAGAGTACATTCCGCAAAGACATCGGCGCCTCGAAAGCCGCACTATCCTCATCCGCTCGAGACGCCGCGTCCTCGCCGGCGCTGTTAGAGTCATATCTCGCTGCGGCGGAGGTCTCATTGCGGCCGTATTTGCCGACGCAGTATGTGTCGGGGTTATTTGATTTGTTGGCGTCGTTGTTGTCGTTGGGTGTTGTTGATGCGCATTTGGTGCTGTTGAGTAATATCGAGGCGCTTTATATCTTGCTGGGTTGTGGGTATTTGAGGTCGGTGGTTGTTGCGGTTGCGGGGCAGGTTGCTAGGTGGGCGGTTCAGAGGGGTTATTTTGGGGGCTGTTGGGGTTGGATAGAGATGGTTTGGATGGAGTTTGAGGAATGGAGTTGGTGGTATAGATGTATATATATGCATACGACTTAATTGATGGGGAAACCCATGTTTCTATCTGATCTGATCCGGGTTAGTGAAAGAAGTACAATAAGATCCACCTACGAGAGAAGTATCGAGTCTAGTATAACCACTCTGTCTACGCTCAAGTCTCAAAAAGATGAATGATTCCAAAATAGATAAATCTAGCACATCAAATGAAAAAAAGCTATACAAAAACACCCGCAACCCCAAGTGCATACAATTCCAAAGATATGAATAACCCACCATCCCCATCTCTACAACCTTAATCCCCTCACTCAAAGAAGAGAATCAATCTTTCCGCATTCTCCTTGATCAAAAATCCTATGTCACAGGAAGAAAAAAAAACCCGGCTCGGAATAACCTTAAGAAACAAGACAGCCCAAGAGGTACCACCGAGAAAAGGATTTACTCGGGTACCCGATCAGGTCGGATATCAGCTCTCTTGGGCGCGATGAGGGGATGCAACTGGGAAACGAAGACGATTGCTATGTTGCGAAAAGGTTAGTTTAGTACAGTCCTTGAGTCTCCGAATTGTTTGGTCATATTGAATGAATGGCCATTGTATGTCGGGCAAGGAAATGCAAATAGGTGGATGAACATACCCCACATCAAATAACAAGACACGATCGAGAGGATAAGTGTGCTTCGCCAAACCCTTAATCAAAACAAAAGTCATTAGCTTCCACTGCCAACAAGCCACCATTGTAGCTGTACACTGCGAATCTCAGGCGGGAAACCGAACAACATACGTCTGATTTTCGCCCTTGGGGCTAAAGAACCACGCAGCTAGTGACAGAGCCACGATGATGATCAGGCCGACGAAAAGACTCCATCTGCATAAGCTCAAGAATCAGTTGAATGTTTGATCTACAGAGATAAAGCACGCGCGAAGGCATCGTCAGGAACGACGGTGTCCAGTCTGCCTGGGACCTGGACTGCGTTTCTGGGCGATTATCGACTCTTGACTTCTTCGCCCCGGGCTGGGAATAGAACATACCCGCTCGCCATTTTGGTATTTCAGGACCTATCCGTCCTTCCTAAGTCTCCTAAGAGCTTGTTCGTCCGGGAATTGTAAGGTTATCGGCGCGGGTACCGGATTGCGGCCAGGTGAGCGGTGATCGAGGGGTTGATTAGACGGGTAGATGGTGGAAGATGGTTGATCGAGAGACCGGGAAGGTAATTCGTTGATCCAGACGGTGTGATTTCTTCCACGGAGTGTAGAGATCAAGTCGTAGGAAGGAATGGCGACTTGACAAGTTGCGTAGGCGTTGGATGTCGGAGCTCCTGGAGCTCGCGGGACTAGGACTGGGACTGTGCTGCCTCAGGCACCAGGGCGGTGTCGCCTATGCGCTTACTTTCACATGCGGAGTGGAGCACATGGAGTTTCAAAGAGTACAGATATTTACGTATTCTCGACGACTCGAGATCATTAGTATTTACAAGACTCAAAATGCAGTGCTTGACTTTCCAATCTATTCATTGCAAGCCTCATGGCAAGCAAAAGAAACATAATCACACCCTAACTGCGATTTCTTGTAATACCAGAAGCAGCAAGGGTGTTGGCAGAGGACTAGATACAAAACGGCCAAAACAACGAGCAAAACTTAGAACAAAAAAAGAGGGCAGGCTAGGAAGAAAGAATGTGGAAACTATGCTTATGCGCCTTCACGGCTCTTGCGGTAGCTAGCCTATACCAGGGGATTTGGCGTCAGTACTTGATTTAGTCCATGAATTGCTGGGCATAGCTTACCTCCTGCTCGACCTGGAGCGCGTCCACGGTGGGAGCGAGCTCACTCAGGATCTCGTAGGCCTTCTTGTGGAACTCCAGCTGGGCAGCGATCAGATCGGCCAGGTTGCGCAGGGGCTCGGGGGTATCAAGGACCTAGTTGAGCAAGGGGTTGTTAGTACGGCTGTCAGGTCAAACTCCGAACCAAGGGCGATCATAAACATACGTTCTTCATCACGCTAACAGCCTCCTCAGTCTGACCAACGAACTCATCCTCCGCCTGCTCAATCTCCTGGCGGGCATCCTCGCTCAAGTTATCCAAGTCACCGTGAGCAGCAGCCTTCTTGCTAGCCTTGATCGAATCCAGGGTAAGACGAGCGTTCTCAACGTTCTTGCGCGCCTTCGCAGCGAACATCAAGTTGGTGTTCAGCGTGGTGTTCCAACCAGCCAGGAAACGGGACTGGATCTGCGCGTCCTGACTGAGACGGGCCTCGCCGACCTTCTCCTCAGCCAGGGCGTACTTCTCCAGCGCGGTGGCGAGCGGGTCCTCGACATGGCTGCTCTGCGCGAGGGTCTGGGAGCCGGCGAGCGAAGCGCGCGCAATCGCGTGGTTGAAGGTCTTGGGCTGGGGCTTTGCGGCGGGCGGCGCGGTCAGGGCAGCCTGGGCTTCGGCCGGGGAGCTGGCCTGAGACAGGAGGGTGACCTTCTCGTTGATAGTGCGGCCCAGGTCGTTGAAGGATTCGCGAATATTGGGCGGGTAGTCATAGGCCTCGTTGGAGTATTGCGAGCTGATTTTAGGAACAACCCACTAGCGTTAGTGGTAAGGTCGAAAGCTGGGAGGTAATACGGTCCTGATATGACCGTCAGCTGCGGAAGAAACTCACGTTACCTGGAGCAGCTTCTGGTGGACAAGCTTGAGCGCATCGACGCGCTTCTCGAGCTCGATGTACTCATCGGGGAGCTGGGTCTTATCTTCAACCTGTCCCAGCTGCTCCTTGATCATTTGCTGGGTGCGCTGCGCAAATGGCGTGAAGCTCGCGCTATTCGGAAAAGCGACAGGCAAGAGGATGTCAGTTCACGTTCGATAGCGGTCCAGAACGGGGTTGTTTTCTGCGGAGGGGAGGGGGACCTTCTGCGATAGGGTCGCTTGAGGTGGGAGGATAGGGGCTATGCTCACCTGAAGGTCTTACCGAATGCCTGCACTCGATCCATGATTGTGAAATGTGAAGGATTGGAAAGTTGGGAGAATACAGGGAAGGAAAGTGAGCAGATGATAGGATGGCCCAGCTACGAGGGTGCGATGGCCCATCCCGCTGCACCGCCCCACTACCACCGCGCACCGCCACTGTTTCATTAGGCATCCACTTATGGCATTGAATTTGCATACAAGGAAAAAATAGAAGAAAAAATACACTTGAGAAGGAAATATCTGCAAAATCGTCATATCCCATGAAATGTAAATCATGTAAATCGTCTCTCTGTCCCCTGTCCCTCTCAACCTCACTCAGGTCAGAGTGGCGAGCATCGCCCGCATCACACCAGAGCTGGGTTCTAGAAAAGTGTCAGCCACAGTTACTACCAACAGTATGATATCATGAGAGTAGACATCAGACATACCTCTACGCTCTGTTCGCCGAACCTCATGGATCTCCGCTTCGTTCCCCCTACTGTCAATGACATCGGTCTCGCGGTCCCGCGTAACTTCATATCCTCCTTGTCGCTCCAATCGTAGCAGTCTAGCCTCCTCTTCCAAATCACGAACATAGTCATCAACTTCATGATGGCTGCTTCGTGGGCGCACCAAAACTAACTGACCCGAATTGCGAGGCCGCGCTTCAATGCGCTCCTCAACATGGCCGCGAGGCTCAATGAGTCGTAGAGGTGATGAGTGTCGGCCGTGTGTATTGACAGACACTGATCTGGGACGAGTAATACCCCCCGTCGTGATGTGTGAATGTATTCATCATAATCAATTTCTTCGTAATCGCCGTGCCGACGAGGAGATGCTTCAAGTAGGTAAGTGTCATGACGAGGCGCGCGAGAATCGACAACTAGATGCTCAGTGGTGACTCGCTCGCGAGGAATAGACCGAACCGGGGATCGTGGGATACGGAGGTAATCAGCTAATTACGCAGAGGTTAACTCGAAGTTCCTGGGGCTTGGGCTTGGGCTTCTGGTATCTCCTTTGGGGCCCTTGAGGAAGCGACTTACTTTCGACGTGTTCGGCGGGACGTCGGAATTCTTTGCTAAGGCTGATGACTTCGTCGATTTGGTCTTTGGACAGTGCTTTCTGAATGACAATGACATCATCCTGTGACAGCACAGAATAGTAATTAGCAATCCATGCTGCAGCATATCTCATATCCCATGATCAAGGCAAACAATGTATACATACTTCCTCTTTGAACGGATATCCCAAGTCCAAGATGGCGTGGACATGCACCCACTTGCGGGGAATGCGAGTCTTTCCCTTGCGCGGATAAGGCTTCTCCTCACGACGAGAGCGCGAGCGAGCGGTGCTACTAGAGCGACGCCGATGATGATGATGATCCATACTGTTACGCTCCCGGAACTCGCGATACTCCTCATCGCCATAGTAATCCGGTTCCGCGATACGAATATCCTCATATACCTCGCGCTCGCGATACCTCCCAGGCGAGGCTCGCGGCGGGGGTGGCGGGTGAGGCACACGAGGCATGCCCCGGGGACGATCGTGAGATTCAAGCGACTCCATCTTACGACGAGGGATGCGATCAAAGGTGTCGAGGGACGACTGCCGCCTAATTAAACGGGGCGGAGCGAACGAGGGACTCTCGTCGCGGCGACGGCGCCGGTCATGCGCCACAAGGGGGCCGGATGGATGAGACAGGTGGTCGTCTTCATAGTATCGGCCTGCTGCGCGAGCTGGAGGGCCATATCGGTCTTCTTCGCGCAGGCGGAACTCGAAGCGCTCGTCGTCGACCTGGCGGGGTCGGTCGAGTACTGGTGGGCCTCGAGAATTACGACGGTCGTAGCGATCGCGGGACTCGACGGTTCCGGTGGAAGAGCGATAGTCATCGTAGCGCGACGACATGGCTGAACTCAGGCAGTCGAGTCGTTTGTTTATTTGGAGGAGTTGCTCAGCTGGTGAGGGAGGGTAGGTGAACCGTGGATGACGAGGGCGGCTGACTTGCGGGCCGAAGGGGAGGTGGGGGAAGAACCACGGGTGAGTGAGAAGTGAGAGAAGATGGGAGATAATGAGAAGAAGCTCAGGTGGAAAAGAGGTTTAGACCTGAAAATTGAGTGGACAGAAAGAGTCGAAAGAAAGAAAAGAGTCGATCGGAGATTCAGCCTTACTAGCGAAGCCTCAAAGGCCAAAATCGAGGGTCAGGCAGAAGCGCCGCTGATGACGTTGAAGAGGACCAAGTGGGGAATGGAGGAGGGGAAGGTCCACCAGAGACTCTCAGTCTGCTAGGGAGCAATTAAATACTACTAAGATCTACTGCACGAGTGACATGCTTCCTCAGCCATTAACTCTGCCTAATGTAGGTACAACCCTCTCTCCTGCCCAATCCTACGATGCCAACACATCTGCACAGCCTATAACTCCAAATTCTGCATATCTCCCTCCAAGCTCAACAGGCCCATTGCCAAATAAGCTCGATCCGGTGGCTGAACCGTCACAAAGCGCCGGTCATCACTGTACTCGGTGCTCCGGTCGCGTTCGAGGATATCCAGCGGCTGTAGAAAAAGAAAACGGGTCAGCACATACCACGCACAACGGGCTCAGCCCGGTTTAAAACCCGACTCGACCTCGAAAACTTACATGCTGCGCACGCTGGTGGGAAGATTCGAATGATCGCTCATACGGCGGGCCACGGCCATGCTTGGCGGCTACAATCCACGCCTTTTCACAGCCACTGGCGATGGCGTCCGAGGTCTTCCAGCCTGTTAGTCGGGATACGTCCCGCAGTTTGGCGATGGTCCAGCCACGCTGCGCGGGATCTATGTACTGCACGGCGGCGAAGAAGATCGGCATCGTCATCTCCGTCAGTGAAGAGCCCAGCGTTGGGCTGAGACTACCAGCTTCGAGATTGTAGCGCTGCGGGTAGTAAATACCTCCCGTGATGCGACCTATGATCTGTGCAAATTCCGCGGTGGTAGGAGCGGCCACCCCAGCGGCCATCATCATGGCGGGTGGCATGGAAGGGTGCAGTCGTTGGAGCAGAATACGACCGGCGTAGTAAAATCCCCAGATGACCGCGATCGTGTGCGTGCGGTACTGGAGTGCCGGTCCGAATGGCGTTGAAATAGACTGCGTGACATCTGCAGGGAGCGGCTCAAAGTCACGGCCGAGCGCTTTGGCGAAGACGTCCATGGCCACTAAAATCTCCTCCCATTCACGCTCTGCTTCGGTATATGTAAAATCCTCACTTACCTCTTCCTCCTCGGGGGATTCTCGCTGGTCGCGACGACTCTCGGCGAATCCAGATGGCAGACGCGCTGGACCTTGTGGTGGGATCATGCCGTACATGGGAGGGCCATCCGGCGCGGGCGGACCGGCGCGCTGGCCAGGTGACCCTCCCGATGAATCTGACGGTGGACCAGTTCTTGTGGAAGGAGCCGAGCCCGATGAAGGTGGTCCTCTAGGGGGACCAGGCGGCGAGGGGCCACCAGGAGGACCTCCGGGTGGACCAGGCGGTCCTCCAGGCGGTCCCTTCATCTTGCTAGGATCAACACGAGAGAACCGGCCCATAAACTTGAACATCCCCGGCGTAGGCTTCCAGTCCGTTCCAGCAGCCCGAAGAGTCCGTAGCTTTCGTTTTCGGTCGCGATACCCAAAGTCAGTCACCCGCGCAAGCAACAGCCAAAGGTGGTCAGCTGATCCATAGATGGCATCGATCCGGCCGATGCCTGCTCGTGGTGGGCTTTGACACTGCATGTAGTAGGGCATGCTAGAAATAAAATTAGCAGGAGGCATAAAAAGTGACCCGCGAGATACCTGGATGAGGGCGTAACTTACAATAGCTTATCCCCGCTGACCAAACTGTGGAAAACATCTTGTTTAGTAAACCACCAGTAGAGATCGCACTGGATTCGGAAATTCTCAATATCCTTGCGGGAAAAATGCTTCTTTGGGCTATGCCCATAGTCATCTTCCACTCGTCCAAACTCATCAAAGTTGACTGCTCGTCCCAAGAGAGATCCGATGAGATCTTGGTCAATGCTTCCCTCCTTCTCAGCGAAGGGGTCATCCTCATTGGGGTCAGGGCCAAAGCCATGATGATACATCATCGAATTAGACCAGCCCATCTGACGACGCTGTTCGCTGACTCTGCGCCGGTGAGCGCGGAGATCTCGAGTTGTGCTCGCAAAGTCAATCTCCTTGATTAACTGGGCAGCACCAGCAACGTGACTGTTCCATTTGGTATGGTCCGCGGATATGACTTCGTAGTATGCGAGAAGTTCGGTAGCTGCGAGCGTGCCGATCTGCTTACGGCGTTGGGGTAGGCCGACGGCCCGGCCGATGCGCTTCAGTGCATAGTGATAGTGTTTTAGAGAGACGGTGGTGGGCACACCCTGCAAATATGCAATGTGCAGACTGCTGACGGCGAGAATAGCCTGGAGCAATGCGGGGTTCTCCAATGCTTTGAGGGGTAAAGTATATGTCCAGAGTCCCTGCTGGGCAGGTGGGACTGGAACTCCCAAAACGATCGAAGAGTCCGTCGGATGGCGTTCAAAGATGGACAGTGACGGCCCCGTGGAGTGGATGAAGTGGGCAAAAATGCGAGCAGTTTTCGGGTTGTTGAGAGGACTTGATCCAAGGTTGGGATAATAGGAGGCAAGAATATTGGGCTCATTCAGATGCGTCGTGAACGAACGAAGTTGACGATCATCGTGGTTCGCCGAGGCCATAATCAGACTCAACTGATTGAAGCCCTCGGCCTGAGTCTGGCTCACCACCTGCATCTCCTCATCAGATTCTACATCATAGTAATCCTCATCCTCCTCGTCCACATAGACAACCTGCGGTTGATATTGCTGAGTATATTGCCCGGACGCATCCAATTGCATGGGAACTTGGCCAGGCTGCTGCTGATACTGAAACACGGCTTCTGTCGAATGTATAGGCTATAATAGATATGGTCAGCCAAATCCTACCTGTTGATGATCATTCAACTTTGACTGTATGCCGTACCTGGGGGAATAATGGATTCTCAGGACCCTGTTCAGCTCGCGATCCCCCTGTAAGTGGTGGGGCAGAACCTGGAACGAGCCCCTGGCCCTGCTGAACATTAGACCAGTAGATGATGGGTTGTGGATGTTGCGATTGTTGCGGTCTTGTCTCTTGATACTGCGCTGGTTCTTCATTCGAGCTGGTCGTTTGAGACCGTACTTGAGACGAATCGGCTGTCCCTGAGGATGATGGCCCATATGGATGGGGCTGTTGGGGTTGAGAAGGCCATGTCTGAGGGGGTATCTGCGTCGGTGGTGCCGGGTAGTAAAATTGAGGAGCATTCACTGTTGGCTGACCCTCTGTTGACTGGGCTGTCTCAAATGTATGGATAGAATGGTATCCCATTGTGGCGGGGTCGATAGGCCGTGGGGCTAACATCGGATGCTGGGCCGCCGCTGCTGCGTGCTGGGCCGGTAGGACACCAAACTCATTGTATAGAGGAACTCCCATATGATGCTGTTGCATTTGATCGTGCCCCGGCGGTGGGCCATATGAGCCGAAGATGCCCAATGGGTTCTTGAACACCACTCGTCGAGTATAGCCCTCGCAAATACGCTTGGACTTGACGCAGTTGCTGCATATGGGCTTCTCTTCCCCACATTTGATTCGACGTTTGCGACATGCTATGGATCTCGGTCAATCATCTGCATCTGCTAGAACGTATATTCCTGTCTTCACTGCCTACTTAAGCAACCGGTTTTGGTGCGTCTCTTTGGGGCTCTGCGGGGCCCGGGCTGCCTCACTACGGGCAGCTCGGTTGACTGGCCGAGGTCAATAGAAACGATCGCCGTTGATTGTCCGGGTCCTTCCTCAAAATCGTCCTCCATGGTGGCCCTGGATAATTGTGAAGAGATCAAAACAATTGTGGACTGTGTATGTCCGAGGACATGGTGGGGCTGGGGAGGAGAACAACGAACTGGGGAGGGGCCCCGATAGTTAAGTGGGAATTTAAAGGGAAAAGCAGCCGGTCTGGAATCGATGGCCAGTTGGGAACTCCACCAAATTATGGGCAAAGCTGCCGAGCCTCGCAGATCACCCGAGATCCTCGTCGTGCGACCCTTTGAATGTCAATTCTGACTGGTTTTTACTTTTAGGTTTGGGGTCATTTTCCTGGCTATGCTCTTTTACAGAATCCCGGTGTCTCCCGAATGCTCAGTGTCGGATTCCTATTGTCTCAACCCAGACCAGCAACTCGAATCTGACATGCAGAGCCCTACGAGAACTAGCATGAAATTAAGATCAAATTACTTCTCACCTGCTTGCTGGACGGGGCTCAAATGCTTATGCTTATACGAGCCTCTGAGGCTGACCCCAGGCCCCAATTTCAATCTGAGTTTGTGCCCTGTCAAAGCTGACAAGTCGTCCCAAAGTGGCGCCAACTGGGCTGGGACCGACCAGAGCCCTACAATATGAGACCGAAACTCCGCGGTGATCCATCTCAAGTGCAAATATGACGCCACCAATTTAATTAGTATCCAAGCATTTGCAGGTGAACGGTTAAACTAAAATGGGTTGAAGCCTTTGAGTATTAAGTAGCAGACTCACGTGGGCCTGGATCTGGGGAAAAGAGTGGATGCCTGAAATAGAAGGCCAATAGGGTCACAAATACACGTCACAGGTTGTATCAAAATTACCAGCGGTAATCATGCGGAGATCGGGCGAAATTTTGCCGATATTTTTTTTTTGGACGAAGATTGCGACCATCGCTGCTGCACAACTCCACACTCTGGACAATATTTCCCGGCATAATAGTCGGTGATAACCAAGAGCCCCGGAAAGAAGAAGCTGTTGTAGCTTCACCGACCTACGATCATGTTCGCCGTTCCAGGATGGTCGCTGGAGAGCGCTGCTCTCAAGCAGCAGTCTCAACCAGCGCAAGCCAAGAACGAGTCCCAGCCCACCGACGATAGCGCAACCCCTAATGGCAAGAACAAGGACAAGAAGCGCAAGCGTGAGAATGTTACCTCGGGCAATGTCAACGAGATGTACCGCAAGCACATCGAGGGCCAGGCCGAAAAGCCATGGAACAAGAAGAAGCAGGAGAAGCAGGCTGCTGCTGCCGCCGCCGCCGCCGCCGCCGCGGCTGCTGCTTCTACTGCTTCCCCCAAGGCGGACAAGGGGGAGGTGAAGAATGGTGCCGCGGATTCCGTTCAAGAAGAAGGCCAGGGGAAGAAGAAGAGACAAAGGAAGAACAAGAACAAGAAAGACAACGATGCCGAGGAAAAGGCGGACGGCGCCGCACCTGCTCAACCAGCTGCCTCTGCTACCAGTTCACTTGCCGCCCCTCCTACGACGAACGCAACCCTCACTCCTCTCCAGCAGGCGATGCGCCAAAAGCTGATCTCCTCCCGATTCCGCCATCTGAACGAAACCCTGTACACAACCGACTCCTCCAAAGCTGTCGAGCTGTTCAACGCGAACCCCGAGCTTTTCGATGAGTACCATGCTGGTTTCTCTCGCCAGGTTAAGGAATCATGGCCTTCCAACCCCGTCGATGGCTATATCCAGGCCGTCCGTCGTCGCGGTGCAGTCCCTGTGCCCAAACGTGGCAAGCCTGACCCCAACAAGCCTCAGCCTCTGCCCCGCAGACCCAACGGAGTCTGCAATATTGCTGATCTGGGATGTGGTGACGCCGCACTTGCTCGCAACCTGACCCCATCCGCCAAGAAGCTCAACCTGAAGCTGAACAGCTACGACCTTCAGTCCCCTGATCCTCTCATCACCAAGGCCGACATCTCCAAGCTTCCTGTCGAGGACGGTTCCATGGACGTGTCCATCTTCTGCCTGAGTCTGATGGGTACCAACTGGGTCTCTTTCGTGGAGGAGGCATGGCGCGTGCTCCGCAGTGACGGAAAAGGCGAGTGCTGGGTCAGTGAAGTGAAGAGCCGCTTCGGCAAAGTCACTCGCAAGAAGTCAATGATCGGCGCGCAAAAGCCGCTCAGCAAAACCCAGCAGAAGAAGCAGAAGAAGAGCAAAAAGGATGAGGACGAGATCGATGAGGAGGATATCTTCGCTGAGGATGCCCGTCCTGCCGCTGATGATGACGAGACCGATATCTCAGCGTTCGTGGAGGTCTTCCGGACTCGTGGGTTCGTATTGCGTCCAGAGTCAGTAGACAAGTCCAATAAGATGTTTGTCAAGATGGAGTTTGTGAAGCAGGGTGGTGCTCCTATCAAGGGCAAGCATGCTACTGGGTTGAGTGCACCGGTTACCGGTGGAAAGAAGCGATTCGTTGACCGCAAGCCGGCGTCTGATAATGGGATGACGGCTGAGCAGGAAGCTCAGGCGTTGAAGCCATGTGTGTACAAGATTCGGTAGTCTACGCGTTGCAACGGTCATGTACTTGTGATATATATTTACGATTATATTTACAATTAAAATATAGGTCCCAGGAAGTCTGGAATCTTAAAGGCTAGATCGATAAACCATCATTTCGCGTGTGATCCCTTTACCATCGTGTACTCTGGGTAGACGACGCTCATCCCGAAAAGCATCAAACCCAACCAATAGTTCCACACCAGCACGATCCTGGCAATAGTAAATTCGCTCCAGGCTTCGACCTCCGGCACCCACCGCAGAGGGTTCATCCAGTAAAACCAGCGGAAGAAGTAACAGGCTCCATGGCTCTCCAAGAAATCATTCTGGTAAAATATCATCCGTAGCTGAATCCAGAGGACCCGCTGGACTATCCAATCCTGCAACTGTTGACTAACGAGTCCAGCGAACCAGTACACGGCACGGATCCAAATAGGAGTAGTACAGAGCTGCAAAATAAACCTTTACATCCTGCACCATGCTCGCTATCGTGTGATAGAGCCGTCGTGTTTGCTCCGATCCAATAAGGATTGCAGTTGCGGCATTCCCGTCCGGGGTGTCATGCCCGAAATCCATCCATTGTCGGAGTCTCTACGGACCCCAATGTACAGGTGTTCTCCAAGCTCGCATGCGATTGATGAACCATCGGCCTGACAATGCCTGAATGCTGATACATGACTCCTTAGTCAAGTGAGCATGGAGTACACTATGCCACCGGCTTCCAGACGGGATTTCCAGGAAGATGTTAGGTGCAGACTGCTGGAAGTCGAAGATAATCAAATCCTTTTTGGAAGGATAAAGTTGGCTTTCCGGTTGGCAACATAAAATCGAGAAAGTTGAAAGACAGCCTGAGAGCGCGTGTTTGTTCGGTGCTGACACTATCCCAGGGTGTGAATGATATGCAGACGAAAGAGCCGACTAAGGAGGCTGCTAGCAATGGTGAATCCAACGATAATGAAAGTATTAATCATGGTTCTCGCTAAATGACTGCAGCAATCAACGGTTAAAGGGCCAGAAGGATGAGAAGGGTATTCTGGAGGTTGAAGAGTACAACGGCAATTTACGAAGAGGGGTAGAATATTGAAACCGCTGTCTATGATATAAGAGATCAGGGGTACCCAATTGAAATGCCATTGATTTTCGAGCACTATCAGCCACTTGTACTGGATGTATTGATTCTCTGCTACTAGCCTCTCAATACTGGCATCTCATGATTTCCCTTAATATCCAGCAGCTATTGCTTTACCTCTTCCTGGCGATATGCTTCCAGGAAGGGCGTAGTAAATCACAGGTCCTCATTCCATGATCAAACATTAGTTCACGATAAACATGATGTGAATTCCTCCAGCAAGGTTCCTCAATTCACTCCCTACAAACGCCAAATTACCTTCTCAGTGCCTGGTAAGTGCATCCTATTTCATTAGCAAAGTTCACATCAGAAAAAAAACTCGTGCAGAAAGCGACCTCACCATGGCACATCAAGCACACCAGCCTCAATCCTCTCCTCCCAATCCAAACTTGCTACAGGAACATATTTAGTCGGACCCAACTCCAATTTCAAACGTTGCAGCGGCGTCATCAAAATCCCATCTAAAATCTCATACGCCTTCTCAAACTGCCGAGCAAGAAGGGGACGGAGAACAGGATCAACCGCCGTCATCTCTTGTCCTACAAGCATCCCGCGGAAGATATCTTCGACCTGCCAGATTCGATCTTGGATAATATCTTGCCGAACTAGGGTTTTATTTTGGGCGATTTCGGATGCTTTTGCGGATACGGTGTATTGGAGATCGATTAGGTCTTCGATTAGAAGGCCTAGTTTGTTGGTGAATACTTGTTTGTTTTCAATGTCGCGGAGGATGGTGGCGAGGAGTTGGCAGCCCGCCATTACTTTCGCTGAGGCTTGCCAGAATAGTTCAACCTCCGGAACAGCCATGAACGAGATGGTGATTGGGCTGTTGGGGTGATTGGTGTTATATCCAGTGATAGGATACTGAGTATGGGATCGATGCTTTAATAGCCAACGCAAGCTCAATATCCCCAGAAGCTTTGTGAATATAGGATGCTTCCTAGGTGAAGTGAGGATGACAATGTCTTTGTTTGGATCTAGTTGTTTTCGAGAAAGGCTTCCGATCTCGCGCTTTGTTCCGGCTTCAAAGCTGCAAAGAGAAGTAGATATGACCGGCAGAAACAGACTCAGTATATGCGGTCTCTGAGATTCATGTGGTAGTATATTGTTTATTTGACCGTTGGATGTAGGAGAAGATAGATGTCTTGCTAAGGTGTTGGTAGAAAGTTTTTGATCTGGTCTCCCGAGATGTTTTTACAACGCTTTTTACCAAGGGTTTAGACCATTCTTGGAGGAACTGCCCAAGGACACTTGCTTGGGATAGAACTGTAGTTTCCCTCTTTGGGGGCTACTAATCCATTTTAGGCTTCATAAGGCGGCGAGTGGACGTAGCGTTTACCAAAGACTATCCGCGTCCGGTTTGGGAATAAGAGTCTACCAGATCGCCATAAGAAGAATGATATGATGTCAATGTTTTTCTCGTGTCCTTTGGCCATGTAAAATGAGTTTTGTGAAATGAATTCCGCTGAAGATTAATGTAGCCTCTTTTATTGTACAACTTTGACTGCATAGACTGCATAGATCCGTAACAAACCACTATTCCCCAAATAGCCCCAATCCCCTTGATAGAAGCTCAATCGAAGTAAGATCCACCGTGAACGGGTCTTCGTCTTCTCCCTCCAAAGTATCTTCATCAAGTGGCAAGATCTGCCCTAGCTCGGACTGCCGAAGAGAGTCTATCGCTGGAAAATCCGAAGACTCTCCACGGAAAAGCGACAACGACAGATCTTGCGATGGAAATCCCAATCTCGTCCCCGAATATTCAAGAGCTAATTGACCAGTCGACATCGAAGCATCCATCATCCCCGAAATCTTAAAGTATAGCTCAGGCTCGAGCTCAAGCAAATACAAGCAATCCTTCCCAGGGAACACTCTTTGTCGTCGAGCAAGGTCTGCGAGTTGTGGCTTGATAGGCGAGAGAGACATTTCAAATAGACGGACAATTCGGTTCACCCAGGTGCTGACATGTGAGACGTCGTAACGCAGGACATATTGTCGATTGAGTTCCATGTAAATACTCAAAACGTTCTCTTGGCGTCGACGGGTTAATGTATCACTCGACAGCCGTAGGTTCAGGTTCAATACCATCTGCGGTAATGCTGTATACGCGACTGCGCTGATTGGTAGATGACCAGCTGTGCCGTCAACCACGAAACGCTTGACCACGTCGTGGATTGCTGTGACCGCGTCCATTAGGTCTGGCCAATCGTCCGGGCGTTGGTTTCGATGTATGCGAAAAGAGATGTATTGGTAAAGCGCCAGACGAGCGGATCTGTGTCATAATGTGGTTAATAACTGGTGAGACCAGACATAGAAAGTGAAACTCCTTATTGCTTACTCAAAGTACAACGCGGTTAGCTGTTTAAAGAAAGCAACAGACGAATGGCAGTCAGAATCTTCGGGAGACGGCCGAAGCATATGCGTAGCTGCCCAATAATGAAGTCGTGACTGAATATCATCAATCGAAGCTATATCAGCCGACTGACCACCCCCTGACCATCCGGAAACGGGTCCAAAGGATAAAGAGTCATTATGACATTTGTCAAAGAGACAGCAAGCCGACACAGACTAGTCATGATCTTGCAAAGCATTTCTTTCGTCTCGGAGTCGTAGACTTGCGAAGTATGAATCTCATCAGATAAGTCATCCATCAGCAATGGATCCCTGGATGCTACCTCAAAGTGTGTTGGGAGAATCTGGAGCGGTCTGCGCATGCCGAGGGAGACAATCCTATCACGGATGATAAGACACCACCACAGACGCTTCAGCTCTGATCGCTTGTATCTACCTTCGACGGGACAGCGATGGTAGAGATGTGCATGGATAAGATGAGCCTGCTGAATTGCAAGACCAAGCCAAGTAGTGTTGCTGAGGTGGTTAGTTCCGGAGCTTTGGTAAGTGAGTAGTGTTAATGCTTGAGCGATGCATAGAGGATCATTCTCAACACCGAAATTGTAAAGAAACTTGTCCAAGAGTTAGTTCATCTTCTAATACTCCAAAGTGGCGTACGGTATCATTTCCAAATAATCATACCTTGGCACGCCGATAAAACGAATTGCGCATTTCCAAGATTGACTCTGCGCCCCATTTCTGCGCATCGGCCAACGAGATGTACTAATGACAGAAAAAATTAGTTTAAAACGGATTCATAATAGAAGAGTTATTGGAGGGCTCGGATATAGACACATACACTGCAAGCAGCGAACATCATTGCCTGAAACACCAGCAGAGAGAAAGACGACTTCCCCGTCGCTTCTTGATTAAGCATCGGCCAGAACTCCGCCTCATTTATGACCGGTAAACATGGATGAACGTATAAGAAGTAGCGCGACATCACAGCTTCAAGTATCGGCCCAGACGGAATATGCAAACATTCTTGAGCTTCTAGGAATGATCGATCGGCTGATTGTAGGGACTGGAGGTTGGGTGCTCTTAAAAAGGAATAGTAAGAGAAAAAGACATCGCGATTGGGCATGGGACGATTATAATCTGATTCAATATATTAGATCTCGACCCAAAGTTATTACATGTTGGCCATGATCTGTGCTTGAAACTCAAGGGATTCCTAGGGAACATACACGAGTCCACGCTGAGTGCTGCTTCAATAAGTCGTGACTCATGGCTCCCAGAAGCAGTCCTTGGACGTTTGAAAATGTTCATCCCATTGAGATCACAGATCTTGAGGGCGTCATCTTGGACCTTTTCCGCAGTGCAAATATCATAGCGTTGCACCGCATTCTCTTCTTGCATTGGTGTTGATTGAATGACGTTCTCAGCCAGTGATGTATGAATCGATCTCTTGCGCTGCTTGGGACAAGTAACACAATCGAGCCCATCTAACTGACAGTTGGTACACGGAGGTCCTTTGATCGCAAGAGTGCATCTGACTTTGCGGGATCGGCAGTGGAGGCATGCAATACGTGCCCGAGATGGTTGTCCATTTAGTTTTCTAGTCGCCCGTATGTCCATTGAGCGAAATGGAGGTGAGTCTTTGTTTCGATGTCTGTACAGCACTGATTGAGTAAATGTAAGAAGAGTGAGTAAGAGAAGAGCAAGTAAGTCAGGTAAAGAAGAGAAGAGTAAGTGGGATGGATGATTCGTCACAGTAATCAATAACTCCTTGCCCCAACATAGCCATTGCCCCGGATTTTCAACGCGCTAATTATCATTACAAATGTCACGCTATGAGTGCTACCCCGCACATTAGACCATGCAGCCGATAACCCGAAGGAAAGTTTAGGTTTAGTGCAACTATTTTGCGGATAAACATGTGCCAAGAGTATTCATAACTCGGTTAATAGGGAAACTTCTATTGGTCCAGGGGATGTCTCCTGTCCGTGACATCCGTGATACCCTTTAGACATAGCTCGTCTATGACGAGTCAAGCTACGGGGTAAACTTGATGAAAGGAAAGATAATGGATGGGGTTTGTATAAGTCATCAAGTGCATACTTATAGGAAGGGCAAAGCTATGGTCGATCACGATGCACGAGTCATGTATGACCCGCCTCGGAAAGTGTATGGGTCTTTGACCGAGATTCCCTCCTTCTCGTTAGCTGATCTCCCCGCGGAGGTCTCTAGCACCAGGGTCTGCTGCTTGCTCCTTCAGCCTATCAAGGCCTCGGGAGACCTGGCTTCCTAGTCTCCTCTAGCTGGACAGATAGAGTTGCCCGTCGCGTGTTAGTGTCGGAACGTCGGAAGCTATTAAGTTTGTCACTACCTGGCCCTTACCTATTGGAACTGGTAAGCTATAGGTCTCTCAGGCGAGAGATTGTAGCAGTATGAGCTCCGTCTTCGACGCAAATGCAGATTCATGTTTTGCCATCTTAGAACTACTAAAAATGGATGCCCACGGACACGAAGATAAACAGTATCATAAGGTTTATATTTCAGGGTACCTTGCTTTTGAATGAAAATTAAGATTCCCTATTCCTGGAAGGTTGTATCGTCTACCGCTGAATAATCAGCGAGTCTTTCATTGATTCCCACCCAGCTGTGCCACAGCACGGCCCATCTCCTCGTCATTGTAGATGCGGAAGCCCTTCTCCTTCGTCACGCTCGCCAGCTGCACATTCTTCGCATCCAGCTTCTCCTCCATGACCTGCTTCAGTGTCTTCAGAACGAGCGTCTCAGCTTCGGCCAGCGTCAAGGAGCGGTGGTATTCGTTCTGGAGCTCGGCCTGTGCGCCTTCACTTCCGGAGCCAATGGCCTTGGCATCGTAACGGTAGAAAGTACCTGAGGGCTCAGCGTGATATCTGGATTAAGACGTAGACGTTAGTTTGATTCATGTTTCTCGGTTTCTGGAAGGCCATATCACGTACAGCTGGGGACCATCCTCGTCATAACCGGCAATTAGCAACGCAACACCGAACGGTCTGCTCATAACACTCTCCTCATCATCACCGCTCTCTCCAAATCGGAGAGCCAAATCGCAAATGGCCTGTGTGGTACTCTCAACGCGCAGGGGCTCGGCATAGTGGAAGGCATGGTTCTGGCATTCGACACGGGCGTGCTCGACTAGGTTGCGGGCATCGGCTTGCAGACCAGACATGGCGCAACCGATGTGCTGATCAATTTCAACAATCTTCTCGACGGATGATGCTTCCAGAAGGGTAGATGTGACACGCTTCTCCACACCAAGGATGACACCCTCCGATGTAGCGACCTGCAATCCAATGTTAGATTAACGGGCTCTGTGATCCATGTTCGGTCGGCCGTGGGACGGATATTGCGAAATCTGGGTTTGACCACATTTCCACATCTAACGATTATGATAGACTTCCCGGGAGAATGCTGGAGAGGGCAGGACGTACACCGATCGCTGTAGAACCTAGCTTGATAGCTTCGAGGGAGTATTCGACCTGGAACAGACGACCTTCCGGGGAGAAGGTGCTATCGGAAGTTCATCGTGAGCAAGAGGGATTTAATTTGAATCTATTTTGTTTAAGAGGAGGATGCGTACTTGATTCCACGGTCTGTCCGCAGCTGTTAGCAATGTCGGCAATGTAGTGAGACGTGACGGAGCTTACCATATTCCGATCGAGCAATGAACATCTTGAGCGGTCCGACACAAAGGGAGAACTTGAAGAATCAGGGAATCCAGAGAGTGATATCAGAAACAAGGTATCACACTGAAGCGATGGGGTGGAGGAAGACAGAACTGGGGGGAGGAGGTGGAAGATGGGGAGCTCTCGAGGCGGGAAGCTCTCGCAGTTACGCAAGTTGCGTGCCTGGCCGAGTTGGCCTCAGGCGGTGAGGCAGCCACTTCGCATGCTGCCCAAGGCACGGAGCTTCTGACGGCTTGTTTAGATGCACGCCAATTGCGCTTTATTCGGATGCTCGTCTTTTTCCTATGAGGCGCGGCTTTTCAAAATCAGACACTGCCGTCTGCGCTACATGACACTGCCCGTTCGCTACAAGGGATTATGTCCGTCAATGATCGTCGCGCCAGCTATATGAGCGCTCCGCGACCCCGCGTCGTCTCCAATCGCGTCGATGCCGATAGGCCCAGCCGCGGCGCTGCATCGCCGCAACAGCCAGACAACATGGATTCTTTGCGCACGAGCACGTCAAGTCAGAAGCAGAGATTACCCCGAGAGCAGAAAAATGTGACGGAAAAACGTACGGAGCGAACTGTGATCACAACAAGGGAAAAGGCAGTGCAGAGGAACCCTATCAAGGAGTCCTCCAGCGCTTCTAATCGCGGTGAAGGGGACAAGTCGAAGACCAAAAAGACGAGGACGACCGATGGAATGAGTCCGGTTGGACATAGGAGGGAAGCGGATGCGCCTACAGGTTCGTGACCGACAATATGTGCGCCGATGTCGCATTTTGTACAAGCCTTGACATCAACATGGACTGACTTCTCTGGCTTTGCAGCACCATGGGATCCCCATGCCTCCCTAATTCCTCATTCAACTGCTCCGCTTTCCTCTCGCATATCTATACCTCCGCTGGCATCGACTGCACCGCAGTCGCTCTCGCCCCGACCATTTCGAGAGCTTTCGCCCGATGGCCAGGAAGCCGCGATTCTGGAAGACCTGTTGTTCGTGTTCATGGGCTTCGAAGGCCAGTACATCCACTACCACAGTACATATGATCCCTCCGTGGAAAAAGACCGCCTGACCGGTCCGGTTTTCCAATTGGCGGCAGGCTTAGACCCGACTTTGCGCGATCTCACCCAGTCTATGCTAAAGATGGCAACGCACTACAGCGCCATGGAGGCATTTGTAGAAGTTCAGAGTCGTGCTGAATTCGGCGCTGTTTGTCATGCACTCTGCGCGTCTATTCGCAAAATCCTCAAGGACTACTTGATCCTTATCGCCCAGCTGGAAGCCCAGCTACTGAACAATCCGTCATTCACCTTGCATCAACTTCACCTCCATACGATGCCAACCAGCCAATGTTTTACTCAGCTGTATTCAATAGGCCAAGAGCTACTACGACGCAACGGGCTTCTGGATTCAGAAGAGCTTGACGAGACAATTGACGACTTTGACGACGTTGATAACATTCTCGAGCAACTAAAGGAAGGAGGTGATCTTGTACCAGGTTCCAGCAGGAAGGTCTGCAAAGGAGGGAATGTCCTGAGACTCTTGACGGAGCGCCTTGCGACCTTTTCGGGCGACCCGACCACCAAGACCCTCATCCAAACCTTGCTTCGTGATGCCAGTCGTCCATACATGAACATGTTGAATGAGTGGCTACACCATGGTGGTATCAGAGACCCCCACGCAGAGTTCCTTGTCAAAGAGCAGAAATGGATCAAACGGGAAAAGCTCGAGGAAGACTACACGGATGAATACTGGGAGAAGCGCTACACGATCCGCGATGACGAGGTTCCCCCACAGCTCGAGGGTGTCAAAGACAGAGTCCTTCTTGCTGGTAAATACCTGAACGTCGTGCGAGAATGTGGTGGCGTCGATGTCAGCAAAGCTGTGAAAGATGTGCCCAAAACGCTAGATGATCCGCGTTTCCTGGAAAACGTCAATGCTGCGTATACCTACGCCAACGCCTCTCTCTTGAATCTACTTCTCACGAAAAACTCCCTCACGACCCGATTCCGCTCCCTCAAGCACTACTTCTTCCTCGATCGATCCGACTTCTTCTCCTACTTCCTTGAACTTGGTGCATCCGAGCTACGCAAGAATGTGCACGTTGTCAACGAAGGCAAGCTTCAGTCGCTGTTGGATCTTGTACTTCGCCAACCGGGCAGTATTGCCGCACAGGATCCGTTCAAAGAGGACGTTAAGGTTCGAATGAACAAAGTTGGCCTCACAAAGTGGCTGATGCAGGTGGTCAGTGTCTCTGGCATTGATCAAGACCACCCGGAAGCCGCGTTTGAAAAACAGCAGGCACCTTCTTCTCAGAATACCGACGATGATAACAGCATTACTGGGTTCAGCGGTCTGGAGCTGGATTATTCAGTTCCATTCCCCCTTTCTCTTGTCATTAGTCGCAAGACCGTACTGCGATACCAATTGATCTTCCGCCATCTGTTATCCTTGCGACACGTGGAAACCTTGCTGGTCACATCCTGGGCCGATCAGAACAAGGTGGCCAGCTGGCGACATAAGCCTTCTGACCGGAGGCTTGAGTTGTGGAAGCGTCGCGCATGGAACTTGCGTGCCAAGATGCTTATATTTGTTCAACATCTGCTGTATTTCTGTACTGCGGAGGTTATCGAGCCTAACTGGGTGGCATTGATGGACCGCGTTAATGGCGCTGACGCCAATGGATCTGAGGTGACTGTCAACGGGTCTAAACAAGTCAACCGGACAGTTGATGAGCTGATGCAAGATCACGTCGATTTCTTGGATACTTGTCTCAAGGAATGCATGCTAACCCAGGCCAAGTTGTTGAAGGTATGGAGATGGCTTAGGCGACCTATTGAACACGAGTAATGCTGACATTCGCGTCTTGCTAGATCCATTCCAAGCTCATGACCTGTTGTACCATGTTTGGGCAATGGACCGCTTCCTCGCTTTCTCGGGCTTTGAGTTCGGCAGACCCCGATCTGGCCGGAGACAAAGCTGGGGGTCCCGATGCCCGACCCTATGATCCATCCCGCATTGTGAAGCTTGAGGAGACTCTCAAGCGCTATGAGGATCATTTCAACCGCCATCTTCGGATCCTCATGGACAGGTATGTCACCATCTTTATTCAGATATACTTATAGAGCAACATCCTAACATCAAAGCAGCCTCAACTACTTTGCCGCGACCGAGAGTGTGGTATTGCTGAAGCTGGCACACTCACTCAGCTCCATCAGCAAAGAAGACTGAAGGGTGACAATGATCATTGTCTCGACTGTCTCAGGTATCTCAGACATCTCAGGCATCCCATGGGGCCTGATCCACTTCTTACGAGGGACCAAACCAGTTTGGCACGCCCGAGTGCTCTTTCCGATGGAGATACTCATCACCCATGGGGACGGCCCTATATTGAAATAGAAGCAGCCCTCACACGCTTCCCCTCGGCGACACCCGAAACCCAAATGCATGCAGCAACTTCAGGGTCTCGTCACATCACACAAGCATCACACCATCGGGCCTAAATCTTGTTCTGGTGGGGCCAACGGTGGATCTCGGAAAGGCCGAGGCGATAAGATAGAGAGACAGCTTCAACTTGAACCGGTAGAATGCTGGTCACGAAATGATTTGTATGAAGTGTAGATAGTATGTTATTCATGGAAACCCGCAATGAGTTAATTTGAGAATCCTTGTTCCAAGAAAACCAACCGAGTACCAGTAGAATGTAGAAGAATGTAAAAGTGGTGAGATGCGGAGCCTCGCGCTGTTTCTTCCGCGTCGAACAGCCGAAAGGAACTTTAACCTGCGACTCTCCCACGTCAGCCCCCGTCGGCCCCGAAGGCGATATTTTATTTAACCTCCTAACATCCATCCATGGACCTTGATTAAAGTTCTAATCTCCCTTCAACCGTCACACAACACCTCCAGGACCCCGGTCCCCCTCCACGATCATGTCGCTCGAAACCCTCACAAACGCGCTCCAACACGTCCGCCTCCCACGCTCCCAACAAGACAAACTAAACCTCGCTCTCGGCACCGCCGCCGTACTAGGCAGCGCCTTTCTCCTCCCCGCCGCGTATCGCGACTACCGCATCTTCAAGAGCTATGGGCCCGGCGGGGTTCCCAATAATATACTGGGGTGGATGACGGTGCGCGCATTGTTCCAACCGTTTGGGACTGAGATGCTTAGTACGGAGGTGTATGTGCGGAGGATTGATGCGGCTGAGGGACATGGGAGGGGTGATGAGGGGTATTTGACGCTATCGACTGAGCAGTTGGAGTCGAGGAAGGAAGAGGGTAGGCCGGAGGTTGGACCGCATGTTGTGCCGCAGCGACAAATGACGCAGATTCCCGATGAGGATGTTATGGAGGTTCGTTTGGTGTCGCGAATACTGGAGGATGATCCTTTGCTAACGTTGGTTTCTTTATGCAGAAATTCCGCTCAAGATTCAGGTCTTTTGGATTGAAGAATCATCACTTGGTTAAATTCCAGCAATCGAATCTCGAAGGACACGCCGAGGCGTTGTTTTTGGCCGATCACCTTTCCATTACTGATCTGGCGACGACGATGCAGGGTGAAATCACGCATATACATAGCGGGAATGACCACTCCCTTCACGCGGTACTGGCGCCGGCAGACTGTAAGTTTCAAACCTACGGCTGTGAGAACAAACGGGATGCTTCGCGGCCGGTCGTCTGTTCTATAATTCTCATCCGCTAATTATCCCCAGGCAAGAAAATCATCGAAGCAGGTTGGGGTCAGCGCCATGCTTTCTCTGGTACTTCCGCCATGACATTTCTCAGTCTGGGCACTATCCCCGATATTCCCTCCGAATATCTCCTGATCTATGCGCCACGCAATGATGCAGAGATTAAGATTGTGATGGAGATTGTCTCTGCCTCTATCAAGTTCATGACTGGACGGGAGGATGTTCGGTGAGCTGGGATTTGCTACATGGAAATCTCGTATATAATTTGTCTTCGTGGGGAGAGTGGCGAAGGCTTGCTGGTATGGTGTTGACTTTTTCTTGGGTGTCTTCTTTTCTTGGTTTATTTTATACCCCCACTCGACAAACGCGATGCTTTGAGTTTATTAAAATGTATAATTATTCAGAAACCTTTCAGACATCTTGCGATCCTATCATCTGCGGTCCATCCTACGTCTTCCTAACTCAAACCTCAGACAAGGACTGGACCTGAGCACCTAGAACACCAGTTATAAGATATGAGGGAGGACCCATGAACAACGAGAGACTTCAACGTCCCCCGTTTCACCATCGGGCTAAAGCTGCATCGTCCCGATGGTGCCATTTTGGATCTTGCTTACTTGACGTTCTCTTCTTGCTCGCATACTTCGGCTGCCCGTTGCCAGCAGTAGTGACACCGTCAACATATTTCGGTCTTCAAAACGGTAGGTGGGAAGCTACTAGGTGAGCGTATAGATCCAGCAACCCGCTGTAAAACGTCAAAATTGTCTAGATACACTCCTGGATATTCCCCTGTTGCGATTCTAAGAGGCTCTCACATGCGCAATCTATGGTTGGATCTTGAAAAAGGACCGTGAAGTGATAGGGCTATGGATCCTGGCATCCAACAAGCCCTTACAGTGCAGAAAACAAAGTTCCTCCTGGTCAAAGATTGTAACCTTTGAAGCCTTTCGAGGCCACGAATAGGGTGCAACATGTCACATTCTCACCGAGGTTTCCATATATTTGTTTTGAATTCCAGTATCCCACAAATCTGGAAGTGGAGTATCAAAAGCAATTCAGGCACTTGTAAAACGAGCGGCCTAGGCCTGGAGAGATGAAAACTTAATTCTAACGAAATAGAAGATAACCATTTCTCACCCTGATCGGCAACCTCGTGTTTGGATTGATGCGGAAATAGTCGTGAGTTGTATCTATATGCCGACTTTTCTTGTCTGAGATTGACCTGATACAATAGAGTCCTGTTACTAGTTCTGTCCTTCTCACCTACAGTACCTATCTCATTGTCGTTGAAATGTCCGAATCTGATGCTGTCGGAATAACCTAAGATATCGGGAATTCCGGCCACGGTTCACGAGGCGTGAGCATACCCGCCGTATTGGGCGCTGTGTTTCTGTTGCCCGATGGAGTAAGAGAGGATTTAGAAATAATTATTGATAGAGTTATCTTGAGCCTATTTGAATCCCGCTTGTTACTCTGGTCTATCGTGTGATGTCTCTAAATTCGGATTGGCGAATGCGTGCCTCTTCTGGTCCCGCTGTCACTCACTCGATATATACTTGAGTAGCTAGAACCTCTACGTGACCCGGTCTTGATAAAATCGAGCCATTCGTATTTCCAGCTACGAGTGATACGTGAGAAGAGCAGATAAGAGATTTTGTATAGATTCAGCAAGCACGGACAACTTTGTAAATGGATGTGTGCAAACTCCATGGAAACATATCCCACCCCAGCCACGCGGAATAGACACATGTCTGCCCCCAACCGACGTAACACAACAACTTCCCAGGGACGTCCAGGCTAACTCCTTGTTTAAATATGGGTGTGAAAAGGATATCCACCCGTCGCGTGGAAAACGAAACCTTGAACAAAATTTCAAGAATAAGCATGACCGAACGATGAGTAAACACAAAATCCGAAGCAAGTCAGCAACAGCTAGTCGACATGGATTTTAGTCCGCCACAAGACAATGTGTCATACCTACTTATTAAGTTAGTCAGCTAAGTTAGTTAGTTATAAACCATGAATGCTAAATAGTCATTATGAGGGGGTATCTGGAGGCGGAGGGGAGGGAAGTAGTAACAAAACTTGGATTGCAAGTAAGTGGGCTGGCTGAGGCTAGAAACCCGACAGAATGGTACGCCAAAAGAAATTCACTCTTTTATCCTTTTTCCTGTTCGGTAGGTAGATTTTTGGGATTCATGTTTTGTTTTGTGATCATCTTTCTTCCTTCCCACTCATGTTAGCTCTAGTTCCATGTCTGCGGAACTGGTGGGCTGATCTCTGAGCTCGAAGGCTAAGTATTGTTGAATCGCTAGGAATACAACCATAGCAAAGGAAAAAGCAAAGACAGACGAAAGAGATATGGTTCGCGGAATAAGTAGTGTACGAGTCTCTAATCCTGGGCCGGTGTGCTAGCGGGGGCTTAGTCGGGTCGATCGTCGCCCCTGCACAATTCCCAGGGCTTTGGGACAAGGGAATCTTGTATTTCCGTGAGTTGGGAGGCTTGGGGTGGATAGATTATTAGCGGCTGGGGATTAGATATCACACTGATTATTCCAAATCAGTATCGACTTGACGGATCAATAGACTCTCACTAGCCCATTATTGAGGTACTCAGATCTAGATAGCGAAATCGTTTCTCCAAATTTACTAGTGTTTGACTATCACCAAGCCGAGGAAGGTATTCACATGAAGCATTATTATTGACCGGATCCAAGAGAGCCTGTCTCAATTTCAAGAGTCCCACCGCGGGGCACGACACCACCAGAAATCAATTACAGTAGTTAAACTAACTAATTCACTACATACGTAACTAGTCATAGCCATAGTCATACTCCGTATTACTGACTATTCCGTCATAGTCCAAACCCATGCGCCAATGACACTAACGGGCCCAGCCGCCCCCTCGCCCGATGGAAAAGGCCTGTCTTCCCGAGAATTGAACCATGGCTCTGGGTTTCCTTACCAACGGCTCTTCAACCCCTCGGGTACACCCTGTTCTTACTTGCATTCCATGGAATCCATGCATGGATTATGTCCACAGTACACCGAGCACTGTACTCCGTACTCTGTATACAAAAAATAAACCAGTCCTGTTTCCCTACCTGTCCTACGCCGCAGACCCGGTACACTGGGTGCTCGCTCTTCGGGAACGCGGCGCGGTCCCTCTTTGGGCCCGCGATGCACAAACCTGGGTTACGAGTCAGTGGTAACGACTGCAAGGCATCCAGCTTACTATGACTCCAAAAAGCGGACCACAGGGCACGACTTTGCCAAGTTTTGGGGGCTAGGGGGCCCTTGCCCGTTGACACCGAATGTTGTAACGACTTTGTTGCAGTTTGAACCTAAAATCCGGCCCTGGGGACTGTCTATTGTCACTGTCCCCAGACCACTGCAATGACTGCAACATTACGATATAATAGTTGCCTTATTCGTATTATTTTGCGGCTGTTTTCCATTAGGTAGTTGACCACGGTGAATATTTTCCTGCCAGTACTGCTTGACTGCATCCCAAGTTGTTGTTGACTTTTGTGTTGAGTCTCCATTTGCTGGTCGGAGAATTGCCCGGAAGTATTCGGCGCATTGATCTCCTAGACCACGCATAGGAACTGCTCAGCTCATTTGAAAAGTGCAACGTGAGTTTCGCGAGTTCCCGAGGGAATGGGAACAGGTGGACACCCGCCCACCCCATAAGGGAAGGCAAAAGAATCGACGATCCACCTTCCAACCTTCAACCACGGCCAACAAGGAATTCGTATGGAAGTCTTTTCCGCTCAGTCATTCATTCTATGGTGTCGCAATCCAGCGGGCCGTATCTTTTCGCAGAGTCTTCCCTGTAAAAATAGTCTTGTCAACCCGAAAGTACTTTGTGTAAGCGTGCTGTTCAGAAGCACCATCTATGGCGTACTTTTGTCACTGCCTAGATCGGAGGGACTATTTGAATCAGTATCCCTGTAGAAAACTGTGTAGGAAAACAGTTAGCCCATCTTATTCTAGTTCTGAGCCCTCCCTTAGAGCCCCGCAAGACAAGCGGTGAAGAGGAAAAGAAACAGTATTCAAGAACAAATAATAGCCAAATAGAACTAATCCACCAGAGAGTCCCGACGGAACGGAGCCCAACGAGGATGCTGCTGATCGCGGACCGGGTCCGAGGGCCATCCAACCCCACTCTTCTATGGTTGGAGGGGATCAAACTGCCAGTGTGGCCAGCAGACTGTGAGGACCCAGCTGAACAAGCCACCTTGGCCCCGAGCCTCTGTATCAGTGTACATATGCAGATTGGCTGCCGGGCGGGATGATGGGAGGTCACTCCGACTATACGGAGTATATGACGATGGTGTTGGAAATCTGTCGCCGGGGCGCTGGTCCAATTGCTGCTTTTTTCGGTTGACTGACAGCGGGAGCTGGCGAAGATCCATTTCCGCGCCCTTGGAATTCTGCAATGCAGGGCTTCGGCTGGGGTCGGTGTCGCCACAAGGGCTGGGCTGAATTCCAATTCTTCTGCTGCAGAATATTTAATCTTCTTTTTTCTCTTCTGTTTTTGTTCCATTGTCTGCTGCTCATTTCGCTCATCCCGATAATCTGGCTCGGCGGCTGCGACCAGGCATGTAGGTACCATGGAATAGAAAGAGGTACGGAGTAGTAATTGTAGCATTTCTCCGTGTCCATGTGACTTTCTGATGGGGTTTCGGCTTTGTGGATTTTCATTCATGTCTCCATTACCTTCTTGGCTCGTCGTGGTCTTACTCCTCGGCGCTTTTTGGTGAATAGAAGGCAAACCACGTTGGCATAGCATATCCAGGCTGTATGAAAGGCAAAGGGAACCAATTCAATGGAATTTCCATAGACTCGCGCCTCAGCCGCTGGACGTCATCACAGCCACAGGTAGCGGCACCCGAAGAAAAGGCTGAGTTTTGCCTCGATCCACACTGTCGGGCGCTCTGGCACTGGGACCCAGGCGGCCACAAGGAGGTCATATGCGACAGCCCGAGCTGTGCATTAGCTCATGGCACCGCCGCCTAGACTCAAGGTTTGCTAGACTGACCTTAAGCAGTAGAGCGGGAACGAGTCTATCCTGATACTTGGTATTTTGGCGTGCTAGCGTTCAAGCGTTGTGTTGGTGAACCACTCTTCGGTTATTGAACCGACCCGCTCCAGTGTCCTTGGCTCGAGATACATGTACATTACAAACCCCCTTTGTCGTAGCAGTGAGAGCGGAGATTCTTCACGCATATCCCAAGTGAGTAATAGTTCACGCCAGCCAGGGTCAGCATACGGCCCCATTGAAGAGATCCTTCGGGTCCACAGGCAGGGCCGATTCGGGGAGACTAGAAGGCCGTGTTGATCGTATCCATCCGTCTATTCGGTTTCTGATAGGCACCGCATTCACGAGGAACAGACTTGGGTCCCGAGCGTAATCCTTTGAAGAGACGAAAGTTCTTGACATCTGAAGAAAGGCATTGTTTCGAGGAATCTGGTGTTGTCGAACTGGGCGGATCAGGCTCGACAAGTCCAGCGCTTGGGGGTACATTTTAGTACGCACCTGGTATGACCGAGTTCCCCATACAAGCCCTTGACGAGCGCCCACGAACAGTGAATGGTCCTCGAGCCGCCATCCTGTCCGAAATAGTGCTGTTGCCGCCGAACATCCTGTTCCATTCCTCAAACAGTACCCGATCGCTTCCATGAAAATTGAACCACTTGAATTTCTCCTCCCCCGTTTGGTACTATAAGTTGATGTACACCCCTTAAGTCGGAGAATTTTCGCCCCGCCTTTTGAAAAACCGGGCCAAAAGCATTCCGATATACCAGCTGAGATTGCCTTTTTCGTCCACCACATTTGAAACAGGGGCCCAAGGTTACCATGATGTACTGCGACACCAATCCCTTCTGTCATTCTCAGAGAGGTACACAAAGCTAATCGGACGGTATTTGCTCTTCAAGGAACCCAGATTCGCAAACGGTAGAGTTAGACCGGGAGTTCCTCGATACTGTCATTGTCCATGGCCGTGAATACCAGAAATACTCGATTGAGCACCGCACCTATTTCGGCCCAGTCGATGAGGTAAGGGAAGAAGGTGACTGTTCACCATTCCAGATAGTATCTGACAGCCAGGCTAGGAGGAGGCGCAGCGTCTTGACCATCAACAACGAGTTTTCCAGAGGATTTTCGATGACCGACTTATATTTCCACCCATTCATCGGCTGCGAAGGGTACTAGACTGTGGCCACGGGGCTGCATCATGGGCAATCGAAGTTGCTGAGCAGCATCCGAATTGCGAGGTGAGATGCTCTCTCGTTCTGAATCCGATGGTTTCCTGACAGTTGTTGGTCAAGGTCATTGGCGTAGATATTGCCCCGCACATGAGCCCAGACGATGTGCCAAATAATTTGTGGCTCCAGGTGAGTGAACCATCTCTTTCTTCCCTTCCACCTCTGTAAGGAGACGGTGTGAGGTTATGACCAACGCCCGATGCAGGTCACCATTTTCACAACAAGGGTCGATGACAGTCATCGCCATACTTGCCTCTGCCACCAGGAACGCGTGGTCTTGAGAGGGCGGTCGCTAACATGACGCTTTATAGGTCGACGACTTGAACCGACGGTTCACATTTCCTACCAACCACTTCGACCTCGTTCATTCTCGACTCCTTGCGTCCGGTATTAACCGTTCTCGATGGCCATCATACATCCGCGATATCGTCAGGTGCGAAAATTCCCCAGGCCCGATGAGCTGCACACCCCCATCGCACCATCAGCGTAGCCTCTTAGGGTAACACTCCAGTCTCAATGGCTAATCTTCGCTTCAAAGGGTGCTGAGGCCGGGAGGTTGGGTCCAGATGACTGAAATATACTTCAACGTGCAATCCGACAATGGTTCCATCACCGATCAACATGCTTTGCGACGATGGAGCACACAGTACATGCGTGCACTGGAGGACCGGAAAGATCTTCGAATTGGATCCAGACTGCGGAACTTTTTTATAGAAGAGGGATTGGTGGAGGTCGACACTAAGATGATCCCCTTGCCTCTGTCGGCATGGTCGAACGGCAAGTTCTGGCATTTTGTCGACCAACATGGGGACATTAATGCTGACGGTGGTAAAGATCCAAGAACGCGGGACATCGGCCGATATAATAGCGAAAACATCCAACAGCTTCTGCGATCACTTGCGTTGTACCCGCTCACCCAGCGTCTGCATATGTCACCACAGAGTTTTGACAGATTGGTAGAGCAAGCGCAGGAAGAGGCCAGGAATCACTCGTTGAAGGCATACTTTCCACTGTATGATTGGCTCCAACTAGAAGCCCCGCGACCTCGGCTGACCGGACACAGATACATTTGCATTGGGCGTAAGCCAAGATGAATGAGGATATCCCAGGCCAGAAGGTTCCGCCGGTCCCAAGAGATCCATTGCCGAATATTGAACACTGAGGTATCCCGTCTGCAGTGGCCCTGGTTTGTCACGCTCTTGCATACCCATCGAGTCATATTTCAGTGTAGTCTTCGCATCTCCATCGCATAGACATATCGAAATTAACCCAGACCGGTTAGTCAAAGAAGCTTTTTCTTATCACACTTGTACCTTTTTGGACGGTCCAAACTGCATCACAGTTCCGAAGCGGAGCTAGCCGTTTGGCTGGGCCCTCTTCGAGAGGACAGCTCGAATTCCCGAGCCAGAAGTTGATGCGCGATAGATCGTTCAGGTCGCACAAAAGCGTCTTGACATGCAGGCTGATGTACGCAAAATCAGATGTAGTCCACTGCCAAGGCAAAACTTGATTCAGGGGAATCGGGGATGATTGTGCTCGCGTGGCGTGCTCTAGTCAAGGACGCCACAGGCGATAGATCGATCGGATCGTGGCCCCATGCGGATCGGGATCGATCACCAAGCAGACCGGATCTGGAAACCACAAGCAGACCGTTAAGATGAGCTAGAAAAGAGAGTCCATGCAGGATGGAACGGGCAATCAAGCGAGTTGTTTGATAGAAGCTCTGCGGCTGGTTGGCGAGATGGGCGTTGAATCAAGCCTCCCGCGGTAGCTTAACTCGACCTTGCCAGGTGTCCGTGGAGTCTCTCCCTTTTTTGTTTCCCCATATTGCACGATCCCTGGTCCTCCTAAGCTTGGGAGAATGCACAAGAAAGACCAAAGCTGGTTCAGAAGATGGATTGAAGAACCGGGCTAAGCGAGCAAGAAAAGAAAGAGGGGGTTCCAGACCCAGATGGTCGGGAAGGAGGCACCAGGGGAACCTTAAGTCCTTCCAGTCGTTTCCCCAGTCTCTTCCAAGTTCCAGAACCAGGGCCTGCATATGAGATCAGATCTCTCGTTGGCTTGATCTTCGCAAAGAACCATTTCTCCCCTGATCCCTGTCGATACCTGCCCAAGGATCCCGGGAAGCAGTCAACAAATACTCTCGAAGCAAGCCCTCACAAGCCCATGACAAGCGATCATGTTGAGAAACGCTTTATACTCCTATTTACTACCGCACGAGCTACCTATTTATGACACGCAATGCGTGGATGGTAGGCAGAATCGCTCAGACCGTACCCTATGTTATGGGAACTAGACTAACCTTGGAATAGGAAATACCCCTGGGGGGCCTCGGGAACTCTAGATGATGGCCCTATTATGCTCGCATACCAAGCTACATAGCCGACGCAAGATACCTCGACAAGCGAGGTCTGGTGCTGGGCCAGTGCCACGAGAAAAACGGAACTCGGTGCCTGAGCCGGGCTCCTGACGTTCTTTACGAGTCAGGAGAGACATCCCCTTTCCAATGGTGCGGGATCAAGCGCCTTATTAGAGTTCATGCTGGAATGCACTTGGCGCCCAAGAGAGATTGAGATATGCCTCGAAAGCTCCGATATATCCGCGCGGAAGACAATCTGGGACAGCCTCAGTGGGGATCAATGGGGCTTGGTGCGTACTGTACCGGGCCTATCTGCATTTCAGTGTGCTCAGTCTTCTACAACACGGATGGTCTAGACCTACCCGAGACTAACTTGATGGGTCCCTTCCAGGGGCTCGGAAAGGGCGAACTAGGGACCAGCTACGATGGGTCATTAACATTGAGCTCGTTGACATCAATTATAGTGGAATTGAAAGCTTGTTGCTCTGGTATATTTTCCTCGCCGAGCCCATTCAATGATTTTCTGATAATCAACATAAAACATGTAATCAGACAATAGAATTGGTTTCTTCCCCGAGAAAAGTCTGACTGGAGCGATAGGGAATAAGCTAGAACAACTCATTGTCCGATATTCAATGACCAACCATGTGTAATGTGCCACGCTCCATAGCCAAAGTACCAACTGTGAGACACGATTCAAGCGCCCGATCCGACTGGCGAGCAAGATGGTTGGAGGCCTGAGGAACAGGGCACCAGCAGTTCCCGATTGGGAAAGGCGGCAGGCGGGGAGAAAAAAAGTTGGCGCGGATTTTCATTGAGCTGCGGACCATCACCAATCCTATACGCTGCACATCTACCAAAATGCCGTCCATTCACAACAGAGACAAGCCGTGGGACACGGACGATATCGACAAGTGGAAGGTATGCTAAACTCCACCAGTCCATAAAGACTACTGCTCTTGGCTAACTCGTTCTTCGCGCAATCCAGATCGAAGAATTCAAGCCCGAACACAATGTCGGCGGAAACTTCGCCGAGGAGTCCTCCTTCATGACTCTCTTCCCCAAATACCGCGAACAATACCTGAAGGAAGCATGGCCCGGTGTTACCCGATCGCTGGAGAAGATGGGAATCGCCTGCACACTCGATTTGGTGGAGGGAAGCATGACCGTCAAGACAACCCGCAAGACCTTCGACCCAGCCGCGATCCTGAAGGCACGCGATCTGATCAAGTTGCTCGCCCGAAGTGTCCCCGTTACCCAGGCCTTGAAGATTCTGCAGGATGATGTGGCCTGCGACATCATCAAGATCCGCAACCAGGTGCGGAACAAGGAGCGGTTCGTCAAGCGGCGACAGCGTATCCTTGGCCCCAACGGTTCCACACTCAAGGCTTTGGAACTCCTCACCGACACATATATTTTGGTTCAGGGTAACACAGTCTCGGTTATGGGTCCCTTCAAGGGTCTGAAGGAGGTGCGACGAATCGTCGACGACTGCATGGCGAACATCCACCCGATCTACCACATCAAGGAGCTCATGATCAAGCGCGAGCTGGCCAAGGACCCGACACTAGCGACCGAATCGTGGGACCGCTTCCTGCCGAACTTCAAGAAGCGTACTCTCTCCAAGCGCCGTGTTCCCTTCAAGGTCACCGACAAGGAGAAGAAGGTGTACACTCCCTTCCCTCCCGCGCCCGAGAAGAGCAAGGTCGATTTGCAGATCGAGTCCGGCGAGTACTTCCTCTCGAAGGAGGCCAAGGACCGCGCACACAAGGAGGAGGTTATCGAGCGCCAGCGCGTCAAGCGCGAGGAGAAGATGCGCGAGCGGGAGAAGGATTTCATTGCGCCCGAGGAGCAGACTCCTGCCGAGCTGGACGAGAAGAAAAAGAAGAAGGAAAAGAAGGAAAAGAAGGAAAAAAAGGAAAAGAGCAAGCGCAAGCGCGAGGCCGAGGCCGATGGAGAGGATGCTGCCGAGCGCAAAGAGAAGAAGAAAAAGAAGAAGAGCAAGTCCAAGGAGGTGTCTTCCGACGAGGAGTAAGATACTCGTCGGTTTTTACGTTGTTTGGAATTTGGCGCTTCTGGCAGAGCATGGGTCTGGCGTTCACCTTTACGTTTACTTTTTCTTTCTTTCCCTGTGCCTTCGACAAAGGCCTATTTACTGTAGAATGATCAATACCAAGCATTTATTTTACTTTGCCACAACGGAGATGGTATTGGTAATAGTTGAATTGTGGCTATTAGTTAATCGCTAAGAGTAAATTTGTAAGGTTAAAACCAATTGTGCCCAGAACATCACTTCAGTCCCCCCATTTCACGACTTTTGTCCACCATTCCACCACTTCAGTCCCCAACCATTCCATTCCATCGCTCCTCCACTCAAGCATCGCAAACTCGAAGAACTCCAAACATGGTTGGATATTCGCCCATCATCACCCTAATGGTGGAAGTGCAGACGAAATTTAGCAACAATGGCGAAAGCGCCACAGTCGCTACACGACATCCTTGTGCCCTTAGACAGCGCGGATGTGCTCAGTGCCGGCCAGGTTCTTGGCGGTATGCTCCTCCTGGCTAACAGTGGGCTCAATCTTGTCCACCATGCCCATCTCGTGCGCGAAGGTGTCATGGGGCTTCCACTTGGCACTGGTCGCAGGAGTGGATTCCTCGAGCATCTTATCGACCTGCTCCAGAGTGAGGCCCTTCGTCTCTGGGATGAAGAAGTAGGCGAACAGCAGGCACAGGAAGAGAGCGCTCCCCCAAACAAAGAAGACCTTCACCTTTAGGTTTCCCTCGTTGTCGTCAACCATGTATGGAGTGATAACGGCGATCACACAGTTCCAGAACCAGTTCGAGGCAGTGGCAAGAGCAATACCCTTGGCTCGGATTGGCAGAGGGTAAATCTCACCAACAACGACCCAAGCCGCGGGACCCCAGGTGGTCGCAAAGGCAGCGATGTAGAAACAAGTAAAAACGATGAGACAGGTACTCCTGTAGATAGAATACATAATCATTGGTTAATTGATCACAGGCAAAGGTGTAATTCAACTTACGCAGCCTGGCTTCCCTCCTTTGTAACACCAATGATAGCAACGAGGAACTCGCAAACACACATCGCAGCTGCACCATAAAGGAGCAGAATGCGGCGACCAAGCTTTTCAATCATCCAAAAAGAGGCTGGAGTAGTAACCACATTGACAACGTTCATGATGGTCGAGATAAGGAAGGCATTCTTTATACCGACGGACTGGAAAAAGGTGGTACCGTAGTAAACTGCAAATGTTAGATAGAACAATTCAAGGTTGGTCTCCTCCACAAGTGTACTTACAGATGAAGTTGATACCAGTCCACTGCTGGAACATCTGCAGGCAGGTTCCGGCAATCACTCGGCGCAGGTTACCACGGGGAGAAAGACCGCCCTTGAAACAATCGGCCCACGAGGTACTGGCAATCTGCTTCTCGTACTCGAAGTTGGCCTTAATTTCAGCAAGCTCGGCCCGAACAGCTGGGTTGGTTCTCGGCTGGCCTCGGACTCTCTCAAGGGAGCCAAGGGCATCTTCCATTCGGCCACAGCGAACATAGTAACGAGGCGATTCGGGGAGAAGGAAAAGTCCTGCGGCGAGGATTGCAGCCCAAATGAATTGCAAGCCAATCGGAATCCGATACGAAGAACGAGAATCCAAATCTTTGCAGCCCTGGTCGACGCCAGATGCCACGAGCAAGCCGATGGTAATAGCCCACTGGTAGGCAGATACCAGCAGACCACGCACCTTACGAGGACTAATCTCGGAGACATACAGAATGACTGTAGCGGAGACACCACCAACACCCAGACCAGCAACGAAACGACCTGCAACAAGACCACCGACGGTGACAGTAGCAACCTGAACCGCAACACCAATAGCGAAGATCAGGCAGGAAAGCATGATAGTGAGGCGACGACCAATGTTCTCAGAAACCGCACCACCAAGCAGAGCGCCAATGAAGGTACCAGCAGACAAGATCGAGGTAATGAGGGACTTGCGAGAGCTGGCGATCAGGAAACCGCTGGGATTCTCATCAGTCTTGGGAACAGGATGACCGAAGTGCTCCTTCACGTAGTCCATGCCAAGGACACCAGAGATGTAACCAGAGTCGTAACCGTAAAGGATGCCTGTGAAGTGAGAGAAGGGTCAGCCTTTGAGTCTTGTACATGTGTTGGAGATGGTGATGGAACAAACCGCCGAAGCTGGCAAAACCGCAGATCAGGTAGGCACGCCAGGTGACCGGAGCCTCGATGAGGTTGAGGTCGGCGGTGCCCACGAGGCGCTGGGAACTAGTCATGCTGAATGAGGTCCACTTTGACCCAGTGAAAGGTAAGCAGGGGAGTCACGAGTGGTGAAGCAGCTGAAGGCAGGTTGCCGAAAGGTGAAGAGGTGAAAAGAACGTTGAAGGAGGAGAAAAGGAAAAGGTGGGGAGGAAGAAGAAGAAGAAGAAGAAGTAGAAGAAGAAAGAGAAGAGAAGGCGCGAGTCAGATAAAAGAGAAGGCGTGTTTTTGGCTGCCCAATATGGAAGGTGCCGTCCAAACTGCAAATCATCTGGAAAGGCAACGGTGACACACTGGGTGCTGGCAGTTTCTGTTATTGCCACACCATGGCCGGTGGGACAAACAGGGTCAACCTTGAGATGACCAAGATGAGTCTTCAAATCAAAGGTGTTAGTACGACAATTACGCTGCTTACATGTGGGAAATATGAGATTGACCTGTCTTGTCCCAGTTGCCCTATACAGGACACTTATATTGGACCTCAAAAACCATTACCACGATGAACACCTCATAGTGGACTTGATGTCGCCATTCAACCCCGATTTCCAGCGGGTGAAACGACGCCCCATGAGGCAATCTCATCGTACAACATCACCCACATCATGGCGAAGCTCTCACAGATCTGTTTTCTCGAACAATTCGAACCCTTGAAGACTTTCAAGTACTACCACGGCTAACCACTGAAATCACACCTGGTTGAGGAAACAGGTTGCACGGGATTGGACCCGCAATGAAACCCGATGGTGATACGGTCTATATGATTGGCAAGGATATGCGTGATGCGAGTAACGGTTGGTACTGTGCAACAGAGACAGAATGAAAACTACGACAAGCCTCCTCAATATTCCCGAACAGGATCACGGAAGGATGGCATTTATGGATGGCTATCGGAAGTGGTGAGATTTTCCAAGATGATGATTGATTTGCAAAACAACTACTATACATACTATCTATTCTAGAAAACAAAAAGAATCCTCCTGATGCTATACATGAAATTCTTCACACTGGCCCACAGAGATGAAAAGCTGCAAGACAGACGAACCAAAATGGACCAAATCAAATTTGAGGTCCGCCGGTGCTGAAAGAAACCTTCGACATCACTCCCTTCAGAGCCTCTGCCGCATTCGAGGGGAGTGCCTCGACCCTCCAAGCAATATACCCGTCCGGTCGAACGAGAGCAGCTCCAGACTGTGAGACTGAGAAATGTTTCTGGAAGTCATCTCCATGAACGAGTTGCACACTGTTTCCAAAATGGACAAACTCGAGTGGAATGGATGAGCTCTCGTTGACAGTAGAGACTGCCTCGCTCCACTTATCCGATTCCGAGATCAGGGTCCATGCTCCCTGACCAAGAAGATCGAGGGTAGGAATCTTCTCCCCATTTTTCAGAACCCAGAAATGAGGCATATGGGTTCCGGGCTGACCATTCCATTCATCAGGCTTCTTCGCGCGAGGCAGACTTTTATCAGCGCCAATTATACCCTCAGAGAGATAGATCTGGCCAAACTCCATGGCATCGTCGTCGATTTTTTCTCCAGCCGGAGTGGCAGTGTCCAAATGAATTTTGTAATCGGCACGGACAAAGATCTGATCATGTCGTAGAAGTGCCACAGGACGTCGTTCAGAATCGTACGTATCTAAAAGCTTCGCCGATGCCTTGCCAGACAAAACAGCTGCGAGCTTCCATGCGAGATTTTGCACGTCGTGGATACCAGTGTTTGCGCCGTAACCGCCACGGTTAGGCGGTAAAGTGTGGGCGGCATCACCAGCGAGGAAGATTCGTCCAGATTGGAAAGTGTCGGCTACGAGAGCTGTGAGTTCCCAACGGCCAGTTGTGATGATCTCAACGGGGAAGTCAGATCTTCCAACAGCTTGATAAATGGCGGCTCGGAGAGCTTGCTCGTCGCGGTCGATTGCATCCTTGAACATCAAGGCCCATCGCCCGTCGCTGTAGGAAGCCAAGAATGCCTTAAGATCGGGCTGACCGATATCAAACTGAAAAAAACCCTTGGTCCATTGTTCGATAGGTGCACGGAACAAAACACTGCTCAAGGTCTGCATGTGTCCACGGCCGTGTCGGGGGATCTGAAGGAGTTCTCGGACGGTGCTGCGGTTCCCATCTGCTGCGATGAGGTAGGAACCACGAATCTTTTGCTCATTGCCCTCGGCATCGGTAACTGTGGCGACGACACCGTCTTGGTCCTGATCCACACGGATCAATTTCTGTTGGCGACGAATATCTGCGCCGCGTTCCAAAGCCAAAGCCTCGAGCATAGGCTCCAACTTGTCTTGCGGGATAGCCGAGGCACGTTCAACCGAGTACTCTTTCTTTGGGCCGGAAGACCGTGGATTTGGTTTCACTGGCTTTTCCACTTTTGGCTTTCTCTCCGTGTCGGACCAGGAGGACTCATCGAGCCACTTTCCAGTCAGACTTTCGACGTGAGCACGCTCGAGCTTGAAATCCTCAGGCGCGGGATCTTTATTCTCAATCCCGAGAATGCGATAAATCTCCATTGTTCGGGAAGTGAAACCAATTGCACGTGGGTGCTGCGATTTGCCAGAGTGTTTTTCGAGAACGATGGTCGGAACTTGATGTGAGGCCAAGCATAGGGCTGCAGATAAACCGACTAAGCTGGCGCCGACCACAATAACTGGGTGATTGGTCGAGGGAATCATTGTGACAGATAACTTTTTGAAATAAAGTGTTCACAAATTGATGATTATTCGTTAATGGTATTGGAATAAAAGCCGAAGAAGTAGGCTGTGGCAAGGACCTTGTATAGAAAAAGTAGGATTTTGGATCGGGGCCGAGAATTGAACACATCTCGGCGCCGAATGACCAGAGTACTGAAATGGTCTAATTCTACGCCATTTAGTAATATTGAAAGGCCCGAGAAATCGGGACTAATGGATCTGTCGGGTGCTTGAAAATACCGAAGAAAAAGAGATTATTAATGCGAAATGGTGCATGGGGGAATTGCCGAGACGTCTTGGTGAGCAAACCACCCTTGTCCTTGTTTGGCCATCATACCTTCTCCGCCACCTTTCTCAATGTTCTGAAGCTCTCTCGTCTTCTTTCTTATACACGCAGAATCAATACAATAAACTTTCATGGTATTTGAAAATTTCTGTGATGACCTAAATTCTAGTTGGTATGTTCAGGTCAACCTAGTACAGAGTCATTTACAGGCGAAAATCATTTACTAAGCGCAGTATCACTAACTATGTACAGTTCCAACACCAATCCGAACGATCATAACCTCATGTACACATTCACACCGTGGACGAAGAGGCCGAGTCCTCAAGGCGCCGCTTTTTATCTTGCAGGAACTTCTCCTGCTCTGTTTGACTCTTGCGAAGGTCAACGCCAAAGACCATGACACCAAAGCTGACAGCACTCAAGGCGAAAAGGAAGTAAAAGGGTGCCGAATTGTCGCCAGTTGGACTGGCGTCAATGATAGCGCTTGAGACGAGAGGTCCAATAAATGATGAAGTCTTGCCGATGATGCTGAAGAGACTGAAGAACAAAAATTCGTGGCCGCGGGGGGTGACTTCCGAGATCATGATTTGGGAGTAGCTGTACCAGGGGCAGATGAAGAGACCATAGAATGCTTGGTAGACCTATACAGATGGATATTTAGTTGTGATGGGTAGAATCTTGGGAGTTTTTACTCACCCAAACTTCCCACGCGTTGTGGAAGCCGAACTTGTCGGTCCAGATACCGATCATACCCCAGCCATCGAGGAGAATGATGGCGACCGCAATGGTGTTGAACATGGTCTTGGTTCCTAAGTGAAAGCGCTTCTGGACCCACCAGAATGCGTAAATTCCGACCGCCTGAAGTCATGCACAATCAGTGAAAATGAAGCGAGAAAATAGTCTTCTGCGAGAGGAGGGACTCACCTGCGCTGCGATGCCAACAATCAGAAGATATGTCAGCTGGAGAGTGTTGTATGCAACAATGCTATTCTGCAAAGTCGCAATCACGGTGACAGTAGTATTCAAGGAGTCTCCGAGCAAGAAGTAGCCTATTTGTAGGAATGAACTGTCAATCATTGTCCATTTTTTGTTTCCATGATGGTCTTACCAATGAGATAAATCAGACTCTGTTTCAACTGCCAGATCTGTTTCATAGCATCCCAAAGTTGCCATACACCAGCAATGAGAATGCCTCGCTTGCCTGGATCCTGACCAGGTCGACGCTTCTCAAGGAAGAACCAGGGCAAGGAAACAAGCAGCCAGACACCGGAAACAAAGGCAATCAGAACACTGAGACCCCAGTTGTTGTTGGCCTGGCTGGCGTTCACGTCCAATCCGAACATGATTCCCACGATGACAGCCAGGATGAAGATCTCGCCCACTGATTGAATATAGAAGGCAATGTTCGCCAAACGGCTGCGCATCATCGTATCGGCATAGTTATACTGCTCGCGCGTGATCGTTCCAGCCACGTAAGCGTCGGCCTTTTCCTTCATTTCAATCGTATTCCGTGCCAGACCTGGGAAGGCAGCGGTCCAGAAAGTCAAGGTCGTCTGGTAGGCAATGAGGCCGACAATGTAGAGTCCAACGCCAACCTGCCATTTGTCCGAAGTGTGAACTCCCAGCCAGCCAAAGCCGATAGCCCATGCGACGACAGACAACGCGATGAGAATGTTCGGTCGCCAGTTACCGAAATCAGCGAAGCTACCGATCACCAGGAACACGACTACTTGGATGGCAAAGGAAATTCCATTGGATAGCAGCACAATACTGTTGATTGAGCGCGGACGCCCGAGGAATTCCAGGATGCCATCGTATGGGGCCGCTTGATAGAGCAAATTCTGGAATGCAGTGGGTGCAAAGTCTAGCGAATGGAGTTTCATTGATTAGCGATTTATTTTGGGAATCAGAATAGCGATGATAAAGATTACTCACTGAATAATGATAGCCCGTTGTTGCCAATGTAGTAGCTGTCGAGTCCTGGTGTTTAGTTACCGTTGCATCTCGCTCAATGATCGCACGCACGCATAATAAGCCCAGATCTCATTCCGGGTCGTGCGATAATTTTCATCGAACTGATCTGGAGCAATCGGCTGCTCAGTCTTGTCGAGAACCTCGATCTGCGGCGCTTCACCCTGTGGGCCATTATCCACCTCCACGGTGGAGAGCTCGGTATCCTTCAGATGATCCATGACTCGTTCCCGGTCGCACGAACGAGTTTCAAAGGAGGTCTGAAGGAAAAAAGAGAAGAAATTCGAAAAAAAACCCCTCGTTACCAAGAAAATGTCGCTTTAATTTGAACGACGCGGTCCAGCCGTCTTTGCCCCGCGTGCTAACCTCCTCGATGACACACGGACCAGTGGCATTGGAATGATGGTGGCGATCGTGCGATAGCAATCTGGATTCTCTGCACGCTACGACCGCGATTGGCCTAGTTGGAGCGGTGCGACCGAGGGTCACCTATCAGAGCCAAGACCGAGTCGGAACGTGCGTAGAAATCCATTCGAAACTGACCAGTAGCTGTTTGCAATTTTTTGACAATTCCCCCTGAAGACCTCTCAGCAAGGAAAAGCACTCATTTGGCACTCTGGTCGTGATTTTATTTGCAGGGCATGAGGTGGCAGCACTTGGCGCGTCAACTGGCAACTGGACCCCGGCAGTTCGCCCACTCGCCGGGGTTGTCCTTCCTAAGCCAAGCTGGCCAAGCTGGCCAAGCAAGATGTTAAGCAAGCTTGGCTAATTCTCGTGGCTTTGGTATTGACTCCCTTAGATCTTCCAACTATCAATCACAAATCCGAATATATGTAGCATAGGAATAATGCCCAATAGCCATCCGTGACAGCCGTTGGAACCTCGCAGGAACTAGGAGCCTTCAAACAATGAAATGTCAGCCGAAAAATAGGACCTCAAGGAGTGACCAATCGTGTGAGACTGACAAGGCCTCGACGCGTCATTTTATTGGATCATAACCAGAGTCTCAGATGCTATACGACCAAGGGTTCTTTCAGAAACATCGCCCTATCTATTATGTTAACCTCACGCCTCCTGGGCCATGATCTGGTCAACATTTCTCCATTCGAGTATTTATCTTCTTAGTCTACGTTAAGTCGTTCAATGTTCATCCTGTCATGAGTTTTGACGATGTCGCATGGGTAAAGAGCGAGCAAATTGTCGACAACTGGATCTACCAGTTTTACAGGCCTGAGATTGGAGGCGCAGCTGCTCAAACCCTACTAGACCTGTGGATTTTACAGTGATTGGTAAGGGTGGTTACAATATCTCCTTCCGAATGGAGTTCGAAGATGCTCCAGCGGCGGTGATACGCTACCCTCTGCCTGCGACCCTTCGATTTCCCAATGAGAAGATCTGGAATGAGGTCGCTGTCATGAGCTATCTCAGAGAACACACTTCAATCCCGGTTCCGCGGGTATTCCATCGAGGAAGAGCAGAAGAAAGTCAACTGTCAATGAGACCATTCATCATAATGGAGTATGCCAGACATGACTCCACGATGTATGCCTCGTTGAACACGCCCGGACGCCCGACAAATCTACGCGGAATCCTCGATCCTGGTATCGCAGAGGAGAAATTGGAGATGCTGTATCGTCAGCTCGCAGACATTCTTCGGGAGCTTCCCATGCTGACTTTTTCTCGAACAGGGTCGCTTCATCAAAAGGACGAGTCGAGGTGGGAAGTGGCATACCGACCCCTGACACTCAACATGGAGCAAATGGTTGTTACAGGAACTTTGCCTCCAACACATTTGCCGGATCCAGATGCGACTTTCGCAACTTCAGCTTCATATTTACAGTCTGTCGCAGAATCATTCGTCCAACATCTCCATCACCAGAGAAACAACGCGATCGAGTCTGCGGACGACTGTCGGCGAAAGTTTGTAGCCAGACGGATGTTCCCCAAACTCGCAACAGAGAGGAGATTAACAAAATCCCTCTCTTCAAAATGGCCCATTTAGACTATGGTGTGATAACCTAAGACCTGCCAACGTGATCATGGATCAGGAGGACCATATCGTTGGTGTGTTGGATTGGGAGTTTAGTTACGCAGCCCCGGTCTCCACCGTAGTGGCTTCCCATTGAAAAGCCCGAGTACTGGCCCGAACGTCTCGACGACTGGAAGAGTGTGTACGGACATCGCTTGAAGATGTTCCTTCAAGGACTGATCAATTGTGAAGATGCCGCGATCGAAAGAGGAGAGATCAGCGAGGGACAACGGCTCTCTGGTCCCATGAAGGACAGCTGGGAGAGCGGAGATCTTTGGTCCGACAAATGACCCCGAAAATGACTGGAAGGAGAGACTTGCCCTGTTGAGCGACGACGATCATGCTGAGATGGAGAAACTTGTGATCCGGAAGCTTGGAGAGATGAAAAACAGAGAGCTTGCATGGGACTGCGACGAGTACACTCGCTTTCTTTCCGATGCTATGAAAAATGATCATGAGTGCAACGTGAGTGAGGTTACGAATGACCCATCCGAGCATTCACTTGAATCAGCCCATTCGATGGCCATGTTCCAAGGTATCCTCGATTTCGCGGCCAAGAAGAACACCACAGCTGCGACTGGAACCACAAGGACTTAGGAGAAGTTCAATATGGAGGGCCCTCACGCAGATGAGCGTGAGACTAAAGATATTCACATCGCGAACGTTGCGCTGAAAGACTCGGAGGGTGGATCGGAGACGTGGGTTCTATCTGATAAACTGGGCGAATGCAAACTGGTAGCCTAGTAGCTATGATCAGGTCAGGGAAAGCTGTCCAGTCCATTGACGAAAAAAACAAGTCAGATCCATGTCCAAAATCAGAATGAGCCAGCAGTGGAGATCACAACATGACGTCATTGTCCCCCTTTTGGACTGGTTGTGCAATCCTCCATCATAAGCAACAGTGGTGCATCTCCTTCAACTTCAGTACTGCACCCCAGCACATTGCTTATCATCTCGGGTAGGACGGAAGATGAACACTCGACAGTTCTATGAGGCCCACTGCCAGAACCTTTGTCGTTGGATGAGCCGCTGCGAGTGCCTGTTAGGGCGAAGCACAATGGGTTCCGACCGGGTCGTCCACGGTTCAATCAGTAACACGCGTTGAGCAGCTGGTGGGTCAGGACAGGAACTAACCACCCAGCGGCAAATTCTTATTGCCTGGGAACCGGCTCCCTCGCCGCAGATTTGTCGACAAGAGCAGGATTGTCGCGATGATCGAAGAGCTATTGCGTAAGTTGGCACCTTCGCAGATGCTGGCGAGGGTGTTTCTCCACTGGTGTTGAGGAGGAACAGGAGGGAGGTTGACTGCTCGTATATTTTGGTTTAACTTCTATCATTGCACTCAATTGACTTCTCTTCTTTCCTCTCGGCCACACCTTCATCTCCACTTTTCTTTACGTTCTCCTATCACGTTTTGTGAATTTCTCATAGACGTGTTGATCCTCTCGGATCCCCCGGGCTCTCTTATCTTGGCAACTTGGCATTTGTTTTATAGACCGTTGAGATTGAAGTCGTCGATCAGAGGTCTGTTCGAGGCTATCGACTGCAATCATGGATGAAGAGAACCCAAGACGGCCGAGAGCTGTGGTGAGTCAAGCAGAATTTCCGTTCGAAAGAGCACTGGCCTTCTAATCATATCGTTCATCAGTCTGGAGCCAGAAGCGAAGGTCCTATCTCACCAACTAGGGTCTCCCGAGGATCTCGAGGAGTCGACGACGATGTTGCCGTCTCCCCTACTAGAGTATTCTCGACCGTCGAAGAAGGTACCTCTAGCTCTGGCATCCGAAGACGCAGCTCAGCAGCGAGACGAAGTGGCAGTGGAGTGCCGAGTCTGACCCCTCGAACTACTCTCGCAGATCGGACACAGGGGAAATTCACTCTAGCTGGCCCAGATGAGACTCCGCAAATGCGGCTCTCTCATGAGCCCTTCGTGCAACCTGGGTATGCCGATTTGAACCCATCCTATGAGCAGGCAAACAATGCCAAACCCGTGTGGAGTTTGGCCAAGCCGCTGCCTCGTGTTGTGCGGCCAGGCATGGTGCCCACCAAGGATGAATTGCTCCAGAATCTTGCCAATGCGCAGTTGCCTGCCGAGAACTCGCAGCGACTCGGCTTGGATGTGGACCCCAATGACCTTGAACAGGGTCGGATTGATAAGACTGCCGACCCGCGGAAGATGGCGGCGCAGGTTGAAGATGCGCGTTTGCAACGTGAGAACGCATTCATGAACAAGATTCTGAGTGGGGAGACGGGATCAATTAGACAAGGATCACGTTTGTCTCGCACTTCTTCGACTCGGTTGAGACGACCCTCAAACAGGGAGGAGCAGCTCTCGACTGTTGAGGAAGCAGGATCGCAAGCAACAGATGAATCACCAAGGAGACAGCCAGAGTACCTTAGCGATGACCCATTGCGAACGGTGCCTGAGGAGCCAGAACTACACACAGATGATGAACCGGACACCAAATTTGAGATCCCCGCTCTTGATGAAGCGACCTGCCCAGAGGACCTACACCCGTTGATCCAAGATCTGGTCGAAGACGAAGTACACAACAACCACACAACATGGTCAGTCATTCGAACGCATCATCGCGAAGCTCTAGCGGAGGCCCTTGCTGCCTATGTCCAGCTCACCATTGGCTTCTGTGCAGACCTGTCGGTCACGGTGGCAAACGCGGGAAACCCCAACACAACCGCCTGGGCCTGGGGCTTCGCTACCATGATCGGTATCTATATCTCTGGTGGTGTCTCTGGTGCTCATCTCAATCCAGCAATTACCACAATGCTCTGGTTTTATCGTGGTTTCCCCAAGCGCAAAATGCCCGAGTATTTTGCAGCCCAGTTCATTGCCGCCTTCTGTGCTGGCCTAACAGCATATGGGCTTTACTACCACTCGATCGACTACTACATCAGCACAAATACCGACTCCGCAATCATCAATAGTTTCGTCACCAACCAGCGGGAAAATTGGATTGGCCCTGCGACAGCATTCTTCACCGAGTTCCTAGGAACATGCTTCCTCGCCGTGACAGTACTTGCTCTGGGTGACGACCAAAATGCTCCACCGGGTGCGGGCATGAACTCCTTGATCATCGGTCTTGTTATTACTTGTCTGTCTATGACCTTTGCCTATCAGACCGGTGCTGCTTTTAACCCCAGTCGAGACTTTGGTCCACGCCTCGCACTGCTTGCGCTGGGTTATAACAATGATCTTTTCCTGAATCCGTACTGGTTCTACGGACCCTGGGTGGGTGCAACGGCCGGCGCCTTCATGGGAGCTTTCCTGTACGATTTCATGATATTTACTGGTGGTGAATCTCCTGTCAATTACCCTCTGGAGAGAACCCAGCGTGCGATGAAGAAGAGCCGGATGAAGTGGAGGCGTCGTCTGCGTCTCGAGAAGCGCAAGCCAAGGAATGTGCCCGTTGCATGAATGGGACCTACGCATGCGAGGGCTTAGGTCATGTCTATGCGTGCATCTGTATATATTCCATCCTGCCAAACTTGGCAAGTATCACTGCATGTTATCCCGTCAGCGATCTTGCTGTATATAAGCATTATTCATTACTTCAGCGTGCATTTCCTTGCTCTTTTTAAGAGCACTACACTGTGTTGTGTCTCTCGCGAAGAGGGCGGTGTCCAAACATGATCAACCGTGAAAAGAAAAGCGACGAAGTATTCGATACTGAAAGCTAATCCGATATACTCGCGCTCAATGAAATTTTTTTGAAAGTCTCGTGTCTTTTTTGGCTGCTTATGACGTTAAAAATTTTCTGGTCTTTGTTAGCCGGGGGTCCTACAGAATCTGTGGCTCTACTTGGACGGAACGTAAGATAGAAAGGAAGCAAAGTGATTTGGAAAACGAAATATATCAATAATGTCATCAAATATCAGTGGACAGAAAGCGAAATCCATTGCGAAAACTCTCTAATAGCTAACACAGAAAATATGCAACAAGAAACAGGGACAAAAAAAACAAATAGCAAAACTAAACTTTCAAACCCGTCTTTAAACGGATGGTCGACATGATGAGCAATATATTGGAAATGCAACAAGATTCAACATAAGATACAGATGTATGTCAAGACTACCACTCCTCGTGGCTGTTGTATTCCTTCTGCGGAACGGGATGTCCTTCATTGCGGGTCTGGACGCTACCGGGCTTGTAGTTCTTCATGGTCTTAGTGTCAAGATCAAAGCAAGCTTCGTCGGTGCCGGTCTTCTCATCGCAAAGTGGCCACCACTTTCCAGTGTCCATGTCACAGAAGATACCCTCACTCTTGTTGACAAAGTCTGGACCGAGAGAGTTGGGGTGCTCGCACACTTCCTTTGCGCTGTGACCGTCAAGGTTGCTAATAACAACGTGGCCGGGCATAATGTTCTTGACTCCGGTCACATTGAAACCATGGGGATCCATGTCACGGGCGTGACGGCGCTTCTTGGTGTCGTGGATGTGGAAGTTGGTTCCATCGGGGTAGGCGCGAGTACCTCGGTCAATTCCTTCGTTGGGCTTCTTGAGAGCACCGGTGTCATCGTATTCCGGAGCATGCTTGAAGAACCGGGGGATCGAATCGGGCACCACTGGCTCAGGCTGGAAGGTCATTCGAGCAGAGTTCTGGCACAGACGTCGCTGGTCCTCCTTGTACTGATCGACCAAGCCTTGGTCTCCGGCGAAACTGGGCATATGGAGACTCAGGCCCTTGGCGATGATTCCGTTGCTATGGTCGCTATCCATCCAGACACACTTGATCGGGATGTTGGAGGTGCCGATGGTACGCTTGCTAGGGTACCATTGCGCGCCACAGGTGTAGCCCATGTCACCGGTCCAGGTCCACTGGTGTCCATTACCGCTGACGGCCAACCCGGACAGACAGATTGCGTCGGTCTCTTGCATGACCACGAGGAGGTACTCTGGTGTTGCTTGATGTCCACCATTCTGAGTCGGGGAGATGGTGAAAGACTTGGAGCCGTTGTCATCGATATGGCCATTGGCATCTCCTTTGTACTGGCCAATGCGGTTACCACCTTCATCCCAAACAGCAAGATGCGGAACACTTCCTCCGGCGTTTGGTGCAATGCCGGTGAAGAGGCTGACGCTGACTTGCTTGTCAGGGTCCTCGGGCTTGTGGCCCAGCGAGTCCGCAATGGACCAGGCAGTGATTGCCAGAGTGGCAGCGTTGATGATGGTGTTGATAGACATTGTTCAAATGATATTGAGAAAAAGATGAGAGGAATTTGAGTGAATCTTTGGATTTAAGTTGAGGATCTTGGTTGAGCGTGTTGGAATAAAGCAATCTCTGGGAATATCATGCCTTTTATATCCCGTCTCTCGATTCTACAAGTGCTCAACACTACCATGTTTAGTATCAGAGAAGCCGCAGTCCTGCTTCCGTTTGGGGCCATGCATGGACGATGTAACACATCGTGAGATTTCTTCGGCGATGCTTCAAAGCTCGTGGGGGCGTTCAGCTTCAGAATCTGCTCATCTTGTGTTGGAAAACCCACCAGCTGTGCCGGTATACCACAAGAGTTGAAGCCCCCAACCAACACAAGATATTCCTGGCGTCAAATATTGCAAAACTTTGTTAGCATGTAACTATAATAACTCCATCTGACGATGGGGGTCAAAGGGGCCAATGTTTCAGCTTCATATTTGCATCTCAAAGTTCAACCCATGAGGATGTTCGTAAGACTGTAAACGCTGAAGAAGATAATCTTGGCCCCTTTTGGGGTCCAGAGACTAACGATCTTCAGGGTCTACCTAACTTGGCCCGTGCCCAAACAGCCTCGCGTGCTCAATTTAGGAATCTTGGAGCATGCACAGCGGCAGTTAAGCCACGCTCCATGCGGGAATTTTAGACGTGGGAGGCTGTGAGCACGATTTGAGATCAGCCTGGCCCATGTATGCTTTATCATGCTAAGTGATCAAGCATGATCCGAAACTGACACGGAAGATATCTCATAGTCCCCAAAGGCCAACTCTCTAATGTGTGGGGGAGTCTGGAAATGTGAATGCCAGTGGTTGAGTAGGGCGAAGGCAGATTACTTGGGAGTATTACTACAAAATGACTATGGCGGCTAACAAACACAGGAGAACATCCCGACGCAGATGGCCAGGTATTAGGGTCTGTATAAGCACTACTAAGACTGCCAAGCCGAGAGACAAGCAAATGCCATGGAATCAAGAGAAATACGAGTTTGACAAGGATTCGGATGTAAGATCTGCTAATTCTGAGACCCTGCAGCCTTGTCGGGGGCGAATAAATAGGCCTATTAGTAACTTAAAACAACATTTTGTGGGGTTGGCTCCATTGTATGGTGATTCATGTCCCATCAAGGCTGCACAGCCCAGTACAGCTAAAATCTCACACGACTTATTCAGTGACTAATCCAAAGGGGAGAAGGTAAATCTAAGCCTCGTGGGACTCGGTCTGCCGAACATAGTGTGGCTTCAACTACACGCTTAACACTTAACACTTCTGTTCGTTGACGACGGTCGCAGATGTAAAGATTAGACAGCAAGATATTATTTGGATCTCCTGGGTCGCTTTAGCAGTAGCAGTACTCATGTTTGACGCGATTAGAAGCGTCATTTTCCCCAGGGGCCACATGTACCTGCTATAAGGTCACACGGCATGATTATTATCGAATGGCAAATTGAAAACCCAAAAAAAGGGCTCAAAAAGGGCTCAAAAAGGGGGCCATATCCAAGTGGGGATCTTCAGCGGCTGAAGGAATTCAACCAGGATAACCTGAAGACCCTTAAACTAAATGCTGACTTGGCAGCCCCCACGCGACAGGCCTGTCATTGTGTCTACTAGAGTCTGACATCCCATGTGGTAGATAGCAAGCTGCCCCCAACTTCAACTTCTACATCATGACTGGCATCGTTGACAGGGACGGCTCTGGCCGCTCTGCATAGCTCTATATCTCTCAATGACGGGTCAGTTGTTGTTCTTTTTTTACACATTATCCGTGAGCCAACCTGTAATCCGGCCCCATAGAGAGTTTTAGTTGATAGAATTCCTCTTTTGGGCTCTCTGATTTGACAAAAAGTTGGATGAAAGCGTCAAAGTCGTGCTGGTTGCCCCTGATGGTGTTGGTGTTTCATGTTTCTCACATGCCTTCGCAGTTGAATATCGTCAGACTCCATCAAGGGGCGAAATGGGACATTTCCTGATGATTGGAATAGTGTTCTATCTTTAAGACTTGGCGAAGTGAGTTAAAGTCACTATCTGGATATAAAAGGGCATTGTGCTCTACTCTAAAGTCAGAACTTTCAACCATACTTCACTGAATCAATCATTCAAGATAAACATTGTTTCCGAAAACAAATAACTCATCCGGCATCATGCAACCCAACTGGAAGTACTGTGCGCTTCTGGCTATTTTCCTGGGAAATCCCCTGGAAATCTCTGCCAGAGCAAGTATGTGTATCTGACCTCGATCAAAAGAGCTATATCACTAACTTTCTACTAGTCGATCGAAGGGACCTGGCTGCACTGCTTCCAAGATTTGAGGTTCCTGGAATTACAATCCCAAAGCCGGTTATCCCGAAGCCGATCGTACCAGACGTTCCTGGAAATGTCCCTGGACGTATTCCTGTCATCAAGCCTGAGCCCGTTCCTGTTCCCAAGCCGGAGCCGAAGCCAGGCAATCAGCCTTGCAAGAGAGTTGAAGGCTGTGTGCCAAAAGGCCCTCTGGACCCTCCTGACTTTAACATTAACCATGTTGTGACCAAAGTCGGAGACGATGGGCTGACCGTCAACGGCTTTATCCCGTGGACGACCAGGGCCACTGAAATGACCAAGACTCCCGAAGACATCGCGAAGTTCGACAAGAACCTGCGCGCCGTCACCTACCGGTTGTGGGATGAGCTTCCTCTCAAGACCAAGGCCGGTGGCAACAACGTCGTCGCCTCGATCTGGGTTCCTCAGAAGGGCATCTACTTCTCTTCCATCCCCCGTGAACAGGCTGCTGCAAAAATCCTTTCCGACAAGGGCAACGCACCAACTTGGGACTTCCAGGCTGGCGCTGGGCGAAACACCGATAGAGATCTGCATGCTGAAGATGGCGCGATTTACAACTTCGAGACTCTCAACCCTGCTGACTTTGCCGATCCGAACAAAGCCAAGGCTTGGAAGTTTCCCACCGATTCGAGAATTGCGGTTTACGGAAAGCCGAACCAGAAAATGGATGATGGATTCCTCACTCCGTGCACGTCAAAGGTGAAGGGCGATGGATACGTCCGAGACCCCACCTGCCAGGAGGTTGTGACCCGCATGAACCTCACCCCGGTTTCGAGCCCGGCCAACAATGTCGAAAAGCCGGTTTAGAGAGGGAGTTCAAGAAGACCAAGGGGTATGTCTCGGTACCTGTATATCTGCTGAGGGCTCTAGAGGAATACTTGATTTAGGAACTGATGGCCTTCGGTGGGATGCTTGCTCGATATACTCGTTTACCTGGGACTTTACTAGAATTCGCTGCCTGTTTGCTTTGTGATTTAGTGATTTGATTTGTTTGTTGTTAATGCACAGTTTGAGTACCGAATCACCTATGACAACCGTGTTTCTCCTTCATACTTCATGTAGCCAGTTGTTCTGTCCTCACAAGTCTATCAACCGGGCTGGCTGGAATACTCTATTTATATGAGTAATGACATAAAATGAGTTCGCACTTTGAGAAGAGGTAATACACTCGGCTGTATCCATTATCAATGTTTCCCTTGCTGGGCCTCCAATGCCTGCTTCAAAAGATCGGGATACCACCGCTGAGCAACATCCTGATGACTCGTAATACGAGCAATAAGAGTCCCCTCGCCAATACTGCCATTGAACATCTCATTGAAAGTAGCCTCAGCATCGGATCGTACCTTCTCATCTTTCACCAACTCTTTGATATGATCTGGGATATCGATGTGGATTTTCTCAACGCCCAAATCGAGACTCACACCTTGGAAAACCGCGAACGAGAAGCGCGGGCCGAGTGGCAGTCCATTTTTATCAAGATAATTTTCTCGGCGCAGATTCACTCGGTGCGTTGTCGCGGTGCATACTCCGCCAGTGATGGCTTCAAGGGCGCGGCCAATGTTGATTACTAGCGTTCCGGGGATGGGGTGTACTGGAAGCCAAGTTCCTGCTTTATTTTGTACTTCCAGTCCTGTGTGTGGGGTGGCTTGGTGGAGGAACGTGAGAAAGCACGAGTCCTTGTGTGGACCAACACCTTGTGTTTCTTCACCCGGATGAGCATCGACAGGCTCTGGGTACTTGATCAATTTGAACTTGTTCTGCGAAGGAACATCGAAGAAGTCATCAAAAGCATTCGGGGGCAGGTCAAGTGCCTCGGCGACGAGAGATTTGAACGAGGTTGACAACTTTTCAATGGCGTCGAGATAGCCCTCGATCGTTGGGCGGAAATTAGGTAGGGCATTTGAATCTGGCCACTTCAAAACATTAGATAAAAATGATACCGTTACATATCGTGGCTGGCTTACCTGGTTCGGTCCCCGAATATTGCGGTACAAGGGCTCTTCGGGTTCAGGAGCAGGCAGCTCGGTTGCAAACTGTTCCAGTTAGTGGACTGTGATTAAACAGAAGCAGGTTATAACTCACATCAAATTGCTCGCGGTAGTCATTCTTCAGAGCTGTTATCTCTTGACCAAGCCGGGAATAACCGAGGAAATGTTTGCTGTTGACCATCTCGATCTCCAATTTCTTATCCAATGGTAGATCGAATAGCGCAGAAGACTGCTCCGATAATGCATGGTATAGTTCGTTTGATACGCTTGTGTTCTTGAGGTAGAAGAACCCCACGTTGACGATGGCATCCCTCAGCGCTGCCAGGAATGTCGATCGCGTAGTAGGTGAGGTTATTTGCGCGTAATCCAAGACGGGAATCGTAGTGAAAGGGAGTTGAGATTGACTCTGGTCACCTTTGCCTTCTGAACGTCCAGTCTATCTATTATTAGCACTATACCTATATTTCTTTTCGCTTTTCTGGACTGGGCGTCATACCAATTTCTGAACAAACTCATGCCTGCGCTGTAGGAGCAAGCCGACATTTTGCGAAAATTCATAGTTATGGCCACCACGGGGGAGGATTGCCGAATCAACTTCTGGTGCAGACTTGAAATACGATACCAATGCATCAAATATCGATTTTCCTTGCGAAGGATCTTCGTCATCCCAAAGAATTTCATTCTCCGCCGCCAGATACTGAACTGGAACTCGAATACTAGGGAAGACAGTATCGAGCAAGTACTCGTGCAGATCTCTTGTCTGATACTCCCTGATTTCGGATTTGATGCCTGACGATTAATTAGTCTTTCCCTTGCACCCCGATTGAGAAAAGCTTACCGGGTTCGAAGACTGCCGCGACAATCTCCGGGGACAGCGCATCGATGTCCAGCCACTCCATTCTGCCCATGAATCGTTTGATGTTCTCCGGACTAGGCTCGACGATGTACCTCGGGTTTTCTGGTTCGGGGTCTGTCTCGCCGAGTAGTCCCAATGGCTTCAAGCTGGGCAAACACCCCATGGCACTGACTCCCAATATGGGCAGCCGTCCCTGCGCTTCGTGGGCGATGGATAGAACTAGAGCGCCTCCGATCGAATGGCCCACAAGGATGATCCCTGTATGACCCTTATCCTTGTGCACTTGGTCGATGAAGTCAATAAACACAGGAATCGAGTCTCGTATGGGTGTCGAGCTAGTCGGCACGGGAGTTCCGCCGTAACCAGGGCGGGAGATGTTGAGAGCGTTGTGGCCGAGCTTGTTGAACTCGTTTACTACACTTTAGAATCATGAGTGATTGTTCATTTTCATCGAAGGTTCTGAAAGTAGACGTACGAAACCACCGCGTTATCGAAGAATGCCGATGTCGCTCCCCCGCCATGTATGAGGACGATCAGTGGTAGTGCCTGTGCGCGCGAACCCCGCCTGAAAAGGCCGAAGAAACTGAGGCCATTCTTTTCGAATTCGATCTTTTCGTCCGCCATCTTGTTTTGTTGCAGACTCGATGCGATTGCTGAGGGGTAGGTGAGGAGTCACAAACCGCGGAGAGGGGTATTGGTCCGTTATCTTCGGTCATCCCAGCCGAACCTGATGGTGCCATCCGCGAGCCTCGGATCGCGAGATAGGTGGATCAAATAGCCTCATTCAAAATGTGGATAGAATGGAGGTTCGTATTGTATCGATATTTAAGAAATTAGTGTGGTTTCAAATTCGATTTAATTGTTAATTCCTACCAGCGTAACGGCCTCCTTGTTTTCATCAGGCTCAATGGTCATAATTCGAATCGAATACAGTACAGTATTTCTAATGCGAATGAAAAGTATACATTTCTAACAATATAGAGCGCACGCAATTGTACTCGCGCAATAAGTGTTCCAGTTACATCTCGTTCAGCATCTCTATGACTTCCCTGCCATAATTAAACATCAACCTCTCTAGCCCGCACGTCCACCGGCGGATTCAACGATTTACCCGGCTCATCTTCACGCGAACCATCATCCTCAAGAACAGAATTGTCAATCACAACCCTCCCGATAACCCCCCGGGCCATATCTCTTTTCTCCAAATAAGCAATCAACCCAATAAGCGGCAAAGTCAAAGCACCTGTCACTAGACTTGCGATATACCCCTTGTGGAAATCCGGCGCATCAGTCGCGGGATAAAATATCAGTGGCCACCACGTAACAAACGCAAAGTCGAATGAATTCATGAATCCCGTCGAGATAGCGCGGAGTTGGAAGTCGTGACTTGTTACGTCGGCGAGCCACGAGTACCAGACTGCCTGGGGTGCGAACGTGGTTCCTAGTAGGTAGAATGCCACGAAGTAGCCAGCATCTGTTGGGGGGTTTGAAACAAGGATGGCGGAGCCGATGACGAATGTTAGGCCGATGGCGATGGAGACTTCCCAGCGTGATTTGAGCTTGTCGGATATGATTGCGTATAGGACGGTGCCGATGATGGCGGTTGCGTAGATGCCGGTGGGATAGTTGTTTTGCTGGATGGTTGTGTAGCCTTGTCCAGCCATCCAGTAGGCCATGACGTTGTTTTGTAACATTTGGACAGAGAGGGAATACACTTTGGAGCGATTAGTTGTAGGTCCTTTGTGGTGGAAGAAAAAGACTTACACATGAAGATGAATGGTAAGAGCCAGAATTGCCAGCTCAACAGCACTCTCTTGAATACTGTCCTGTCCCAGGACTCCTTTCGTGGGGACCCCAGACGAGTGACAGCATACTCTTTTTGCTCGGCATTGAGATACCAGGCTGCACGGTGTGCTGGTAAATCAGGGATGAAGACCCAGCCTTCGAGGTATCACAAGTCAGCCTCTCTTCTCTTTCTGATCCTGCGATTCAAACTCGAAGAACATACCGAATAGCGCAACTGGAACAGTCATCACCGACACGATAATGAAAATCCATTTCCAGGCAGGAAGACCACCCTTTCCAGCCAGTGTCTGCAGCAGTCCTGCCTGAATCCACCCACCAGCCATGCTGCCTATATGGCCAAAAACGCAGAAAACCGCCGCCCGGATACCAAGCTCAGACTTCTTATACCACGAGCCGAGAATAAACTGGGCTCCCACGCTATATACCATGTCAGTTCAGTCGATTTCACAAAAGCTTCAAGTTTGAGTGATGCGGGGATAGTACTATGCAATAGCCGAGAACCCTCCCTCGATCGCATTCAACAAAATAACCTGCCAAGCGCGTGTCATCTTGTACGTGATGAGAGTCAAGACACTCCAAGTCACATTCGCAGCAACGAAGACATATTTAGGTCGGACAATAGTCAAAAGACTGGTCCCTGGCATCTGGCATACAGCATAGACAACCAGGTACGCAGTGCTCATGTAGTTGTACTCTTTCCCCTCGAAACCAAGGGCCTCTTTCATGCCACTGATATAGGCAGTGGAATAGCTGGCTCGAGTCACACCGAAAAGGAACCATATCAAAGAAAAATAGGGAAGAAGAGTCACGTCAAGTTTAGCCAAAAGCGCACGATCTTTGGGTTCTGGGCCCCATAGCCAGATAGCAAGCCTTGTGCGAAGAGAGGCCATCTTGCACGGTTCTTTCCTTTTCAGAGGCTGTACGGTTCGACGATTCCTCTGGGGAAGGAAGCTGCTATATGGCCGTTGAGCAAGCTCTTGTAGGGCGCGGGGTCGAACTCGGAGATCTCAACGCGCGTTGCGGTTGAGGAGTATAATGATGAGGCCAGGATATGGCTGCCATACGCCATTCGCGCTAGACAGTCAAATCATCTGCTGCTGTTTTGACAATCCAATCAAGAGTGCGACCGTGAGGAACTCGTCGGTGCGTGCCTTCCAAGGTGAGTCAACGCCGACGATGGCGAGAAGTCCCTCGTAAATGATGAGATCGACAGATAAGACTGAGTCACTTACTAATGATGGCGTGAGATCCTTCGCATTGACCACAGCGGATGTCTTTTGCATCGGCGAACTTCTTGGATGTTTCCGTTCGGATATACCGTCTACCTGTCAGTCCTATGTGAATTTTAGTCAGAGTAAGCTTCTCGGAAGCTCCCGAGGTCTTCAGACAAGAAAGGTCCCAAGTTAGGCCGCCCAAAGCACAGGGCTGTTTCCAAATGTTTGTATATCAGTTCGCCCCACCATCAACTCGCGGGGTAGTGTGGAATACGCCAACGCTGAGTGGTCAACGGTGCAAGATAAAGGCCGAGGTAACTATGCCACCAGGGCCGGTGATCTACCCAGTCTCACATTACACCACAACACTACTAGGTGACGACCCCGAAAAGGGCTACTTTTGACGCTGCTTTAAGTGTTTAACCTTAGTCATCGTCCTCACGCGTGATTTGTTTCTGCCCACTATTTCCATATGCTCCCTGAGTGGTTACGGATTCCCTGAGCACTCATAGTTGCTCAGGGTCGCTGAGAGATCTGCTCACCTTTCACTCAGTTTACTTAGGTTATACAGTCAGGGATTTCGTAATACCCCCGTGATTTATATTATCCGACTATAGCCGTTAATTGTAAAGTAGGAAAGAGTTTTCTATTAGGCGCCACCTGTAGCATTGACTACCCAACCCCTGGTAGACTGAGGACGAGGTAAATGCCGCAGCAGTGTCGTCGATAAATCCCGAAAGAAACCGAAAGGCGTAGATTAAAATGACAAGTCTGCTGGGTACACGAGAATATTAGGTGTCCCTTGACTGGGTACATCCTTTGACCAATGGGACTACAGTTCAATGCATTGTAAAACTTTGTCGGTCTTGCTCATCCAATGCCGGACAAGATTTCTTAGTTTCCCTAAAGTATATATCTGCTACATGTATGGATTGCCTTTCGTCGGACCTTCATTCTCCTTCCCCTTTGAAATGTGCCTGGGGACCCTACCTCAACGGCGCCGGAATCGGCAATGATATCCACTACGCCACATCGTCATTCACGTGGCGATGGGGGCGATGACCAATAGAAGCTAAACGCACATTGGAAACTCCTCTTCTTCAAACCTTCCAGAACATTTTCTGTAGCAAACCATGGAAGCATTTTGTTTCATGTTCGGTTCATCCAAGAGCCACGTTCTTTCAATTTACGGGGGGCGAACTGTAACGCCGGAATAGGTAAAGAGTGGATATTTCCTGGCATCCTCCAGGACATCGGCACTTGACTTTTCGCTACTACCAGGAACCAGGCACCAGGTACAAATTCATCCCCTTTCACACTAACCGCGTATTCTCTGCCCCATTCGGAGATTGTGTTGCCACCGAAAATACGTACGTGAAAATGCACGTTCTATGTAGGAAGGGTAATTCACAATGGAGCACCTTTGAATTGACGTGCCGGGCTTGCACCCAAATTTTTGCTCTTGATCAACACAGCGCGGCTACTAAGCGCGGCTAACACGCACACAATATGCTTGAGCTGGCCACGTATCACCTATAAATCAACTGATTCCAGCCTTACTCCCTCGCCTCGAGAATAGTGGGCTTCAGAATACCGGAGATCATAGATAGAACCACATGGGGAAGAGGCGGAAATAGTGGTGGGGAAAGGAACCATTCGACATAGGTTCACGAAAAATGTCTTGGTTTGTGGCTACACTGGAAACCACGGAACTCACTTGCTGGCTTAGGTCAGGAAGATGATGTTGGAAGTATATATTGAGTACGATCCCCTTCGAATTTCCTTTGAATTCAAAGACGACATTCTCTTCTCCACGATCCATTCATTAGTGTCACTCTCTTGATCAGTCATTCCTTCTGACTTTCTCAACGCTCATTGTACCTCGGGTTCAATAACCAAGTCAACGCTCTCTACTTCCTTTGATCTTTCAACATCATGATGTTTCAATCCACTGCTGCAGCTGGTCTGCTCCTCGCCATCGGCGCGTCTGCCCAGTCGGTCATTTCCAGTGGCCAAGGCTTTGGCACTTATTACTACGACATCGACCAGGTCGATGCCTGTGGTACCACCTTTGAGTATCAGAATCAAGGTGGAGTCATGTGCAGCTCTGAAACACTGCTCTCTCTTAACCAGATGGACACCAACTACATTGTTGCCATGAACAACACTCAACTGGGTGCCGATCCATCCCTCTACTGCGGCAAGAGGGTTGTTGTCTCCGTCAATGGACAGCAGTCCGACCTGCAACTCTTCATCGGAGACGGCTGTCAGCGCTGTGGCACCGGCTCCTCCTCCAGTGATACTTGGAATGCAGAGGGTGCTCCAGGCCTCGATTTCAGCTACTCAGTCCTCGACCAGTTGTCCGGAGGTAGCGCCTGTAACGATGGCCACATGTCCATTTCATGGGAAATCCTGGACGAGACCATCTACAATTTTGATGGCAGCTCTTCAGGATTTGTCTCCAGATCTAGCAGTTCTGACACAGCCACTGTGCAGTCCTCGGCTCAGTCTGCAACCCCGACAACGATGAGAACCAGCGCATCCACTGCCCAGTCTACTGCTTCATCTTCGACCTGCTCAGACAATGCATGGCAGTGCAACGGTAATGTGCTTGAGCAGTGCATCGGCACTACATGGACCCCCCGCGTTACGTGCGCTGCCGGTGCCAGCTGCCAGGGCGGTTCCAACCCATACTGCATTTAAGGTATGGGATTCACTTCTAGTCCCTTGATGGGACACCAATCAGGATTGGTTATTTTCTTCGTTTGTTTCTGAAGCTTCTTTGTTGGCCAAGGTGACTAGAGCAAGTACTTGTCAACATTGGTCCTCAACTTGTTCTCTTCCTGGGATTTCACTTTAAAGCTGTCTTGTGTCTTGTATATAAAACGATGAAATTGAACTATATATACAAGTACTTCACGATATTCCCTTCCGAATATCTTAGATTATCACGAGTAAAAGAAAGGTAAAAGTACTTCCACATTCAGATTACACCTCAACGCTAGGTAACGGTAAATTTGGCGCCGGAATCGGCTACGCTTGACGCCATTTCAAGCATCCTTGTTACCGAAATTTTAGCCGGCGAGCTCACAATACTCACACGTGATCTATTTCAGGCCACTAATTCCGTACGCTCCCCGAATATCACGAATTGCTCCCTGAGCACTCAGAATTGCTTAGGGATCTGTTCACCCTTCACGTAGGGGGCTCAGGGTAGACAATCAGGGATGTCACTATATCTCGTTTCTTATGTTATCCGATTAAAACCGCTAATTGTAAAATCAGATAGATTCTTTTATTAGCCGCTAGACCTACTCAAGTCCGCTTTTTTGTACTTAAAGAGATCTTGCCCTCGTTAGCTATAGCTCCTACTTAGTATGGTTCGTCTAAGGGTTATTAAGCGCTTTATCTCTTTAGTCTATTGGAGTTTTTAGCGTTAGTTTTTACCGCTTCTTTTCGTTCTTTTACTTTTCCGTGACGTTCGTTCCCTAACGAGACTAATTGCGAATCCGGACCTAGCCGCGCTAGCTGAGACCTCGCTTTCTAGAAGACTGGACCTTAAGCCCTAAATAACTATGTACGAACTAATTAGCTTCTAGCCTATCCTCTTCCGCTCTAATCAGCCGAATAATGATGCTTCCTCGTCCACCACGGTTATAGATCCTTTGAGTTTATCAAGTTTCATTATGAAGCATAGCTTATAGGCCACCTCACTTTAAGTCCTCTCGCGTCTATACTATTTATGATATATGATATTATATTACAGATAGTTAGAAAGCCCCTATGTATATCTAGCTTCATACTACTCTACTAGCTAATAGCAAAACCCGAACGCGATTTAGGATAACCCTAATATTTATTAGTATAGCTTAAGCCCTAGACTAAGGCTAGCTTCCTCGACGCCCTGTTTTATACATAAGCAGTCTATGTATTTCCTCTAGCCCCTGATTTCCTATCCTATTAATATTATCCACCTTTTTCATGACTCTCTTTCTAGCCTCTCCCTTTTCTTGACAAATATTTTAACACTACCTACTTCCTCAAGGGCTGAATCGTTAGGTGAGTGGGATGCCGGACTCCGTCATTCTATCGCCCCCGAACGGCTGCCTGGTTTTGTGTCCCACCCCGTTTCCGCCCCGGGACATGGTGGCCGCCTTCTTGCACCGCTGGCTTTGGTGCTGTGTCTGGCCGCCTCTACCACCACACCAGTAGGAACACTTTAATAGTCTATTAACGATAATGTTAACAAAGTTACGAAGTCTCTTAGGGATATTACTAAAAGTCAAATTGAGGAATTAGCGTACTGGCGAGCACTAGAACTGTCCAATCGAGAAGATGATTGACTAATGCCCAGTCAAAGAGCTAGGATCGAGTTTCGTCTGATTGCAAGACTAATAGGTTGGGATCGAGTACAGCAATCACGTCCCAAAGGGGGCTAGCTAGTGGTATCTGAGCACTTTTCAGTTCGACGCTACACTCTAGCACTCTAGCACTCTAGCTTAGTTGAAAAATAAGCATTAATGGGTGGATTAACCCGACTAGTTGCCTCAATCGTTGTCATCAGTTTCCCATGAATTATCACTTGCAGCATGCGAGCGAAGGTTTGTAAAGTCTGGGTCCTGCAAAGCCCGCTGCATAATCAAATCGAAAAGCCCTGGCATTCGGTCCATTCCTGGAACCCCTGCTCCTAGTGGATACTCTTCATAATCTTCATAATCAAGGTCGGAGTCGTCGTATTCATCAAAGTCAGGGATTTTGTACGGCAGGATCTGAAAATCCACTTTGGTTCCTTTGAACAGACCCTGAAGACTGAGGAAACATTGTTCCGGGGTTTTCCCTGGTGGGATACGTTGGCCAGAAAGTTTAATAGGCCTAGTGATATCGATTGCGAGTACCTTGAAATCGGTAAAGTCCGGATAAAGACCGTTTTTACAATCTATCGCAATATTCTGGACTAAGTCCCGAATAGACGAGTTGCAGTCGGTGATGTGGAGCGTTTTTAGTGAGCGGGGAAATTGAGGGTGTGGTGGAAGAAGTGCATGTGGGAGGAAGATGGTCTCGAGCACCACGAAGTCGCGGAACGAGCCAATCTTGACACGACTAGAAAGATATTCCTCAGGGTTCTCGAAGTCCCATGGGTCCCGTGCGAACTCGAGGTGGAAATGCTCGAGGGTGTTCTTGTGCAGGAGAGCAGCTTCGTGAGCCTGCGCAGCGTTAAACTCGGCGGTGGCTCGCGTACTCGGGGTCCGTTGGTCGTGTGGATCCAGGCTGAAATTTTGATAGGTGAAGGATTTCAGTTTCTTGCACGCCCGCATGAATTTTCGGATAGAGCCAGCATCAATATGGCATCGATGGAAGGCTACTTGCTCCGTCATCAATGTTCCAGGCGCCCAGGTAGATGGGAATGATGCATCGAGGAGATCACCATTCTCGAACGTTGGAAATACAAGTTTGGGAAGGGTGAGGAATTCCTGGTAGGAAGCAATATTGTAGCCAGAAAATTCGTCCTCGCATTCGATCCAGAGAGACTCAAGATCGGAAAGAAATGATGGATTTCGACTAAAGAGGTGGGTGAATGGCTTCATGGAGAATTGACCTCCTGGCAGATGCAGACCACGAAGATTGGGGGTCTTGTTAACCAGTAATGCTCCAAAGACGCCAAGGTCGGATTTCTCCATCGCCGAAATCCAGGCTTCCTCCTGATCGGCCAATTGAAGATCTTGGATTGCGCCCTTGAAGAACTCGGAGTCCTCTACAGTGAGCTGCCTGGGACCACCTAGGCAGAAAGGGATAGGCAGGATAGAGATATCCTGCACAAGCTTTCCGAGGTGTGGGCACCGATAGATGGTCTTAGCAAAAGAGATGGTCTTGCTTAGATCGCCGGCCAAACCATCATCATCGAAATAGCGGAAGAGAAGAGGTTGGGCTAGCTCACGGAACCTCCGCGAAACCAGGCAGATGTTGCGTAGATTTTCATACTCATCAGCATCGTCATCGTCATATTGGTCGTCCCTTTCCAATTCGTTCGCGTTCCCTCCTTTAGCTTTCGCGCTTTGATCCGCTCTGTCGGGGAGCTTCAGAAAGGGCTCATCTTCGGGATCGGCAATAAAAGACAGAATGAGTCTCAGGAGCTCGATTGGGAGGTCCTGGATGTGGACCATGATTGGGGATGACGTCCGTACTAATTAAGACCTAGGGTGAAGGTTAGTTGGCCAGATGATTCAGGTCTGCACGCGTCGTGACGCGTGAAGTGCCAAATGTGTCATCCTGAAGAGGCAATTAGGGTTAATATACTAGGGCTTCGGTTCTAGTGTGACACTACATTAGTATTAATCAACCAAGGCGTGACGAGGTGGCAACAGTGCCGTGCCGTGCGTGGCCCTGGGTGCACACGATGCCAAGGCTGTTGCTGGTGGATTAGGAGGCTTAAACGGTGTCAAAATGCAACCGTTTCTGGCCTGCACTATCGCCCACATCTTTTATAATTTAGTGCCGTCCTTGGCCGCTTCTATCGCACTAGCGATCTGCCCTTGTTTATAGAAAGGCACCCTCCCTTCGACTGAACAACGTGTGCGAATTGTCGGGACCTCAGCTAGGTGCTACCAGAACGCTGACAAGGCTTTGTACGACACTATCCGCGAGATCGGAGATTTCGCCGATGGGTGGGAGACTACTTAAGCGGCAGCTGTAGCATCTGGCCCATGAGCGGGCCTTCGAAGTCCATGGATGTGAAAGACGGCGAGATAGGGACCGCCGTCTGCTAGAAGTGCGTTATCATATGAAATGCCTGGTAGCAAGAGTGAGCCTTTTCGGGTAGAGGTTCATCGACGGCACTATGATTTACTAGACGCTATCTTATTGGCATGATTTTTCACAGCCCTAGGACGGGCGAGAATAACTGAAATTGAGTAGATGCGTCGTCCTGTCCGTTCTGCTTCTTTCAACCGCCTTCACCATCTAGCCGCGGTTCCTACCGCTTCATTTCGACACTCATGTCGGCCCTTCTGGGATCAGGTCGCTGATTCATAGCCGTCGTCGGACATGATAGCTCGCAAGATGAGACGGCCTTCTTCTCGATCCTCGTCTTTGAATATGCTTAACCCGTAGTCTCTGAGAAACCTGAATTCGGTTCCGTAGTGTGTTTTTACCCATGCCTTCTCGGCCAGCGTTAAGTGCTCCGAGGCAGTAGCTTGACTCTGACGAGAGGCCGGTAATGCTGCAAACCTCTGCCGCTCACTATCGGGCCAGAAGGCGTGAATCATGTATAGCCCAGACGAGCTAAATGGCGAAGGTCCCACCTTAGGCCCAACCGGGGGCCCGCTAAGTCGGACTTCCCAGAACCTAGCGCTTCTCATAGGCTTGAAGTAGGCTACGGAGCGACCATCAGTGAGGTTAGTGATGGAACCGGAGGAAGAGATTCCGGGAGAAAGTGTGACCTGGTAGTCATCCACAATGGGCTGTCCGATGATGTTGCAGAGTACTCCAGGGGCATGTAGCACCTTCTTCAAGCGAAGGATGCCGTGTGAACTCGGACCAGTCTGGGTCGGCGAGATCTTGGCAGGGAGGTTGACAGTTCCGATCCCAAGGACTTCGACCGAGTTCCCAACCATATCCGTGAAAAAGGACACGAAGGGTGTGTAATCGTCACCGAACCAACAGCGATCTTTAGCGACACTAGTTCAGTTAGGAGGATGGAACCACAAGGTCTGATAGGGCTTAGCCTACTGAAGGGAAAGTACTCACTGGACGTCAGAATTGTTAGAAAAAACCCAGGCGGGGCAAGGAAGAGAGGCTTGCTCGTTCTTCCTGGATGATGACGCCATAGCGAGGCACAGATTCCAAGTTAGCCTTCAACAGCTGGGGATAAGGAAATAGAAATTCAGCTATGTTTGTAGATACTGCGAAAGGGCGGGTCCACGCGGCGATTGCATTAGGAGTGGTGGCCGACGGGTGTGGCAGTAAATCAAGTCAACCGTGTGCACTTGCGCACGTGATGGCGAGGCGCGTCCTGGTGAGCGAAATGCTTAAAACGGCGTCAGTGGCGGCTGTTTGTGGCCTCAAATTCATCGTCTTAGCGTTAAATAGAGTAGAGTTAGTAACCGTCCTTCTAAGTCTCAAATGAAATAAGTTGTGGTGGTTGAGATATAAGACTACAAAATATCGCCTTTAGTATGGGGTTTTGGGGTGCTTCACTCGACCGGGAATTAGGTTAATGGCTAGTAATCCTAGTAGGCGAAAGGATCGAGGATACGACCCAAGCGGAACCAATCTTGGCTGCAAAGGTTGATTGATTGAAGAGAAGAAACGAATGCCATGGGGCAGGTCCAAAATACCCTATAGATGGCCAAGGTACACGGTGTTACAACAACCGTAGTGCCAATGATACCAAAATACAATACAAAACATATGGAATAAGTCACTCAGGATAACCCCTAACTATCTATGCGGTTAGTTACCGCTTCCTGCTTCGACATATCGTCTCTGGGGAGAGAAGGAGAAATTAGACTTGGAAAGCTACACTTGATTCTCCGACAAGGGAATAATTTATTTCCTTTGACTATAGTAAGCTCAAAAGTAGGAAAGAAAGATGGATTCACTACGTAACTACCCTCACCTTAGAACTACCCTCACCTTAGAGACTTCTGTTTACGGTAAGACAATTTGAGCTGTCGCAATTGCAACTGAGTTGAAGGTAATCGAAGATCTATCAGGCGCTTGCTAGTCTTTTTCAATGTAAGCTTTCTAAGATTTAATAGACGTGCCCCATAAGAAAAGCTTAAGCCCATTCAAGCCAGCCTCCTATAATCTTGCCTCAACTCAACCAAGGAGATTACCAGTGGGAAAATCTCCGTCAACAGAACCATTTTCGTGGAATCGGATCGTACGAGATGCCTCAAATTTGAGTTGCGCCAGAAGGGCTTATCAAAAATTGCAGCACAGAAGAGAGACTTTTTTTCAAAAGGTCTTCGAATATTCCACCCAGTGCGATGCTGATGTTTAGCTTGTTATACGGACAAAGAAGACCGGCTAGATTTTTACTCTGACCTCGAACACAAAAGGGTGGCCGCTCTCTGCAGAGCAGCTAGTATGTCAACCTCACTTGCTCTTTCCACCGCGTGTTGGCCGCTGACTGAGCAAATACATAAATCACCCATTACTAATTCGAAAAACGATGGATGAACTTGCAGGGCAATATAAGAAACGTGATTCTTCTATCAATAAAGACAGCATACTCGAGTGAAATAGCAGTGACAGGCAAATTATTGCAGAAAACGGCAGTGCGGACGCCCGACGGTATGATTCTGATGCATGAAGCTGAGGCCTATCGAGGGAGGATTCAGGCCAGGCAGATTGTGGGGTTATTGATCTGTACCTTTATGTCGCTACTTTAGACTCACGGTAGATCCCGAACTCTAATAGTTAAGGAGCTTGCAGAGAGCTCCACTTCGTACCCATTAGGATCATGGCGTAGGACTTGGATCACTCAACTTATCCAGAAGGATTTATAGAGGTTGGGAGCTTCCAGGGGCGTAATAAGGTCACCTAAGAGCATATTGTTAAGGATCCAGGAACAAGAGCCGGTTTATGAAAGTGAGACACATCCCAAGGAATGGCAGGCCTCTTGCTGGGAAGTTTTTTGGCTTCAATCTTGGGCTGGTGTTGACTCTGTGAAGCTGTCTACAAACGAAATGAACCGATATAATTCGTGCTTTACAATAACTTAGATTAACTCGATTTTAATACACAAGGAATGTTAGAGATTACTGAATAGGTTTCTTGGGTAAGAATAGTCGAAGAAGACCTTTTTAATCGATCTGCTTTCTAGCGCTCACTGCCCTTGCATAGATTTCATCAATCACAAATTTGTTATGTATTCGTAGAACTATGATCAATAAATATCGCCCTACGGTCATATGTTGACTCTACGAAGAATAATCTCCCGACTAGTGACGATAGACTATCAGCCAACCTCTAATAAGGAACTTTTGCCATTCTGTTATAATATAACAATATACAGTGCGCTACTCCATATATTACCTTGTGGGTCGTATCCGCTGATCACGGATACAGTGGTGTTTTTGGCCTAAGTGTATGACCATGAGGCCTAGGCATGTATCATAATAGATAGCTAAGTTCTAACGCTAGAATTTTATGTATTAATTAGAGAGGTTCGAAGGAAACGCTAGCGATATAACTAACCAAAATTCATTATTCTGTGCTCTTCTCGTAGTAAGTTATTCTCCGGGATATAGCCACTTACTTCGCAATTTTCCCCGAGGCTCGGTTGCTCTGCTAAGATAGTGGTCCGGGATTCACAATCAAGTAAAGGGCAGCTTTGTGGGGGGTTCGACGTTAGCCGCTAGAATCTTTGATGATTCAGGGTTACCATTTTAAAGGCGGGGGTTTTTTAGCCAGTTGAAGTAGGAGAAATTGAGACTAGTCTTAATAGGATGTAGGAAGGGAAACTGTAAGGAAAGGATCGTTAGGCCATTAATATATCAGACCTTGATAGCTCTTCGGTCAGGGCACTATGAATTGGAGGATAAGAAGACGCCATATCGGATCCGTAGTTAACGCAGCTCGTAGTAAGACCACCTATATAATCGAGCCGAGTTTCGGACTGTTTAATGCAGTTAAATAGAAACTCGTTCAAGCTCATAGTGGGTCGACTCAAGGAAGCGTTCCTAGAGACACAAGATCAATATTTTTGTTCAAAGTAACATTCAGGCTAAGATTATGTCTATCTTTCCGTAGCATAGCATATCTTTTCAGTCAAGGCTTCTGGCAGGTCATGAGATTATGTGAGTACGATCCTAGCCACAGGCTTTGAGAATATAAGAAAAGGGAAGTACTCGTTGTATTGTAAAGGAAGGAGTGAATGATACAGAGCATAGATAGTGAGGCGCTCAAATTCTCACACAGGCTGCGAGGCAGGTTAAGTCGACCACTAACTTAGCTAGTAGGAAAGGAGAGAGAAGTTACCATAGCTACGTGAGAGCACGTCATATCCTGGCCTTCGCTCCCAGGAACACTAGAAGAAGGCAGTAAGAAGTGCCGTTAGCGTCGGAGGACCTTATACAACGGAGAGGCGAAATGAGACCAAATGGGCCGATCAGCATGAGCATCAGGGTGAGCGATCAGGTTGCTCTGGGCGGCGGGGTGACTAGCTAATCCTACGCTCCGGGAGTCGATGCCTTCCCGAGGCGGCAGTTTTACCGTCACCTAGATTGCACAAACAAACAGACTTCACCGACACAGTTACCATTAAATATCGCAGAACCCAAGGATCAACTGTTTTGACTCAAGAAACACGGTCCCGAGTCAAAGAAAATTGTACATGCATAGTCTATGATCTATATACACAGAGACAGTCTATCGCCAGTCTTTATCTACCAAACTTCACAGCTTGGCCCTACCTCCCTCGATCTGTGACCAACTCTGGTCATTCAGTTTCTCGTACTTGGTCCCATTAAGCCAGTACAGGGTATCGCCGCCCCAGTCCTTACGGGGATCCCATCCCTTCTTAACGAGATCGCCCTTTGCTTGTTTGAAAGTCACGCCAGTGGCGACCCTGTGATGAATGTTAGAATTGATCATAGATTTGAGACGATTACAAGACTTACTTCTCGGTGATCCGAACTAGACGGGGGAATGCATAAGAGGGAACGCCTTTCTTCTTTAGCTCCTTGTACAAGTTCGAGATGAATTCGATCTCAAAGGCGGGGGAGTGCTCTTCAAGGGTGATGCCAGCAGCACCGGCTTGGCCGTCGTAACTAGAATGGTGTATTAGAGAGCTATTCCTCTTTTCACGGTGTCTTGCATACTTACCCAGCAAGCTTGACTCCATATACCACAGCATCATGAATACCCTCAATCCGGCAGATATGATCCCGAATCTCACCCGCACTAACATTCTCGCCCTTCCAGCGGAAAGTATCACCAACGCGATCTTGGAACTTAATCCAACCTGAGTGATCCTGAACAACCAGATCACCCGTGCGTTGGAAAAGATCCCCCTTCTGGAACACATCACGCAGCAACTTGCCCTCAGTAGCATCCTCATTACGCAGATACTCAGTCAACAGACCACGATCCCGCACACGACCAATCGCCTCACCCTCCTCACCCAACCTCGCACGAACACAGAATCCAGTCCCTGGATCACGGAAAGGCATCTCCGTCTCCGTATCATACTTCACAATAAAAGTGTCGTCCTCGAGGAATCGACGAATCGGACCTGAGAAGCCAACCTTGCCAGCACCCCAGGCTCCAACACCGTGATTATCGAATTTAGCGATTCCCTCTGTGGAACGATAGAACTCGCGTATCTCTGGCACACCGAATCGCTCACGGAACTTCTCCCAAATCTCGCCGCGGAGTCCGTTACCCGATGCGGCGATGCAGTTGTGGTTGCGGTCGTATGGTGACGGAGGTGTGGAGAGTAGATACCGGCACAACTCGCCGATGTACAAAATACGCGTAGCCTTTGAATCATGCACATCCTTCCAGAACTGGGAGGCTGAGAATTTACGTCTCAGGCAGAGCGTGCCGGCATTACCGACCGAATAACACAGTCCAGTAAAGAAGGCTGTGCCGTGGAAGAGGGGGAGGGATGAATATGTGCGGAGGGGGTAGTACTTGGACGGGTTCTTCGCGTCTGTTGAAAGGGGGGTAGAAGTGACCAGGGCCATCATGTTCCGGACAGCGCAGGCCTTGGGCTTTCCAGTCGTGCCGGAGGTGTAGATCAGGGCGGTCAAATCTTTGGGTGTGCGTTTGGCAGGCGCCAGTCCTGATGGTGAATATTGGTGCAAATCTGATGCTGTGATAAGTTCGACTGGTCCAGCCGAGACGCCCTTGAAGGACGAGAGGTTGAAAGCGATGTGTGGTAGATCAGCGCAAACGAATTGGGAAAGATCGGGTGTTGAGATGATGGATTTTGAGTCGGAGACGTTGAGACAGTGGATGAAAGTGTCATCTAGGGAATCGTTAGTAGTTGTTCCGAGCACTTTAGTGCTTGTAAAGAGATAATGGAAGACTTACCCCGCAGATTAGTGTTGATCATGGCGGCCACAGCACCCAACTTGGCCAGCGCATAGAGGATAATGACCATTTCAGGTGAATTAGTCGTGAAAACACCCACGAAATCACCCGCCTTGATATCTCGAGCATGAAGCAAAGCCGCCAATCGATCAACAGCTATACAAAGGCGCAATTAGTTTCGCAGAATCCACCCTAAAACCGCAAGAGACAACCTACAATCCTTGATCTGGTTGTATGACCAGGTTTGATGTTCAAACCAGAGCGCATCAGCCGCACCGTGCCCCTCCACATCAACAACTCGCTGAAGAAGTTTGTAAATAGTAGCTGACTCGCCGAGACTGCCGATACGCTCGCCCAGTCGCTTGCCAAAGGCGCGGTCATTAGAAATTGCTGTCAAATCCGTTGAGATCGCAAGCTTTGCATTCAGGTAGGCACCTGCGCCAACAGCCAGCGCCGATGCCATGGCCACGGCGGGCCCACTAGCTTCGGAGAGGATGTCCATGGTGTCCAGCTAGCAGTAGTTCGAGTTCCGTCGCAAATCGGTTGGTGACGCTCGAGGTCGAATCGCACTGTCACTTATATAGCGTTCAAGTGAGGAATTCAGAGCTCCCTTGTTGTTCTCTGACAGAGCTTCGCAGGTACAAATCAATGTGAAGACTAGGGAAATTACGAGGCTGTGGCGGTTATAAGAAAGTAATACCCCAAGGTCTATTGGTGAGCTCCAGACGGAAGTTGGTCTGGCTCGATCTGCCGTTTATTACAAGATAAGGCTGTTTAGGACAGCAAACAGGTCGATACAGCCAATTTCGCAGATTAAAGGGCCGAGGCGGAGGATCATTACGGCAGATTCCCCGTATTTTCGAGAATCTTTCCCCATCACGGGACTTAAAGACTGTCGTTCCCCGCGAGTCTGGTCCGGGCCGTTTTACGCCGGTTCGTGGGGGTTTGGCCGGTATTGAACCTGTTCTAAACAATTGACTTAGGCTTCCAACAATCGAGTTGATAATAGCATAGCTGATGCTATTCTCACTTTCCAGTGTCATCTACGTATTTCTGTTTCTTTTCATTTGTCTGACATCGGCATTTGTCCGATCTGCATGATCACCATAAGCTTCCACTGTCTTGAAATGATTGAAATTACTGTTCGTAAAATACGGCCAATCCACCAATAAGCAAGTCCTGTTCCAAGCCGAGGGCGCAGTTGTAACCAAGTGTGACGGTATCGTAGGGCCACCAGGCTGAGCCCAACGGCACTTCCACTCGGCTGACAACACCCGACTCGGCTGAACTGCGGAGTCTGTCTAACATCCTCCGTGGTCAAGTCCGCGTATTTGGAGTGACAACGGTCGGCTCGGTCCTTCGAAAGAGTAAAAAGTGAAGCTCGGCGATTATACTACACTCGTCACAAGTCTGATGAGCCGCGGTTCAATTCTCTCCCCGCGTTTCTGCCACCCCGGAGACTGATAAAAAAGTGCAGCTCCGGCCGTGGAGCGTATCTCTCTTCTACTTCTAATTTTTTGTATTCCTTTCCTTTCTTCTGTGCAGATTTGTCGATCTATCTTAGCATCAAATCTTCATAGATTTATTCGCAGTCATGTCTTCTCCTCAGCAGAGATTATCGTCCATCTCTAAGCAGTTGTCCCCTGCTGGTGTGTCGGCGGCCAAGGCTAGGGTTCTCGCGAAGAACCCCGACGATGTGGTAAGTTTTGTTCCTCGGTGGTGTTATTACGAAATCAGTCAATTAACAACATCTGCTTCAGGTCATCACATATCTCGCCCGTACGCCGCTCACCAAGGCGCGCAAGGGTGGCTTCAAGGACACCACCGTCGATAACCTCCTAATCTCCCTCCTCACCGTAAGTAACCGCCACGCATCTCCATACCCATTACAACGCAACTCTCCCCTAACACTATTCAGGCCGTCCGCGAAAACTCCAAGATCGACCCCAACCTCGTCGAGGATGTCTGCGTCGGCAACTGTCTCGCCCAAGGCTCCGCCTACATCGCCCGCTCCGCCGTCCTAGCCGCCGGCTTCCCCGTCAGCACGGCCGCCTCAGTCTCCAACCGCTTCTGCTCATCCGGCCTCCTCGCCATCCAAAACATCGCCAACCAGATCCTCGCCGGCTCCATCGACGTCGGCATCGCCGTTGGCGCCGAGAGCATGAGCACCAACGCCGACGGCGGTGCCCCCGAGATGGCCGAGCGCATCAACCAGCACCCCCTCGCCTCGCAGAACTACATGCCCATGGGCCACACGTCGGAGAACGTGGCGGCGCAGTTTGACATTACCCGTGAGCAGCATGATAAGTTCGCCGCGGGGAGTTACCAGAAGGCCGAGCATGCGCAGAAGGCGGGTTGGTTTGAGGATGAGATTGTGCCTATCAAGACGCAGATCAAGGATCCCAAGACGGGCGAGGTTAAGGATATTGTTGTGGATCGGGATGATGGTATTCGTTATGGTACTACTCCTGAGTCCCTTGGCAAGATTCGCGCTGCTTTCCCTCAGTGGCAGCCCAGTGCTACCACTGGTGGTAATGCCAGTCAGATTACTGACGGTGCTGCGGCGCTGGTTCTGATGAAGCGGTCGCAGGCGCAGAAGTTGGGTCAGCCTATTGTTGGCAAGTTCTGTGGTGCTACCGTTGCTGGGTTGGAGCCGCGTATTATGGGTATTGGGCCTTCTTTGGCCATTCCTAAGATTCTGGGCAAGTTTGGTCTGAACAAGGATGAGGTTGATGTCTTTGAGATTAACGAGGCTTTTGCTTCTATGGTTAGTTCACCGTTTGGATTGGATTTGTTATTTTTAGTCAACTAACTAGTTTTCTAGGGTGTCTACTGTGTCGGCAAGCTGGGTCTGGACGAGAAGAAGGTGAACCCTCGTGGTGGTGCTATGTAAATGAACCCAGATATGCCTCGTCGATTGAGTTATTCCATACTGACTCTGCAACAGTGCTTTCGGTCACCCCTTGGGTGCTACAGGTGCCCGCCAGGTTGTCACTGCTTTGGCTGAGCTGCGTCGCCAGGACAAGCGCGTGGCTGTGACCTCGATGTGTGTTGGAACTGTAAGTGCTTACTTTGACTATGTCCCTGATGAGTGAGACTTGATGATACTAACTTTCGCACCAGGGCATGGGTATGGCCGGCATCTTTGTTTCCGAGCACTAGAATCTCGGAAATATGCTATGAATCTCCCTTTTTTTTAATTATGTATATATCCTACTGATAAATTGCGATGTATGATTCACTTTCAATGGATGAGTCTATTTGAATGTAATAGAGTTCTGATATGTCATTTGCTCACCGGCATGATCTGGTGGCGCCCGGCGTGGGATATATCACCGGCAGACCACGCGACATGGCTTTTCCTCATAATAACCGGAAATGGCAGGACCTTTTCCCGAAATACCCTGAACCAGACCCTTAAAGGTGTGGGTCTGGTATTATATTTGGAAGAATCGAAAAGTGCTAGAATACCTAAGACAAAGATCTTGGCGTCATCATGGATGTCCTGGCTCAAGTGATCGGCCGAAGACTCGACTTCGCCCACAGTTTGAGTGCCTGAGGTATGAGGCAAGTATCCCAGGTACAGACATTCCCAAATAGGACTAGCGTGATCCGCCGAGGAAAATTACGGCAAAGTTGGCAGTCGATTGACACTCGTCAACTCGATTTTGTGAGAGATGATACGTTGGGGTCAGATCACAGAGGAGACAACTTCCTCCGTGACAAAAGCAAGCTAGGTTATGACCTCATGTCTCATGCTGTTGGGCATCTGATCACTGATGTCTGACTGTGCTCAGTTTCCTCTCCTGCAGAGTCGGGTTTAATGGCAAATGCCGAGGTTCCGGACTGCCCGGAGCAACGCAACCCAGGCGACATGCAAAATCTCGAACGCTCACCCACAAAACGGTTCATCCCAGAGTAAGGGACTGGACTGTCAGGGCTGAACCACACCAGAACCAGACCTGACCATCGAATGGACCTCGAATTCCGAGTTGGTTCAGGTTGCACTTTTCGCTGGCTCCACGGGTGCAAACTCTATTCCCATCACAACTCCAAGCCCCAATGACATGGGACCCAACGATTCCAACGATTCCAGCCAGCAAAAGGTCATACCCGGGGGATTGCGACAGGCACCAAAGTGACTAAAGTGCCACTGCAAGCCTTTTCACCGTCCAACTGTCCACCCGTCTGCCAGGGCAGCCCACTTGAAAGCCGGTTTGGGTGGTTATTGGATGCCCGAGTATTTTTGGAACATTTTTGGAACAAACTGTCCAATCGGCTGCCAGTCGGTGCAGACAAGCAAACGTGTCGCGGTCCACAATGTGTCCACTCGGTTTCTCCGGTGGCGTAGTCTAGAACTTGGATGTGTTCTCATTGTCTCTGGTCTTTGGCCCTTTTTGGGGGCCTGGCTTTTTTATTCTCCTACATATTATTACTGTACACTCTCACTTCTCACTCCTTTCTCCCTCTTTCTCTCTCACTTCAACGATTTTTCTTCTTGTGTTTCCTTGATACATTCGCTTTTATAAGGATCTTTTGATCTTTTGATCTATATTCGATACTTCCAAGCCACTCGTTGCATTCTTCATCTTCTGTTTCTCTTTCTTAGACCTCGATATACTCACACGACACATTCGTTAAATACACATCCAAAATGTTCTCCAAGCAAGCCATTGCTCTGGCTCTGTCCATTGCCGCCGTCGAGGCTGCCCACCAGGGTTTCAACTATGGTACCACCAAGACCGATGGTAGCTACAACTACGAGGCCGACTTCAAGACCGAGTTCCAGACAGCCAAGAACCTCGTCGGCACCTCCGGCTTCACCAGTGCCCGTCTGTACACCATGATTCAGGGCGGTACCACCAACGACCCTATCCAGGCTATTCCCGCTGCTATTGCCTCGGAGACCTCTCTCCTGCTCGGTCTCTGGACCTCCGGCGGCAACGTCGACAACGAGATCGCCGCCCTCGAGTCCGCCATCAACACCTATGGCGAGTCCTTCACCAAGCTGGTCGTCGGTATCTCCGTCGGCAGCGAGGATCTCTACCGTAACTCAGTCACTGGTGCCAAGAACAAGGCTGGCGTCGGTATCAACCCCGACACCCTGGTCAACTACATCAAGCAGGTCAAGTCTGCCATCTCCGGAACTTCCCTGAGCGGCGCCTCCGTCGGTCACGTCGACACCTGGGATGCCTGGACCAACGGCACCAACGCCGCCGTGATCGACGAGATCGACTGGCTCGGCTTCGACGGCTACCCCTACTACCAGACCACCATGGCCAACGGCATCGACCAGGGCAAGTCCCTCTTCGACGACGCCGTAGCCAAGACCAAGGCCGTCGCCAACGGCAAGGAGGTCTGGATCACCGAGACTGGCTGGCCCGTCAGCGGCCCCAACGAGGGCGACGCCGTTGCCTCTCTCGCCAACGCCAAGCAGTACTGGGACGAGGTTGGCTGCCCTCTCTTTGGCGAGACCAACACCTGGTGGTACATGCTCGCCGATGCCGGTTCCAGCCCCAGCTTCGGTGTCACCGGTAGCACCTCCAGCACCAACCCCCTGTTCAACCTGTCCTGCAACACCACCTCCACCTCAACCAGCTCGGCCTCCGCCTCGTCCTCTACCAGCTCTAGCACCAAGTCCGGCTCGGCCTCTTCTTCCTCCGTCAGTGGCTTCGCTACCTCCTCCCGGGCTAGCTTCGGTGTTGGCCACAACACTCACCCCGCTACCCAGACCTCCACCCCCCTGATCGTCGCCACCCAGACTGCCTCTTCTAGCTCTGGCACCTCTGCTTCCAACTCCGGCAGCTCCTCCTCCGGCTCTTCTTCCTCTGGCTCTTCCAACTCTGGTTCCGGTTCTGGTTCCGGATCTAGCAGCTCTGCCTCTGCCACCTCCACCACCAGCTTCAATTCTGCTACCCGCTCCACCGGCTCGGCCTTTGGTGCCCTTGCCGCTGCTCTGGTCCTCGCCATTGCTGTTTAAGTGCGATATTCATCTTGGGTTCTATCAGGCGTGACTGGCTGGGCGAATTGAATCTGGATAGCACCGCGATCCCGGAGCATCGTTTTTTATATTGTGGATATTCTTTTCTCACTCTCGTTTATTATCTGTATATTTTGTTATAGAATTCAACGTATCTCCGGCTTCACTTTGATCTTTCTACTATAACCGTCTCTGCTTGTATGCTACCTAGAGGATCTACGTAACTAGTCTACTCGCTCAGGTCAGGGAAATTGCCCGGCCAACCACCTGCTACTATTTTCGTCTAACCCCTAACCCCCTATTATATACTCATTATTACTTGATAATTGCACAGATCGTCTTGATGGGGTAGTATCCCTTCAAAACCCTGAATTCCACAACATTCCTAAATATATCTTCCCCCTTTTCCACAGGTAGCCTTTTATAGACCAGGACATTAATGAAACAAACATCATCCACAGACCAATTACCACCTTACCACCTCCTAGATTAGACCCACTATAGCTGCCCACAGCGCGATGGAGATCCCGTGGTCTAGAATCGGGACTTTTCGATGGTATTTCAGACGGCCGTGCGAGACATGTTTTGCGGAAGAAAGTTACGGAGAATAAGCTGTCAAACCAATGTTCGAAGAAGTAATTATATGTCGTTTTGTCGGACATGCTGTCTCATCCCTCCGAAATGGACATGTTGCTCCGCTCGTGTGCGACCTGTGTGTAAGCCACTCGGTGCAGTGTAACCCGGATTTGACGCTTTCCATCTAGAACTTTGTTTGGTTGAAGTTGCTTTTTTGGGAGATACGGGCTGATTGCTTGGAAGATAGGGGCACCTCGAGACTGATACTGTGTGCCTGGATGTCAGGCAAGTACCTGAAATTTATGACTGCGAGGTCGGGCTTGGAGGGTAAATGCTGCCCGCACTCGAGTAAATGACTCAAATATTTGTGCATGGACCTTAAAAGTTTATTTCAATATTGGATGTCATTAGATTTGTTACATTTAATACACAGTAAAATCAAAGTATCATACATCCCACAAACAAGATCTACCTCGTAGGAACCGCCTTCAACTTGACCCCCTCCTTCGTAGTCTCCAACCAAACCTCCATATTCCTCGACGTATCCTCCATCCTCTTCAACGTCGGATCCCTTCTCAAAGGCATATCCTCATCAATCGACAAATCCGAAAAAAGTAACGCCAAAGGCGACGACTTCCAAATATACTGATTCCTTGTATGCAAAATGGTAATCACCAAGAAAATCAAACTAAGAACAACCAATACACCGGGGAGAATCAGCCATGGCCATCTCACATGCACGTATGTATGATACGACAGTCCAGGCGGTGCCGTTAACTGTTGCCGAGCAGATTTGGGATCGTGCGATGAGTGAGAGGGAGGAGGATAGTGAGTTGAATACGGAGTTAGTGTCTGTGTAGTTTCCATTGGTGCCGTGGAGGGTTTCGATTGTATCCGAGGACCAGGATGGGCGGTAGCTGGCGAATAGGGAGCCTTGTTAATAAGGAGCTTAGGGAATTTGCCATTGCGAGACGGCTTAGCCAGTTCACGTTGTATGTGCAGTCTTTGCAGTGTTCGTGTGGCTAGTCATAGCGAGTTCCGTTGAATAAAAAACCGAGGGTTTGGTAAGGTGCAAATGTGCAGTTTCCTGTTGGACAGCTCATCATTGAGCTTTTGCTGCTGGGGCGTTGAGTTGGGAGAGGCCGGAATATATTGCTCCTATACTTGTGAGAGGGAGTTTGTTCATGCCTGGTCCAGCTCCCTCGCCGTAATCTGCGTAGATTGTAGTATTGCAAATTTGGATGGAAGATTGGCCTGGTGCTTTGACAGATCGCATCTTGATGGACATGACCTGTTGTACGAATGGATCCGTAGCTACTGCAAGGACCAAGACGAAGCATCCAAAGGTGACGAGATGACTATAGTAAGTTAGTAATTTGAAAATATCTATTGAAGAGAATAGACCTACTCACCGAGGCAAGAAACGAAAAAGCACAATAAATGTCCCCGCGGCTCCACGACTCGCAGCGTCAAGCAGTGCAAGGTCACTTAACCTGTTCCCACCACGGAACCATGACCATTTCAATTGCGCCAGGCATTCAGTCAAAATAAAAGCCATCGTGGCTTTCATGACTGTACTAAGCACTGAGGCCAGCGCGTTGAGCGTGATACCATAGGGCCACTCAGGCATCGGTCTTCCATCATAATGGAATAGAACCACTATAATAGCAACAAGAAACACAATCGATATGAGTCATCCCAGAATTTCGAAAGTCCAGCTCCCGCCCCAGAATGCCCGTGTCTGAGATTGCAGGAACACCTGTTCGGCAGATGACAGCGGCCGTGTTCGAGGCGCAACCGAGCTCTCCGGCCCATCATCTAGCCTTACATATGAGAGTCGATACCCGTCTTTGGGCTGCTCCATACTTTCCAATCAACTAGAAACCGCAAGGACAGGGAAAAGAACGGAGCAGGCCGATGTTAAAAAGCCAAAAAATCTTGTATGGGGGAAAATTCGCATGGTTGCACCCGACTGAGCTACTCCTCGCTTTCCTCATCGGGCCAGCAAGTGAAACTAGGGTCAAGGTCGTGGAGAAAAATCGCGACAATTTTTAGGGTCGAGGTGATCTACCCTGGTGTAGTTTAGTGCTGGGGAACGTTGTTTGGCTGTGACCCGCTGGTTCAACGGGATCGACCTATCAATATGGATGGTTGAGGGTGCAAGAGGGTGTAAGTGGGGATTTTGTAAATCCACAGATATTCTTGGGCTGTAAAAGTTTGCAAATATCCGCCTCTTGGTGATGTCGTGTGAATTCAGAAACGACATTATTCGGGGCAGGCGGGTGTGAAACACTAGAAACACCGTAAGGTTGCTAGGAATGGGAAGAGAAGTCCTGTGGAAGCTGGGCATTTTGATTTCGAGTTGCTTTGAGTATTCTTTAGGAAGATTTCTTCTGGGATTATAAACGCATGGGATACATGGACATGTATTTCCGTGTGTGGATGTCGGATTCAAGGTCATAGAATCCGTATGGGATAGGTACTGATTGGGCGGACGATATATGGCACTAGTTTACCCGGCAAAGCATCATATTCATTATCTTGTTGTCCGATAAGGTAGGATATACAACGCCTTCGAGAGGTCTGGGTTGGGTCTCATATCAACCACATTAGTGGATGCCATGTGTGGTCACTCAATTATAGATCAGATTCTATTACTATAGCAAACTGATGATCTTCATAGATGCACCATTTCCCTTGCGTTTAGCCTTTTCATCTACATACTGGAGATTATCGACAGCTCTTCATTACCCGACCGATAAAACCTGGAGCAAAGTGGGTCAGTCGCGATAAGGAAGTCTGGTTGAAGTTGACTCTGTTCGGCATTTTGACAATCTCATATATCAAATAACAGAATGAATCAAATTAGACCTATTCAAGTACACAAACAGGTTTTCAAAGTTCAAGACGCCACTGCTTCTGAAGCAAGCTGCAGGTACCAGTGATGGGGCAAGCAAGAATGAAAGTCGTGAGGGGAAGCGGACGATCCAAGCCTAAAGCGGCCAAGCCAATCACGTGGCCCCGTCGTCATCAAGTGACACCATCTTGCAGGACCAGCCTCAATCCTTAACCCCAACCTTGTCTTGGAGATTAAACGCTCTGCCTCTCTACTCGTCTTTCTCTCCGTGCCCGGGCCTTCAAGACCTAAGATCAAGTATCTAGGTCCTTAGAAGCCACCAAATACACAGATCTCCCACCAGAAACCACGACCATTGCAATCATGAAGTTCTTATCAGCCGCCGCCCTGCTTCTCGCCTCTCCTCTCGTTGCAGCGGCCTCCTTTCCAGCCCTCTTCGACCCCTCGCAGGCCCCGATCCGTGCGGAAGACGAGCGCAAGAACCCAGTTGATGGCGAAAACCCCCTAGAATTCTGTGAACCTCCATCATCTCATCTCCTCACCATCGACTCGGTCGATCTGTCGCCCAACCCTCCTCAAGCGTGAGTCAAATGGGAACCTGGACGTCTGTGTTTGTAAAGTGCTTTTATGCTAACAGTCTGTTTCTTTATTAGTGGCGAGACACTCACTATTACCGCGTCGGGTACTTTCCACGAAACCATCACCAAGGGTGCTATCGTGAACGTTGAAGTCAAGTGGGGTGTTATCACTTTGGTGAAGCAAACTATGGACTTGTGTGACCAGATTGAGAATGTTGATCTGAAGTGCCCTCTGGAGAAGGGTAGCATGGTCTTGACGAAGCAAGTCGACCTGCCCAAGCAGATTCCTCCGGTAAGTCTTCATATAAACAAGGCGTTGTGCAATTCATCATACTTAAGATACTAACTACTCATCCCACAGGGTCGCTACTCTGTGCTCGCCGATGTCTACACCAAGGATGAGAAGAAGGTCACCTGCCTCAAGGCCGACAACATCGAGTTCAAGATCAAGTTCTAATCGCTGTTCGCACCTGGGAACTATCCTCCGCTTGCATCCACACTTCTGGTGGCCTCATCTATCTATTTCACGTTGGAAATATCTCGGCCTTTGCTTGTTGAAGCCCCTCTATGCTAGTTACGCTTTTGCCTACGTCCTGTCACGACCCTAGTACATGTTTGATTTTGCCTATCACTCGACTTTTCTGCCTGTTCCAAGCCATACAGTCTATTCAGGTATCACTATGCCTCTGCCATTCATGCTGTTAACTTTGCATCTCACTGCTTGATTACCTCGAATTTAGTTCAGGGCGGGCGCTTTCGTCATGGTTCGGATAATATACATGGAATACTATTTTTATATGAATTTATACGTCGATACTTTCGTAGTTCACGAGACATAACGATGGGAGTAACATGATGTGTAACCCCCTGGTAACCCCCTGGAAGCTACAATCATCTGTACATCACATACAAAGCTCGACATAAGATATATTGAAGCCGTACTATATGCATATCTTAGGTACGTTGGGTATCTTCCCTCTAAAGCTTCTTATCACTTTCCCACAACATTCAGCTATAGTTGCAAGCTGAATGTTAGACCCCAAACGGTCAAAAAAACAAACCGGAACATTTTAGCATGAAACAGACGATATGAAAACATGATGTAGCCAGACATCTTGTGAGCTAAGCCAGGACGAAAATGAACTCCTCGGCTAGCTTACTCTCCAAACAGTCGTCGCACACGCTTAAGGACACTGTCCTTCTCGGGGTCATATGGGTGGTCTTTGCTGGGGATTTCGAGAACGGCAGGGAAGGGGTCGGCGAAGGAGTCTACGCTATGGCGGATGCGCTCGGCGATCTGTTGAGAATTTGGGTCAGAGGAAATGTACCAATGTAGCCTCAATAATTGGCGGAAGACGAACGTGTTGGTTGATCAGGAGAACGGCGATGTCCTTTCGCTCCTGCGTGAAGTTCTGGAAAGCTTGCTCGATTTGCGATGTCTCGGTCTTGGAATCGACGACTAGGAAGTTACGCTGGGCATCTGCGCCTTCGGTGACGTGCTATTAATGTAACAGATCGTGTGAGATTGGAATCGCCTCATATATGCTAGGATATAGCCTAGCTTGGGCTGTAGGCCTCGTGAGGGGTACGTACACCGATGCCAGCGAGGAGAAGACCCGTAACGGAGCTAGATACACTCGAGGTTAGTGTGGGTTCAAACCTCTTGAGTCAAGTAAATCGACACAGAGAAACTCACTCTTCATCCCCAATGACAGCGAGAAGTTGTCGGTCCTGCAGTCAAAGAAGTTAGGGCCATTATCGGAGGGGTGAGATGGTTCAATACACTAGGTGTCAAGTACCTTGTATGTCGCGGCCGACGCCATGATGACAGAACAAGTGAAGAAATAAACCGCAAAATTTGGACAGAGAGAGGCTCCGCGGTGAAACAAGAGCTAAGCTCAGTCCAGGTCAGTCGAGGCTCTGAATGTCGTTGCCCGCCGATCGCCGCAAGGTGGTTATCGCGGAGAAGCTGGCCATTACGTAAGCTGATGCAATTTTGTTTACCTTTTGAAGACGAAGGTTCATTGTTTCTCCCTTCATCATTGACAGCTTCGGTTTCACTCTGAATGTCTCTTGTTAACATCATCGCCTAGGGCAAAGCGGCTGAGGATCAGCTTCTGTTCTACGACATACACACCGGTCCTCCAACGCCATGCCTCGTCTCGTGCGCCGCCAGCCGCTCGCGGAGCGCATTTCATCCTACTTGAACCCATGGGATTTTCTGCTTTGGCTGTCAGAGTCAATCGATGGATACGACTGGGATCAACTGGAGAAGGACTGGGGTCTCACTATTGGTGTCACTCTGAATTTGGTATTCCTGATTGCGCGAGCAAATAGCCGATCGAGTGGGAGCCAAGCTATCGACGATGTGTTTGGAGACGATGATGGCATGCCATGGCTCAGTTGGTTTGTATGTGACAGAACGTCCATCCTGGTACAAATGATTGGTAGCTAACTATCGCTTCCCTCTCTTCATAGGCATTTGTCGTCGTGCACACTCTGGGATTGTTCTCCGCGTTCAATGCCGTCTATACCTTCTACCGCAAGCGATACTACCGCTTGTTTGAATCTCCTATCGACAGAGCACCTGCGACTTCTTCCGCCACTCGAGTGAAAGTCGATTCCAGCCCGATGATTGCCTCACCTTTGCGCTATCTGGCCAATGCCATGTCCTCAGAATCCGCCGAGTCGCGAGCGCATCCCGACGCGCATCGGGATGTGTGGGAAGTGGCGATGTGGGATCCTTTGCCGATCTGCGTCCGACTGTTCTGCTTGTTCAGCCCGGGCCATGTATTGGTTTATTATCTTTTCTTGCCGACCCAGATCTCCGATCCTCGCCCCAGCGTGACAATTGTGACGACCATTTTCTTGACTGTTCTCCTCTCGGTTCAAATGTCCTTCATCTCCTCGTACTACAAGCAACAAGCAAAGGATTCGATGCTCGTGCACAGAGAAGTCATGAAGGAATACGACACAAAATACGTTCACCCGCGGACTCAGCCCTTGATGAGAGATGTTGGCACCCAGTTTACAGAAAGCAGCGACCTCACCACGGCATCTGACAGCCCAAACAAGGTCGAAACCTATACGCCAACTTTTATTATCAATCGTGGATTCAAAACTAGCCCCAACCCGAACTATGTTAGTCATGTTGACCCTGAGGGCTTTTCCCCACGGCGTCCAGTGGACTCTACTCCAACCTCAAGATCAATCTTCCAAACTCAACCATCCTTGCATACGCCAGTCATCCCGCGTGATGGCTCCCCTCTAGTTCGAACTGCGAACACATCTATCCGACAGCCCCAATTCCGTCCAGGCTCAACTAGCACTGGCGACGGCGGTAGCCTCGGAGTTTACTCACATGCCAACTCCCCCTTGAGGAAATCAGCGTCGACTGCATTTGAGCGTCGCGTTCAAAATAATGGCGACTTCTTCTACAAAGAGCGAGGGACCAGCCCTCTGAAGAAGCCCTCTAGTCCACTCAAGCGAAGCAGCTTGGCAGGACCAACAGGTAGTCCAGCACCTGGACTTAGACCAAGTAACTTGGGTCCATCCAACCGCCGTGAAACTGGCAGGTTCTAAATACGAATGAATGATTGAACACTTTTTTTCTTCTTTTTGCCCAGCACCCAGCATGATACCATGATATCGTGTCGTTGTCCGGAGAATTTAGTGCATCACCTGCGTGGTCTTGCTATGCAGGTTTATCAAGACAACCTTGATTTAAAGTCTGGATGCAACGAGTACATACCTAGCCCTAATTCCAACTGATACTCGATGCAGCGTCGAACTTCGATGCTCGGTCATTATACCTCGGCCTGCCACACTTAAGAATGCGAAATCTCGTCATTGTACTGATAGCTCTGCGGTCGGAGATTCCCCGTCTCTCTTCAATTTCTCCGTGACCAAACCGCATTTTGTCTCCTGATAGCGGGTCGCGGTTTCCATGTCAGATCACTGAAATGTGCCTTCTCTTCCGACAAGGTCCAGTCGAGATTGTCGTCTGGTACCAATGATGCAATTAGTCAAAGGTAGGAGAGTTCGGGACGACTTACCGGACTGTCATACCAGATGGCGGCGGACGAGATTTTGAGGCATTCCAGCGCGGGGGCTGGCATTCTTCATCGCCGACCACATACCATTCCAGCCAACGAGACCACAGTATTCTTACTCGTTGAAACCCTCGCTCATTCTACTCTTTGGATTAATCTCGATGACCCCGCGAGATTTTTGTACGTCTTGTTTGTCTTGTCTACGCCAAAACCCAAGCATCCGAGTCCGATCGTTGCCCTCGACATCATCCCGCACGACCTACGACCTACGTTTATAACCATTGTCGCACTGGGTCTCGGTGTATCCTTCACGGAATGGGCCAGATAACGGCTCAAACCTGGCTCTAGAGTCAGAACTAAACGCCAGCAAGCCTACGGGCCAAAATGGACATCGAAAGCTGTGTCGAATCACCAGATGGACATCTCGTCAACCTCTCGCCACGGAACCAACGCCAATCAGGCCAACAAAAATACCAAGCATATCGAGCAAACTACTCTGTCACAGAATTATCAGCATCTCCCTCCTCACAGACCACCCATCGACCCAGGCCATCCGAGCTTGGAGATTCCCGAAGCTCGCCCGACAACATGTTCCACAGATCGAAAGCAACCAAGCTTCCGGTGCCTAAGACCTTGAATGAACGAGCTCGGGACCAGCGCAATCAAACGCCAAGTCCTACCGGCATATCCAAGCCGTCCTCTACCACCTTCTCTTCTGGGGGATCTGGTGGTCATTCTGGGGGTCCAGATCAGTACTGGTCTAAGCTTCGCGACAGATTTGAAAAAGATTCTCCCCTATCACACAGAGCTTCTTATGTGCGGTCAAGAGAGAGTGATCAAAATGGATCTCCAAGTCACAGCCACCCTCGTCCTCACAACAGACATTCCCGCGACGGCCAACCGATCGGTCGTGAGGGTAGTCCTAGATCAGGGATTCCGAGTCCTCATGCCAATCAGGCCAGCGGCACCCAGAAATCTCGTCGTGAATCACCTCGCAATTCTGAGAGCCAGAGAAATTGGAGGAAGAACGGAGACTCTTGGGTCAGCCTAGAGCTCAACGACACTACTCCGCACAGATCGGATAGAACAGATACCACCACCGACTCTAGCCCCCATTCGAATTCCTCAATCTCTCCAGTATCTGTCGAGGAGAGCCTGACAGACTGGGAGGACAGATTCGTGGTAAACATGCCGAGCGCAAAGGATCCCAATCCGCCGACGATGACTGCGCAGGAAATCGCTGAATACCAGAAAAGCATCGAGAAAGCACGTCGCGAGGGACGACGTACGATAGACCCAAGCCTGAGGCGTAGTCCACGCATTGGATCGCCTGCGGCAGTACAACAGCGCTCGCCTCCAACAGAGGACTCGATGGGTTCCTTCAGAGCCTATGACGGTGGTGCAACACAGCCTCCATCAGATACAGACCATCGGTCCGTCCAATCACAACAAGAGCAACAGACCACACAATCCCAACAGCCGCGATCCCAGAAGCCACAGGATTATTACAGTCCTGATGAAATAGGACAAAGCCGGATTAGCACAATTTGGGAGGAGTCGCCCACGAAGCAGCGAGAACAAAAAACATCATCACAAGCGGCAGACGGTTCTTTTTTAGGCTGCAAGGAAATCAACGGGCCAGGAACGAAGAACCCAGACGAGATTCTCCTTTTCGGATCTGGCGAAGACACCGCAAGCCTACATCCTCGACCACTCGCGCTCAATGGGAGGAAGAGGCAGAAGGGGGACAGCAAGAGCTCAGGTGGACACTCGGCCCAACGCAAATCGGGAGACAGGAGTCTGTTTCAAGAAGAGTGCGCAGAGGTTTCTCGGAATTCGAAGCATGTCCCATGCTCGAAGCGGTCGGTGGTGACACTGTGCCAGGACCCCCGTTATTTAGGGGAGCACGAGATACCGAGGATAGGCTCTCAGGGTTCGGAGAAGGAGAACTCCCGCCCTATCGAGAACGCATCTCGGTCGAGGGAGAAATTGGAGGAGACTCGTGGGGACGACGATGTGTTCATTATCACACCCACTATCACACGCACTATGATTCCCATGGCGGAGAAGAAGCACCCCGAGAAGAAGTCTTCGACTCCAAAGGCACAAGGTCTGCGACGTCCTGGGGACACTGGCCAGTCCGGCTCCGGCGAGGCAGTGAAGGCCGTACGCGCGATACCTCAGGTCGTCTCTACACCTTCAGGGCTTCGACCCGCTGCAGGACAGTTGCAGTCGAGCTCGACCGTGCCATCCGCGGGGTCATCAAGAACAACACCACCACCCAGCAGCATTCCAACACCGAAAGAGGCTCCCAGTGCTACAAACGACATGAAGGAGACGAGAGCCGCCAAAGAAATGAAGTCAAGAGAGCCCAAGGAAAGCAAGTCCTCCAAAGGCACATCCCCCGGGAGGTCGCCCCCAGGGAAGGAAAAGAACGACGTCGAGCGAAGCACAGCGTCAAGTTCTATCCGTGGGTTCATCCGTACCTCCGGGCTAGCAAGGTCAGGCGGGATCGTGAGATCTCCCACCGACAGCCTGGCTTCCATCCTTCGAAACGGCACTGAGTCTCTGCGAAATCGTGCTGAGTCTCTTCGCAACAGCCGTAAGGGCTCGCCCATCTCTCTTCCTTCGCGAGACAACTCCGACTCGTCTCGCTCTGATAAGTCTTTCAAATCGGCTAGGGATTCCCCGAGATCGACACCGCCACCATCCATGTGGCCGTCTCCAAAGAGAGAGTCTCCGGCTTCGAAGTTGTCATCTGTCGAAAGACCGCCTGCTGAGAGGAAACCTTCATTTGAGAAGTCACCTCCAAGACATTCTATGGAGAAAGCAGCGCCAATAGAGCAGCCATCAGCTATGGAGAAGTCCCCACCCTGGAAGCTGTCTCGTGCCGAGCGACTAGAGAAATTCAAGGAAGAGGCCCGTGTCCGCCGGGCTAATATGATAGCAAATGAGAAAGGGGTCGACATTGCAGGGATCGCCGAGTTGGACGGTCACCAAGTTACTGGCCGTAAGAACAAACTCCAATCCAATATCACAGACGTACACGATGTCTGTGAAGATTTGCATGAGCTGAATGCGAGAGAAAAGGACGACCATTCGAAAGACAACCTCAACCCCATCGCCTTATCGATGATCTTCGAAATTGTCGTTGTCGCTATTACGAATATGCACACACTTGTTGTGCAGGTTACGGACAGCCCCTATGCCAAATTTGTCGCCAGCAACGTTTTCAGCATGATTCGTCATTGCTACCGAGTCTCCAACCAGATTATTCATGCTGCTGCACAGTATCAGGCAACTGGTGTCTGGCCCAAGGCGAAGGACGACCAAGCAATCAGCCGCTTCTTGGTGGAGCTCCTCCAGGCTGTTGTTTATCTTGCCATCCTTGGCTTCAGTACCCTCATCGTTTACCGGGCCGCTAGCTACGCTCTTCTTGTTGCGAGTTGGTTCCTGTGGCTTGTGAGGCCATTTGCTTGGGTATTCAACTGTACAACCCGGGCTCTCATCATGTGAGGGAGCCTGGCACTTTGATACTTGTGTCTTTGGAGGCCTTGCCTTGAACAATACTTGCGTACGGTTGGCATATAAGAGTGATTGCGTTCATTATGGAGATTGGGGGAACTGGGGCGTTTCTGCTTTGATTTTTCTTGACTTTACTGCGTTTATCCTTTCGATCATTGGAATTCGAAGATGTCTTCGCGGGGTTTCCACTCGTTTATAGCATTCTGTTATTGCTACCCTATCCATCAGAACCCTGAAACATGTCCTTTTTCGCAACGACTGCCTTGGAAATAGATATCTCTCTGCCCTTTAAATCAAATTGCGCATCGGTACGTAAATTGGTCATCTTAGAGAGTTGCCTACCTCACCGGTGGCCGATAGTAGCCACCTTTGTGTAAGTAGCGGGTTTATACCTGCCTTTAGTACCTTTTTTTCAGCCTGCTTTCCCCTGAATTTCTTTGTATCTCTTTTTAAATTTCTTTCTACATGATTATAACGCTCCAGCCCCCGGATCGATCCTAGCCCCAGTCGCTTCGGTAAATTTAAGAAGGCGAGTAAATTCGTTAAAGTAGGCTTCTTCTCCGGTTCAAGTAGTCAGTCAAGGGCCACCGTGCGTAGGGTACTATGGTGTCATTAGCTTGTGCGTCCAGATATTGCTATTAATTAGCCTAAAATTTTAGGTTGCCAGGCACCTCTATAGCTAAATTCATTTACCAGGGGGTGGCACTTACGGGCCACCGCACTTCACATGCTGTAGATGTGGACCCTCTTTGTTTGCCTCTATCTTTTAAATGTCAAAGATCCCCTCCATTTCACTCTTTCTTCCACTTCTTCCAATTCTCCTGCCTGCCATCTCTCGTTGGGCAGGATCTCCCTTTTAATGATTGCCAGTTACCTCTGAATCGCCTGTATTAAGCGGGCGCCAAGTCTACCTCAACGTGTTGCCTCGATTGTGGACTAAAAGCCTACACTTCCTCTTTCCAGATGAGTCCTTATTGAAAGTATTTGTGATTTCCCGATGTGTCCTACCCGAGAGATGAAATATTCTGATTCGAGAAGTCCAGTGGGGCGAAGGTGAAATCGGGTCGGAAGGAAGAGCCACACTATCATATGTCACTGTGGACCATATGCCACCGAGCAATCAACCCTCCTCTAGTCCCGACACTTTCCTCTGGCACGCTGCCCGCTGGAAGCTATTCGAGGAGTATTTTGAGGAGGGAGAGCTCTACCTCGACAAGCTTTTCAGAGTCTGTGAGCTCCGTACACGAGAAATTCCCTACGAACGTACGCGGTCCTCGGCGCGCACATGTATACCTTCGCATCCTGGTCATTACTAACTTCATTATCATAGGACTTTCAGAGATGCCAGACTATGTGGTGCCACGCAAACCAACCGTCTCTTCGGTCATAGATGCGGCACAAGAGATTGACATGGATCTACTCCCCGATTTTGACCCAGTGCGTCTCTCTGGAAACACTGGGGACCTGAGCGGCAATACAACCTTCCCTTTCTTCTGGCATGAGAGCTGCTGGGACCTCTTTAAAGAGCACTTTGAAGACGGAGAACTCGATTTCTACAAGCTTTATCAAGTCTGTGGGCTTTGAACGCCAATATTAGACCATTCAAGTATGCGTTCCTTTTCGTTCACAAAGTTAATCTAACCTCCTGCTAATCGACTAGATTTTGTGCCAGTGTATCAGAAGCCGTTAGAGCTGGACGCCTCTTTCATCGTAGATGCTTCAATATCGAGCCTATGCCTGATCCTCACCCACTGCGTCTTTACGAAAACTCCGATTTCTTCAGTGGTCTGCCCCTCGAGATTCGTGAACTTATTGCGAGCTATCTGCCAACGAGTGATTTCTTAGCTCTGCGCGAAGCCTCTCGCTCGATGGCTCCTCTCTTCCACAGCCAACATTTCTGGCGTTCGCGGTTTTTGATCGGTCGTGAACGGGGCTATTTAAGATACCTTCTCAGAAACCGTGACGGAAAAACAGACTGGCGACTCCTGCATGACTGTACGCTCGGCCAGATCGATCAATCTCATCGTGACATATGCCAAACTCTCGTAACAAGGCTTTTGATCTACGTCAACAGTGAATCAATCAGATACGAATGCCTGAGAACAAAGACTTCTACCATGCAGCTTGAAGAAAATCTGACAAGAAAACGCGGTGGCCTTCTGTGGGATAAAGCTTTCAGCAGGTTCGGCTTTCCCGTAGGCCCGAGACCACACCGCGAGCTATCGGACACCGCATCGGACGCCGCATACATCGAAGCAACGGCATACTATACGCAAGTAGCCGCGGTATCTGCTGATTGGGTCGATCTTGGGGTTTATGCCCTATTCGATACTGAGTCTAACGATGTTACTCATATCACGGGGCTAGAGCTGATTAACAGAGAGCAACCCAACACTCTCATTGGATATGGGCTGCCCGGCGGACGAGCACGTCAAGAGATTATCGACATCCACCTCCTCACTTTCGAGGGCTTCACTGTTTCAGGAAAATCAGGCCAAATTTACGGGATCCAAGGCCTTCATGAACAAAAGAAATCTCGATGGATAGGCAAGTCTAGAGGGGCGTTCAGGCTACTATCGTTGGCTCTCCTCATATCTGTTGCATCAAAGCATACTTTCATGTAAGTCTTAAAATCTTGCCCTAGTGCTTTTGATTCCAGAACATGTTGCCTAATCAGACGGGAAAACAATAGCGGCGCAAACTCATTGACCTAGCGCTCGCCAGAGAAGATAGATTGGGCTGATTGATACTCACCTCTCACCTAACACGGATGGATGGATGTATGTCTATCACAAACAAACCCCCCCATGATTGAAAAGTCTTAGACCCAACCAAGGCAATACGACGGCATTTTTCTGGTGGTCAACACAGATGCCATCCTAATTTGAATCAGTCATGAGTTAATCGGACCTTACACTGCGTCTAGTATTATTAACAGTAGGGATAGGCTAAGTTTCTGCGGTGATTCATTTACATGACTTATTCGGAACTTGTTTCAAAGCGAAGGGACGTACTTATCTATCCGCTGGGGCTAATTTGCACGACAACTTGTGCTTTCGCATGATGGACCACCTATACTATGTTCGGATATAGTGGATAATAGGTACATCGAGCACGTCGATATCCTCATAGTATCTACTAATCCTTTTATTTTGATTGCATATTTCTTTGCTTACCTCCTGTAATGTCAGATCAGGAAGGTTCAGGATACACTTCTAATCAGCCTTGATTAGACTATCTACAGTTCAACAGGAAGTGCACAAAAGTGCCAAAGTTCCCCGTGTTGAAGGTAGGGGCAACTTGACTTTTTATTGCTCTTTCTGATCAATTTAGTCTTATGGAAGACAGGTGTAGGCACTCGCCCAGTAGAGAACTCCATCACCCCCGTGTTGAAGAAACCTTTATCCAAAACATGCGGAGCGGGAATGTCAATCGAGCCAGAGAAAAAGGTGTCCAGCATGGGGAGAACAAGACAAAAAAGTGGAGAAGGGGAAAATGAGAAAATGAGAAGCACCGCTACTTGAAGAAAGAAAATCCGGAACTTGTTGGAGCCGACAACGATGGGGTCTCGTTCTCGTCACGATCTATATCAGAAACACACAGGCAAGAAAATGAAGATGAAGAAAAATAGCTCACGGGGAAGCTGGATTATGTTGAAATTTTTGTAGGTCTTCTTCCCCTTTCAGCCTCCATTAGGGAATAGATGGCAGGCTGCCCCCAAGAACACAGGCACCGGGCTTGTGGAGGGTGGTGAGAAGCGAGGAAATGAAGAAGACTGAGCGATGAAGCGTCGGTGTTAAAGAGACGGGGTATCGGTACAGGGAATGTCGGATGTTGAAATGAGAAAACAAAAGTGAACGCTCAGGAAGAAATCGTTGAGAGGTCTTCAATCGTAACGCCATGACACATTGCAGGAGGGCCCGGAATTCGGTGTTGGATGATTCCTTTCGGGACTAAAAATCGTTGAGTATCGTTGAGATAAGGTGATGTTGAATTAGGTAGTAATCGTCGTAAGTAGTGTTGACAAGGGTTGAAAGGGTGAACTCCTTGATGGATCCAAGGATCGAGTTCAGTGAGAATGAAATGATGATGCTTTTTTAGTTTTTGGTCGCAGCTCCGTTTTGCTCTGCGGAGCCGTTGGTCTCCGGCTTGCCGGGGAGTAGCTCGACGTTGAGATCCTTGACTTCGAGGTCGTTGAACAATTCGAAGACGGCATTGTTTCGGTGGAAGTCGTTGTCGACTAGAAGATCCATTAGTTAACTGGATTAATGATATTAGAATGCGTTCTTACCAATGTTGACCAGGTACCAGTCATCCATGACCTGCTGAATCAACTTTCGACTTGGGCTTGCGGAATCGTGGCACTTGGACCAGTCTTCACCCAACCGGTAGGCCTCGTCCTTCCAGGCCAAGAAACTGATCGTTTCGACGATGGTGGGTTGAATGATTTCACGTCCGGCGAAGATACCCCAGGTCAGTGCGTTCGGGCTGTCGTGAGTGTTGGTTCGTAGCTCGCCATTCTTCCGGATGGCGTGGTATGTCAGGTCATCGTTCTTCTCGATACGAGCGGTGAGCTCATCGATCAGGGAGGGGGAACAAGGAGTTCCAGGTAGGCTTTCTGGTAGACGAAACCGTTCTTAGGACCCCATCCATAGATCGGGTGAGAGGACTTGACACCGTTGACAGCAGGTTGGGAGTTGATGGTCAAGAAACCTCTTTGGTTCAAGTTGACCAAGTGATCTTTGATGTCAAGAGCCTCGGCGCTGATTGGGCTGTCACTCCAGGGAAGTCGGTCCAACTTGCCCTCCAAGAAGCGAATGAAAATTTCGGAGAGATCCTTGATGGACTTGGGTTCGCCCCACAACTTGATGTTCTGCTCGTTGGTTCCCTTGAGCCGAACACCATACGCATCAACCTCACCAAACGCTGGCGATCGAGAATCGGTCCAGCGACCGTTCGGGTACTCGTCCCATGTTTGTGTACGGGCAACATATGAAGACTTCCGGTTGCGCCAGAAGACCGGTCGCACATCTTCGGTTCTCCGGCCCAGGGCAAGGGACGGCCGCCAAGGCAGAGCGCGCTGGATGGGGGCTTCTTCGGAGGGAGCGAGACCCAGCTCCTCCAGAACGAGTTTTGTTGCCTGCGCCAAGTTCATTGTGTAGCTAATCCAGGGTTGTCAGCACGAGCGTATGATAATTGTTAGAGGTGAAATCGAAGTGATCGGTCTGAACTTACAAGTGCAAATGGTTGAGGCCGAAAGCCATCAACTTGCGACACATGTCCGCAATCAGACGCTTGCCAATTTCTCTCACGGCGGCATCGTCGTTCTTGACAGGCTCCAGGGCTTCCATCCACTCCGGCGGTACGCGAGCCTTGGTCCAGTTTGATCGTCGAATGAAAGAAGCGTATTGCTGGATGGGCATGATACCGGGGATGATTGGCACAGTGATGCCCTTGGCTCGGCACTTCTTGACCCATTCAATGAAAAGGTCTACATCGTAGAACATCTGCGTAATGACGAAAGTGCTACCGGCATCCACTTTCTCCTTTAGATGATCGATCAAGAGATCCACATCCGAGTTATCATCGGCACCTTCCGGATAGCCTCCCACGCCAATGTCGAAGTGATTGCCGTATTTCTCGCGGATGTACTTCACCAAGTCCTTCGCATATCGGAATCCATTCTCTGTGGCCTCCCATGTCTCCTTGTCTCGAGGCGGGTCACCTCGCAGGGCCAGGATGTTGGTGCAGCCAGCCTTGTAGGCAGCCTGGAGAGCCTGGTCCACCTTCTCGAGGGGCATATCAGTGCAGGTCAGGTGCATGCATGTCTCCAAACCATAGACCGATTGAGCCACACCGACCATCTCACAGGTCAGGTCAGAGAGATGACCACCCGCGCCCCATGTAATATCGATGAATGAGGGACCCAGGCTGTGCATGCGATCCATTCGGTCATAAAGGTTCTGCACACCCTGAGCGGTCTTGGGAGGAAAGAACTCGAAGGAGATGCTGGGCTCCCCCGCAGCCTCCTTGCTCGCGAGCTTTTCTCGGATATGCATCGTGTCGCGTCAACCTACCCCGCGGTTTGTGTCAGCAGTCCTGTCTTGATTGAGGACGGTCAAAGAAGACAATGAGAATTCACTTCGTGCAAATTCTCGAAGAAATGAGTGATCCTCACCAAGACTCAATGATCGAATGAGATTGCTCGAGACCTGTGGCACCTTGGGGAGTGCTAATATGGGGCTATTATTTTGCAGCGGGGTCTTCCGATCACCGGGATTCTCGACCAGTATACTGTAGCACCCAAAAACGATAGCTTCTCACAGGCGAACGCCCAAATAGAGCAACTCGACTAAGGATTGTGAAAAAGAAAGGGGGGGTTGTTGAGGCTCCGGGGGGAGTTGAGGAAAAAAGAAAGTTGACCAAGGTGAACTCCTTTGGGAACGTTTGGCGGGGGAGGCCGGCGATCGGAGGCACGTGTTCTGCCCACGAAGGAGAGGATGACGGGCGCCAGAAGGAGAGATAGGAGCCAATTAAACTACAATTTGACTGTCTATACGAGTTTAAACCCCCTTGCAACGGTTCAATATCCCATGTAAAGGATCGTGAAGATGGCATTGGGGATGATGGCCTGGCCCTCTTGCCCCTCCTTAGGCACAAGTGGTTCTGGGGCAAATTTTCCTTTTGCGGCCGCTTATCGCCCGCGGGATTTCGACACTTTTTGACTTCAATCGTTCGCTGCTTCTTCGCTTTCACGCCTTCCCTCCCTCTCTCAATACCATTGAAGCGTTTGAATCGTCACCCACCATGTCCGCTGCCAGCATCCCTCCTCCCTCCGCCGATCAGGATTACAAGTCCAGCCTGCTGCCGCTGCTGATCTCGAACAATGTCCTCTCTTTCGGTACTTACGTGCTGAAGTCTGGTCGCGAATCGCCTTATTTCTTCACCTCCTCCCTCCTGCACACTGCGCCTCTCCTGCGCGCCACTTCTGCCGCTTACGCCAGCGTCCTCTCCGCTGAGCCTTTCGTGACTACCGCCGCCGACGGCACCACCAAGCCCAACTTCGACATTATCTTCGGCCCCGCCTACAAAGGAATTCCCATCTGCGCCGCCGTCACAAACGAGCTCGCTGTCCGTGACTCGCTCTCTGGCTCTCCCCAGGGTACTTGGGACAACGTGAGCTACTCCTTCAACCGCAAGGAGGCCAAGGCCCACGGCGAGGGTGGAAACATTGTTGGTGCCCCGCTGAAGGGCAAGCGCATTGTTATCGTCGACGATGTCATCACTGCCGGCACTGCCCTGCGGGAGGCTGTCGGCATCATTGAGAAGGAGGGTGGCATCGTCGCCGGCGTCGTGGTCCTGCTGGACCGCGAGGAGCGGGTTAGCGATTCTGAGCCCAAGAGCGCTATCGGCGTTGCTCAGCGGGACCTCGGCGGTAACATCCCCATTCGCTCGGTCATTGGCCTGCACGACTTGATTGAGAAGCTGAGCGACAAGATTGGTGCCGCTGAAATCCAGCGGCTGAAGGACTACCGGGCTCGTTACGGTGCGGAGTAAACTGGGCTGGAAATGAGAAATGATGTATGAGAACCCACAAAAGAGAGAGTAGCTATGATACCAGGATAGCCCGGAGTTACTCCAATCTATATAAGCACCAAGACCAATGGTCCAACCATTCCGTTCTTCTTCTCATACAGTAGTTTTCGAAATCAGTTATACCTGCACACTCTTGCGGCTTCTTTCCCGGAAAATAAATCCAAATACGCTAACCATCTTTAGCTTACCGCTCTGTGAGGTTGGCAAAACACCAGTAGTAATGGCCTTACATGACAGATGAGTCATCATAAAAATACCGTATTGTTCTATGAAACTACAAAGAATCTTTGAGGAGCTACAGTATGGCGGCTGGCATGACTGTATTCAAGTTTATTGCCTTCCCGTCTGTCCCACTCGCTCTTGCCCTTCGTTCTTCCCGTCTCCGACGCAGCCTCTTCTGCACCCGCCAGTCATACAGTACGTCCCGTAACTGGTGTCACCACCTATTCTCTTCGATTGTTTGTCCAACCCCAATTGTCAAGATACACTAGTATACATTGGGAACTTTTCCGGAGTACCAGGTTAGTGGGGTTTTGTATCGCGTCATACAGTCGGTAGTCAAGATAGCGACTTATCGTATATTACATGTATCATTAATACGCTTGACATCTTCATGACCCGACTAGAAGATTATTGATTGTCCCTTGGTTCGGAGATCATTGACTCAATCAGAAGTAGTCAACCCAGGATCACGCCTAGCCTAGCCACTTTGAAAAATAGATTTATTCGTGACATAATAATAGGTAGAGAATTATCTGCATCATAGATAGTAGAGGCTGTCAGCTATAGCAAGTATACTATCCTAAGGATCTCATTGAATATACAGTTATTTGGTACCAGTAGTGTCGAACAAAGGTACTGTAGGCGGCCATAAAGTATCACATCACTTATACCAGAAGTCCTTTACGATCATCTCCTCAAAAAGCTCGACTGTATTTTGATGAGGTAGCGGTGTTCCTGTAGGACAAGTTTCATGTTTAGTCAGTGAAATGTAGCATCAGCCATGCTTTTACATACAAAAACCGATCAAAGAAGACTTCCAAAGCATATAAGAGCATACCGGGGGACTTCACCGCTACCAGAAGTCTATAATTAGAGATCTAGAATGTGCCCAATTGCTCTTAAACTACAAGAGACCACTCAGGCTGGATTGTCATTGTTAGCGGCCAATAAACATTAGAATTGACATCAAGTGCTTCTCGCCACCAGAAAGGCCGAAACAAGTCAACGAATAGGTCTACGCTAAGAGGATAAAAGGTATATTAGCGGACGAGAATAGAAAATCGTAAGGAAGCGTATTCGCTAACTATCGTAATTCCTACTGACATCATAAATAAATGCCACTCCTGCATCACCACAATCAAATTACGGGAAGTGGATAGATACTTATAATAGGTGACCCCCAAATTTGTCGCGCATTAATTGCTTTCTATTTCGAACTTCTCACTTCACCTATCCCAAGTTAATTGCACCTAGCCTTCGAAAGGTTTCCCTGTTCACAAGCAAATACGCAAAATGCCTACAGGATCCTGTCTATATCACAGTCTCAGATATAAGTATCAGGGGGACCCTCTACTCAAGGCAAGAAGAACTAGCACTCCTAGTCACAGTGTTCACACTAATATAAGTATGCTACAGGCAACTTGCTTCTGCCTATCGTACCGCAAAATTAGTAGCGGAACAAACTCACTCAATTTACTCTTTCCAGAGGATAAGGTCCGTGTTATTGCTGGCTCTGCTAAGCAGTACTCACAAATCCATAAGAGTAGCATAAAACTCGAAATCACATTCTGTGGTGAATACGGATATACTATCTACAAAACGCACGAGTCTTTTCCTAAGAAGATCATTATTCTTGCGGGAACACGAGATGACCCAGAAGGCCTTAAAGAGTCGAGACCTAAGCAGGAATTATTTGTAAAGCACCGTGTTTCGTGGCTCTCAAGCTTAAACGGCGCCAATCAGAAACAGGAGTTCTAAGTTACAGGTCAGAAAAGAATACTGCGAGGGGTTATATGATAAATAATACGAACCCACAGTGTTAGTATTAACCAGGGATGTATATACTTTATACAATTTTCTCCTCTCCGGTCTACGTTTAAAGCGGTATCTTTCTACCTTCAATTTAGTAGTTAGCCAACCTAGGACGAACTCTCCTATGTAGACGGCAGATCACAGCTTTCTATTTTAAAATAACATATATATAGCCTTTAAGGACAATATAATAATTTTCTTGTTTCCGGATAAATAATTACGTAGTAAGTGTGGTAAGATTTACTAATAGGAATGTCATCATCTAACCTAATAAACTAGAGCGCGCTACAGAGTAGATGTTTTGACTAAACGAGAGTTGGCAGACTATAACATAGAATTAATTCAGTTCCTAAAGCCTAAGAAGATACTCCTCTGTCAGATTAACGCTTGCAGCTGCGGCTAGCACTCAGGCATTGTCGCACTCCCGCCTTCTCGGGATGCTCGAATCCAAGAGCCCAAAAGAAATGCAATAGAGCAAAATGACCTGATTCCCTCCGCTAGCAATGCATAAGCCACAGAATCACAAGCCCAGAAGCAAGCGACTCCATAATTCTGAATACGATCTAGGTCTAGCGAAAGGTTGATTAAGTTCTGATAATTAGTCTGGGCCAAGGATCCGAGTATCTAAAAACCGAGGGTTGGTAATTTTGTCCTAAGTTTACTGTTTTAGATCTAACTCTTACGAACATCATCGTCCTCACGGAATGATCTTAGATTAAATCACACTATAATCAATATATAGTTAGCACTGCAACTAAATCATTGTCCCGAGGTTGAATAGTACAGTGACGTGGCATACTGTACATCCATTTATCAGCCTAGGCCCTTATCTTGTTAAGTATGTTTTGACCTAAAGGGTAGTAGTATTCGTGCCTTCGCGCACCCACCGCTTTCACTTATCCGCTTTCGGCGAAAGCGGTAGGTGTGCGAAGGATAGACAAGTAGCTTACTTGTGTTGTCTGGAGAGCGTCTGGGAGCCATAATACCTTGAAGTAAAAGTGGGCTAGACCGGGAAGACTTGTTACTGTGAAGTCTAGGGAAGTGGTCAGTGACGAGGAACGAGGGGCCGTAAGGACGGGTGTGTATGGTTGTTCGTGTAAAATACATCTCTCGCGGTCTGGTGATTGTATTGTAAAGTACAGCAACATTTATAGAAAGCGGTCTGAAATGGAACCAAAAATACTTCTTCCAATCAGAGCTCACCTAAAGCGGATTTAGTTTCTGGGAATGAAGTTCCAAGTGTATGGCGGTATAACTGATTTCGAAAACTACTGTATTTGCAAGCTACTCTTCTTGAAAGTCAACTCTCCTCCTCCATCCGGTCTCTGGGGGTAAGCAAAACACCAGCAAAGGTTGCCCACGAACAGGTAGGACATGCCTTCATCATCTGGGTCACCTATATCCGCTCCAATCGGGGAGTTGGGAACTCTACTCTACTTCTACTAGTTTTTGGTATGTGTGATCAGGGTTGAAATTGACTTACAACGATTATCACCGATTTCCAGGCCAAACAATCAACTCCCCCTCCGATGGCCTAGTTGGTATCCACCATAAATTGGTAAACCATTTGTGTGCCCTGGAGGAATGGGCAAATAAAAGAAGAAAGTACAGGGCCAGTGTCGACGCTTCGAGCTCCACGGACGGCCGGGCACACCCCTAGGCGGGGGGAGTTCATCTTTTTGGAGATTTTTTGTACACAAATATTTTCCGGTAGTAAAATGCACTTGATATATCCAGACTGCTTTTTATTTTGACTCCCAAAGAGGCTCTTTACTGGTGTTAGGAGGGTGTAAAGGTGCATATTAGGTGTGGGGTGGTACTGGCGATGTTCTTCGGTGTCCGGGCATGACGATCCAGTAACAAGCGCGAAGTATATAGGGGAGGGGAAGGTTGGAGGTTCGATTCATGGAATGAGCAAGTTCATCTAGGTCATTTTTGAGAAAGATCAATAATTTCTTCCACTCTCACTCGTTGATAATCACGCCACGAAGCTCCATTCCTCCCGAGTGTCTAAGTAACCCCTGGAGAACGCGTCGTACATGTAAGCCAAAATCCCCGAAATCCGGACATAATGTGACATAATGTGACATTAGGTCTCGGACGAAGTTGATCTCACCGGCAACACTTGGAAGCCTGAATAAATGGAACCTTAACATACCAGATATGTGATTCGGGCAAAACGGACACGGGCGATCCGGGTATACGAGCAGGCCCCGGTCACACAGAACACAGCATAGGTCAGTAAACCTCGAGCTAAGGCCTTTGACGTTCTCTCGGGGTAGGGCAGGCACTGTCCTATCGCGTAGATGAAGAAGATCTGATCGCGCTCAGGCCCTATGTAGCGAGGGTACAAACCGCACAGTTCCAGAGCGTCAAGCATGCATGCATGACCTCCACAATGCTAAAGAGAATGGTCAAACATGGCTGTTGCTCTTCAAGGCTGCGAAAAATGGGTTCTTCGGTTCAATGGTTTTGGACATAGATTAGGTGACTTGGAGCCTACAAATAAAACAGAACGAGGCTCATCTCTCGGGATTAACTGGAGTTATATTCTTTAGTCTTATTGGATTGGAGGGCTATGAAAGCAAAATTCACCGTTTCCGAAGATCTCCCAATGGGTGATTGCGTGCCACAAAGCGGATCTCCTGTAGGACAAGCTTTGAATTCGGACCAGTCGTTAAACAGGAGAAATTCCTCTGCTTTGGAGATTTTTGGAGAATTTGTCCAATTGGGAATCCGGCAACAGATGAAAAGCATTCTATCACGTGCTCTTCCCAATCTCGATTGAATCAAGTCAAGTAGAAAGGATATTTTGCAAAATTCCAAGATAAATTTGAAGAAGTATCCCAATCAAATTCATCATCTGTACTAGGCTGTCAGCGATCTTGTACATTTGTCCCTTGTCAAATACGCGGGCGCATACCTTGCCTTTGTACTTGTGGCGCCGCATATAGTGTTGTATTATGTAGCCTTCAGTACACAAGCACAGCAGGAATGTACCTCTATCCAGCTAACGGCTCTGCTAACAGTCTTCATTGCATAGGGCTCTTGGGTTACGGAGTGCAACGAAGTCGGGAAAATCGAGATCTGTTCAGCATGTTTAAAACTCAATAGGCCGTTGGTATCTTTTTCAACCGGTTATTGACACGCAGATTGGTATATTGTTGCCCTTCGGAGTAAAGCCTGTCCAGTGTTAGGATTAATAATTGATCAATTTTATCCCTCGCCGTCTGAGCAGGTACACAAGGGGCAAATCTCGGATCAGCCAACATGGCGCATGATGAACTCAATCCTCAAGCAAAAGACATGTTAATTCCGGCATTCTACGATGATTAGGATACCAAAACACACTGGTGGAAATCTTTTGTAGGTGCTCAACGGAAAGAAGCTTTCACGCCAACTTGGTTCTTCCTAGTTTACTTTTCAAGTGACTCGAGGACAGACAACAGTCCCTCACCGATAAATTAGGCAGATAGCAGTTGAAGCTCTGGGTTACCCGTTATCGTGAACAATCTCAACTACGTAAATATGAATTCCGAAGCAATTATCAAAGCTCCGATCTAGGAATTCTATGCGGTATGAGTCATCGAGCACACAACAGATAGACGAATATCCTACTCATTGTACTCCACATCACCTTGAGCGCTGATGCTACAGCGGTTGGAATGGCAATCTAGATCCTATTCCGCAGTTTTGTCAAGCAGAAGCCCTTTACACTCTGTCCGCAGGATTATCCTTGCCCTGGATTATACTGAAAGATTTGAGTATAGAGACGTACACAGTTTAGGCTCTCAGAATATGCCCTTCAACTGTAGCCAGAAGCGCTAGAGTCACAGACCATGGCATTAAATTGCTCAATCCACGATACGGTGATTGAAAAGTGTCTGCATACTCGATTAGCAAGATATTCCTTGTTTCCTGACCGTCAGTGTTGAAACTCGACCGATCTTAAATCTCAGCTGCATGCAATGCACTTATCTGCTCTGCCTATCGAGATCACCTCATCGTTCAACCTGCCATAGTGAGGTATTACAGTTCCCGGTGAGACATGCACTGCATGCTATTCCCAATTCCCATTATCGAGACACTGGGTTTCAACCAAGGCTGTTGGTAATGCAAATGGCTATGGATATTGCTGGGAGCCTTGAGAGAATTGTGTCTCATCGTGGGACAGCACCGAACTCTGTATCTAAGTGCATAGTTCCTCAAAATAGCATCATCCAACCACGACCATCCTTCGGCCCCCGGAAGGCCCCTGATGTGTATCGAGCTCTCTGATGTCTACAAACAGTTCTTTCGACGCGCACCGTGCATTCTGGAGCCAGTCGCCTTTTGCCCCATGTCAACTTTACTTTCAAAGGGGCTTGGAATATTCAGCCCTCATACATTTGGGAGACAATCAAGACTTTGGATTATCTCATCTCCATTTTGTTTCTCATCGTCGATCGATTTTTGACAACTTTCTTATTTCTGTGCTCACTTTCCGCGGCATTCATTGTTTTGGTTTCTTACTGTCTGCCTTAGTGAGCCTAACTGACTGTCGAGCACTTCAATTGGAGAAGGCCTGGCTGAAGGTCCACCATCGCCCTCGTATATGCTCATTCTGGGTCACTGGTTTGCTCGACTCCAAGCCCCCGTCTCTGAAAGATCGCTTTAGAGCTTCGATATAACTCCTGGCTTTCCGTCGTGGGTCGTTGCGATTATCTTGCTATCTCCTCATTATCACTTGCACCCTATAGTTCTAACAGAGCTTGTAGGCATGTCAAAAGTTTGAGAGGCTAACAACCTAACTGTGAAAATTTCATGTGAATATTGGCCATCTCGTTCCTCCATCTATAGCAATTGTCATTCCTCGCAACCCACATGTTCTAAGCCTTGACAATTTCAGAGAATATTTCACGCGACGGAATACCATGCATTGGAAGTGGGGAGGTGCAGTCCTCGTCCAACTTGCAGTGACAGCAATATGTTGGCCGTACGATGAGTCTCTTACTGATTTCAATCTCAATGAGAACAAAGAAGCAAGCAATCCGGCTGAATATTGGGGTGAATGGCCCAACCATACATATTTCCCTTCGCCCGAGAACTGGCGTTTTCCCATATACACTTTGTTTCTTGACCGTTTTGTAAATGGGGATCCAACGAACGATAACAGCAATGATACACTCTTTGAGCATGACTTGAACTCCAATCAGATGCGTCACGGCGGTGACGTTGTTGGTTTGGTGGACACCTTGGATTATTTACAAGGCATGGGAATCAAGGTCTGCCTCAACTAGAAATATGCTCCATGACTGTTAGTTCGCTAACGCGTGACCTCTTTTAGGCAATTTACTTGGCTGGATTAGTCTTGATGAATCAACCCTGGGGTTCCGATGGATACTCGGCCCTTGATACTACCCTGCTCGACCAACACTTCGGCACAATTCAGACCTGGAGAGATGCTGTCACTGAGATTCACAATCGAGGCATGTACGTCATTTTTGACAACACCGTTGCCACGTAAGTACACCCTAGACTCTAGTCGTTGGATGAAGATAGCATATTAAACTTTTACTCTAGTATGGGGGACTTGATTGGGTTTGAAGGCTATCTGAATACAACAACGCCGTTTTCACCAAGCGAACACAAAGCGCAATGGAAGTCAGACCGCCGCTATCTTGATTTTCATTTCGACAACTCCTACAACCAAACATGTGAATACCCTCGCTTCTGGAATGAGACCGGTTTTCCCGTGGAAGGGTACGTTCAAGAAGAGTTAAAGGGATGCTATAACAGTGATTTCGACCAGTATGGCGATATCGAAGCTTTCGGTGTTTACCCTGACTGGCAACGTGAACTAGCAAAGTTTGCCTCTGTTCAAGACCGTCTTCGGGAATGGGTACCTAGTGTCAGAGAACGTCTTATTCGCCATTCTTGCATCATTATCTCCTCCCTTGACATTGATGGTTTTCGATACGACAAAGCTACACAGGCCACAGTCGATGCTCTAGGTGATATTTCAGGTGCCTATAGAGAATGTGCTCGACGAGTTGGCAAGACCAACTTTTTCTTGCCTGGGGAGATTACCGTCGGAAATAACCTAGGCTCAGTCTTTCTGGGCCGTGGACGTCAGCCTGATATGCTTCCCCAGACGCTAGACGAAGCGTTTCAATTGACGAACTCGTCAGCAGACGTCTTTATTCGAGATGAGAATCAGCAAGCTATAGATGGTGCTGCTTTTCATTATTCGATTTACCGATCTCTCACTCGATTTTTGGGCATGGATGGAAACCTGGCAGCCGGGTATGATATTCCAGTCAACTGGACTGAAGCGTGGTATGAGATGGTTCTTACCAATGATCTCATCAACGCAAATACTGGAAAGTTCGATCCGCGTCATATGTATGGAGTGACAAATCAAGATGTCTTCCGCTGGCCGACTGTCGAGATGGGCATCGAGAGACACCTTCTTGGTCTTTTTATAACAACACTGCACATGCCTGGGATACCATTACTGTTGTGGGGCGAGGAGCAGGCATTTTACATTCTCGATGCGACAGCTTCAAACTATATCTACGGCCGCCAGGCAATGTCTCCTGCGACGGCATGGAAGACTCATGGTTGCTTTGAGCTGATTTCAGAACAATATTTCAACTGGCCGATCAAATCTGGGCGATTAGGGTGTCACGATGAGACTGCCACATATGATCACCGCGATCCTTCTCACTTCATGCGAAATATCATCAAGCACATGTATCAATTGAGAGAGGACTTTCCTGCACTCAATGATGGCTGGTGGATACAATTGCTGTCGAACCAGACTCGCAATATCTACTTACCCGGCTCGAACGGGTTGCCGACGGAGACAGGAATGTGGTCTGTCCTACGTAGCCCTTACTACCAAGGACAGGATCTTGGGGCGTCAGGGAATCAGACCATCTGGTTTGTTTATCAGAACGACAACAAGACTGTGACTTACGACTTTGACTGCTCCAACCCACGTGCAGCCCTCGTTGCTCCGTTTAACACCAACACCACTGTCAAGAATCTATTCTACCCACACGACGAACTGACTCTTAGAGACAGTGCTGTTAGAATGCATCTCAATGGATCACAGGAGTCCAATGGCTGTCTTGATAGCGTAACACTTCGACCCTATGAGTTTAGGGCCTACGTTCCGAAAGATAAGTTCATACCTCCTCGTCCGATGATCACAAAGTTTACTCCTGGGCATGACGTACCTGTGCTTTCCAAGGTTGTACCCGGAGAGAGTGAGAGCCTTGATATTGGCTTGTACTTCTCAACGGAGATGAACTGTACAAGTGTGTCACAAGCAATGTCACTCGAGTCATCAACTGAAACTGGATCCATTCCGTCCCTCGACCTGGGAACGGTCGATTGCGGAGCTATTGTGGATGACGACTTGTCCTACTCTGGCCAAATTCCAGCAACTTGGGCGTGGACAGCCACTCTAACGGGTGTTGAAAATGGAATCCATCGGCTCACAGTCCATAACGCGACAAGCATTGATGGGCGTACCACAAATGCTGTTGACCACTTTTTGATTCGGATCGGCCAACATGACAACCCGATGATCTTCACTTCTGCCAATTACTCTACGAGCCTTCTTCACGAGCGAAAAGACGGTACTCTCTATGTTCAGCAACATGCAGCTGGTGCAGACATGTATCGCTACTCGACCAATTGGGGCAGTTCATTCAGCGAGTGGCTACCATATCATGGAGGAAACCACTCCATCGAAGAGCTACCTTGGTCGGGGACGAAGAAACAGGAATGGAAAGGAAAGCACGTCCGTGTCGAGTACTGGAGCCGCCTCACTGGAAGTAGTGACTATTTCCAAGAGGGCGATGGTCCCGATTGGAAGTCCCATGTCCCTCGTCGATGGCCTCATATTTTCTTCAATGGGCCTTTCAACGAATACGGATACGATGCTGGCCTTGCAAATATAGTGAAACAAGATATTGATGGGCTTTGGAAGTTCCGATTCATGGCAGAGTGGCCAGCTCAAGGTCAACTCAATGTTTGGGGCATCAACCCTGACGGCAAACCTGATCAGAGCTACATCTTTGGAGATGCCGATGGCGACTCTGTTCTCGATCGACTACCACCGTCTTCTCGCAGCGCGAGGACTATAAACATTACCGAACATCCACCGGACCCGCACTTGGCCTGGAGAATTCACGTTGATGACGCCACTTTGCGATTTAAATTGATTCCAGCGGGCTCGAAATATGTGCAGATGGCACTCTACTTCTTATTGTGGATTCTCCCAGTGATTACGGCTACAACTTGTGCCTACATTTTCAAGAAAACATTCTACCGAATCAAATTCAACCAGGTTGGCGTGAGCGAGAAGAAGACTCTCATCTCTCTCGAATTTCTCAAGAGGTTCAAAGCGGACAGTTTCGGAGACGGAGAGCCTCGAAGTCTGATTGCCCGAGTAGCAAACAAGTCGAGGTTTCTCCAAAGTACCTCTGCCTTTGGCAATCGCACCTCCCACAAACGCAAGGTCCTTGTCGCGACCATGGAGTACGATATTGACGACTGGGGGATTACGATCAAAATTGGTGGCTTGGGCGTCATGGCTCAGCTCATGAGCAAGCAACTTGGCCACCTAGATCTCATCTGGGTCATTCCATGCGTCGGTGGAATAGAATACCCAGTGGACAAGCCCGCGGGATCGATGTTTGTTATGATCCTTGGAAACTCCTACGAAGTCAAGATTCAGTATCATGTTCTCAGGAATATTACCTATGTGCTTCTCGATGCGCCAGTGTTCCGTCAACAATCCGCCAAGGAGCCATATCCAGCTCGAATGGATGATCTCGACAGCGCGATCTATTATTCGGCTTGGAACCAGTGCATTGCCCAGGCACTCAAGCGGTTCCCAGTGGATTTATACCACGTCAACGACTATCACGGCGCAATTGCAACTCTGTATCAATTACCCGAGACGATCCCGATCTGCCTTTCTCTTCATAACGCAGAATTTCAGGGCCTATGGCCGATGCGCACACAAAAAGAAAAGATCGAGGTCTGCTCCGTCTTTAATCTTGATATAGAAGTTGTCGCTCGCTACGTTCAGTTTGGTGAGGTCTTTAATTTGCTTCACGCGGGTGCGAGCTACTTGCGTCTTCATCAGCAAGGTTTTGGCGCAGTCGGGGTGTCCAAGAAATATGGCAAGAGATCCTACGCACGCTACCCTATCTTCTGGGGCCTGAGAAAAGTTGGAAATTTGCCAAACCCAGACCCCTCAGACACTGGAGAGTGGAATAAAGAGTTACCCAAAGAGAGTGAGATCAGTGTTGACAGCGAGTACGAAGTTCGGCGGGCTGAATTCAAGCGCCAAGCACAAGAATGGGCTGGTCTTGAACAGATTCCCAATGCTGATCTCATGGTATTCGTTGGCAGATGGTCTATGCAAAAGGGCATTGATCTGATTGCAGATGTGATGCCTGGTGTGCTGGAGTCTCGACCTAATGTTCAGCTCATCTGTGTGGGACCCGTCATCGATCTATATGGCAAGTTTGCCGCGCTGAAGCTAGATCGGATGATGAAGCTTTACCCAGGTCGCGTGTTTTCAAGTCCGCAATTCACGGTAATGCCTCCTTTCATCTTTTCCGGTGCAGAGTTTGCATTGATTCCCTCTCGCGACGAACCATTTGGATTGGTGGCCGTTGAATTCGGACGCAAAGGTGCTCTTGGTATCGGTGCTCGGGTGGGTGGACTAGGACAGATGCCCGGTTGGTGGTATACAGTTGAGTCGACGACGACTTCACACCTTTTGAAGCAGTTCAAGCTTGCTATCGACAGCGCCTTGAATTCCGAACCCGATACCAGAGCCATGATGCGTGCCAGGTCAGCTAAACAACGCTTCCCTGTTGGTCAATGGATTGAAGATTTGGAAATCCTCCAGTCCACTGCGATTCGTGTTCACAACAAGGAGCGAGCAAAAACTCAGGCGCATTCAACTGCTGCTCCTTCTGGATACAATACTATCTACGGGATGATGACACCTCAGGCTGCTGTATCGGGTAGGTCTGGTGCCTCAAGTGGTACATTGACTCCGCCAACACGGTCATCCAGCCGCCCGGGTACGATGGCTTCTTTACAGCGAAGCTCTGTCGTCTATAGCCGTGATCCAAGTCCTGCCGACGGAAGACCCAAGTCAGGCCTCAGTCGGCATCTTTCGTTTGGCATGAGTGTCGGTCCAAGACCAGCCTCGGCACCTTTTGAAAGTCGTGGACGAAGAGACCTTGGGAAAGCAAGTCTGATGGAGGCAGAGGAATTGCAGAACGGAGGATCACCAGATACCGAGGATGAAAGTGATGATGAGATGATGGCCACTTGCTATGGTGATGAAGAATATCCAATGACAGGAGATTCCACGGAAAGAGGACGCCGACTGGAAAATTCCTCTCAAGGTCTTCCGTCTCCGGGAATCCCTCTTACCAAGGAGCTTCTATCAACTCGGCATTCAAGCCAGGCTTCTGTTCTTGGTCAATCCATCGGCAGTCCTTCGAGCTCAACAGCGCCTAGTACAGTTGGAATAGAAGACACACTGCTTCCGCCATCAAGACCTTGGGCAGATGCTGGGAACCGGCTCAGCAATGCTTCAGTCTTATCTGTAGATTCTGTTGTTGGGGACAAGAAAGATTATAAGCTTCAAAAGGTTGACCCTTTCTTCACTGACAGCAGTGGAGAGTACTACAGGGCCTTCGAAAAGAAGCTGAATGATCTGAACGGCGCAAATTCGGACTCTCTGCTCTGTATTGAGCAATATCTTGAAAAAAGCGAGAAGAAGTGGTTTGATCGATTCCGAGATGCGCGTCTCGGCCGCAATCAATCTCCAGCCCCTTCAATGCAAACTGGCAAAGCAGGTGGTAGCGGCTCTCCTCCAGCCTCTATCACCAATGACGATACAACGTCTCACGAAAGTGGTGGGCAGGAGCGGAAGGCAAACGATGAATTCCTCCTTGGAGATGACTATGTGCCACCTACTGGTTTGAAGAAGTGGATGCAGATGCGTATCGGCGACTGGCCCGTTTACTCCTTGTTCCTCGGTCTCGGTCAGATCATTGCTGCCAATTCCTATCAGATCACCCTGCTGACAGGTGAAGTTGGTCAAAGCGAGGCAAAGTTATATGGAATTGCAACAGTGTATTTGGTCACGTCCATCCTGTGGTGGCTATTCTTCCGATTCTGCAAGTCTATTCTGGTTCTAACAGTCCCGTGGTTCCTATACGGGACTGCGTTCCTGATCATTGGCCTTGCTCACTTTGAGTCTAACTCCTTCACCAGGGGCTGGATTCAAAATATCGGCAGTGGAGTCTACGCTGCAGCTTCATCAAGCGGATCAATCTTCTTTGCACTCAATTTCGGTGATGAAAGTGGCGCTCCGGTTAAGCAATGGGTGTTCCGTGCCTGTCTGATTCAGGGCACACAGCAGGCGTATGTGATAGCTCTCTGGTACTGGGGCTCCACATTGACAAAAGCTTCCAATGCTGGAATCATGGATGCACAGGGTAATATCACGAACACGTGGAGAATGACAGCCATCTGTACACCCATCACTGCTTTCCTGTGGGGAATTGGTCTCCTGGTTTACTTTGGTTTGCCCAACTACTACCGCCAGACACCCGGCAAAGTCCCGTCATTCTACAAATCAGTCTTCCGACGCAAGATTTTGCTGTGGAATTGGGTGGTGGTCATTCTCCAGAATTTCTTCTTGAGTGCTCCCTACGGTCGTAACTGGAATTGTAAGAATTTATATCACGCCTCGAGACAAATCCACTTCGCTAACTTGCTTCATCTATAGTCCTCTGGATCTCCAATCATGCCAAGCCATGGCAAATCCTTTGCCTTTGCGTCGCATTCTTCGGATTCGTCTGGATAGCAACCCTGCTGCTACTCGCCTGGGTATCCAAATCACACAGTTGGATCCTACCCATCGTAGCCTGCGGTCTTGGAGCACCCCGATGGGCACAAATATGGTGGGGAACATCAGGTTCAGGCCTTTTCCTCCCATGGGCAGGGAATTATGTCTCCGGAGCGTTGGTCTCGCGAAGTCTCTGGTTATGGCTTGGTGTGATGGATGCCTTGCAGGGCCTCGGGTTTGGCATGATCCTCTTGCAAACTCTTACACGTATGCATATCTGTTTCACGCTTCTTGTGTCGCAGGTTATTGGCTCGATTGCGACTATTTGTGCCAGAGCTTTTGCACCGAATAGGATTGGGCCTGGGCCTATATCTCCTGATATCACGGCTGGAGCAGGTGCATTGGCGAACGCGTGGTTCTGGATTGCCTTGGTCTTCCAATTGATGATTTGGTAAGTTGCCCACCTTCTCAGTTTTACCTCTTTTCATGCTCTGGTCGCTAACGGCTAACATTAGTGGCGGCTTCCTTCTCTTCTTCCGCCGTGAGCAGCTTTCGAAACCCTAGTTGCAGAGGAGGACGGTCGTGTAGTTGAAAAAAAGGATTTCGGATTCTTGCTGGTGTTCTTTTTGCGAGTTCTTATTTCAATGTTAGGGCTAACGTCCGGGCTATGTTGGGTTAATATCTAATGATAGAGGTTATTTGTTGCAACCTAAGATTTTTCTACACGAGCTTGAAAGGAACCCTTTTTTTGAGATTCATAATTCATTCTCATTGAAATTCGTAGGCTACCAAAGCAAGCCAATAATCCGAAAATAACCAAGCCCCGAGAGATGCAGAGCAAAAAGTTAAATAACATGAGGGGATATTCTTTTTTGAAACCAAGGAAAGAACAAAGATGGGACTGTTTTCGCACCAATTACCATATCCAATGCGATCCTCCACAGCGCCAAACCAGGCAATACGCAATCAACTTTTACCACTCAAGAGGCTCGCCCTTGACGTCACCACGGTTGGTCGTGGGCACAGGAGCGGCCTCGATCTTGGTAGCACCGCGGTTGCCACGGCGGAGATAGCCGCTGCCATCCAACCAGGGGGTCTGCAGGCTGCGCTTAGCCTCGAAGGTGCGGATCTTAGACTCCATCTGGAGAGTCAGACCAATGTCGTCCAGGCCGTTGACAAGGCAGTGCTTGCGGAAGCCATCAACGTCGAAGGCGACGATCTTGTTGCCTTCGGCATCCTTGATCTCCTGGTTGACAAGGTCAACCTCGAGCTCGCGACCAGCGCGGGCCTCGTCGGCAATCTTCTTCAGAGCAGCCTCATCGGAAACAACGACGGGGAGCATGCCGTTCTTGAATGTGTTGTTGAAGAAGATGTCAGCAAAGGACGGCGCGATGATGCACTTGATGCCAAAGTCGAGCAGAGCCCAGGGGGCGTGCTCGCGGGAGCTACCACAGCCGAAGTTGGGACCAGTCACAACCAGGATCTTGGAGTTCCGGTAGATGCCCTGGTTCAAGATGAAGTCGGGGTTCTCCTGGCCGTCGGGGTTGTAGCGGAGCTCGTAGAAAGCAGCAGAGCCGAGGCCAGTACGCTTTATGGTCTTCAGGAACTGCTTGGGGATAATGGCATCGGTGTCGACGTTCGCACGGTCCAGGGGAGCGGCGGTGCCCTTGAGGACGGTGAACTTGGGGAGACCAGCACTGGTGCCGGCGGCAGAGGTGTTCGTGTGGGGCTCGTTATCAGCGGGCAAGTCCAGAACACGGTCCAGCTCATCCTCAGTCGCTGGGGACTCAGCCTCGGGCTGAGTGTCGAACTGGGGCTGAACCTTGGCGAGGACGGGGCTGGAAACAACATGTTCCCGAATATCAGCGAGCTTGCCAACGATGGCAGCGGCGGCGGCCATGGCAGGAGACATCAGGTGGGTACGACCCTGTGCACCCTGGCGACCCTCGAAGTTACGGTTGGAGGTACTGGCGCAGCGCTCCTTGGGGGACAGAATGTCTGGGTTCATGCCAAGACACATGGAGCAACCAGCCTCACGCCACTCGAATCCGGCATCGGTGAAGATCTTGTCGAGGCCCTCAGCCTCAGCTTGTTCCTTGACCAAGCCTGATCCGGGAACAATCATAGCGCGCTTGATGTTCTCGGCGATCTTCTTGCCGTTGACGACCTTGGCCGCCGCACGCAGATCCTCGATACGAGAGTTGGTGCAAGATCCAATGAAGACCTTGTCCACAACGATATCCTTCATGGGGGTACCGGCAACGAGGCCCATGTACTGGAGAGCGCGCTTGCAAGAGGCCTTGCGGTTCTCGTCCTCGAAGTCATCGGGGCTAGGGACGACACCAGTGATGGGGACGACATCCTGAGGAGAGGTACCCCAGGAGATAGTGGGAATGATGTCCTTACCATCAAGGAAGACATCAATGTCGTACTTGGCGTCGGCGTCCGACTTCAGAGAGGACCAGTAGTTGACGGCCTTGTTCCACTCGGCGCTGCCGTACTTGGGAGCAAGGGGACGGCCCTTGAGGTACTCGAAGGTAATCTCATCCGGAGCAATCATACCGGCGCGGGCACCACCCTCAATGGACATGTTACACATGGACATGCGGGCTTCCATGCTGAGACCACGGATGACAGATCCGCAGAACTCAATGACAGCACCAGTACCACCAGCGGTACCAATGACACCAATAATGTGGAGGACAACGTCCTTGGAGGTCACACCGGGAGCGAGCTGGCCATCGACCTGAACACGCATGTTCTTGCTTCGGCGAGTGAGGAGGGTCTGGGTCGCCAGGACGTGCTCGACTTCACTGGTTCCAATACCGAAAGCCAGGGAGCCAAAGGCACCGTGGGTGGAGGTGTGGCTGTCACCGCAAACAACGGTTGTTCCGGGCAGAGTGAAGCCTTGCTCGGGGCCGATAACGTGGACGATACCCTGACGCTTATCGCCCATACCGAAGTAGGTCAGACCAAAGTCCTTGACGTTCTCCTCGAGGGTTGTGCATTGGAGGCGGGAGTCGCTCTCCTTAATGAAATCGGAGGCGTTCTTGAAGTTTTTCCTGGAGCTGGTGGGGATGTTCTATTCAACAAAGTAGGTATTAGAGAGCGTTCATCTACCAATCTGAGCTGTGCGCCTTCAAGACTTACGTGGTCGACGGTCACAAGAGTGCAGTCCGGCCGGCGGACCTTGCGGCTAGCGTTCTTCAAGCCCTCGAAAGCCTGAGGCGAGGTCACCTCGTGGACAAGATGCCGGTCTGTATATGGGTGTTAGATGATTTGAGGTCAATTGGCGGGAAGCTCGGTCGGCATACCGATATACAGCAAGCAAGTGCCATCGTCTTGCTGGTTGACAATGTGGTCATCGAAGACCTTGTCGTACAAGGTCCTCGGTTTCGTCTCTGCGGATGGCATATTGTATGTATGTGAGGTATGCAATTACCAAAGCTCGTGCAGTCCTTGTTGGGGAGGTATGGGGTAGCAGAAGCCAGGACTTATATTTTGCACCGCGCGCGATGTCGCTGGGGAGCTTCTCGAGGGGCAACGCCGACTTCGGTAGGTCAGCGCTGAATGTTTGGGTTCTGATTGGTTAGTGTGGCGAACCAGGTGGCCGCCGATATCGGTCGGCGGAAAAATGCGACGGCGGCTAGTGGCGCTTGAGGGCGGCTCAGCGCGTCTCCCATTCTTCGATTTATCCAGGGATAGTTATGATGAAGCATGTTGGCTTCGTTGTTCTCGAGTGTAATACAAATCGACTCTTTAGAGAGCTATCAGCAATGAAATTCTAGCATCGATAAGAACTTGTACGAGATCTCGGCCTTCACCGACTCATGGAACGTAGGGATATCCCACGATATACATGACGTAGGCCGACCGACTCCGGGGGTGACTCAGGCAATAATCGGCCGCTAATTGGCCACAGCCGCCGGGGTCCGATCGGGGCCCGTCCTTTGAATGACTGTGCCTCGGGCTGTGTATACTCCGTACTGTACGTTTCTTTGAGGCGGGGTGTTGTGCATGGACTTCCATGCAACCTGGCCTGCTGTGTCTCACTTTCTGTGGTTACAATTTCCAATTGACAAGGGATGATCAGCATCGGATTATGAAGTGAAGTATATGCACCTGAAATACCGTAGAATCATCATCCCTTAGTACTGTAGACCTCTGTTTACTTCTACGTGCCGCTCACAGCAACTACCCATCCACGAATATATATAGTCGGCCCACCAATGAATTTGAGCTTCATTTAACCTGGATAGTAGATATATCGTCCGTATGGGCTTGGATACTGAAATTATCATTCGTGGGTCACGTTCCTTTTTCGCCCTACCCATTGACTCCACCGAATACATACTAATAGGTACCCGTCACTCTCAGGTCATACCTTAGCTACTGTCCAGGCTGAAATACTCGCTTTCAAACGATAAATATGTTCGTGAATGCCTCAAACGTGGGACTCAAATATCTAAGATCGTCTAAATAATGCCAAAACACCAAAAACCAGCCAATAAACCATGCAAAATCCCTATACTCCAACCCACCAAAGTTTATCATCCATCATGATTCAGATCTAGTCAAGCCCGACTACAATCCTTTTCCCCGAAACAGATCCACTTCGAAGCAAATCCAATGCAGCATTGATCCCTTCCAGTCCCCCCTCGGCGCGAACAATCTCGGGGAGAGTGAGGGTATTTGACTGGAGTAGGTCTTCTAGCCAGCGAACCATGCTCTCGCCCACTGTGGGTGCAGTATGGAATAGCTTGATAGGCACGGTATGGTAACGGATTCCGGGATTGCGCTCTTTGGGTAACCCTGTGAGCCCCAGCAAATGAGAATGACCCGAAGGATCTAGAGTTTTCTCGAGTAGAGTCGCTGTCTCTTTTCCAACGATATCAATCGCATATCGTAGTTTGCCGCCCGTGATTCCGCGGATGATCTCCACGGCGCGATTGGTATCGTGTCGGTCCACGATGAGATCGGCACCAGACTCCAAAAGCTTAGCTCCATGTCGTGCAGCATCAGCAACGCAAATTACTCGTAGTCCGGCCAGTTTGGCTAATTGCAAAGTTACTAAGCCAGTTGTTGTTGAGGCTATTTAGGTTCTATCAGCGATAACGCCTTTACCGTCAGGGTGGATTGTATATATTTCTTACCTCCCCAGATTGCAACCCAGTCACCACGCTTCGGGCGTTCAGATTCAGATACAAAGCACTCATCCTGTATATCGGCTGGAATAGTATTTTGTTCCAGTTGGTCGATAATTCGAGGCAGATTGGGGCCCGGGGATTTTGAAAGAACGGAAAAGTCTAGTCCAAATGAGACGCCGAGGGCCAAGACGGAGGCCACGAATGCTACTCCGAGGGAAGCAGACGCATGGATAGATGTAGATGATGGAATTCGTGCTGCGTTGAAGTCGGTGGCAATTGCATATTCTTGAAATGCTGCTTTTCTGATATCTCGATAATCTGTTGATGGTACTAGGACAATATCACCCACACGAACGCGTGAGTTCTCGCTAGGGACTTGCAGCACAAGGCCTGCTAGGTCGCGTCCGTTGATCCAGGGTAAGCTAGGAATACCAAAGTTGAATGCACTAAGCCAAAGATGCGTTAGTTAATGCATAGTATGCAACGATGGAGAGGGTTGACGTACGGTGCTTTCCAGTCAATCGGATTGAGCCCGATTGCAAGAACCTGCCAATAAGTGGTGAGAAAATGACGTCTCTATGCAGGTCGAAGAAAATAATATTTCCGGTCATTCGGCATACCTTCACAAGAATCTCCCCAGGATGCAGAATTGCGGGAATAGTATGATCGTTCACCAGGGTGTATTGTTCGCGAATACCCTTCAGCAGTAGCACGCTCTGTCTTGCCTCCACCGTTTGAGAAACTAGCCTTTTTTCCTCCTCTTTGATTGTGGTAGAAGTTACGGAAGGACTGGAGAATATATAGCGATGGAAACTTGTCGACTGCTTTTGCAGCTCATCGAGCTGGAGGCAGGTAGTGGTTGACATGATGCTCGGGGCCAAAAGTGCCATATTGGAAATCAACCTCCACGAAAGAGTACAAAGTCCAGATCTGACTCTACCTATATGTTATTTGAGATTATTAGACTTGATTACATATCTCTCGCCCGAGAAACAAATAGGGTAAAGCATTGTCATCACGTTTGAGAGCGGGGGGATGATTGATATCAGCACTGGTCAAAAGCACGTAGGGTCAGGGACCCCCCACTGGGTCCTTTGGCTTGGTAATGCCAAATGGTAGGAAATGGCAGTCAACGGAAGCATCTCGGCTTGAATTTGCGCTATCCAGCCTATCCAGTTGGATTGTCTGGCAGTGATCGGGGTGCTGGTCATTGCTCATGGCGGGGCTTAAATGGCGTGATGGATACCTTTCATCGGCGGCCCGGGGGAGGGGAAAGTAGATCACATCTAATCAATAACGATTTTGACTATTCTTGTTTACTCGGCCTTGCCTATTCCACATCTGATTGTTTTACAGACCACAGGGGAGGCTCCAAGCCTGCCACAATTATTCGACTCAGAGTACACATACGGTATTAATTGTATAAGCCAAGGGAATTGTAAAAGCGATTCTGCTGGTAGTCGGTAGGAAATGCGCAGGCGCTTTTGGGTTGTTTGAAGGTGAAGGTGTCTTGGGGTTCTCAACTGATGTGATCCGGGGGTATGATGACGAAAACCTAGAACTTGGCTGGCCACATTTTCAAGGCCGGTCGGGCTCAATACAATTGCGAATTTATTATAGAACTAGATACTCTCAGTGATGATATTTGTTAACATTTATATCTACGTTACTAATCTTTGGTCTTAGTTTATATGCCAGCTTGGCGAGTATGTAGTGAGGATCTCGATGCTGGGATGGATACAGTTATCCAGTTTAGCACAAGGTTGGGATAAAGGGACCCAAAACGAGAAAACTGCAGTCTCTGGACTTCTAATAAGACTTGGTCTGTTCCTCCACCAGGATCCTTATTATCTTCTCTCACATCTGCCTCTAGATCGCTGGTCTGTTCTCACCCAGAATTCACGGGCCGTGCATGTATGTATAGCCTTAACAGATCACTGCAACGGCCTCCAATTGGCTTCGGCCGCTGGGACCAGCGTCCTCAAGTAAAGGAGAATTACAATATCCGAGATGGAAGGAAACTTCTATCTCGAATACCTCATCCGGGGAATTCGGCAAATATGAAGAAGGTCCGAAGGATGCGATCGGTAAACCTAGCAATGAAATGGAAGTCCGGAAGCATGGCTTTGTCTCTCGCCCGAGAGAGATAACGAAAAACAGTTAGACTGGAAAGTATAGCTTCTTTAAGCTCATCGTAGTCGATATACTTGTGGTTCTGGGCTAAACGCCTCGTGGCCGTTATTCGATATGCATGTGTCGCCTTGCTGTAATCCTTGCGAGCACGTAATCTTGGCTAAGAACGACAACATCCACTACGGCTCGGGAGCCTACTCTTTCCCAGATAGGAGTCTGGGCTAACAAAATGACAGGCAAAAAATATTAGAATTTGTTAAGGTTCCGATGTTGCCATAGCACGTAATGGCATATTGTCTTAGTCTTGTAGTGAAGCTCCGGCAGTGAGGTATAGATCTGCCATCGAGACGGGTTGCATAAAACTCGATGACTCGTCCGTCTTCTCTCCAATGCGATCAAGTCAAATTTTGAAACATCTCAATCTTGCGGACGACCAATCATAGCAATGTCAAGTTCTGAGAAGAGCGCTTCCCCTAAAGATGAGGAAGTCAATAGTGACTCTTTAACTACACCGATTCACCACGGTGAGAGACCAACGTGAAGGAATTTGATTAGGCAAAGCTGACCTTTCCAGTCAAATGGTATCGGTCGACATTCTACAATGCGCTCATCCTGGGACTTTGCAATTTCCTGGCTCCGGGCATCTGGGGCGCAATGAATTCGCTGGGTGGAGGAGGCGAGGAGAAGCCCTATCTTGTCAATGCGTACGTTTATATGACTAGACTTATAATGATTTCGATATACTAACAAATGTATAGAGCAAATGCACTAACATTCGCCCTGATGGTGGTATCCTGCTTCTTCGGAAGTGTTATTGTCAAATTCATTGGAATCAAGTGGACTTTCATTGTGGGAACGATGGGCTACGCGCCATATGCGGCAGGCCTATATACAAACAACCGATTCGGAGACGAATGGCTGGTGCTCCTCGGTGCCGCCCTATGTGGTAGCTCAGCAGGCATTTTCTGGATGGCCGAAGCCGCGATCGCTCTCGCCTATCCCGAACCATACAATCAAGGACGCTTCTTGGGATTCTGGCTCAGCTTCCGTGTCGGAGGACAAATCCTGGGCGGCGCTATCAGTCTGGGTATCAATGCTCGTCGGGCAACGGAAGGCAGTGTCTCTTACACTGTCTACCTCATCTTCATTGCACTCCAAGCACTCGGTCCCTTTGCTGGGTTACTCCTCAATAAACCCTCTCAAGTTCAGCGAAAGGATGGAGTACCAGTTCAGCTGCAGGTGACAAACAGCATTGGCTACGAACTGAAAACAATGGTGAAGCTTTTCATCAGCAAAAAGTTCCTGTGCATCGTTCCATTCATCTGTCAAGCGGTTTACTCCGAGGCAGTGATGTTTTCATATGAAGGTCTCTGGTTCTCCGTGCGCTCAAGAGCCCTCGGTTCATTCTTGTCTGGCATCATTGCATTGATCATGGGCAATCTTCTTGGCGCATTCCTTGACAACAAGTCTATCTCGTTGAAGAAGCGATCCCGATATGCCTTCTTCTTTGTTGTAGGTTGGCAAGGCCTGTGTTGGGTTTGGGCCAGTGTGGTGACCACCGAGTTTCACAAAACAAACCCTGTGTATGATTGGACCGATCCAGGATTTGGAAGAGCCTTCGCTCTGTTCCTATTCTGGGTTGCCGGTTTCCAGATCAATTACATGTACCTGTGAGTGATTTGCTTGTGCCTGGAGATCTCATTGAGAGAAGATGTTAACCCCGAGACAGATACTTCGTGGTCGGCAATCTGGCTGATGATCAGGAAGAAGTCATTCGAATTGCTGGATTGTTGCGTGGAACTGAGTCGGCAGCCCAGTGTGTCAGCGTGAGTTGATCCGTCAGTACTTTTCTCCTTCTCCGTCAGTGAATATTGACTTTTGATTTGTAGTATGGCCTGAGCAGTATCGCGGTTATGGCTGCAGTTGGAAGTGTGTACCTGAACTTCGCTTTGTGGGCCGTTGCCATTCCCTCTGCCTGGTACATCATCAGTCAGATCGGGCTCTTTGGAGACAAGAAGTTGGAAAGAGAAACCCGGGCGTTGCGCGAGTCATCTGATAATGAATGAGCAATAGTCTCGTAACGTACGGCTGATGCAAGGGATTCTCAGCGTTTGATTTTCCGGTTTCCATACAGTGCGCATAGACAGTTTCGGTGTCCTCCATCAGAATAAAAGACTAATTTACCACAATTTCTGTTGATCTCCTTTCCCCCGTATCCGAAAATTTAGGCAACTTTGGGGCGAATAACCCGGGACGGCAAGGATAATCGTAAGCGTGAATTGGAACAGGGTTTTCATCGACGATATAACTATACAGCGGACTGGAATGTCCGGTTATCTTGACTAAACACGAGCAAGGCGAGACGGTGTCGGACGAAGAGACCAAGGAATCCACACGCAGTCTGGACCGCCACCATGTGCCATGCCAGTCGATCTTCCCTCATTGGGCCCATCCATACGAGCCAAAGGTTCAAGATCGTGAGATTCGTGGACTCGACGATTTGGCCATTTTCATCTTTCTGAACGCGCACTAGTCGAAGTGTGTGCAGTATTTCGAGACCCATGGCAATCAATGGAGAAGGTGGAATCGTCCATTCTGTGACAGATGCGTCAAGTAGCCCAGTCGATGCGTTAAATTTGGGAAGCCGGTGGCGTGGGCAGGGAATGATATGGAAGAGCTGAGGTGTTGAATAGAGAAAGTTGAAGATCTGAGGGACGAATAGCAGCAGCAACGTTTTGCTGAAATGTCCCAGAATGCCCACAACAGCAAAAACCATGCCCGCGAGGTAACAATAGGTATCACCGACAAATACCTTGGAGGGATACCAATTGTGGCACAAAAGAGCCGTTGAAACACCAATGAAGGGCAGCAAGAAGTAGATCGAAAACAAGTGAGAGTCGGTAGCCGGATGGGGATATGGGGTTATGGGAGCGAGGTACATGGCATCATTCAGGAGCAAAAGGACCGCAATGACCAGCGACTGGGCAACTTCAATGCCGTTGATACCGGCCAGCATGTTGATAGCATTAGGGCAGAAGATTGCGACGGCTGCCATGTAGATGTAGTACAGCCATCCGAGGTCAATAAAATCGCCAAGGTACCGTTGCAGGGGGACGGGTACAACAACGTGTGTCACGCCAAAGTCAACAAAGTAAACAACCAGCATTGGGATGGCTGCAAATGCAGGAATAAGGACCTTATGCCTCCAGCGAATATCGAGCAGGTCGTCCCCAATTCCAAGGATGATGATACATTGCAAAGACAAAAGACCCGAGAGATAAGATGCGAGCTGATTCGAAAATGTTAGCTTTTCCATGGAAATTGAATTCTTTCAGATGGAGACTTACTCTTCCATGGGGGAATCTATGGAGGAACCGCCCAGTCTCAATATGTTGGTCTTCGATAACAACGTCACGATTGCCTCCACCAGAAGTGGCTGCGACAATATCCTTGTAGAAGGCAAAGGGAATGAAAATGATGAGAGAAAGTAGATAGACCACGGCACAGACTGCACCCATTGTTTCCGGTCTGAATCCAAACATGAGCCTTCATTTCATGAGCGGATAACAAGTATCGAGCAATTGAACTTACATTTCAGGTTTTCTGGGTTTGGCCATATCTTTTCCCCTGAGGCCTGCTTTGATAAAAACAGGTCCAAGCCATCGAATCATGCTGTAAGCGACTGCAAAAGCAATGAAAGACAGAGCAATTGAGGCGATCACCGGTGCGCCATCGCCATGGAACGTGTTAACCAGGATGCCGAGACCGGCCCCCACGAGGAGCAACAGACGCCATGTCTCCGATCGAGAGAGGGTACTTGGAACTGGCATAACGAGCAAATGGCCCCAGTTCCGGGTTCTCAAGATTCTACTCCAGCGAAAAGAGTGACGAGAAAGAAATAATAATTCTTATAAAGAAAGAGCTGACGCAAGCTGGCTTCATCCGAAATTAGCTCCGATAAGCTTATCAGAACTGCCGCGTGTACTCTCACCGCCCTTGGGCGGTGAGTGCCGTGAGGCCGGATCCCGTGATGATCGCCTGCCAAGAAGGGAAACCCGCGCACGCACGCCGCTGAGACACCTCTGTTTCATGTCCTAGCATGCATACGTGTGAGTGAAGCGCATCATTGGCTCCTAGTCAGATCTTCCTGGCCTTTCCTATTCAAGGCGAATATCTGGTCGCGATGGGGGCAGTGGAGCGCCCAGAGATGGCTGGCGGGTTTACCGACTTCGATGCCGGTCACCGGGATCTGGTAGCTGTGACCAAGTACAACTATTATGGGAACCGGCTTGTCACGGCATCTTTGGACCACCGAATGAAAATCTGGGACCTCAAGGATGGCCAGTGGCAGCTCATCGATACATGGCGTGCGCATGATGCCGAAATTCGCGATGTGAGTAACACACATGTTCGTTGCGAGCTCGATCAAGTGCTAAACAGCTCTAGGTTGCATGGAACGGTCCTTTCACAGGCCAGCATCTTGCCAGCATTGGAGAGGATATGCGACTGAAGATCTGGCAAGAAGATGTGACCCAAGCTCCTGAAACGGGCCGGCGGTTCAAATCCATCTTTCGCTTGACAGCACCTCATCGACACCCCTTTGTTTCCTTGGACTTCCGCAACATTGACTTGGAATCATGGCTTGCTGTGATCACACGCGATGGCTACTTGATGGTCTTGGAACCTGTCAGCCCAGACAGCCTGGCAGACTGGCAGACTATCGACCAGTTTAGAGTTTGCGCAGCACCTGAACGTGGCGAGGAGACCAGCTTCAAAGTTCAGTTCCACCAGGATCCCACTGATATTACACACACAGTGCTCCCAGAATCGGATCGAAAGAGTCTGTCGCTCGTGGTAGCAGCCATGGACACAGTCAAGATCTACCGTACCGACGCGAACCGGCGCTTTTACCATGCAATCGAGTTGAATGCTCTTGGCGGTCTCGTCAGGGATATTTCTTGGGCACGTGGCTCAGTCCGGGGCTACGATCTCATCGCAAGCGGAGGCAAGGACGGAATGATTCATATCTTTGAAGTTTACACAATTGCTGCCAATCAAGGATCGCAAACGGCAAATTCTCGGAAGGCTGAACGGCGCCAGCAGCAATCATCCTCTACCCGAACCACGTCCCAGTCTGGCATCGGGACCGCCTTGGCCAATCGCACACCTTCTTCGGCCTCTAGTCGCCAGGCTACTGGAGATTCTCAGTTCCGCCATTCGTTCAAACATGTGGCATCCCTTGATAGCAAGCACCTTGATATCTGGCAGGTGGACTTCTCCTTTGCTGGTAAGTGGTGAAATTGTCCTTCAATAATCAATCCATTGCTCATGGGTTTATCTACAGGTGATTCCTTGATGTCCTCCGGGGATGATGGCGTTGTTCGGTTCTGGAAGAAGTCGTTGTCTGGGGAGTGGCTTGAGTTTGCTGAAACTGACATGGCAGCTCAGTGATCTTTGATTCGGGTGGAAACCTTGACCTTGACGGGTAAAGGTTTGAACGCTGCAGGAAGCTCCGGCGAGACACCGCCAGCGATGATGTATGAGTACTGGCGCCGGGAACAAAACCATGGTGCATCGGGTGGGTAGCGAGTTCGATATTATTATTATTACATTTTTCCGGGCCTCAAATATGAGGCAAATGATACCCTAATGCTTATCTGAACCTTGTACTTTTGAGATTATCGTATAGCGTCCTTTTGGTAATTTCTCCAGTTGCGGGATGGCCACGCATCAAAAGCAGGAGCGAATCTGATGCAACCTGCGCCTAGTGGGCCCGACCAGTATAACTAGGATCAAGAATCTTGTATTTCTAAGGTCATCCTTATCCTATGTCGATGTCTCCATCCTTTTGATCGCATTGTCGGTGTATTTACTACGAATCCGCCATGGCATTGGGGCCTACTCTTGGCACCGGTCTGTTCGTCGGCGCCGGGCAGGCGCTGGCCATTGGTGGCCCAGCATCGCTACTCATGTCCTACACATTCTTATCGCTCCTTGACCTACTTCATGGTCACGACTGTCGCCGAAGTCGCCACTCATGCCCCAGCTCGACACGGTACATTAGTCACGAATGGCTTCCGATACATGACAGACAGTATGGGTTTTGCCGCTGGAATCCTACGCTGGTACACGTTAGCGATGTTCGTCCCCTACGAGATTACAACTGCGATGGTGAATCTCGGCTTGTGGAATCCCGGCTCAACCATTGCATTGCGAACGCTGCTCATCATGACTATCGTTGTGGGATCCAACTTCACGCCCGAGAGACACTTTCGAGCCTCGGAGCGGCTCTTCACTAGAGTCAAAATCGGCACGATTGCGTGTCTCCTCGCCTTGTCGCTTTCGATTGGCTTTGGAGGCGCGTCGGGACATGCCAATTGGGGGTTTGAATACTGGAGAAAACCTGGGGCCATGCATGAATACTTATTCCCCGGGTCTCTGGGAAGATTCTGGGGCTTGCTCCAGTGTGTCTTGCACAGCTCTATCGCTTTCACGTTCGCCCCCGAAATCATTGTCCACCGAGCTGAGACGGTTGAGTTGGTTCACACCGAGATTGGCGAGGTGCTAGACCCGACCGTCCAAGCCAATTTCCCCAGCAAGGTTGCATTCGATGTGGCCACAACTACGTTCCCGTATATCCTGAGCTCCCTGGCGATGGGAATCATGGCCCCATACAATGATCCGTTGCTGACAAACAATGGAGCTGGAGCTGGTCTTTCGCCCTTTATCATTGGGATGAACACCGCGCGTATCCGCATTGTCCCCGTCACCGCAACGCTGGCCATTCTGGTTTCGTCTGTTGCTTCGGCTCGATCGTTCTTATTCCTCGCTTCACGAGCACTATGTGCAATGTCTGAGCTTGGGCATGTTTATCGGGTTCTCAAAGTGCGCAACCGATGGGGCGTTCCCTATGTCGCTGTCAGTGCCACGGGACTTTTCGCCCTGTTAGCATTCATCTCCGTGAGAATTTCGAGCTCCATCACGACCACCTACTTCCTGCTCTTCGTGAACAGCTCCGGCTACCTGTCCTGGTTGGTATCGTGTGTGATATTTCGATATCATCGACAAAGTTCGGGACTCCGTCACAATACCAACTCTTATCAATTTGCCATTCAGCCGTTTGGGACATATTTCGGGGCTTTGATGAGCGTGATCTTGCTCATGTCCAATGGCTTGGCGGGAGGGATAGGAGGTCCTCGTCCCGGTCCCCAAATCGCAAGAATTCTCGCTGCCTATTGCAGCGTCCCTATCTTCGCAATCTTGTATTTCGGGCATCGGTTTCGAACGATGGTGCCTTACCGGACATCCCATAGTGACCCGGGAGTGCACGGCGGCCACGAGCTCCGGCGTAAAACTGTCTTCCAAGTCTCCGAACCGCAGCAAGGAGGGTCTTCCCAAGTGGCTTCACCTGGAATCGTCTAGGTGAATCACGTATGGTAGATGGCAATGGAGGCGTTAAAGTTCGATTTCAAGCCTGATCGAGGAGACCGCGGCGTACGTAGAGAAACATCACGTATATTGGGAGTTGTGGCGGATTCGTGTACCTTGATGGCCGTGAACATGTATTATTAATGGGTTGGTTTCTGTTGTATCAGTAGTGTTGCCCGCCGTCTGAATATCACGAGTCATCAGGGTTGTTGCTAGCTACTCGTTTGTCATCGCTCTCTACTTACCAATCCCAGCGACCCTGGCAACGTGATTCAACTTCTTTTCTCTTCTCTTCCTCTTTCCCTCCAATCCACTTCCCTTTTCCACCTCATTGACCATGATGGGTTCTTCGCTCAACCATCCTTCCTACTGATTGAAACTTAATGAACAGCAGTGAGCATTTTCTGACCGTTACCCAGACTTGGGTGGCTCGTGCTGCTGTTGCGTGTAAGTATCGCCGGGGCTTTAGCCCTGAACCCCCACATGCCCCGGGACTCTGGAACAACCAACCTACCTTTCTAATTCAGGTTTGAACATTGACACTGCCATGATATCCAGCATCTGCCTGTCAAGCCATGACCATCTATCCACAGGCTGTGGACCACGGCACTGTCCTCACCACCCTGGTGCATGGGTCAAGCACCACTCCCATACTATACGGCGCGGGTCCATTGAGTGGACCTTACCGGGCGGGTTTCAATACGCTTTTTCGCCTTAATTTAACAGTCCTCGGATGATCGACTAACGGTTTGATTTGCTCCTGTTCCTTGCGCTTCGGTCCCTCTATAGTGGCAAAAAAAGGCCACCAAATCACTGGATTGGAAAATAGTATCGGAAGCCTGCTGGGTAGCCGGCCCCTTTTTACTACGGTGAGTGTCTTCTCTTTTCCACCACTTTCGGGCACCCTTTCCACCTCTACTTCTACCACTTCATCTTGGGCAGCTTCAGATGGAAACTATTATTCTGGTTCTCCGCACAGTTGCACTGTTCATATTGTGACCCTCTTTTCTTTTTCTTCTTTGGGATTTCTCCCTCGGAGATCAGCGACCAAGAAGATCAAAAAGAACTCTGGGCCAGATGACTGACTGATAGGCCTCAGTGCCTCAGGTCTACTACTCCGACTGGCTTTGCTACCCTTTTCTGTTCTCCTCCACCCCCTTCTTCCCCTCTCTCTTTCTCCCGACTTCTGCACTACGCCTCCCCTGCCCCATTCTTACCCTTCCGTCTCCCGGCCGATCTCTCTCCTCCCATGGATGCAATTCTCCCCATTTACCCACGTTCCATGCTGCTTGTATACTACACTTTCCATTCCAAACTGACTTTTGGGCCAACTCCCATAAAACAGTCTCCTGTTTATATATCTCTTTACTTGGAAAGAGTTCCCTGGCCCTTCTCGTGAATCTCACGCTTGCCGAGTCTGGCATTGCTGGGTTTTACTCCTGGACTTTCTCTCCCTCGCCCTTGCTTGGCTCACAAGTCCTTTCACGGTCTTTTTGCATACTTCTTGTTCTTTCTTTGTTCTATGCCCCTCTTGTCTTTTCATTTCTTTTCTTCGGAGCAAGCTAATCTCTCCTTGGAGAATCAAGCCTGGCCACCCAAGCCTGCCAAAACCCTTGAATCATAATGCTCAATAACTGGCACTCGATCGGGTTGCAGCCTTATGAAACGGGTGTCTCCCGTCATGACTGGGCTGCATGCCATCCTGGATGTGCTTACGGCTGAACCTGCCGGTCGGGTCACAATGATAGGGCCTTCTACTTACTTCTACGAACTAACTCAGGAGGGGCTTTGGTCTTTGCACTGACTAACACGATACTACCATTTTCTAGATGCTAACCACTAACCCTCCGCTGAACCCCCCACCTGCCCTGCACTCTACAGCAGCACCAGCTTGTCCTTGTCCACATTTCCGTGACTCGTGACTTTCTCTCCACCGGATTAGGTCTTCCCGGCGCTAGTCCGAGTTCCGCTTAGCGTGTCCCCAGAACAGCAGTTGCTGTTCTCGCCCTGTGTGGCCCTATTGATTACAGAATGACACCAATTCTTGGTATCGAGCATAACCATACCAGCAATACCACAGCCTGACTAACCTGACTAACCTCTCCCTCCGGGCTCTGGCTCTCCCGTCGCAATGCCTAACGCCAGAATGCCAATAATACCGCCAGGTTTGGCCCGCTAATCGTTTTCGGGTCGAGTCCCCCTCCCATGTTCCCCCCCCAGCCGCTGTCTTCCCTCGCAGTCCGGTTTTCTTCTTCGCTGAGGGCGCGACTGCTCCAATCCGCGCTATTCCCCTTTCGCTCCCTGCACTCGGGCTTTCTCTGCCTAAGGCCCTCCGTAGCCTCCTCCTTCGACCACTTCTCGAATCACCCTCTTTTCCCTCTCCTTTTCTTGTCTGCGCGTCCCTTCTCTACCCTCCGATTCTCCTTCACCCCTTCCCCATTTCGTTTGTTTCAGGCTCAACTCTTCTCGATCCAACCGTCTCGACTCTTCGCCTTCTTTTCTCCTCCTCGTCCTTGCGATCCCGTCGTCCTCCCTTCTCGCTCTCTCTCGACTGACCCTCTTCTTGGACGAACAACTCAACACGATTCCTCCTGCGCAAATCCTGTCTCGCTGATCACCTTATCTCGAATCGCCTCGATTCTTATTCCTACCTGCCACTTTTCTCGCGTCGATTCCTCCATTCCTCATCGCTCCACCCTTCAGCACACCGGACAGGCGCATTCGGCCAAGGTTTTCTTTCCCACCAGAGAGCCATCCGTAGCAGTCTGAACGCCATCATAATCCGCTCGATTACCCTGTGAAGAAGGTCGGCTGCGGCATTGACTGTGGTGTTTTCTCAAGACTCTACGCTCTGACGCTGTCGCCTGACTGGCTGTCCCCACAGGCCAAACGCGTCTCGTATTGGCAAAGGGATTCTTCAAGACTGACGCCACTCTCTCCCTTGAAGCGATCGTGGACATGCTCGTTGCACAGTAACGGGTCGGCCACGCCATCGTTTCTCAGCATATCTCAGTTTGTCGTGATCTGAGGGGGGGTAATCTGTCGGACTATGACAGATACCTCCTCCCTCGCCATCACGCACGCCACCACGGATCCGTATCCGGTCTCCGTCCCTGCTTCTCTGGGATCCCCCATCGCCAACGGGGCAATCTCTGACTCGGTCGCGCCCGACGAAGAAGAACCGTACACCATCAAATGCATCTGTTTATTTGATGAGGATGATGGCAGCACGGTTTTCTGCGAGGGGTGTGAGACGTGGCAGCACATCATCTGCTATTACCCGGACAAGCGGGTACCGGATGTGCACAACTGCGTCGACTGCGAGCCTCGCCAGTTGGATGCCCGGCGCGCTGCTGAGCGTCAGCGCCATCGGCGGATCCGAGAGCAGAGTGAGGACGGTGACCGGAAGAAGCGATCTGGTACAAAATCCCAGAAGAAAAAGGTCCGGGATGGCGACGTGAATGGTTTTGGACATCAGCGAAGCGAGTCGGGGGCTCGCGATCAACCCCCAGCCAAAAAGACCAAAACTGGTCACCGATCCTCTGCATCGATCAGTGCCCTCGCGGGTACACCGGTCCTTCCCGCCGAGAGCCGAAAACGCCGTTCGTCGACCTCTGTCGCCCCCAGTCCTACCAAACCTCCCGCTCCTTCTATTCCCCTGTACTCCAACGAATTCCTCCGTCTCTATGACCATGATGATGAACGTGTCGACATGGACAGCAACCTCTTCCACAATGTGAACCTCCTGAGTGATACCGCGTCATGGGTCAAGGATCCGGAGGCCCTGTCTCGGGTGACTAATGGAGGTGCTGAGAATACTTTCAACCGGTCCGATGCCGCCCTCGATAAATCTCGCTGGCCCACGTTAACAACCGATACCATCACTGATGCAACGGTTGACATTGGCGGCAGACACCCAACCTGGAAAGTCGTCAAAACTCGGGATGCGGTGCAAAAAGACCATGTCGTTGGCGAAATCACAGGCAAAGTCGGCATTTTTGACGACTATTGTCTGGATCCCAATAACCGTTGGCCCGAGCTCCGTCACCCCGAGCCCTTCGTTTTCTTCAGCTCCCACTTGCCTCTTTACATCGACAGCCGCCATGAAGGCAGTATTCTTCGTTACACCCGCCGGTCATGCCGCCCCAACGTGACCATGAAGATCTTCATCACCAACGATGTGGAATATCACTTTTGCTTTGTTGCAAAGGAGGACATTCCTGCGAATTCCGAAATCACGATCATGTGGTATCTGGATTCTCAGTTCTTCGGGTCCGCAAATGGCCTGGTCAAGCAAGAGGATAGTGCGACGGAAGCCCCGGCTATCTGTATCAGCAATACCCTCGCGAATTTTGGCGGGTGCGCGTGCGATCAGCCAAATTGCCTCCTTGCCAGCTTGGACCGGCGACGAAACCCAAAGTTGCTCGAGTCCTCTAAACAAACAAACGGCAAACGCAAAAAGGCGAAATCAAAGTCGGTTGCCTCCCCACTTGACACGGGGCGTGGGTCCACTAGTCGCGCAGGAAGTGAGACTACCAAACATCCAGAAGAGGATGATGTAGCGGTCGACAGTCGTTCTACTTCTGGCTCAGTGCGTGGTCAACCTCGTAGCCGCGATCTCAGCCCTACGACGGCTGGTCTCTCGGAACTTTCTACCCGTGAGAAGCGAAAAATTGCAGACGCCGAGAAGCAGTTCCAGCAACTGGAACAACAAGACCATCGTCCAACGACTCAGCGAAAGAAGAAGCGGGTAAGTGGGCCACTAGCTCAATCACCTGCGGCGGTTTCGACTGCCACGCAAGCGGGGTCTTTTGCGACTCACCGCGGCTCAACAAAATCGCTGCATCTCGACACCGTTGGTCGCTCTCGCTCACCCACCACCGCGATGTCTCCTGGTTTTGTTGCCGCCGGTCGTCAGGGATCGCCTCGCAAGACCTCTGGGTCTAACACTCCCTTTGCCCACTCTCCTCTCAGCCGTCCTACTTACGTTGACTCGGCTATCCAGTGTGACATGGATGAAGTGGAGTATCAAGCAGCCCGCGAAGCGCTTCCTCAACCTCGTCCTGCTTTTGTCCCAAGAACTGTCCGAATCCTCCAGCGGTTCAAAGCAGATCGTCTTCGAGCTCAGGAGCTTGCACGTCAACAGCTATCTTCGGCTGGCTCGGATTCCGCCGTCACTGCTGGATCCTCATCCCCAGCTCTCATCAACTCTCCCATAACGAAGCAGGAGAAGTCTGATGTCATCATGTCTGATGGTATTCCTCCCGAGTTGCCTCATCAGGCAGATGTTGAGATGCAGGATGTGACCCGTCCCTTTTACTCCGACAGTGTTCAGACAGACGCTAGCAAGCCAGTGATTCCACCTCCATGGCCATCTACTGCTGCACACAACACCCGACTCCCCGGTGTCACTACTCCAGAGCGCGCCAACCTCCGCGTCTCCATGCCTCCACCAAGCATCCCCAACGTCTCCGCCACTGGGAGCCCTGGCTCGATGTCTGCTGCCAGCCTCGCCTCTCCCATCACCGTCGACACATCTCCCCACGCTACTGTTCCTCCACCTAGTGCAATTGCACCGACTCCGACCCCAGCCAAGAAGAAACTCAGTCTTGGTGATTATCTGATTCGACGAGGTACCATGGCAACTCCAACATCTGAGAAGACCCAAAGCTCGGTCCAAGCCAACGCCGTACCCTCCACTCTGAAATCACCATCGATTCCAGGCTCAGGGCCCACAACCAGCGCAGATGGGGCCCAGACTCCAACTAAACCGTCTCCGGATGGCAAGTCAGAGTCTCTTGGGTCGCCTGATGTAGCGATGAAAGACGCGCCAGAATCAATCCAGCCACGCATTCCTTCCATTTCTTCGTGATCTGTCTTCAATACCCCCTTTTTTCTTCCTTTTGCTATTTGACAGTAATACTTGTGGCCTGGTTTGACTTGTGGTTGTTGACGGTTGACGAAACCTCTCTTTTCGCAAGGGATTTACGTTTCTAACGACTCAAAAATGTTCTTTCGTGTGACTTGGATTGCACCCCTTGAGGTGCGAACCAATGGCGTTTTATTAGGTTTTGGCTCTATGCTTTGTGTGACGTCTTTTGACTTTGTCTTTGTTTTTGTTTACTTGAAAGGCGTACATGGCGCGACCATTCACGGTCGGTTTACGGAAATACCAGGGTTCGGTTCGGTCGGGTTCGGTTTGGGATGGTCCGTGTCTTTGGGCTATTATGCTTCTTCTTTCCTGTTTGTTTCTTTCTTCTCTTCCGTCCAAGGAATGGCCAGCTTTGGCTGGGTGCCGGAAGCATACTCGAGCCTTTGAGATCTACCAACCATCTCATTGTCTATGACATGATCTACCGGACTTTCTTTTTCTCTCCTTTACGGATCGATATCCAATGCCAGAAACAGGACTGGCTTGCTTGTATGAACAATTTTATTCTTACCTTGTATCCGTTTCCATTGCTTGTAAGATAGTAAGGTAGTAAGGAAGGGATGATAATCGTGTTATGAAATTCAAAGTTCAACACCTTCGACTGGATTCCCACCGTTTGGGTATACATTTGCCTCTCGTTGCAGCATCCATGTCGTCATTGGGTAGAAAGAGAAACACGGAGTACTTCCGGACGCATCTACGGCCCCGACAAGGCTCCGATGAGTCAATAATCAACCTGAGACGGAAACTCCTCACACAACATCATCTCATATTCTGCTTCAAACATTCACCATCCGTTACACAGATACATGAAATTCTGAGAAACATGAGCTCTGCCAACCACGAGACCATCTCCCTGAGCGAGATACCCTCTCATCGCTCCTCCGATGACGTGACTCCATTGGAGATCGAGCAGCCCTCGCTACCCCCCGCAGATGGGGGAAAGCTGCGTGGCTATTACTCGCGTCATGCTGTCTTATTCAGTTACCAGTTTGGGGTGTGCACTAAGTGCGAATGGCACGAGTACCTATGACAATATCTAATTTAGGAGACTAGGATTCTCGAGCGTCTTTGGTATTTTCCAAGAGTACTACAGCACGCATGATGTTTTGCGAGGCGATAAAGGGGACCTGGCTACCGTGGGAACTACATCAACAGTATGCGGAAAGCCATTACACTGGGGAATACGATCTAACTGAATCCTCCAGGGTCTTCTATACCTCTTATCACCTGTGACCTTCACCCTGTTGACACGATATCCACGCCTTCAAATTTGGTGCATTCCAACGGGTCTAGCCATTACCATAATCGGTTCTCTTTTGTCGTCTTTCTCGCAGCAAGTATGGCACCTCATTGCGACCCAGGGTATCATTTGTGCTATCGGTAATGCGCTCATGTTCAGTCCATCGTCTCTGTATATGGACCAATGGTTCATACAGAAGAAGGGACTTGCCCTTGGAATTATGTGGGCGGCTAAGAGCATAACTGGTGTGGCATTGCCCTTCGTGGCGAGTGCTTGTTTGGATAAGTTCGGTTCTAGTACAACTTTCAGGGCTTGGACTGTCACCACGGTATGATGCACAAGCCCATTGTTGCCTTTTTTTTTGTCCCCAATGCACATGAGATTATGCAGGCAAAGGGCTCGAACGATCCCTTGTGCGTCCATATCTAACATTAAACAGCTACTCACTACCCTACTCTCCCTACCGTTCATGAAGCCTCGAATACCCGTCTCACCCTCTGCGTCAGCCCGACGTCTGGACCTCAGTTTCCTGAGATTAGCCACGTTCTGGATGCTCCAGATAGGCAACATAATCCAAAGCTTCGGATACTTCTTACCCTCCACCTATCTACCATCCTATTCGACCACAACAGTCGGTTTATCCGGGACAATGGGCACAGTGCTAGTCTCGCTCTTCAACGCGACTTCTATCGTGGGAGGAATCTGCGTGGGAATGCTGTGCGATCGTTTCGCAGTCTCAAACATCCTCCTTTTCTCCTCGGTAGGCTCAGCGCTATCTGTATTCCTTCTCTGGGGCATGGCATCATCTCCGGAATCCGAATCGTCTCAGACGGCAATTGCTCTGCTCACTCTATTCTCCATCTTTTATGGCTTCTTCGCGGGTGGGTTTAGTTCTACCTGGTCAGGTGTCATTAAGCAGATTAAGCGTGATTCTTCTGCGTCTTTGGAGACGGGTTTGGTCTTTGGCCTGCTTGCTGGAGGGCGAGGGATTGGTAATGTTATCAGTGGTCCGTTGAGCACGGCGCTGATCAGGCAGGGATCGCTGAGTGGTCCGCAAGGTAATGCTGGAACTGGCTTTGGGACTCAGTATGGGAGTTTGATTCTTTTTACTGGCATTACAGCGATTTTTGGGGCATGGAGCTGGATGTGGCGGTATATTAGTTCTGGGGTTCGCTGCGCCAGTCGCTGAGAGCAGGTTGATTTTTCAAGTGCAGGGGCGGAGATTGGGTTGATTTCATTCCAGTGGAATCGGTTTGAGAACTAGATTCAATTTTTGAAATGATAAATCCATGAAGAGCAAACATGATTACTTATCGAGTATGAAAATCAAACATGCAAAGCAGTAAGGTCCAGGTCGACCCGTTCCTTAATCTCTAGTCACGTGCATCGCGAGCTTCAACGCCTGTCATTCCACCAGAACACTTTCCAGGCGCAACCTCCGGTCCACACTCCACCGCCGTTGTAGCTTCATTTCAAGTCGCTGTGACCCTCAATTACAACCATGGCGACGACTGATTCGGCTGTTCAAGACCCTCTCCTGTCGCTTCGGCGCGCGATTGCTGCAGGTAGCCTCCCAACGCCGACGACCTCCTCCGAGCTGTCAGACCAGCATGCGACAGACAACCTCGCCCAGGCCTCACACCTCTTCTTCTCCCAACCATCTCCTCACACATTTCCTTTGACTGAGCCCACGCGCTTTGTCTCGAACACCACAGAAACCGCCGTCGATCTCCGCAGTATCTTCTTCGCGTGGCAGAAGAAGGATGTCGCGATTCCAGAGTACATTGCCTCTGCGCAAGAGCTGAACGAGGCGCTCAAGCAGAAGGAGCCGCAAGAAGGGGGCAAGGAAGAAGTGGTTCAGAACCTCGTTTTCGTCGAGCGTCTCGACCTTATCACCTGGCTGGAGGGTGCTTCCGACGAAAGCGAGCACATCAAGCCTCTCGAGGGTGCAGCTGCCGCTGCCGAGGCCGCTGCTGTAGCTGCAGGCCAGGCCCAGGCAGAGGCTGCCGCCGGTGTAGCCTCTGGGGCCGTTGGAGGCATTTCGACAGTGCCCAGCGGAGCTGCTGGAGCACCTGGCCAGGCAGGTCGCCCACAGAAACAGATTGATCCTCGCCTGCAGGAGATCTACAATGGGGAGCGCAAGACGGGGGACCGTAATACATTGCTTCGAGGAATCAAGCCAACAGTAAGTTGATTGTGCTATCAGAGCAGATGGACATACTGCGTGATCGGCCCACAGAAACTAACCCTCCCTTTCCTCTCCAGGACTTCTCCCACGTCCGTAAAAGTGCTGCCATCTTTTTCGACCGCAGCCGTGACCGTGCCGGTCAGCCCGCGAAACCCGGCGTCAAGCCCTCATCAATGGTCCCCGCACCCTCTGCCGGCCTGCCCATGCCATCCCGCAAATCCAGCTCTCGCCCCGATCCCATCATTCTCCTCTCGCCCTCCGCCTCCTCTCTCATCCGCATGTCGAACATCAAGTCCTTCCTACAAGACGGTGTCTTCGTGCCTCCAGATCACCCAACCTTGAGCATGTCCACCGAGGCCAACTTCATGGAACTCAAGCGGCCGCTGCGTCTTAAGAACGACCCCTCCAATCCTTCCGCCAATGCCATCGGCTCGGCCGCCGGCGGCCGCGGCCCCAAGCCTACCAAATTCATTCTCGTTGACGGCACAACCAACTTCAAGCCGGAGTACTGGTCACGTCTCGTGGCTGTCTTTACTACCGGACAAACCTGGCAGTTTAAGTCGTACAAGTGGTCTTCACCACCAGAACTCTTCAAGCATGCTACCGGTATCTATGTTGGCTGGCGTGGCGAGGATGTCCCATCTACAGTTAAGGGCTGGGGTCGTGGAGTAAATTCCTTTGCTGTTGAACGATGGGATGAGAAAGGTGGTATCAACGGTGGTGGCCGCTGGCGGGATCGGGAAGTTGTCGAGGGAATTTGGACCGCGATCGAGGAAGGCATGAGACTCCGAGGATGGGGATCAAAATAGAGAATCTTTCCCCTTACCTCTGTTTCGCATACTTTCTTCCCGTGTTTTTAATATTCTGGGCATGCAGCTTCCCCTTCTTACTCTTTTCCCCGTCTCGCGCCACGCGCCTTCCCTTTTGTCTCCAACTTCCACCTGGCCCAGAAATCTGGTTTAAGTTTGATGGCATGTGCATGCAGAGTCCACGTAGGTTCCGGCGTTTCAATGGGGAGTTTAAATTAACATTAAAACTTGATACATTCAACTGGTTTTCGACGGCTCTGTGATAATAGCTTCCAAATGACGAATGAAAATAAATTATTCTGATATTGCTCTGCTGAAGACTGTAGCACTTAGAATTCAGGCTTGAAATCGGTGTCGTTATGGACGAGGTTCGAACTTCCATTCAAGCTTAACATTGGGCCGCTCTGCTTCCATGTCCTAGGTAGTCAGGACGTTGCTGAAGATGATCTTCCGGTCAATACCCAGTCATTCCTCCGATCCGGTTTTCATTGAATTTGTATGATGCGTAGTTCCCAATATTATTTAGGGGAACGTAGGTATTTGCTGAAAACTCTGTCTAAGACCCCGTGGTAGAGTTTATCTGCAGATAGTACCCAATAGATATTTGTAACTCAATATATAGCAATTGAAAGTAATGGGCGTACTCGCCGTTGGTGAATTCTTCAGTCCTGTAGATTCCCGGGGTCGGACAAGTATACAGTGGAAACCCGAAGGACATCCCAAGCACAACACAAGAGCTCTTGGTCTCTTGTCTGCTCTGAATCAATGTAAAATAAATCCTATTTTAATTTGAATCTATCAGAATATTGAAAAATAGCTTTATTAGTAATCAATATGTGAATAAAATCTAACCAAATCGACTCAATTCTCAAGTTGATATCAACCTTTTTCAGCCTACACTATATGTTTGTATCTATTTTTTACCGTTTATTTATGCAAATTAAGCTTTATTCTATGCTGCACATGCCATAACGCCGAAATTCTGCCATTGGGGGGTCATATCATACATAAACCTCAAAATATCATAACTTGGCCATTTTGATATCAAATCCATTCTGGTTTGCACTATAATTTATTTTTCTGCTTCCTCCATCAACAAGCACCGGTAGCTCAGGGGTTAGAGTATGGGATTGCAGATCCTAGGGTCGGGCGTTCAAATCGCCCTCGGTGCTCAACTTTTTGTTTGAGTTTATCTCATTTTTTCCTAGTTTTTTGATATTTTAGCCATTTTCGTCGCACTCTCGTCGCATTTTCGTTCAAAAAAGCGGGAGTATTTTTAAAAGGGTTATTCTCTTTCTAAAAATCCATGTTTGATCTCGATTTAAAGGGTTATTCCACTATCAGCCTTAAAAGAAGTTTGTTGTACGTGGGCGGAGTTCCATGTTGCATATTCCAGATACGGTTTAACCCCTTTTGACCCGAACTTCATCCTGTATCATCACGTGATCTTTTACGATGGTCTAGTATGTCATGTTCGCCATAACGAGAAGAGTAATTAACTTCCATCAAATTGCCCTTAGTGTTTGCATATCTTTTTATCTCAGAGGTTATATATCACATGCCTATCTTATGTATATATAATGCTTGAAGTGTGCTCTTAGTCATTATTACACGTTCATTCCAACAGTCCATTCCATTTTTCCGTATTCCATCTAATCATCTTGATACATGTACGGCCGTTTATATTGCTTGGTAGACAGTGGACATTTTAGAGCTCTTAGGCTTGTAATAGATCTCACCGCTTGTTCCTTCTCTTCCTTCTGCTTAGTAACTTCGTTAAATGCCACTTAGTGCATTGTTCTGTATCTGAGATGTAGTATAATGTTGAAGAACGCTCTCCCTGAATTCACCTGTCTGAGATCCCGCGAATTACTACTAGAAGAAAAGTATAATCACCAAGAGGGATTTAAACGCCCGACCCTAAGATGTGCAATCTAGTGTAAGTAAGAAAATACTGTTATGACGGGCTTAGCGGATTTTCAAAAAACCGGGCGGAAATTATAGCTCCAGGACTTGCGCCGTGATTTCTCCGGGGGTGAAGCAAGGTTACTCTAAGTACATACCTAGAGTGAAAAAGACGTTAGAGTACCCTGCCCGAGGGACTAGGAGATCCCGGTACGAGTAAATTGTAACTGAGAATCTATAACAACCATCATGGAGCACATGTTATCTTTGAAACACCAAATTCTACATTTACCATGCCCGCTGCTACCACTATCCCATTTCGAAGAATATCGTACGTCAATGAAGAGCATTACATAGGGGATTTCCTATGACGGGTGGTGGTTCCCCCTTTGACCGCCGCCGCTTTAATGAGGACGCTCAGACTCCGACTCACTGAGTAAAACTCAGTCCAGGCTCAGAGTCAGTGATCGCTCAGTGACTCGTTCAGTGACTCTGACTGGATGATCCCTGATTGCTCAGAGACCATCCGAGGCCATCTATTGAGCACCCAGCCTTAGCTAAGGCCATACCAAAATGGGTGCTCGCCCCACATCGCTTTTGGGTCGGAGGATGATTTCTGATGGCCCGAAATGAACCTCAATTTTAGAGACTTGTAATGCAACTCTCACTTTTCACAATCCCTGACACATGAAGTCAAAAAAACTCAGCTAATTGACGCAAAATTACAAGCACAGTCCCCAATTTCCAAGCAATTTTGCATAGAAGCGATTAAATTGGATAGTTTCACTGAGGAACAAGGAATCTATGGTTATGCCAGTGCTGAAGGGTCCAAAGCGCCAGATTATCAGATTATCAAAGAGTTCCTCCGCTGGTACATTCATTCTACTCGAGGACGTCTCAGTAAAAATGGGCGACCGGTGATGAAGTCAGTTCTATCGTGCTCAGAGAGGCTATTTGGTGGTTTTGAGGAAGAGATGCAAATCAGCATCGTAATGCAAGATCGGACAGAGATATTCAATGTATGCTTGGATCCTGAATTATTTCGCTGCTTTCCGACCTATCGCTAAAAATTGAACAGAGGATCCAAAGGTCATTAACAGCGGACGGAACCATTGAGAAGATCGAGTCTCCAAACCAAAGCTTACCAAAAGGGATTTCATGAGAACAATATATTCTTTGTGGCAGACGGCTCATCGCCGTTCTATGCCAGGGCTACTCAAAGTGACTATCTCACTGGCCCTTCAACTATTTTCTTCATTGGCGCGAGAATTGGAGCTTTCATACCAGCCCATGAGGACAAATGGAAAGAGGTCTCCGATACAAGGTCAGGAAAATCTGTGAGGACAGGTAAAATCCGAATCACCAAAATGTTCGCTCTCAGCTCGCACTGGGCAAAGTGAGCTCCATCTTCGACTCTTTATGGAGGATTAAGATGGGTAACCCATCTCTACAAGGGTGTGTGTGTTCCTGCAGATAAGGACGGATCTCTGTGCACGACAAACCATTTTTTTATATTTATTATCTGTCTCAGCCAGACAGCTCCCTGACTGCCACTCGTTTCAAATATTATGTAAGCCAAAATAGCTTGAGAATCAGATGTCGGACTTATTACGGGGCTAAATTTATTTGCTAAAAGCGTGGTGTCGCCATTGTGTATATAACGTGGTATGAGCTTCATTTAAATCGAGGCTGGGAACGATATGTCCGATTCAAGTTGAAATGCTAGCTGACGGCGAATAGAACTCTTTCTCCCAAGCTGCCAGCTCGAAATATCTCGATACAGTTCGAAGCGGTGCCTTTGACGCCACTGCACCCTCAAAACAACATGTCAGGTAAGGCGCCGCTTGCAGGATAAGACAAGCTGTTTCTTCCGCCATGGCCAGGTTCTTTCCCAATGATTGAGCCTGTATGTCAAGCAAGCTTCGCTGGAGTTTTATCATTTGCATAAGAAGTTCCAGCCGATATGACCAGAAGGTCACAGCAAGACCTGCCTTTTGGGTATTTTGGAAGCGGATTTGGTATGTTTCATCTGGGAATGAGGGTATGCAAATCGAGTCGACGTCGACAAATTTGCTTGGCATTGGGATATCTGAATGCCAGTATAGAGGACCCTGCTCGGAAGCTTTCCAATTGCTTTCCCAGTCTTCTAATTGATTGAAGATGACCCGGTAATCATTCAAAAGGGAGAGAGCGAGTTCTAGATTTTGATCCGTAGAATCCGAGGTTTCTTGATTAGAATTGTTGAAAGCGGAATTTCCACGCCCATCAAACCATCGATCTGTTTGGTAGAAGAGCCCGGGAATCTGCAATGCGATATCGTGAAGAAACTCCATTCTAGCCTTCTGAGCATTCAGAAATGGGAGACGTATCCAATCTGGATCTGCTAGGAAGGTTGGGGTATGCCTGCTGATTCTAACAGAGAGCTGTGGAATTGTTAGCCAAAGTAAGAGCAGTGAATATTAAAAGCGTACAAATATTCCCCTGAATCCACTAAAAGCCTGTCGCATGTGAGGTGAAGAGAAATTGTTCGGCCCATAGAGCTCTAAGATGCTTAAGACCCCACCAACGTGGGCGGAAAGAGCAGTCTCTGAGTATTCATTTTCGTTCACGAACTGGAAATAGTAGTTAGAAAAGGAATGATTTTTTCCCCATTTATGGACCTGGTTCTCACTTCAAATGCCAGAAATGCTATCGCTAGTAGCAGAATATATTCCAGTTTGGCCTTTGATTTCGCACTGCGTTGACTACTCTCTATGACCTGTTGGATATGCGGACGTGACTTCTTCAAGGCAGATGTGTACGATGACTGTGCAAGTTGTGCTAACTCTTCGTCATTTCTCAAGTTTCCCATGTAAGTCGCGAGGAGACTGAAAATGGGTAAATTGAGCGAATCGATCTGCAAAGACGTGAACCGCAGTAAAGCTCGAATGCACAATGCTGCGCTCGAATAATGGGGGTCACCTCGCGATATTCTATCGCCCCTGAAGACACCCCCAAGGGGATGAGGTTCAAAGTCGTTAATCAATGCCAAGAACGTCAAGCGTCCAGGAAAATCAATGGAAATTATATCAAATGGTGGGCTTGGTTTAGTGACAGCTAGCGTAGATTTTCGAGATGGAGAATCATCCGTGCTAGTACTCGTACTTGAGCTCTCAAAGTTGGCGTTGGCTGATTTCGGCTTCCTTCTATTTTGTAATGCGTAGACTAGCGCTTTTTTGTCACTTTCTTGGGTCAGATTTGTAGCGTTCCGATTGATAAACGTTCGTGAATCTTTGGGGCCACTGCATTTGACACCAGATTTGCAACATCGAAGACACTCAGGTTTGTTAAGGTCACACTAATTGTTTAAATTTGTTTCTATAATTAATACAGAGTCCGAGTATATCACTCTAAGAACGGAACGATATGCATACCTTCTTGCGGCGTCGTCGGCATTCATCGCATCCTTGAGAAGCTCCTGGGTAGAGCGGCATGGCACGACTCGGCAATCAGCAGAAAGCTCAAGAGCATCCTATGTGGGCCACTGCTTTGCAAGGAGCGCGCAGTGACTGCCGAATATATGCTGGTGCTTGTCAGCTTCGCCCGACGATCCCGCCCTTTCGCCACAATCGCACTAGTCCCAAAAAGGAAGTCACAGCGCCCAAGGATCGATAGTACATACTTTTTATACTTTTCTCTGGCGCATCCTCCATGCAAATGATACGTAATCTGGGAGTCTTCATTTTTGTTGAATAATACATTATATCATGCAATTGTCAATGATTACAGACTAGTACCGAACACCGATACTCTTATAAATCAACTATCTGGACAGGGTATAAGAAGGAAGAGCAGGTACGGTGGTTTAATTTGACATACATTCAAAAGCATTCTACTCAATTATCTGCAACCATGAGCTCCCGCACTGCTGTCCTCCTCATTGATCCGCTCAATGACTTTCTCCACCCCGATGGAAAGTTGTATCCCACCATCAAGGCTAGCTTGGAGGCGACCAATTCTTTCGAACATATGAAGGAGCTGGTTGCCGGCGCAAGAACAGCCCACATTCCTATCTTCTACGGTCTTCATCAAGTCACCAAGGATGGAACTTACTCAGGCTGGAATCACATGAATGCGTCTCTGATCAAAATTAAACAAAATGCGGCCTTTTCCGAGGACTTCGGTGGCCAGATTCTGAAAGAATTGGAGCCTCAGCCTAGCAACGGCGATGTAGTTGTCTCTCGACACTGGAACAGCAGGTGAGTATTAGGAGGCCAACTGCATTCAAGCCATTGATTTGTATAGAGAGCGATGCTAATTTACATAACGCCAGTTCCTTTTCGAACACCGACCTGGAGTACCAACTCCGGCAGCATGATATTACTCACGTCGTGATAGCGGGGTTAGTGACCAACTCATGCGTGGAGTCTACTGCGCGGGCTGCTCGTGAACTGTAAGTATTTCTGAGCTACCTGGCCTTTTGATTATACTTTTCTAAGAACTCCTTCGGATTGAATAGTGGCTTTCATGTCATTTTGATGTGAGTTTTAATTTATTTCTAATACTTAAGGCTGAAGGTCTCAAGACGGGGATGCTAACTTCAAAACCAGTACCGATGCAACTGCCGCATTTTCGATAGAGTTGGAAAAGGCAGCAGTCAATCTAGTTTGGCCCTTGATTGCAGATCAGCTTATGACGGCCAAACAGTGGGTATCCTCCTTCTCAAAGGGGCGTATCTAAGTGTGGAAACTTCAAACAGAGATTGAGTGCGGATAGAAGTATCACTAGGGAGGTGCCTTATTGCGTGAATTAAAGAGGTCCTCTCCGAACACTGATGTTATGTACAGTACAGCAATCCCATATAGCGCTGTTACATTTCGGACGTAAACAATCTGCCCAACCTTTTTTCAGGTTATTCTCTATTTCTTCCCTGACCTGCTAGCTCACCTTCACCAGAACCGCTTCAACAAAATTATCTCGATAAGTTCCGTGGACGATTTTGATTTCCCGTTGCAGTTGCAATATTTCCTCATTGGCACGCCTAAGCCTTCGCGAGTTCCTCAATATCAGCGCGGCGTTGAAGGGCACGCAGTCTTCTTTGATGAGCCTTTCCACCACGGTGTGAGCGTGAACGAAAATTTCGGAGTTCATCTAAGGCTGAGACCAAGTTCTCCGCCATGATATGAGTTAAATCTCCGCTCACTGCAGACCTATGAATGCTTGGACGGGGAGATCCGGGTTAGCAAGCTGTGTGTACATTATGGGAAACACTTTTCCAATCTAACCAGCCTCAGATCTCATACTCACATGATATTTGTTGGAAGGATGGATTTCTCATCTTAAGAGACTGTTTTATGTTGAATGCTTGGGATACCGGCAAGGACTGAGATTTGTCTTCGCGGGAATTAGACTGAATGTAGAGATGGCCCTTAGAGGTTAAGACGAAGCCTGGTATTTCAAAAAATGCGGATTTCAAGTGAGTTTGAGATTAAGAGAAGTCAACTCTTCGGGAAAGGATTTAAATAAAGCTCATTCCGGAGCTTTGACCCTTCTAGGCAGCCGAGGTAGCCTAGGAAGTATAGATTACGCAGCACGAAGTGATGAAGCCGCTCGAGGCATTAGGCTCAGTGGTTTTGAGCCGTAAAATTGAGCACCAGATTTTAAAATTGGAGAATATGCTGAGTACCTGCCCATCGTGTATTATGATACTTGCATGGATCAGTGAGTCTCAATTAACGTTGTTCATGCGTAAGACATGGAAATGTCTCTCGCATGCATACACTCTAAGGCCGGCGTAAATCATTTCGTCGATATTTTGAGCGCTCTCTTTTGACCACTCTCTTTTGAGCACTCTCTTCATAAAGTTGAACTCTACGATTTCTCATTTGTTATGAGGATTAAATCGAGAAACATAATTTATATATTTTGGAATTAGTGTTGTTTCCCTTTGATTGACTTTTCGTTCTGTTCAATGAATTATTTCGAGGATAAACTGACCTATTTGAAATTTCCAGCAGATAGTTAAAGTACACGGCTTGGAGGCGCTTATGTTTCTGAGTATGTACCCCAATTACTATCAAGTTCCATTGATAATATATCAAAACCTTGAGGAGGGGTGGTATTGAACTAATTATATATCATGTTCGAAGGAGAAAAATAGGATATTCAGTATTCATAATTGAGGGCGCCAAGGTAAACGCCCGCATTGAATGCGGCTTCTGAAGCATAGCTTTTTCGTGGGCCATCAACATAATTGCGAGGCTTATCATGTTCTCTTCGCTCCCAGGATCCGTGATCGGTAGGGAAGTAGGAGAAAGAAGTAAAAGTAATAATCAAATTTCAAGCTCCTAGGAGCGGCAAAGCGCCATGGTCCTATTGCCTGCTCATTGGCCGCTGCAAGAAATCTTGTCCTCTCTCCGATCGGGAGAGTTGTAGGATTAGTCTTCCTCCGAGATCATCCTCGTCAGTAGCATTCAGCTGCCAGGAGGCTATTGAATTGATACAAACTACTTGTCTGTTGAGCGATTCGAATACATGTAGATCGAATTGGAAGTCGTAGAAGATTAGCTCTCCATGCTCCCTGGTCTCTGACCTCTGCAAGAAGCAGCATACTAAGACAAACTAGACTTATTATTCCCAGGAGCTTGCAGACTTCAGTCAGAATTTCATAGGATAATGAGGCGTACTGCTCGGTGTGTACTCCTAGGAGGTAGTATTGTCACGCAATTGTGCAGCTGTTCGTGATGCGTAACTTTCCTTGATGGGGCACTTGAGCGTTCTAAAATGGGGGAGAGACTTTCGTGAGGGGTACGTAGCGTGCTGCGTTTTATTGGGGTGATTGAGTCAGACCGCTGGCTCCTATGTAAGCAATGCTCAGAGAACAAACCAGAGCACTCAGATCAGGCTCACTGAGCAGATCAGAGTGATCAGAGAGCTGCTCAGCGCGCTCAGAGACGTGCTCAGATCTACTCAAAGAGCAAAAGCGGCGCTCAGTGAGCACTAAAACGGAAAGGGAAAGCCAAGACTTCGCATAGGAAATCCGCTACTTAGGTCCGTCCCAGTAACACGAAATAACAATTCATGTTACACCATTTCTTTTTACTAAGTTAACAAATGGTAAGGAATAATTATTAAAATTCCTTCCTATGGGGTTCCATATTTACCTAGGCCCTAGTCCCTATTCTATCAGGCTATAAGGAGCCTCACTTCCCCCTTCTGATTGCTTCTTATGCGTAGGGGTGGACAACGCCGTTAGGTAATTTGATGAAAATTCTCCTATATCATGTATGAGATATGGCCAAAGATGCCACAAAGCATGCCAAAAAGGATCCTTAGCTCTTTAGCCATAAATGGACGCCAATACCTTACTCTATTACCGAGGAAGTATGTAGTGGAGTTGGTCTCGGTATGTGGAGCCGCCCGAGGCACGACGTACTGTGCTTGCGGAGAGAATGTTGGCGGCGAAGTCCGTGGAGATTGCTCTGCACTTGGGGGTCCTCTATGACTGGTACGAATTTCACGACTATCAATTTTCGTGGAACGGCTCTATAGGGAAAGGGATTCGAATACTGCAGATATTCATCGAAAATCATAGATACAATGAAAACTGCGCCTAGACTATCTATATTCCATCGTCAGTCATGCACAACTGGTAACGAAGCACGAGACCTGAAAAGAGAAATGAATATTATTGATGTCGAAACTGAGCCCTCAGGCTTAATTATAATACACGTATGGAAACCAATGTAAGGTTTTCTATGCTGACATCTCCTCGTTTTGCACCGTAACAGTTGTCTCTTTAGTGATGCCACTGCGTGATTCCTCCAAAATCTGGCGCGCACTGTCTCCGTCCCCCCAACCATCATTCGCATCTCCGCGGATATATGTGTGGGTTCGTGACGTGACGTGAGATCGAGTGTTGTTGTGAGAATGCCCAAACGCATGAGGAGTAAGCTCGTATGTCGGCCTGGGTGAACTACTGAAATTCTTCGCCATCGCGATAAAGAGCGGTCGCAGACACGGAACAGAAGAAGTGATCACCACTAGACCTGCCTCAATAAAGGCCCAATGTAACAGCTGGGCTTGTGAGATTGTAGGGTCTCCGGGTTGATCAATTGAATGGAGTGTGACCGTCTTGATGATACAGGCGACCATGGCACTAGAAGAAAGTGGCGCGACTTATGTTAGTGTTATTGCGGATATGAATATCTTTCCGGGGGTTGAAACAAGTTCGTCGATGCACTTACAAAAGACCCATACTGAGAAGACAAAGCAGCACGATCTTGATGCGCAGTCTGAGTTTCAAGCTCCAGAAGCTGTAGACTGGGAAGGCCGCAAGGTAGAAATCAGTGGTCGTGTTGAAAGCTAGAGCAGTTAGCAAAGAGCAAATTCGCTATTGTAGCCAGGGGATATGAAAGACGAACCGCCTTGTGTGTAACCATAGACCATCTGAATTTTGACAGGCATACAATATACGTCTGTTATAGTAGGATCAAAGACCGCCCTGATGTCCTTGCACTGTGCAAATATCAGAATAACCGGGACCACGTTCACGAGCGGTTGTAGTCCCAGCAGTATCAATAGAACAATCCTCGCTTTCGACTGCAGCGGAACGAGACGACGAAGGTACATTATGAATGCGATACGGCCAATCATACATGATATGACGCATAGAGATTGTGCCACGAGATAGTATTTGATGTTGAGTATCTCCTGATCATGTCTGATGACGGCGTTGCGAGCGAGACCAGCCTGGACAGAGATTGTAACGCATGCAGCGCCGGGAATGAGGAACCCCTATAACCGGAAGCATGATAGCAAAGTCAGCCATTGATTCTGCTGGAGGGGACAGTTTGACGCACCAACGCAGCGATCATAACCACATCGTCGGCATTGAAGTTGGAGATTTTAATTTTGGCAACCACTCGGAGAGCCATAACTATAATCGCGGCCGCCGTTAGAGCCCATGCTGTTGCCAGTACGCTAGTGCCGGCATTGTAATCTTCCTCCGACAGTGACGAAGCCATAGTGATGAGACTTGCGAAGAGTCTAAAGGGGAGGGGGCCAGTTTCTTAAGTGGCGGAACCTGACTGCGCATTCGAGGGGGTAAGCTTCGATCTAAACCTTATTGTACTCCTGGGAATCAACGGCGACCTTTTAGGCCCAGAGTTGTGTGCGTCCTGATCTAGCTTTTTCCCATCCCTCCGTCGGCAGTACTTCGCTTCGAATGGTTCAGATGGCCGGACATGACATTGGGATCAGTGGGGTAAGGCTTTTGGGGGTTTTGCCTGAACATCCGGCAATCAATGATGGCAAGGGTCTTTCGGCTTTCGGTACCAGCCCTAGTATCCACTGTAAGTAAGTACGGTAGCAGTCCTTCTAACTTAACATCGGGAGGTGAAGGGTAGTTGATCAACTTCGATTGTATGGAGCTGTCTTGCCACTTGCTTCGTTCGAGCATCATTGGTTCTTAATTGTAGTGGAGGCGTATTAAATGTCGCTACTATCTTTTCAACCTAGTGCCTATCTGTGGTGCTAATTTCACTTTTATTTGAAGACCGGATGTGATCTGGGTGATTTAAAGAAAAGGAATTTTAGGAAATTCAAACGTTCAATGTGAGATACCGGCCTTCAGATTGGTTTCCCATAGATTATTGAACATTTATAAGCCATTACTGGTCTACAAAAGCGAGCACAAAACAGCCTTCCGTGATCCTTTCGGCGATCTAGAACAACAGTTCGGGGCTTGCTAGCCCCAATGGGGATAGTTGACCCGGATAGCCACCAGGGCTCCAAAAGGCAATATTGAGGCAGTGATGCCACGATATAAAGTTTTCTGTCGGTGCCTCGGCCGACGGAAGCCACCAGAAAACTTAGCATTTCGAGACACGAGATAAAAACTCTTTGCGGGACTGATTCCATACTTCTGCACCCCGTTAGAATTACCATTTTTGTATGTCATTTCAGAAATTTGGGGGAGAAACAGACATTGATCAGGAAGTTGACATATCGAGCCAACTGATTACATGAATAATTCTTACTATTCATTGGTCGTTTCCCACGAATGAGACTCTCGGATAAACATCCGAATTGTGATTTCAAGTGGCTCGTGGCCGTGTGGCCCGTGGGACAGAACATCAAAGCTTTTGTGAGTCGCATAGGTGGGAATATAAACCATAAGCTAAGGAGACTCCGTATGTGCCTTTGAGCACTGGGACTACCATCCGGCTTGGCTCAAATCTAGACCCTGCCCCATCAATTGGGCCATCGGGATTTGATGGTATGCAATTTCCACATCTTGTCTACCGATCGGGTTCTTTCGTCGAACGAGAATACCTCGGAGAGATCCAAGGTTTGGTGGCTTTAAGTCTGTGACTCCTGAAGCCTTCGACGCACTGGCCAACTAAAACTCGTGTTAGTTATGGTCGAAGGCTACAAAAGCAGAGTTCAATAGTGGATGGCCCTGAGCCTCGTTGTAAGTAGTGTAGTCAAACAGATCATCCGATGATCCGAGCATGAGTATCTAAAGTCCCGCATTGCGGGACATCAGGACAAGCTTTACGAGACAAGCGTCCAATTTTGGACCAGAAAACGTTGAGAATTCAATAGGAGGACTCAAACGTTGGCTCCTGATTGATGGGTTTAGCGATCATGATTGCAAATGGAACGGGAGAAAGCGCCAGCTAGTCCGAGTCTGCGTTACGTTCAAGGGTCCTGTACGGAGTCGTGGAGGAGGGATATTTTTTGCTAAATAAACCTCCTGCCTACTGCAGGGTAGGTTTCCCCGGGGGCCCGCATGGAAGTCACGTGACCCAGTCCAAATCTAACGGTTTTCTCCTTATACAACACTGTTAGCTCCAATAATAGAAGCGGCTGTAAATTGGTTCATGTTGCATTTTCCGGGTGGGGTTTCGTCCCTTTTGACTGGAACTTAATCCTACCGCCACGTGACCTCGCATGATGCTCCAGTATGTCATGTTTGCCATAACAAAAAGAATAGTAACCACCAAATTGCCCTCGGTGCTTGCATACTCTTTTTTTGAAAAATTTTATATCACATGATTATCTTTATTTAGTTAATGTTTGAAGGGTACTATTAGTCATTATTACACGCTCATTCCAGATCTTTTCGGTTTTCCGTCAAGGCTATTTATGTTAGTTCGTAGACAGCGGATATTAACTGATATATGAGGCTTGTAATGGAAGTTACCAGTCTTTCATTTTCCCCCTTGTGCTTAATCACTTCGTCAAATGCCACTTGCTACATTGTCATGGTCGATGCCTCTTACCTGGGATGTAATATGATTTTAAAAAGCTTCATATTACTTCCTCTTTACAAGCGGCACCAGTTAGTTTCATCTCGACGTTCAACCAACCTCATAGCCTTTCCATGGTAGTTTTTGTAGAGGTCTCGAACCTGTATACCATCAATGAATATCTATTTCGCCACTTTAAACGGCATGGTTACCTCCCGACTACCCAGCGACTAATCAAATATGAATGATAAAAATTGACAACAGGGCTCTGGCAAGGTAATTGGAGGGTTTGATAGCCAACATCTGCAAGCAATGCATTATCTCGATCTAATGAGGCAGATTTGGGTAAGACCTACTTTGAACGATTACCAGCAGCACCTGAAAAATAACCTTCCGAGGATGCGAGCTACGATTAGCTAGCTCTATGAGCAGATACATTATGAATGCTTGAAGAGTACTCCCCTTGATCTCACCTGTCCCAGATCCTGCGAAGATCAGGCCTCACTACAAACACACTCTTTGGTATTGTTGCTGAATCCACCAAGTCCGGTGGGAGCAGATACTTTGACATCATTATAATGTCTTGTTAAACTATCTGCAGTGTGTATAAGGTCGGTCCAGAACTATAGATACCATGGCTACAAAACATTGCCACCATGTAAAAAAGGTCTCATTCAGACGTCCTGGAAGATACTGTCACTATGATATTTCGGCTATACTCATGAATATAAACTGCTCTGCACTCGTTAACCGAGTAATGTATGACTCGAACCTCGTAGCAATTATTGATTTATTGTATATGATGTGTGTGCATAACAAGGACCACTCTCCACGCTATTTAGCTTGAAATTTTATTGGGGCTATAGAGTGGTAATCAAGACTTCCATGACTGATCCGATCGAGGAGGAATTTTTGTTGAGCCACCACCTAGGCAAGAGAAAGTATTGGATGGCCTCGTCGAAAACACCCTACAGGTAGGTCACCAGTGCCCAAAATCAAGATACGCAAATAGACTTGGGAAGATGATACCAAGTAGCTTTGTTCAACATACCCTACAAGTCCAAATTTCTATAAGTCTAAAGATTACAATGCAAAATAAAAACAGTTAAGTTTAAATGATTGGAGTCATGTCCATTGGCCTTCCCATGGAGAAGTTCGAATAATATGACATACAAGATAAAAAAGGAAAAAAAAAACAAAAAGCCAGAACTCACACGCTGTGCCCACAGAAAGGAAACAATGCAGTACCACAAAGGGGAGAATCAACATGAACAAAAAAGATAATAAGAATAAACTAAGAAAAAAAAAAGGCAAAAAAACAGATGCTCAATGAAGAGGAGGAGGGTCATGCATGAGATGGAAACAATGAGATAGAAAAAGAGTTGTGAGATGGATAAACATGTATGGTTGGGGGGAGTGTGTGGGGGAAAACGCCGTCTCTGATGCTCAAACAACAACACAATAGCAAGGTCAAAAACAGGATGAATCGAGGAGAGCCACCCAGTCTTTTGTATGCGATCGGATATTTTTTTTCTTGAGTTTTTTAAGTCGTTCCGACTTGTAGTTAGTTGCTTTACCTATTATCATAGGTAAAGCAGCAGCCGGGTGAAATGGGGTATGGGGTATGCAGTTAGGAAAGATGAGGGATAAAGAAAGACATCATGCAAATATTACAAGGGGACCCAAACAAAAAAAGGAAAATTCCGGCCTTCTCTATAACATGAGGCATCGATCAATCGTAACGTCTTTCGTCTGGTGGTGACGTAAAATGAAATGCGTGGTCGAGGGAGGGAAATTAAAGGAGATAAAACCGGGGGAATTCAGCAGGGCCGTCCGGGGAATGGAACGGGGCGCAAGACGAGATGCAGATGCAGACGCAGACGCAGACGCCCGGCGGGCTGCACGCCATGTGAAGGGGAGGAGCAAAGACAAAAAGTGTAGCGAGGGAGAGGGAAAAAAAAAGGCCTTTGTCTTTTCAAGGTCGGAAGCGATTCGTGACGAGAGAGTTGGTATGAAAATCGTGTACGTTCGAGAAAAGGAAGGAGAAAGCGTCCAGGCCGTATTGAGTAGCGCCCAGAGCCCAGACCCTTGGCCCTTTACCCAACACATCCATGCCATGCGACCTCCTTCATTCCGTAAATTCCATCGTCGGGCGCAAAAAAACAGGCCCCCCGGCACGGTGGGATTCCCGCGTTGCAGTCGCACAAGAAACGGGATCGGGCAGACCACAATTGGCCGGAGGCACATCCGCGAAACTCTGATTTGAGACCTGCAAAAAGGCGTTGAAGCTTAAACGCCTGTTTCTTGCTTAGAAGATGACAGGGGCCGGAGGAATGATGGACGAGTTTGCGATAGGCGTGGAATGGATGGTGGCATTTGAATCGCGACGGGGGAATCGACTGCTGTTTGCGGGTCGGGTGAAAGCGTCGACGCTGGCTCGCGGTGATTGTCATGAACGAGCAGACCGGCTCATGCTTCGTTCCGGGACACCCGGGGTAGGAGAATAAGAGCGAGAGCCGCCGAAAATGTCGACGTCGTGTTCCTGCAGGACCACGGAGTACTTGGGGTCACGAAGGAATTTCGGGACAGAGTCCTTCAAATCAAAAGTTAGTACGAAACGAAATATTTGCAGGGACCTTGTATAAGAGTCAAAACTTACACTTGACATCAGCTTGAAGACGGAAGTCTGTGCAAGCTCGAAGAGATGCACAACCTCCTGAAGACTCTTGTACATGGATTCGTCGTCACCAACAGCCTTGGTCATACGACTGGCCAAGCTGTTGCGTAGGGCGTGGTCGATATTCAACTCGCAAGGTGACCCAGGAGCCAGGAACGCGTTGTACAGACCTAAGAAGGAAAAAAAGATTAGTATAACCGACCATGAAAAACAAAAGTTCTCTACTTTCTTGAAATACATACCATAAGCAGCGGCCAAAGTTTCCCGAACTGAATCCACCTTGTTAAAGGTGCCAGTCTTCTCAGCCTTGTGGTAGTTGGCAGTGAACTCGGACACATCGAGGTAGAAAGAGAGGGTTCTCTTCGCACAGAGAGTAGCGCAGGAACTCGCGGAACAAAAGGCGAAGGGCGGGGTCTTGCAGGATGTGGGTCAGACGAGCGTTGTTGGAATCCCGGGGCATACCGCGGTTATCGTAAGTGCCGGAGTTGTCGCGAGGCTTGTCGCGAGCAATCCATCCACACACTCGCTGGCCACGTTCGGTAATGCAGTAGATCGCGTACTTGGAAGGCTGGAACACGGCGTTGGAGTCGGGGTAGGACTTGTCGTCCTGAATCATCGTAATCAAGCCGTACTTGAGGAAAAGCTCAGCAATCAGACAAGTCTCTCGGCGCTCGATAGTGGTTGAGCAGTCCATCAACCAATCCACCGCGCCCTTTCCGGTGAACGTGTTGGTGTAAATCTTGTTATCCTGCAACTTCCGCTCTCGCGCCATTTTCACTCCAATAATACCGTTCGAGTAGTCGCTGAGTGAGTCGGAGTCTGATGTGGAAATGCTGCTCTTGATATTGGGACCATCCTGTCCCGCAAACCGGCGGAAAATCACCTCAATGGTCGCGCGATCATGCGACAACTTATCGGTATCCGTGTCTCGCTCCAAGTTCACCAATTGCATCGTGTTGCGCGGCGACTCCAGAACATCCATCACGTGACGAGCGGTGATTCCATTGCGCTGGCAAAAGCGTTGTAGAATGTTGATACCCTTCGGGGTGAGCTGGAAGAGGGCGCCCTTGAGCGGGAAAATCGGCAGCGCCTTACCATCAACGGCTTCGATAAAGCGGGCATCCACAAAGCGCTGGCAAACGGAGCGCGCCATTTCCTTGGCCATAGAGAAGGTGGTGGTTGTCGTAGTGGTCACAATGCGCGAGGGGTCCTTGGGGTCGGGCATACGGTTCGACTGGGAGAATTTGAGGGATCCCAAGTTGTTGATCGCCTCTTCGGAGGTGAAGGTGTGGTCATATCTCGTGAAGCGGACCCGGTGGGAGTCCAACTTCAAACTCACCATCAAGGTGGAGAACAAGTCCATGAAATCCTAGAAAAAAAAAGGAGAAATAAATTGTTAGCCTTCAATTACTATACTTTCCCTTTTTTGCAGTCCCACAATTTCTTGTTCTTTCCTGCTCGCTCTGGCTTTCACTCCGGCGCGGGGTATTGCCAATCTCTTGACATTTCCAAAAACCTACCTTGGTGAAAGGGCGCTCATCTTCGGTCATGCGCAACAGTCTCGAGGAAGTTTGGTGCATCTTGGGAGGCGCGGTTGGCGCAGCGCCCGTCGGAACGGGGCGAGGGTCGTGAGGGGGAGTCGGGACGCGCTGCAGCGTCAAGCGCCGTCTTTGCAAGGACGGTTCCGGGGAAACCGAGCGCGAGGCAGGCAATTGCTCGTAAGGATCTCCGTCAAAAGGCGGGGTCAAGGGAGTCGAGGCGCTTGATTTGGTGAGTTTGGACAGGCTGCCCGAGGAGTTGGACGAGCGCAGCGTGGAGGGGGTATTGTATGTCGTAGGCTGCGAGATAGTGGAGATGGTGGACAAGCTGGCTAGAGCACTGGAGGTTTTCTGGGCCAAGGCAGCAAAAGAGCGACGATTGCGGCGGGAAATCGAGCCGACGACTGACCCAGTAAAGGTGGTAGTAGAGGATGTAGGCGGATCAGTCGTAGGGGGGAAGGTGGTGGTGGTGGTAGAAGTGGAAGCGCGAAAGCGATTTGAAGAAGAGAGAGGAGTGGTAGAGTCAGGAACTGAAGGGTCAGGGTATGGAAGAGATTCTTCTCGGTAATGGATCACGGATGGCACTGGCATTGAATGGGTTTTTGGCCGGTGGGTGAACCAGAAAGAACCAGACTTCGGGAAGAGTGTGAAAAGTGGGTAAGTCAAATAAGACCTGATACCCACGATCTGTACACTAGGTAACTTGGTAAAGGGGGGGATGGGAATCTTGGGAAAATAGCGGAATAGTGGAATAGCGGATAGGGTGGAGAGACAGAGGGGGGGGAATAAAAAAAAAATTGTGGTAAAAAAAAGAAGTAAAAAAAAAAGAGGCAAAAGGTGGAACTCCTATACAAGTTTGAGATCTACTGGACAAGGGAAAATCGGGGAGTTTGGAGGGGAAAAGGGTAAAATAAAAAGGTGAAGGAAAGAGAGGGGGGAGAAGGTAGGCGTTTAGGATGTTTAGAGTGTTTGGGAGTTTTGGCAAGTTTTACTATGAGCGCCTGTAAGAAAAAAATAATAAAAAGGTGTAAGAAGGGGGGGGAACATGCAGGTGGTTGGGAAGTGGAATTAGGAATTATACACTATACTTTTTGGATTTTCTTGGTTCTTTTTTTATTCTGGTTACCCTGGTTTAGAACCATCGACTAATATAGGGCTTAAATATTTTAAAAATTAAACAAAGAGAAGAAAGAAAAAAGAACTAAAGATGATAGAGCTGGCACTTAGGAAGAATAAGACAAGAGAAAAACCAAGGTCTGTAAAATGAAAACGAATAAAAAAAAAAAAAAAAAACCATTGTAATATCGAGCCAGGCCCCTTGTGAAGAATCACAGCCATTCGCGATGTCATCCATGACCCACCGACCACGCGTGAGGCCAGCCGGAAAGAGTTTGGTGTGCTGCATCCAAACAACGTGGGCCGAGGGAAGGGATTGCCTCATGGTGAAGATCGGTGGGTTCCTTTCGTGCAGGGGTCTTGGTATTACGGGTTAATTACATAGATTACAGATATTACAAGGTCACGGCCACTCCGACCATACAGTCCATACAGAATTTCTTACCGGGCCTACCGAGCTTCCGATCGTATAATTGTAAGCTGGTGTATAGACCATCAAGACATGGTGATTGTCTCTTTGTTTCTCTTCGTTATTAAAGTAGATCGTTGTGTCTCTCTATGGAATCTTCTCAGGTTTCATCATAACACAAAATCAAAGTAGGATCACCTTCTTAAAACACCTGGCATTTGGCAGAGTCACCTTACCTCCTATCATGCCAGAGGCGTTTAGTCCACCGATAGTCGGTAACTTATCCAGTCTCCATAGTGACTATGTAAGCCCTCCCTCCCTACCCCAACTAACCCAATTCCAAATACACGCGGAGATCCATTCCTTTGGTTTCTTTTGATTTGTTCTCGGAAAACATCTCCCCAATGTTTTCACCGTACCATCATTAACCAGCTCTCGCTACAATATGGAAAAGTCAGTCAATGATCTCACCATCCACCGAGGTCCCCCAGGCTCTCACCTTCCTAACCCTGACGGACATTGACCCAGGGAACCCATACGAGGCCGACCAGATCCGTAGAGAGAGGACTACGAGATAGATGTGGATATTTCACTGCATTTCCTGGATATTATCTAACATCTAAACAAGAATAGGCATTGTTTCAACTCCTCCATCAAATAATCATCGAGTCATGTACGGAGTAGATATGCTCCTTACTCTAGCTACTGTACCATAAATTACTAGAGTACCCCAATACTTTCAAATACCCCGATCGACCAAACTCAGTCTATCGGAAATACCCCTCTACAGTACTGAACAATCGCAAGCTTTAACTAATCCGTTCAACTCTTGCTGACTTGAGTTTAGTCTTACCTGAAGTAGCAACTGCCCTCCTATCATTACCGCACCATCACTGGTGGGAGCCCAGAAATGGACTTCTGGTGATCCGAATCGTCAGGCTGACGGTGTATTTGATTGGTGATTCCAGGCCGTACAATCTCCACTTACTCCGGGCTTCCTCCACTTTGGAGACCAGTGTGATTTTGAAGCAAATCGCTGTACATAATCGGTTCAGGTAATGATATGCTTTTGCATACAGAGGTACGGAGTACATACTCTCTCTACTCCGTACCCTAGGTTCATGGAGTATATCTCCGTATTTCCAACTAGTCACCAACTTGTATGGATTGTACTCGGCCCCCTGGACCGAACAGGCAGTGCTGGCCCTCACCCACGGGCTCCCACGTGGGAATCCCTACCCCTCCTCACTGCTTGGCCTCTGTGGGATTTTCTTCCCGTCAGGAACCTTATCGGTATCGTGGCAAAAAAAGAAAAGAATGAAAAAGAAAGGTGAACAAAACAAGAGACTTTGTTCATCTCGGTTCGATCCCGTCGTATCCTTTGGTTCCTCTTCTCATTGTATCCCCGGTTTTACTTGATGCCATCTTGTCGCCTCAAAAGCAAGAGATAAAGACCTTCCTTGTCTGGCCCTATCAAACCCTATCGGTCCCCAGCCAAGTTCCAACCTGGAGGACGCCGGAGAGGAGGAAGAGGGGGCCAGCACATCACATGTTTCACGGGCGATTTCGCAAAGTCCGATCGGAGTGGATTCTGGACAAGCGCCACACTCGGTCTTCCCTGTGTCACTCTTTTTGACTCTTCCTCTCGTCCCTCCGCTCTTCGGAGCTAGTGTTTCGGGCCTTGAAACAGGCTGAGACCGCCTAGTCTTGGCTTGGGGCCCGGGAATCCTTCCACAACCTTTCCAGGCTTCTTCTTGCGAGCCCATGTGGTCCACGTGGACACACGTGGAGTCGCGGTCTGAGCGTATGCCTCAGGCCTATCACTGACCGAACAGAACAGAAGACCATAGTCCACAAGCACAATAATGGATATGGATATATCAAGCCAACAACTGTAATATATGCCCCGTGCACAGTGCACACACTCTCATACTCTCTGTAAGTGCCCACATGGAGGAGGCTCGCTCGCTTCTTTCTACCCGCTCCGCCATCAGTCATCAGGCTTGGACTGGGCTAGGCTTGCGTTAACCCTCTTTCAGAACATGGTTCTTTCTCCCACCCGAGACAGCTAGTCCACCGACAGGCGCCCGTCTGACAGACTAACTAGTAACAACTCGTTTCATATCCACTACGAGTTGGGATCCTTCTAGCCTCCATCTACGGACGGTATAACTATGGGCCTAGCGGTTGCCTTTTCGATTGCTAATTTGCTTGTCATGGTTGACAGCGCACAGACTTGGGGCCGAAGGAACTGTGCTGTCATGTAACGAGACCCCTTCCCTAGTTAGATCACGGAATGGCCGAATACGAGCTGACGACTAGGATAGAGATTGGGGGAGAGCCTTACTCTATGGAGTAGTTGTATCTTATTAGATTGAACGACCATCGAACACTAGTTAGAGAGCCTTAGGACTTTGAATAGCCTCGGGAATTAGTTGGTAACCTTCCTGGTCATATATATAAATATCTGAATGGACCAAGCATGCAAGCGATATAGACAACATCTCGATCCATCACCACCGTAACTCAAAGATTAGAGCCGCATCACGAGTAACCTTCCCTTCTCAATGTATCCACGTCAGTCACTCCACAAAACCATCCACGGGTAATCCGCCCTGACCTCACAAACCGGTCCAACAGACCGGAACCGAGCATGAACCACTTCCACGACAGGAAACCAGTGCGACCAGGATCCTGTCAGACAGGTCAGCCGCGGGAAATTGTGAGGCAGTGCAAGAATAAACAATTCCAATCGTAAAGGGAGGAAGATTCCACGCGCCATGGTAGACCACGCAAATCGAACGTCAGTGCAAGTCTATCCGCCATGACCCGGACAACGGTGTAGATTGGCTGGCGATCGCGCTTGACCAGGATCGGCGGCGATGAGTATGACTGTTAGTTCAGACAGGGGGTGCCTAAAGGGCCAAGGCAAATTACAGGTGCCGATCGCACGGGGATTAGCCCCTTCTTGACTGGGGGAATTGTCTTCCGATCGGAGATAAAATGATGTGATGCGTCACAGATACTTGCGATCTATCGATTACTTCGATTGCTTCGATTGTGTGCCCGTTGGAAGGATGATACATACTTACGAAGTACAGATGTACTTTACCAAGTATGGAATACTGCCACGTGGATTGGGGTAAACATGTGCATACAGTACTTATGTACAAAGGCAAGCCATGTATGTAAGTCATTTCATCCTAGCATGATGGATCCCAATCCTGCGATATTTATGGATGTATCAAATATAGCTTCAGCTTCAGCTCTAAATCCAGCGTTTTACAGCCCTTATGATAGATTGCAATCTATTTGATTGAAGATAAGCAGGAGACCAGGATCATCACATTAACCATGTCGCAGATAGAGATTCCCACAATACCATGATTGAAGATCTCAACAATGAGAGGAGGATAAGGGAGAGGCCAAGAAGCCAAGTCCTCAGCCCTGCGATAACACTCAATCACCCCATAAACCATAAACCCGAAAGACCCCGATCGGCCCCCAACTTCTGAGGCTCGTAATCAACGATCCTATCATCCCACCAGCTAGTGCTACCATTACTATTATTCCTAACAAGCCATTTCCCTAAAATTGAACCCAAAACTCAAACTTTACGACAAAGCTCAAAGTTCAATAACAGGACCCTGAGAGCACCACTCCGTAGATTAAATTGAAAGAAAAGCCTTGGCATTAACTTAATAAAAACTTCCTCTCAAAAACGTGAGAGGAGCGATAGGCACAGAAAAACTCCCTTTGAAACGAAAAGAACCACAATTCAAATACGCCAAGAGTTTAAATAGTAGTTATTGTCGCTTCATCCCGCCAGCTAGCCGTTATGCGTTATCGCCTGCGATTAAGTGGGCGGGCAAATCGAAAACTGAGGCCCGCTAGGTTGTTTACGGAGAATTCTCCATAAGCTAGAGTTGCGGTCAGACTTGCTCAACGGTAAAGGAGTTAAGAGGTGGAAGTTAGGACCCAGTGATCCTCATGGAAAATGGGTGATTAACTCTGGAGAAGCGAGGTGGTACAGAAGTGGATTTCTCTAGTTAGCATTAGTATTAGT